GCGCAGACTTTGTCGAGTTCTGTGGCGAGGCTGTAAATAGGTCCTTGGTGCTCGTCCTTGAGATGATATGAGAACGCTCCTAGTATTGGTTGGAGCCTGAAGCATGTAGCATCTACCTGCTTCGTAAGGGTCTTGATGTGGATCATCAGCCTGACTCTGGATGGGAGTGGGCAGATGGGATGTGCAATGGTATTTGTCTTTATGAAGTTGGGTAGGGGGTGAGTTAGGATAGGAGCGATGACAGGGGGGAGGTACCACGTTAGAGGTGATGAGCTCCGGGGGTGGTGCTGGCTTGCGACCACCCATGGTGAGACGTCCTTTTCTGGGTTTGTAGTGTTCGAGCGGCGGGGTGCGATCACGAGGCTTGCAGATGATTCTGCGCTTGATGATGTGTGTAGTATCGATGGCCTGGCTGCTGCGCGCTGTCTGTCTGTGGATGATGTGCCTAGTGACGCGAGAGTGAGGAGCCTTCCGTGCTCCTTGTTTGTCTCTTGATGCTTGTAGTGTGCGTCAAGGTCAATCCTGGGTGTGGCCTTGTGCTTTGAAGCTTTGGGCAGCTCAGAGTCTTGCTGAGGCTCACACCAGGTAGAGATCAGATTGGAGTGTGTGTCAAAAAAGCCGCGCGCTATGGCTGAAACTGCTTGCACTGAAAATACGTGGCCGCTTGTGTTAGACACTAAGCAGGGGCGCAGAAAATTGTCAGATTGTTTCTAATGTCACGGCACCGCCGGACAAGAGATCAAAAAGACTAAAAAAGGTCGGTCATGTGGAACGTGCCACCCTGATCCCCCTGATCCCTGTAGTCCCCCTGAACCCTTATGTGGCTGGTGAGCCTAGGACTTACTTGGTGGTGAAGCAAGCGGTTGGAGGTTGAGAGAGATATATGAGGAGCTTGGTAAGCTCAGTGAGTGCTACGGTAGTAGACGAGGAGAAACAATCTGAAGTTTCATCCTCTACAGGCTGGTCTTATATACATGTACAGTGGGCTATTTTACCTAAGCTACCTATCTACGGGTATAAGTTAATGGCCATACATGAACAATGGAATGTTCGAAAGTAGAACAATAGGTGAGAAGATCAATGGCTGCCGCAGCAATGTGTGTGAACATTGTGCCTATCTTGGTTTCCCTTTTGTTCTCTGATGTGAACATCGTGCCTATCTAGACTTTTGGCTAAACTATTAGGAAGCAGAAGGCCGATGTGTAACAATAGTTCTTGTTCCCTTTGTTCCCAAATGGGTGCCTCTGTTGTATCCTGGAATAGACAGGTCCAGCCGTATCATCTGCGGGCCTGGACCATAACATGTGATGTGGACTATCACCTGATCTCTATGTGTCACGTCTGTGGCTGAGTGGCATAAGGTATTGGTGAAGCATGTAATCTGTGGCATGAGAAAAGTCATGTGCGGACTTTGTGGCGAAAATCTGTGACACACCTGCAAATGATACTTTTCGTGCACGCCATTTCATAAAAACAGTCACCGGTCTCGAATATCTTCCCTTTGGGTCAGACATGATTCGAGTGAGTCATGGATTATGGTGCATTTTCACACTGCTGATAATGATCTCATTATGTAGCTCAAATTCTCACGTGAAATCCCTGATGATGCACTGTTCCTTGGACATGGGCAAGAGGGATCACACGTGGCAACAAACTTATCCTTCGATGTAAGTGATTCGTGGTTCTTGTCAGGGCCCCCGTGTTCATTCTGACATTCTGATATTGCAGCGAGAGTGTGATATTGTCCCTCCTATCACCCGCACATGCTTAAAGCAGCTCTGTGTCTGGGTTAATGGATGCCTTGAAGAGGCTTTGCAGGGGGCGGCCAATGCTTCCGCAGATGCTGTCACCAAACTTGATGTTCATTTCCATATCATGTTCATGCAGATTGGTGAGGACGGCTACAATTGAGGCAATGCGATGGGTTCTTGCAGGTCAATAACCATGTAATTTTGCAATGTCTTATATATAAGCAGTGCTACCACAGTGATAACCAGTAAGAAATGACAGCATATACTGGCTCCGCAGCAGGTCTGTCAGGTGGTCTACAAGCACCTACACAAGAACGTCCAATGCACACAGTGCAGCACTTCCAATGCCAAATACAATCTCCTCATCATTCCAGCCATGCACAGGGAAGAAACCCACTCATTGAGATGAAGGTAGTTGGCTGACATGAAGTGCGACATCATCTGTGAGAGTCTCGTGCCCTGAGGAGGCTGGCTCTGGGCATACTTTGAGAGGGGCATATTGTACAGATTTCAATCGAGGTTGAGGTTCACGGTGTATTTTGATGTGCGTGACATGAGTGTACCCTGCACAACTTCCGCTACACACTCTTTGCTCCAATGCACTTTCCATGTGAATGGGAGGAGATCGGGGCATGCAGCTTGGGTGGGGAGTACAGTCATTGGGTATCGTTTCATCTGGTCAGCTGGGAGCTCGGTGTTGATGAAGGGCAACGAGAAGGTTGGAAGTGAACCAGTGGTGAGAGCCTAGCTGTAGACACGATCAATATATGCTATCATTTGTGTTACCATTAACACCACTTATCTGCCAACAGTTCGTGATGAACAGTACCCAAAAGAATGCACGCCGCTTCTGCACCTCGGCATGGGTGAGCTTCAAATATGGGTAGTCACGATCTGCATAGGCCCGCAAACAAATGCACAGGTGCTTTCTATGCTGTTTTTGTCCACCACGAGACCCTACAAACGGCATCAACAACGTAATTTCTGCACGCCATCATCATAAGCGCCCTCCATACCTGATAAATGGCCATCAAGCTCAGCATCTGCACCGTTGCCACACTAGGTGGGTGTTCCTGCACTGGCTCAAGGTTCAGCTCTATGCGGGTGAGCTGGAAATACTGCTTCTACTCTGAATTATATGGCACCACAGAGAGCTCCCTGTTTGCCAAAGCAGAACATCACGAACAGTAGCGTGAGCTCATGCGACGAGCTGAAGCCCTTGGGGAGGTTGAACACCCCAGAGGACATCGTGAGTGCACTGCCACCGCCGATGCTCCCGCCCACATCCTGTGGCTGCACAGCCTCTTCATAGAACAACGGGAGCACCTCCTCGACAAGCTGCCAGTGGGTGAGCACACTGAAGAACCAGGACGCTTGTTTGAGGTAGAGGTCCGGAGGTGCTTGCAGATGAGCCTGTCAAGGTCTTTGTCTTCTTCATCAGCTGGCGCAGTGGGAGATGACATTGCCAGTTGCATGAGCGAGCCAGATAACACATCGTGTTTTATCATTGACAGTCGGGCAGCCACCTGCACGGGCTGCTCATCCTGTAGGGTATGTGCATATCTGAATTAGAGAATGTGTGTGTGTGTGTGTGTATAAGAAAGCATATACCAGCAGAAGACTCTGAAGTAGCTGCCAATGAGTACAATCGTTTACCAGAAAGGACAGAAAGTGCACCTGAGAGCCCGCTGACCACGTATAGAATGTCACCTCACCGTCATCGTGGACGGTGAGTGTGCCAAACACATTGATGTACCGTGACTCCTCTCCCTCATCCTGTCCCGCGTGCTTCCCGCCGTTTGTCTCTGCTTCATCCATCCACCCCGTTTCACCGCTGAGTGCAGCTCTGAGCCTGACTTGATCTTGGAGGGTGTCGACAACGGGCAGTGGCGACTGAAGACAAGCATAAAAGATACTGGATCTGTTGTACTGTTGATATACCTTTCAGGGAAAGTGGTGGCGACAGTAGCAATGGCGAATTGCAGATGGATGGACATCACATCAGTGGCAGTAAGGATGGAGGGCAGCACATTGTTGGAATCTGGGTGCAGAGCATGGATGCGAGAGGCCCCAGTGCAACCTGCACCACCAGCATGGGAGAGTAGTAGTGCACGTGTATATAATAGGGCACGGCTACAAATCAGTTTGGCCCCGTGGAGCCATCTTCTAGAGAGCAGGTGACCCCCGAACTCCTGGCCGCACAGCAGGCTGGCCAGGAAAGTCAACACACATATGGTGAAGGCAGAGGGCAGTGAGTAGCGCAGCGGTGCCAGCGGCGAGAACGAGGACAGCAGTGATGATGGTGGCAGCCGAGTGGCGAGGTGGAAACTTTGTGGCCTACCCATTTGGAGAAGTCCACGTGGCAATTTCGAGGCCTCACGTGGCAGTTTTGAGAACCCACGTGGCAATTTTCCCGCTCTTCGAGATTTTTTTTCACTGGCTTTAAGTTTTTCACCCTAACTAAAAGTTTTTGATAATATTGTCCAGTGCGGTCCCTCATAATCGACAACGATCCAAGCAGAAGCGAGGAGCTCGATAGGAAAGACGCGTGTGAACGCTCGCCGGTGGAGGAAAAGCACAAGCACACAGAGAAAGCAGCGGGAGGGGCGACAATGCGCGGTAGCGCACGAAAAGCGCTCATGGAGCACGAAAACTGGGGCAGTGACGTAGCCACAGGCGTGGGTAAGGAACAACGGGGTGGATGATTATGTAATCGCCCGCCATGCAATAGTCGCTAATAACCCGAATGACAGGTCATTCGGAATTTCGTAAATATGGACGCGCTTCAGCCACCGGCATGGAGACCAGGCGCGTCGCGGTTCAAGTCACACCACGCTGTCGTGCCATCTCGCTTAGCAGCGACGCTCTTTATGTCCTAGAATCCATTCCGCCTGGCGCAGACATGGCCAAGTACGGCAGGCCGAAAGAACCCACACGCAAGGAGCTCCGCGAAGCAGAAAGAACGGGGAAACGCGCGTCCAAGCAGCGCGCACAGCTCAACGCTGCAGTACATGCCTCCGCTTCCTACAATAGCTTGTCTCGCAGAAAACATCGTTCTTCTATCCGTCCTCGTCCCAACAGGCTTGGTGGAAGGAATAGGCCCATCAACATCTGCAGCTGGCCATCTCCGCGTCCAAGTTCGTCACATTTGGGAGACACGCGCGATGACGCTGCATCGGGTTCGGAGAGCCCGTAAGAACGCGTCCATGATGTCGCATCAAGGCAAACTGACCTATTATACGCAGAAGCTCAGTAGATAGGACAACGCCGATACTACTGCTCAAGGCCTGTCAAGCTGTTCTGCAGTCAAATGTGGATCAACTTGTTGCAGACCGTGAGCTGCTGAACGCCTTGCGGTCCAGAAGTCCCATTCAATCTACCTTATCGCCTGACATGAAGAGACGGACTTTCCTCCTGCACCGAAGAATGTTAAACACGCCTCGTGGATCGCCTACCTTTCCTTCTGATATCTCTCAAGCAGGTCCAGACATGCTGCATAGCTCCACTAGTTCTGGTCTGGGTCTCATTGCGCTCTCACCTTCTTCGTCAAAGCGCCTTAATCAGTCACCATCGACAACGTCCTGTAAGGTCCTTATGACCCCAGAGACCTCATCACGTATCATGAGAGCCCCTCGTGCCTGCGGATCCAGGATACCTGTTTCAGGCTCAGTTCCTGCTTTCATGCTCTACAGAAGTCCTCATTCTGTCTCAGTCGCTCGAAGTACAGAACTTGGTCCAAGTGATGCAATCATCCCTGCTGGGTCCTCTGCTCGTCTCGATATGATGACTCCGCTTGGTTTCGCGCCCGAACAGTCTCCTCCGCTGTCTCCCGCCGCTGCCACAAATACTGCACCCTTGGCCACTTCTCTGCTCCTTCTGCCAACGGCTAGTCCTGGGTCGGAGAGCCCCTTCACGTCTGGGCAGTCAAAAGCGCCTGGGACATCGACAGACTTTCTTCGTTTTCATCAGCGTGATTTCGTCTCTGGCAGAATTGCGGCTGGTCACCGTTCTCACATGACAGAGAAACGTGCTTCGTCTGACCGTCCTGCGCTTCCTCTTCATCATGCGGTTCATGCTACGCCTTTATCGGGGCCACAACTTCTCATTCCTGCTGCTAATACAGAGACGCTGGCGGAGATCGAACGGTCAGCTTCTCCGTACTTGCCCTCCACTCGGACAGACGACAGCACAGTATCAATCAACGCAGAAGCCAGGAAGTACCCTGATGCTCGTTCTCACTCTGCTCGCGATACAGCTGCGGCTGGCGGCTTTTATCTGACTAAAGGCAACGAGTATCATGGTGCATCGTCGCTGTCGTCCGCTCAAGCGCCTTGCACCATTAGAAGCAATTCATTGCGGTTCAAGACCATTTCGGAAGTAGTGCCACTGTCGTTCTACCCGCAGCCTTATCCAGGGCCTCAGCATGTTGCTACCGAGGACCGCAAGATGTCGCCTGTTGGCCCCCCACTCTCGTCCTGTAGAACCGATCGTCGCGAAGAGCCTATGTATGCGATCCCGCAACCACAGTCGGTTGAGACACTGGCACCGGGATTGCATAATGTGTATACTTCCAATCTTGGTGTCTTCCCCGACCAATCAGGGCACTCTTCGTACCACGCGAAGATTGTCCCGAATCCTCTCGTAGCGACATCTCCTAGTGCCGCGCCCGCAGTTAGCGCCCCTACGCTTGGGTCTATTCCTAGACTACCATTCAATACTGAGACCGAAGCTACCTTCCGCTCTTTCATCGCGCCTAGAACGCCGTCGTTTTATGGCAGACATCGAGTCGGAACCGCGCCCGTCCAGCCGCGCGCTGATCTTTTCCTTGCGAGATATGATCCTCAGGCCTGGAAAGCGTACGCGAATGTGGAGGCGCAACGGGTTCACGAGGACAGCGAATTGGAGTGGGAGGATGAAGATGATGCACCGGAATCCGTCCACGCTCGGAGAAAGCGGCGGGTGATGAGGAGAATGCTGGGCCTCGTGTATCAAGCCCTGTCGATGTTCCTTGTGAGTCCCTGGAGATTGATGCTAGGAGTGTTCGCCCGCCAGTGATAGGTTGATTGTAGCCTTGACGGCGACGTGTTGTTTCTCGCGCCCTGGTGTAATTCGGAATCTGAGACCTCTCGTTTTGTCAAATTTCTAAAATGTAGAATAATCCTTCCCGTTCTTAATGAACAAGTGCACACTGGCCATTGGAGGCCGAAGAGAGAGCGGAAATTCAACTCAGCGGCATTTCTGGTCTCAAATTGATGCCGAGGCCGCAGCATCTCTGGCATGAGTAGCGAGTAGCGCCCGACCGAGCCGACAGCGCCTCAGATTTCACCGCCCATTTCGTGAATGCGTCCCTTGCGACCGCTCCCTTTACCCATATCATCGACCAGGTCTTCGCCGTCGCTCCCTCATAAGGCAAACCTGGTCGAGGACATTCACCGCTTTCGAGAACGTCTCTGGAGTTGAATTGTTTCTCGGTACATTAGTCTTCCCGTCATGCAGGCGCGCCTCGGGCTTCTGTCGACCATAATAGTCCTCTGGATATCGCAAGCGTACGGAGCCAATTTCACCTTTGATTATGGTGAGGCGACACAATGCGGGGATTTTGCGGTGTCCTGGTCAGGTGTGTGACGACATCGTAACCATTTGAAAGACAAAAGACACTGAGTCGCTCGCGCCGAAACAGGCGGGCAAGCTCCGTACGAGCTCACATTGATCCCGGTGTGTAATTTCAATACCAAAACATGCACTTACACTTAGTCGCCGTTGTGTCCAGCAATACGACAGGCCATACATCTATTCCATTCCTTCGTCAAGCTACAGCAATGGGGACGGATCATACAAAACGCAGCTGACGGTGGCTGAGAACACATCCGTGCTCGCTATCATGTCGGACGCGAATGGTTTTGGGACGGGCGGTGTGTCAGAGATTATAACAGTAGGAGCCGGGAGCTCGAGCTGTAACACTACTGTTCAATGTGCGCCATTATGCTCCTGATCGCCGAGACGTTCTGATCTTTGACGGTTCTGCTCCTTTTCTAGCTGTGGATTATTACTTTGACACTGATATGGCCTTGGATCAATGCCGGTCAGTGCTTATTGAGTCTCTGGCTACCTTCAAAGACCCTAACATGGTGACGCCACAGTGAATATTCGTTCTCTGCATACACAGGAGCAGTGCAGCCGATTAATATTACAGTAAGCATGAGCTAAGACTCTTCAGTCGGCTTTTGAACAAATTATCTGTAGGGAGTCATTCCTGGCGGAACGACCTTCGTCCTGAATCCACCTGTAGGCAGCACTGAATTCGACTGGACTGCCGATCTCGCATCCGGGACGTCCGTTCTGTTCTTCATGACGGATTCCGAAGGACGCTCAGGCGGAAGCACCCAGATCGACAACGTCGGAATCTCTGATGACAATTCCTGCCTCACCGGCTCGTACCCGTCGTCAGTCGCAAACCATCCCTCGGCTACATCCTCAAGTATTTCGACTTCATCTTCTGTCACATCCACCGCCGTATCTGACTCCACCAAGTCTACGGCATCTGGCGGTACTATCGCGGGCGCGGTTGTCGGAGGCATGGTCGGGGCAGGTATCATCGCGGGAGCATTCCTGTTCTTTCTCCTCAGACGCCGTCGCAATGTGCAATACTTCGCGGACGGCGAATTTGGATACCGAACTGGCCGCAGGCAGAAAGATGTCGATCTGTCAAACGAGACGGACGATGACATGCCCCCGGCGGCAATCCATCCCTACCCGTTTTTCAATCCTGCTGATGGCGCCGCCGACAACCGCACTGCGCCACACTCTACCATCAGCCTAATGCACACTGGTGGCAGCGTTCATGGCGGCAGCATCCGTGGCAGCAGCATCCGTGGCGGTAGCATCCGTGGCGGCAGCGTTCACGATCACGGCGACCCCTTGTCCACTGCGCTTTCCTTGCCAGATCCGTTCGCTGCGCCGACGCACTCGCGACAGACATCGATGGCAACGGAATCCGCAATCGAGTTTGCACCTATACCCGGCTACCGTGACAGCACTACTTCCGCTTCACGTCCCGCGAGTGCGACTTCGGCCGCACGCCGCAAAGCCGCCATGGCTGGCACGTCGAACTACCAGTCGTCTCCGCGATTCATCCTGCACACCGATGCGGAGGAGGTGATCGAGCTTCCCCCGCAGTACAGCTCGCTCCGTCCGCCCACTAGCCCCGTGGATACCTCGGCCAGCGGAACGCAGTCTGCGCCCCCAGATGCATTTCCGAATGCGCCCAATACGCAGTCTTCGAGACATGCGCCTTCGTTGTCGATATCTTCTCGACCAGGACACTCGTCGAGAATACTAGAAGGCCGGGATATTGGTGCGGGTCTGCCAGCGCCGATGTGAGCGGACGGACAGGAGCGAACTCACAGTCGTTCATCCTGACAAACGATGGCAGCGACCGCGTCCCGGATGTAAGCCCACCCATTGTGTACCGTCAAAACATTGATCCAACTGCACCGACTACTGGACGATGTATTATACCCGGTGACATGCCGTATTTATCACTTCGGACTTGCTGACTGTCATCATAGCACCTATCTATTTGACACTGCACCACGTATTGTTTTCATGTTCTCTGTCCTGTGTCATTCTTTGCTTTTGCAACGAACTGTTCAAACAACTTGTCCTTCTTTTCTTCGGTTGATCGCGTTCCTTTACTATATTCCCCTTCTGCCTGAGAGGCCTCTTGGTTACGCTCATCATTATTGCCCAGATGACTCGGAGGAACAGCACTCACAGACTATTCCGCAGCATGCTGGGGCCTCTGGGATGGGTTTTTGCATAGTGATGAGGGTCGTCTGTGTTGTAATGAGAAAACTGTGCGTAACACGACTTGAATGTAGTAGAAATCCCTCAATGATCGTGTGTATATTTCGCTCTAACGTGATGTTAATATACACAGGGGGACATTACCAAGTATAAGCACGATAGAAAAAAAGAGAGCAAATGTGACGAAATGTGCTGAGACTGGAAGCAGAAATAATAGAATGTTGATAAGGGACACTGCCGCGGAGGTGAACAAGTGAGAGGTAAACGTGAAAGTAGAGCAGAACAGTACAAACATACATGTTGCGTCTGCTTGAGTTTCTCCGTGTTTGCTATGACCACGGTGTAGAGAAGAGTCCTTCGAGCCTACTGCAGCGTCACCACATGAGCTGAGCTCATTGGCTGCTCAGGCGGTGCCGACTCCAGCGCTGTGCGGGCGAATGCAGCGACCATGGCATCCTGGTCCTTGCGACGTTTGTGCCTTCGCTTTCGGTCATCCTTGATCACCCGATGAACGCGCCGACGGAAGGCGCTCTGCGATTCGGTAGGGGAATGCTTACGAGGACTGCACGCGAGTTCGATGCTCGCGAGCAGGCGAAGTGTCTCGGAGCTGTTCTGCGTCTGATGCACATGCGACGTCAAAATACCGCATAGCAACCTGGATTCCGGGACCTGCTTACGTTCAGCGACCATGATACTACGCGGCTCCCTTCCACACATCCTATCACGACGAAGTTTCCGCGCCTCTCAGGTTGAACTGCAGACTCCTGTGGCGCATATTTCTTAGTCAGAGTGAGGACCATTGATGCAGTACATCGCCTACCGCTCCCCAGGTTATGAGAATCTTGCGGGAACTTGCCGACCTGATGGCTGTGGAGAGTGGTTGCAGTGCGAGCCTCATGACAAAGCGCCAGGACTCACCGACACGCATCTGACCAGGCTCACCTACGCCTTCTTGTGTAACAATACCGCGGCCCATGTACGTCCACTGGTCCCTCTCTGGTCTGCGAACGTGGATCTTGACTGGGATATCGCGGTACGGGTCGCGAGGTGGCGGCGATGGGGCGGCGAACTCTCTCACTTGTTGGCGCGGCAGGTCGAAACTGGTTAGAACTGAAGAACGTTGTGGATTACTACGCGTCAAATGCTGGTGCAACACACCAGAATTATTTGAACTCTGAGAATCTCCGGCTTGCACTGGGAGGAGCATGTCTGTATGCGCGGGTTGCGATGCCGGAGGCGCGTCCATGTCCATCGGTTGGCAGTCCATCTGTCAATTGGTCAGAAAGAAAAGATGCACCGACATCAGCGCTCATCCGTACCATCTTAGCGAGTAAGCGAAGTTTTGAAAGAACGCGGAGGCAGAAAATGGTATCCGGAGACCACGTAAAATGATCAACTTATATCCCAAGCTGCGAGGCTCAGGCCACCGCGCTCGCGGTGCTCTACACCATCACGTGAGACCATTGTGGGCCATTAAAGGCAATGTCATTGGCGGGGCCGTTCCATCGCGCAGGAGTCGTTGCAGTATCCCCTACAAGTCGTAACCTACAGACATCATGCACGTTCTCTTTTTCCTCAGCTCTAAGACGATGTGAATGGCTTCTGCAAGCCGCGCCACAGTCGGGTCGCGTGATCAATCAGCGTGACCGGACGCGACGCGACACGCTGCGCTCGAAGATCGCTCACACAAAGGCTTGCAACCTCTTGTGGCACAGTGGGGGCTGTGTTGTCGCACTGCATGACGGTCGTGCGTGTGCAGCGCATGTGCCGGCCCTGATCCCTTTGTACGTCTCACCAGCGCGGAGAGGAACAAAGGAACGCTTAGAAGAGCACGAAATGATATAAAGGCATGGTGTCGGCAGCACTGTCGGTCACCTCAATCGCCTTCTTCACCCTCTTCGATAATGTTTCATCGTCGCAGACACACACTGTATAACAATACTGATGAACCATCGCTCAGTCAGGAGGCTTCTCGACTGTCCAAGAACGGAGAAGAGAGCCCAATGCGGGCACACATCGACTTTGACGATGTCCGCATTATGCACAACGAAAGGAGGGTTCGCGTTCTCAATGCTTCCTCGCAGGCCCATTAATTGACCCTGCCTTCAGCGGGATGATGCAGATGCAGACTATCTCCCCTCACAAGATGCACCGAGCAGTAGTCCCTTCGAACCGTTATCTCGGAATCATGCACGAAAACGCACCATGTCTCGTCATTTTCCATCCAGCCAAGAGGATTATGACGATGTCGAGTGCAATGACGATGCGGTTGATGATCCCGACGAGGACTACAGGCCTTCCCAGCAGCAACAGGGCAGCAGCCCAGAGATACCCTTCGTGGATCTGCGCGATACATTCCCGCGACACAAATTGGATGGCCACAAGTTGCTGTCGATAATCGAGGTTTACGTGAAAGTCTACAAGAAGAACCCGCACCAATTCGCCATCATCAAAGGCACGATCAAGGTGCTGTATGGCTTGACGGAAACAGATGCGGAGAAGGCTTGGTATTTCTGCAAGGATCGTGAGGATGTGTTGCAGGATGCGGACGACATGCGAATGAGAGAACGATCCTTACAGAATGAAGCAGAGGAAGAGTGGCCTCTTCTCCTTCAACCGAGAATGTAGCAGACGTGATAAATAGTCATATAACTCGATAGCATAACCATGAACGTTTGTCAGATTGATCGTTCGCGTGATACACTGGTCATTGCTCATCGCTGCTCAGGGCTCAGGTACGGACCACCCACGAGACATAGGTTGCGAGGCGTGAATTGAACGTCGATGATCGGCGTCCGCTTGGTAGGAAATGAGGCGAGGAGGTCGGTACTAGGTGACCGCGATGCATGAGTGACAGCTCCATACGGAATCAGTATGACTATGAACGTGACATACGTCTCGATACCTTCTTCTTCTTTCCCATTCGGGCTTTCAGTCGTCATACTTGTACCGTTTGTCAGCACACCATTTTCCTTAGGCTTTCCGGGCAACCCGCCAGCGCTCTTCACGTCCCAACACCGCACGGTCCAGTCAGCACCACCGGATACGAGCATAGATGACTCTTCGCTAAACGCCAGGGAATATACGGACGCTGTGTGTCCTGTCATCTTTTTGATGCGTTTTCCTGAACCAAGGTCCCAGAGATTGATTGCCAGGTCCTCGCCTGCGTTTGGAGCGATCATTGAATATCAGATTATACTGGACGAGCTATAGATAGACATACCCGCAGTTGCGAGGTAGCGCCCATCCGGGCTGAATGCCAGCGTGGACACAATGCCTTGATGCCCGACAAAGACTCGAACGCAAGACCCGCGCTGGACGTCCCACAACCGCGCCGTCCAATCACTTGATCCGGTCGCGAGATATAACGAGTTTGGATGGAAGCGTACACACTAACATCAGGTTCAACGCAGCGCATTACACAGGCCATTGAAAGCACGCACGTCGACGTCGCTCAGATGCCCAGCATACACTCTCAGCGTAGATGCTCTGTCTGTCGACCACAATCGCGCTGTTCGGTCCCGACTAGCCGTCGCAAAGTAAATTCCCATCGGGCCCCATTGTACGTCCCACACAGGATTTTGATGGCCTCTATACGCAACCACATTAGTCATAGTGTCGAGAGACCATAACCGAGTCGTCGCATCTGCAGATGCCGAGAGCAGGTATCGAGGAGGCGTCGCAGACCCGCCTATCGGGTCGAATGCGACAGAATAGACGGGACCGCTGTGTCCGATGAGCTTCCGCGTGCTCGAGCCTCCTTTCTCTCGTGCCTTGCGCAGAGATGCGACTACAGAGGGCAGATCAGTACGGTAGAAGCCGCGAAACGTTCAATAGCTACGGACCATCTCGGATTGAATTTGACTGGAAGTCACTCCTGTATCCTTTCAGCTTCTCGCCTTTTAGACTCCACAAGCGGATGTAGCTCTCAGAGAAGCCAACAGCCATCAAGGAGGCATCTTGAGAGAATGTACAACACGGTACACTTATAGAACCCACATATGTAAGCACACACATATGCTGCAGAAATCAAAGCAGCGCACCCTTCACCAACATCATGCAAAGTATACGCGCATATGCTTGGAAGAGGACGGGCTTTGCTCCCTCCTTGTTGTTGATGACTAGAGCTAGAAGGATCCAGTCGAATTCGTTTGCGAGCGTCTCGGACTTTCTCTACTTCCCGCTTCACATCGACAGCCTTGAACGCCGGAGGATATGGCGGAAGATCAGATGGCGCAGGCGCCGTCACGCCTGATGGCGCAGTGTGTATATGGTGGAAGTACTGAATGTCTTGGTGACCCCCGGCATCCATCATAGCTTGCTCCCTCAGTGTGCGCTCCGTTTCCGTCTTCAGCTCTTCCGATAGTGGCGCCTGGCCCAACTTGAGCTCCCCCTCTGCAGCATTGAATGCTTGAGGGTTGTTCACGATCGCAGTGCCATTAGTTTGCGGGATTACCGATGAAAGAAAACCAGTAGATTCCTCCCACGCGCTCGGAGAGATGGACGTTGTTGTAGATGCAGTTACTGTACTTGTAATGAGTATACTCGAAGTAAGTCGCATACGACAATTTGACTTCACCGTCAAATCTGAGGTGGTTGTTGACAACACGCATGACCGCTGCCCGTCCTCTTTTCCCCCTTTCGCCTGAAAAACCCTCTCCCGCTCCAGTCGCTTCCCCTCCGATACCCTCAGTCAGCCAACCAACAAGTAGACTGAATCCGGAGCGGCTCATCCGCAGCGTGTATTTCTCGTTGCGGAATCGTTGCGCAAGCTCGTCATTTTGCACGTGAAAGGGGAGAAGAAGATTCGACAGATGATGCAGAGTAGCACTATGAGCAAGTGGCAAATGTGGAGCAAATTCTGCATAGAACTTGAGGGCTTGAGAGTGAACAAAAGTTAACTTCCTTCCTGGTACGTTTCAATGAGACACACCTGCTTCCTTAAACCCATACTGTATGAGATCAAGGTAGAAGTGACAGAAGATAGGGAAAAGAATCGGCCTGAATTCAGGCTGTGCGATGTCAGACTACAGACGCAATTTTGACCAATTGGACACCAACTCTGTACATGTCGAGAGATCCATCTACCCAGGCCTCAAGCTCCCGGAATCCCTCTTGTTTGTCTGCTGGGTCAAGCGACAAGATCTCCTCAGCACCAACAGCATCTATGCTTGCGATGAGATTTTGAATAGTCGTTGTGTTACCGGTAGAAGCGAGCTCTTGGATGACACTTGCTGGGTCTTTGAGCGCGTTTTCTCCAGGGCGGGAGGATTTCTGCGCATAGACGGCCAGAGCCTTCACCAGGTCTTCCGGCGATATTGTTGACGGTTCAGAAGAAGCTTCGGGTTGCTTGCCCTTATCACCAGACGCAATACTCTCCAGTGCTGCCAGAAGCTCTTTCTCTGCCTCCTTGTAGCCTTTAGCACGAAGGTATTCCAGGATTGTGCGATCGGGAGCTGGCGGTGGCTCTGATGAGCTCGCGACACCATTCGTAGATGCCGCCTCTGGAGTAGAAGCTGCCGGGGTTGCCACAGACATAGTAGGTGTTCGGCACTAAATGACGGGCAACAGTAGTCCTAAGCAAACGCCGACAGCCTGAATTGTCAGGAAAACGGTACGAATAAGCAGTGAGCCGTGCTCTCTCGTAGGCGCTCCAAGCTGAGGAAGATAGGCGCCCAAGATGCATCTCAACCAAGGTTTATTCACTGCTACCCACTGTGTATCACTACTACTAAGCAGGGCTACACTCAGCTATCTAAAGCCTTGACCTATGTTTTACACACGTTGTTCATGCCTGACAATGCAAATCCACCCACTCTAGATCTCCATACCTAAATCCTGAACGAGTGACTGTCCTACGTGAACTATATGTGTGACCATCGCATGAGGCGATGGAGGTGCCGTGTCCAGTTACCCATGAAGCCGTGATAAGGTGGCATGGGAACTTTGGCTCGGGTTTCAAAGCCAAGAGTTGCAGGAAGCGGACGAACGTATTGTGCAAGCGCAGGCCAAGCGTGGGTACTGAATAGGGCCTTAGGGGCACCACCACGGCTTGAACTTGATCCGCGGGCAAAGTATGCAGACTGTGTATACGATCGCTTTTGCATCGTCCTCAGTGCAGATGTGGAAGTGTGGCTCTGGCTGTTGGCATAACCCACCTTCTGGCATTCCTTATCGAATGCCGCCACAAGCGCGTTGAAGTCTACAGAAACCATGCTTCCGAACAGTGGATGCGAAGTAGACCATTTTCCTGCTCTCAGGCGCGGAGAGGTTATGCCAAAGGCCATGCGCGCTAGAAGTCGAGGATCATCTCGTTCAGGGCATGCTTGCAAGATGGCTTGAAGCTGCTCGGGATCCGGAACTGACTCCGTTTGAGGTGTGAACTCAATGCCTGTACCGGTAGTACAGAAGCTGCATTTGCCGCATAGTAATACCGTATCCTCGTCTCCAAAGTATGAGGAGATAGCATTTGCGAAGCCTTATGTTTGGCGTCATGTAAGCGGTAAGCCATCTCTCCAGTTCATAAACTCGTACTTACAGTTGTCGTTCGTTGCAAAACGGATGACTTGACGGAGCTTCGCGACCGCCTCTTGTTCTCGATCAAGCATCCTTTCATACAACTCATTGGCCAGTTCTTGGATTCCAGCAGTCGTCTTGGGCAACGGGTTGAGGATTTGGTAGCGCTATTCGCAACTGTTGAAATCCTTGAAAATAATGGTCAGAAAAACGTGACGCGTACCGCCCTGACTTGTGACGCTTTGACAGAAATACATCCTAATCCCTATGAGATCAGCAATGACCGTGACGTACAGCGATGTCTCACCATCTATTTGCCAGTTACTGACCTGCCTGGCGATCTCTGCACGATCTATCTTTGAGTATTCTGCTGCAGTAACCACGTCGATCTAAGAAGTTCGCGTCTCGTGAAGACGTTATGCATCGCATACATATCATCATGCCCACCTTATATGTGTCTCCCTTGCGATTGCATTTCCAGTGTTCTCTAATTGCTGTGGCTGCGGGCGATCTATCTTCAAGAACCATGGCCCAACCATCGTCGGTACGCGCAGAGATCTCATATACAGAATAAAACGGCGTGACCGCTCTGAGATATTTATGATGCAGCTCGAGTTGAGCATAGCATTGATTGAGGAACGTGGGCTTCATCAAAGTGTGAGACGGATACCCCCAGATGTCAACCAAGACACTTACTTTGATGTCGTAGCTAAGTGATCATGTCAGGCAGAGTAATGTTTTTGAAGGTGACACACTAACGTTTTCGACTGCTGATAGTGATTGAAAGCTAGCGTCCCGTCTAAAGCTGGCTCTTGTAGTGCAATCTCTTGCAACCAGAGCTCCAGGTCCCGTTTGGCACATGTATCGCCTCGGGCAAATCCCTCCAATACAGGTATATCGTCGGAAGAGAGGAACATGAGACAAGTCGACTCTAAGCCGTCACGGCCAGCTCTTCCGACCTCCTGGCTGTAGTTCTCCAGAGTCTTCGGTGCGTGGTAGTGAACAACCTGAAGACGTGATGAGGCCCTCTGGACATGACGACCATCAGAAGACGTACGTGACGGATGTTAGCTGCACGAGTTGCGATATACAATTAGAAAAATGGTACAAGGAGACTACCATCGTGATTGCTTACCCTTGTCGATGCCCATCCCGAACGCAATGGTCGCGCATACAATTCCATTTTCTGACTGCATAAAGTCGGTCTGCACTCGTTCACGCTCTTCAGAAGGCAGCCCGGCATGGTATGCTGTAGCCATGAGTCCGTGCGAACACAAGATGTCTGCTATCTCTTCAGCTTGTTTCTGCAACGTGACATACACAATCGCAGGGCCTGTCCTGGATTGCAGGAGGGGTACAAGGTGCTTCAGTTTCTCATCTGCAGTTTGCGCAACTTGCACTTGGAATGCGAGGCTTCCGAATTCGTTCCAGTCAGTTGCGGCGACACTGACACTACGTGGCGAGAGGCTTACTTTGGCCGATAAACAGGAGCGCGAAATACACCGGCCTCCTTATCAATGTGGAAACCCGTGCAAATATCTTCTACGACTTTCTTTGTCGCGGTTGCAGTCAGACAGACTACGCGTGGAACGTCAAATTCTTCTGCGAAACGCGCTATTTTTAGGTAGTCGGGACGAAAGCTAGCACCCCACTGTAGCAATCCAATCTCTTAAAAGAACTATTTCCTTGTGCTGATTTCTCGACTCACCTGAGAAATGCAATGCGACTCATCCACTGCCAACAACGAAATATTGATTCTACGCATCATGGCAAGGAACGCTTCGTTATTAAGCCTAAGCGGATTCAACGCACATATGGTTTGATTTTTTTGATATGCATGGAAAATAAATGCGTACCTTTCAGGGGATACATACAGGATCTTCAGTGAACCTGACAGTACCTCATCCTTAACCCATGCAGCTCTTTCTCTCGTAAGAGTACTGTCTAGACTGGCCGCTTTCACACCTGCCTGTACCAGAGCATCCACCTGGTCTTTCATAAGGGAAAGCAAAGGAGAAACCACGAGTGTGAGGCCCTGGCGCGGGAGTGAATACACTCATCGACATCGAGATGATACAAATTCATTTACCTCGAGACATAAAGCAGGGACTTGGTACGTCAAACTTTTGCCACCTAATAATGCAAACACATTTATGAGTGGTGTCAAAAACTTCAGGCTAGGCGGACATACCTCCCGTTGGGAACACTACAAGAGTGTTTTCATTGTCAACCAATAATCTTTGTATCGCTGGCTCTTGCGACAGACGAAAGGACGGAAGGCCAAATGTTTCTGTGAGAACCTTGCGGGCTTGCTCCATGGTTCTGGTTGACAGTCTGCCACGGAGTACAACTTGGTACACGGCAGTGACAGTCAAGCAAACCGTAACAAGCCACGCATAACGCGTCGGTCACATTTCGTATGCTTGTTCGGTCACGCAGCTGATCGAAATTCGCTATGCTGCCGCCGATTCCGAAGCCTCTATGCTTCCGTTCACGCGAGCTAGTAGCTAACGCAGGGTCTATGATTGCATATCGATATCACAGGTCAGACGGACTCAGGCGATGATATAGAAAATACACCACAGCACATATCATGAGAGCAAGTTACATAAATAACCATAGCGATCCAACGGTACTACTTCGCTTGCTGCTTCACATCCGCCGATTCACCGTCGAGGCAATGGCGCGTTCAGAAATGTTCCTGCAGGGAGCAACACGTGAGAAATTCTGGGACGCGTAGATAGAATGTACATACCTTCGCGAAAGTAAACTTGATGTTGCGAGTGGCCGACGCCAGGCAGGCTTCTTTGATGGCTGTGGCCAGTGGAGTAGGTCCACAGAAGTAGGTCTATATAGCAAGTCAGAACATGTCCAGCTGATGAACTCTGTAAAGGAAGACTTACGCCGACCGTGGTCTTCAGCTGCTCGTTGACACCGGGGAGGTATTGTCCAACTTCGATCGCCTGCCGCATGCCGCTATAGATCGCCTTCCAGTCCGGACGGCCGAACATGGTGCGCGTGCGCAGGAGAGTCAAGGGGTCGTACTCGGCACCCGCATCATTGACGGCAATATTCCAGAGCATGTCTTCGTTGATCTTCTGAGTAAGGTAGATGTTGATACGTAGGAAGTTGGCTATGAACGGGCCATTATTACGAGCAGATCTCAGATGACTGGCTGTACTCACGGTCAACTTGAGCAGCCTCGACCTCTTGCAGGAGCGTCTGGAACCAGCCGAAGGACGGAGCATCACGACAGACCCAGAAGAACTCCACACGCTTCAGAGATTGCAAAGCCCCCTTCTTTTGCATGTACCAAATATGCTTCAAGATCGACGCGAAAGGGGTGACACCTAGTAAGCAAGGCGCAAGGATCAGCTATCCCACCGTTACGATGGAGTAGTCGCCAGGCAACTCACCAATACCAGCGCCTATCAACACGGCAACCTCGACGTTGAAAACATCTTCAGCCGGGGCACCGTAAGGCCCATCGATACGGACCTCTGGCAACGGACGCGAAGACGACGCGAGATCGAGCTCCACATAATCACCGCGGGTACCATATATAGAATCATCCTTCTCCGCTCCCAGCATGGCAGCCTTAGTCATGGCAGCCACTACCGCAGGGCCTGCACCGACGCGATCGCCAAGTGCATACGTCCAATCACCAACCTGCCGGATGTGCACGGAGACATAAGGATCTTCCGGTGCAGAAGTGATGGTAAACTGTATAACAGGAACTTTAGTGCCACGAACCTTGACATTGAGAACAAGAACTATACCGGATGCCATTGCAGACCAGATATCTCAGGTACTTGGATGAACAGCCATTGACCAGCAACGTATTTGAAGCTGGGCTTGACAATACGGAGCTCCATGGCACCTGAGGTAATTCTCGTATGTGAGGAGATGAAGAGATTTGATCGGCAACATACCGCTAGGGTGCACCAAGACCTTTGACAAGCGGGTTGCCCGTCTTGCCCTGATTTCCCTCCATACTCTCTCGGCGAAGTATGCGATGCCGGGCCAGATCGTGAAACGCCAGCTCTGATAGCCAAGGCAGTCTTCCGGATTGTAGAAGGGAAAAGTATTCGTATAGGCAGGACCAGCAGTGTCACGGACGAAGCAACCATCTGCATGCGTCCAGAGAGCAATGAAGAAGAAGAACGCGAGATGGTGGGTGTACCAAAATGCCTCAAAGCATTGGTGCCGGATCTTGTGGTGGGCAGTGGTGTACATGAGAACCATGATCAGCAGCATGAAGTGCCCGGTGATACCGCCAGCCTGAGTATAGTGGATATCCAAAGCGAACTCCGGGCGAACCTCTACGACGTCGCGTTAGGTTTCACATGCGTGAGACAATAAACATGATTAGCCACATACGGGTGCGCTCGACGTTGAAGAAATTGACATAGTGAGCAGAGGTGTGCACCATAGACCAGAATGCCAAACAATACGCGGCCTGCCTATGGAACCAGATATTCTCGTCGGCGGGGAAGAGGGCAGCCACCTTGGGACGTATGACACGGATTACATTGCGCAGCATCGGCAGAAGAAGACATCCCGCCAGGAAAGCGAGCACAAGGCCGGCACCTCTGGAGGCCCAAACAGACCATGTCAGAGCGTTCAGTGCCGATAGTTTCTTGTTTGTTTCCTACTCGAGTGTCAGTCACCTCATTTCTTTTGCAGATTAGACATTCTCACCTGCGCCCACCAGCCATAGGCGAAGAAGGCCAATTGCAAGCCGTAGAACAGGACATTGAATATAAGCCGTCGGGGGTTTCGAAACTCTTGGCGAAACCAGCTTTCTCCCATGATCGTACACAAACGAAGGCAACAGATCAACTGTGTTGGTATCCGGTACCAGAAAGAACGCGCGCAGAGGACCCGCCGAGAGAAGGAAACTGAAGGAGAGGAAGGGTCTACGAGAGCGAACAAAGATGGGACGATGCTAGGAGGGGAACATGCATGCAGGGCTCTTATTATACTAGAGCAAATTGGGCCTTTCCGATATCAGCCCGGCGCCACGTCCCACGGCTGTGCCCATGACGATGGGCCCGCCGTCTGCAGTGTCAATCTGCCTTCACAAGGAATCTTATCGATAACCTGATGCTTCTGAAAGTGTTTGCCAACATTCCTCCGGTCGCGTAGTGCGACGTCGCTTGCCCACACCGAGGCCGCGTTCTTTTTATAATTATCACGCATCGCGGTAACGTCGAGGCAACCTCGCTCTCGACGACCTTTGATTTCATTTCTTCCGATCCATCCTCGACATCCTCTCCCACATCTCCATATCAACATCTGTCAAGACGAAGGGATGGGGAGGCACTACCTCACCCGCCACTTCCTTCGATACCGAGCTTATCATGACCCATATACTGCAAGAGCAGGTCCAACTAATAATACACTCATACAGGAGTCAATCCAGAAATAGCATATCACTGACCGGTCTTGTCAGATAATCGCATGCAGCCCACCGCCTCACCCTTCATATCGATAGGCCACCATCGCCTCGATCCGATGCACGTCCGTGTTGAAACTTCTTAGCTTTACCTGCTGGCTCTTGCTCGCTTCAATAGCCAGAGGATCCGTGTCCACCCACTCGTCTGCGGGGACGTCTGCTGACTCGTGCGTGTATGCAAGGATGTTGAAAACGGTCGGTTCGTCGATGACAGGCAGAAATGTGACAGTGGAGACGATCTGCTTTAGAATATTGCGGATTTCGGCCTGGATTTCTGATTCAGGTTTGGCAGGAGCACTGTCGGGAATGTGAGCCTCGTAGCATGCACGCATGCCAGATGTCAGCGAAATGTCAGCTCACGGTCCAATCGCGTTTGATGGTTGTTCCACTACATTGATATCAAACACCCAGCGTTCCAGCGTGGTCCTGGAGTCTTTGGCAATGATGGCGAGCACGAGTTGTGTCACGGAGCCAGTAAGGAGCCATTCTAGCCGTCACTTAGACACAGCTCATCGCTGTCAGCGGCTAGCGGCGACTCACTGTTAACTTGTTTAAGAATTCTGCACCGTGGATGTGGTCAACGATTTGCACGCTCTGAGGCAGCCACCAAGAACATACTTGTCAAGATAATTCTCTAGCGCAAGATCTTGCGTCACAAGCACAGTCTGACCATATTTTTTCACCATATGGAAGTCATCGGCAGGATACACTCCACGCTGGAACAATATACTATAGAACGATGGCATCAACTGGGATGTCTTACACGGCGGCGGCAAACGTACGTGTTCGCGGCGTATTTGAAGAACTCAGTGACAAGATTGGTCGAACCCTTGAGTGTAATGGCCTGGCGGGTGGGCACTTGCTTAGTGGAGAGCATCCTTGATGCAGGTTGTGTTTTGGTTCCGTCGGTTGCTGAAGCCCTTGGGTGGTTCGCGTTCACGCGCGTCGCGCTAGCCTTTTTTAGGGAGCGCGTTCGTCACGTGCAAGACGCGATCATGTTTGCCCAGGTGACAATCTGAGTGGCAGATTGCTGTAGTTACCCTGTCACGAAAAGCTATCTTGGGGAAGTGGGCAGCAGGTATAACGTGCACATACCTTTCTGTAATGAGTCACTTCGCCTCACCGGGGTTCGAGTCCCTGGGTAGCACAATGTTCTTTTCTTTTCAGGCTGACAATGTAGGGTTGGCCACCTACTACACCACCTCTAGTTTAACTAGTTCTGCCCTCCCACCTGTATCTACACACATCCTTCAACTGCCTGCGGCAATATATTAATTGAAACAAAAAAATCACCTGGTCACTGCCACTTTTGTCCAATGGTTTAACTCCGTCATAAATGGCCCAATTCCCCATCTCCCTCGCATAAACGCGCGTTTCCGTGGAAGGAGTTGATTCGCCAGACACAATTTCTTCAAACTCGACATTGGCGAAGATGCGCTTGGAAATTGGCCAGTGATGGGAACCAACCCAGAAGCAAAACATCGCAAGGATGAGCGGGAAGTGATATAAAGCGATCAGATCTCAGAGCTGGGAGCGCGTCGGTCAGCATGCGGTGTAAAACCAGAGTGATGTTTTTGCGGTGTGCAAGTGGGTTCCTTCGAGAATGCTGACCCTGTATCAGTAGTAATTTGATTTTTGGCACGCCCCTTGCCACCAGTGGTATGTATGTACAATGTGGCTGCGGCAGTTTCACGCGCAGAATTGCTTAACCGAAGACCGCAAGCACTATTTCAGTAGTAAAAGCTGCATACAGTTGGGAATGAGAGAAACAAGGATCAGCAGCAGATACCCGTTCGTGATTCCGCGGGCTCACATTGTTTCAGATGCTGTGACATAGCAGCCTCATTCTGCGCTCTTAAGAACAAAAGTGGCTATGACCGGGTGGTACGCACCATAGATTGTTCTGACGGCCAAACCGCTCGAGTTGTGCCAAAGAGTCAAGCTGAATCTACCAGCTGACGCCGAGATATAAATAAAGACTGCTGTTGTACAAATCCAGGTGGTATAGAGAAGGATCAAATAATTTCGAGACAAAAGAGAACGCATTATCGAACGAGACATACTACAAAGCCTCTATCTTCCGGGGTCCGAGTCTAAGTCCATGTCTGATAGAGGATCCAACAGCGTCAACATCTGCTCCAGCATGCCCTCTTCTACCGAGATATCGTTCTTCCTTGATCCGACAAGAAAAGGTGCCTTTGAAGCAACCTTGCTTGTCACCGGTCTCACGGTGCTCGGGCCACGTGAAAACGCAGGTGTGTCCCGCGGAATCTCGGGATATTCAGCAATCTCGCCCTCTTCCTCGTTGCTTGAGTCACTGACAAGAGTAAGGTCTATCACAAACGCTCTCGGAGGTGATTCCATCAGACGACCAGCAGGTTTGGTCGAGGACGCAGGTGCCGCCTTGCGCGATAAGGCGGCCGCCTTTTCCTTCTTGGCTCTTTTCTTGGTAGGCAAAGCAGCCATCCTGCTTGCATCTGACGCCTGGTTTGTGGCTTTTTTTCATCCCACGAACACCAAGCAGCTCCTACGTGAACAACTCGCAGGCATATGGGACATGCGCTGTGAATACGTACCTTGTACCTGGCTCTGCCGATATTGTGTGGTGCTACTTTGCGGACACAGTGGCAACGGAGTTCGAGGTAGAGACACTTGCGTACACCTTGCTTTCTTGGCTGGTCGCATATTGAGGTCGAAGTCGGGGCCGCGTCTTTTGTGCGACGGTGCAGTTCGACTATACGGACACTTCCGGTGAAGCGATGGATGCAGAAGAGAGTAAAACAATTCCGTACAATACGTAGAAGGCCTTTCTGGCTACTTTTATCAGAGGCTCGTAGATCTCCTGTACCCAAGCGCAAAGTGCCTCGAATCCCTTCTCGAGGTAATACGCCCCGATCACCGTCTCGAATAAGTCTGCAGTTGCCTTGATCTTGGGCTTTGACTTGGAGGTGGAAGCAGCAGCCCCCTCTCCGAAGTCCCTATCTGTCAAGGCATGCAAGACTGTGCTACTGACGGCGAGAATATCAAGTTTCTCTGCAATGTGTGAGAACGTGGCGTTCGAGTGCAATGCAGCGCGAAGTTCCTGGTACACAGAACGTCTCCGGCAACGCATTGAGATATGAGCAGTTGAGGTCTCACCGTGTATAGGTGGGGTGTTCCGTTGGATATATGGGCATATAACAGACGTCCGATAGTGGCGTACATGAGCGCGTCACCTAGAAATTCCAGACGTTCACACTCATCGCGCGAGGATCGAGATGAGGCGACGAGTTTCGCCCATGTAGTGTCAGACAGTGGAGGAAGTGTGGCTTCATAATCAGGCCCACTGATAGTCAGAATGATGTCCTGCTGGATGGTGGCATGTAAAGAGGTCATTGTGGAGTATGTGATTCCGCCAAGAAGATAAGGGAGGCAAATCGAAGAGTACGAGAAGAAATTGATCACGTAGGCGACAAAGCGAGGACCGAGCGGTGGCCTGGACAAGATACGCGGACCGCGCTGCGGTTGAAGATAATAATCCTTTGCGTATCCTCGCCCTGCCCCTGGGCGTTTCAACAGGCGGTGGCAAGGAGACGCCCGAGGCACGTGACTGGATGGCCAAAAGACGCGTTGAACTCGAGCGCAGAGCCACACGCTCGCCCTTGTCACCCTTCGACACTTCCACCTCGCGCAACACGGTCATGGCGTCCACTAACGCGCTCGCCGCGTCCTCCTCAAATCCTAACCGCCAATCTGCCATCGGCGGCGACCGACAATCACCGTCCGCGTCGAAACCCGTACCTGTGTTGAATCTGCCTGCTTTGCAGAATGCAAGTCGCGTCCTGCTTGACCAACTCAATAAGGATGCGCAGCTTGTGCCAGACCTCAGCGATCTGCTGAACGCACGTATGTACTCCACAGTCGTGTCACTGCTGGCCCAGCGCTAACTTCAATGTTGCAGCCAACTCCCAAAGCTATAGTGTCTTTCCCGATGACTTCCGCACCCCGTATCAGAAACGCAAGCTCGTTGGGATACCGGAAGGGCTGTTTCAATACTACAACTGTGAGCTGGATTGCACGACATGCTCATCAGTGCCCTGACGAGAGAACAGCCACCAAAGTTACGACTCATATGGGCTTGATGCCCGAGATTGAACGCGTATGGATAACCATTGACCACCACCTCTTTCTATGGGACTACATCGAAGGGTGCGTCCGCTGTGGACGGATGTAGCCGAGTATTCACTTTCTTCATCAGACAAGAGTTGAGCTCCTTTGCCGACCAGCAGAACGTCATAAATCATGTCGCTCTAGTCAAGCCGAAGCCGGGTGTCTTCATAGACGAAATCACGTCCCTTCTGGTGGTCTGCACTCCAGTGTCTGTATTTCTTCTTGGCGTTTCTGCGAATACCGTTGCGGGACCAAATAACCGAGTCCATAAGGAGATCAAGCTATACTCCACGGACATGTCGGTTCCCTTCCAGGTCGAGATGACCTCCGTCATTGGGACGCAGGAAGGCCGTATCTTCATGCATGGAGTTGATGATGGTTTCCTCTACGAATTTCACTACCAAGAGAAGGAAGGATGGTTCGGAAAGCGAGTTCAAATTATCAATCATTCTGTGGGTGGAGTCCAAAGCCTCCTACCGAGGTTTGGGTCTTCCACGCAAGAAGGTGGATTCATTACTATTGTTACTGATTTGTTTCTTATGAGGCGCATACCAGATAAGGTCGTTTCCGTAAGGTCGGATACTGCAAGAGGCATTCTCTATACCCTGACAACCCACAACGTGATATCCATTTATCGAGGCAGCGGTGACAAAAGCATCCAACTCGTTCAAGTCCTCGTCAACCTGTGCAAGTTAGCGCAGGATAAGGCCCCTGGCTCGCCAGCCTTAACCCCGCAAAATTTCAAAATTATTGCGCTACATCCCATCAGTCCCAGAGAATCGCGATCTGGAGTTCAGTTGATGGCATTGACCGCTAATGCAGCTCGTCTGTACTTCGCGCCGTCCTCTTATGGTACTGCCGTCGGGAGGAGTGCTGGCACGTCCAATCGTTTGCAGCTGGTCCATGTTCGCCTACCGCCAACTAACCTCCTACACCCCGATGAGCAGTCAAACCCCTCTCGCCCGACCGCGTCCAGATATGACATGTCTCAGGGAGCGCAGCAGTCTACCACCGGATCCTATACCGTGACTGCCTTGGAGAGTTCCTGCTATGACGAGGGCCTCACAATAGCTGCACGACATGGTGACCTTGACGGCGTAGACCATATCCTGTGCCTGTCCCCAGACCTCAAGAAGATCGCTTCACTGGGGCGACCTGAGGAGTCATCACCAACTCAACAAAACAATCAGCAGACACTTGCGCGTTACGGTACAACCACGTCCCCTACTCGTCCACCACTTACTGAAAATGCGACGGTGCTTACAATCCCCGGGCGGACATGGGCTATGGCTCCTGTACCGCGTCCAAGCGCATCTTTACTCTCTGCATCCTCTCCGAACGTTCCTTCTCCCGTCGTTACGAATGAACTGGCTTATCAGTTCTCCGAGCCAAGACGGCAGTTCATCATTCTTACACATGTTGGACTGACCTACTTGGCCAAGAAGAGAGCGATTGACTCCCTCAAGGACGTCGTGGAAGAGTTTCTTGTTGAGAATAATGCGGCACCACTCGTGGAGTTCCGAAACAGGTACGGGTTCAGCAACTGCTGTGAGTCTGCAACGTTCTTACACTATACAGTTTCGGTCGGGATCAGACGTGCGCTATGCTTCTCGCTCTTGCCAGTGGTAACACTTTCCTGGACATGGGAGAACAGTCCTCATTGAATGACATAAGCACCATCCGTCCTGAGCTAGCTGCAGTCGCGAAGCAAGCATTCTACGACTTTGGCGAACGACCAATGTGGACGGAAAGGGTTACGTACGGCACAAGTACGTCCGATCGTCTTGTTTTGACCGTCATGCTCACGATAACGTGTTCAGGTAACGAGTCCGGAACGGCGATTTTCAGCGGCCGACGGGGAGGTCTCGCATTATACTTTGCCCGGCTCGTCAGGCCGTTCTGGAAGGCGAAGCTAACAAAACCTGGGTATTTTGCCGTTGTTTCCCCCGTAGTTAGGATTGCTATTCACAACATGACATACTAGGGCTCTCGACTTGCAGGAATTAGCTGTTGATGCAAATGTTCTCGTTATATCGCAGAAGAATCTTCTTGCCTTGAAGGAACTGCTGGACGGCAACCCTCAGTTATTCCATTCTACTTCCGGTGACCATACAGGTGTACGTCCGGCTACCGCCAGTGATCAAGAGGCATGGAAAGTGCGTGCACATCTTGCACTTTCCCGTGAACAAGTCTTGGCTAATGTTGTCGTAGGCGGAACAGAATTCGGTCTCCCAGCTCATAAGCCTTCTGACGCGGACGATTGAGGCTATATCTTTTGTGCTTCTTCTCAATGACCATCGTGTCGGCGAGGTCGTCAAACAGTGAGTGTGTTCAATTCAACGAAGAAGGGCTTGACTCAGGACTCCAGGTGCGGACCGGACACACAAGCCTTGGTCACCTCTATGACATTCGAAGAGCTCATAACGGATGAGAAAGGTATTACCGCCTCACGAGGCCTGGTTAGCGTTGTCATCAACCAACAGATCGGTCAGCAGATCAGTGTATGTGTCATGCAACGCCTTAAGGTATTCTGCTATTAATAGTGATCGCAACAGGTGGACACAATTAGCGAGATTCTGCAACAACGATGCGGCTCTTTCTGCAGCACCGATGATGTCCTGCTGTACAAGGTGGGCGAAAGTCTTCTCGAGAGCGAACAATGCTTTATATGGAATCATTTATAGGCGAAAGAGAACATCCGTAAGGCTGTGGAGACCCATAACCTTACGGAGCGTCAAACGTGGCTAGGCGAGTCGCTCAGGTAGGCCCGAAATCTTGATGGTCTACGCAGAGGTGTTTGAATGACCGTGTGTCGATATTAGGTTGTTCGCGAAGGGTGCTCGCAACCTGGAGTTTGAAAAGCTGCGGGAGATTTGCGGAGACTACCAGCAGCTCAATTATGCTAGAGGTTCGTGAACACCTGCCTCGTGACTGAATGCATTCACATATCGCTGTCCACGCGCCATGTGTTATTTTCAGGAGCGGTTGAACTGCCTCTGCATTGCGCGCAGGCGTACGACGCTGATAACCAGGGCTCAGAATACTGGGCTGCCGGATGCCCTGCTGACGATTCACGAGCGAATAGCTGGAAACAACGTCTGCATTGTTACGAGTTAGTTCTAGATTCGTTATCGGTCTTTGAGGACCGTGCTGCCAACGCGAAACAACCGGCTACAGGAGCCTTGACCGTAGATGATCCTGAAACGGTGCGAAACCATGCATATGAACTCTCATTTGACAGCCAGGACGAAATGTTCCATTCTACTCTCTACGACTGGTTGATTAAACGAGGGATGGCAGACGAGCTTCTAGAGGTCAGTGATCAAGTGGCGCTATTTGTCATTATTAACGTTGAAATGTGTAGATGAGACCGTCCTACCTGGAAGCGCATCTTAGACGCGAGCCTGTGACTGTCGAGAAGTTCCAGCTTTTGTGGCAGTTCTATGTGAAGGACGGTCAGCCGCTACGCGCAGCTGAGGTGCTCGCAGCGTTGGCGGAATCGACAGAGTTCGTTGCTGCAATCCGTTACAAATTATACCAACTGACTGGTCATGGGTTAGGTTCGATCTGTCGCTTGATGAGCGGATAGAGTACCTCACGTTGGCCGTCGGCAACGCGAAGTCCCATCCGATATCTGCTGGCGGTGCATACGAGACTGCTATCGCCTTTTTGACAGACCTGGAGGAAAGACTGGATGTTGCTCAGGTTCAGTTGGAACTCGTCAACACATTGCTGCCTCGTGCCAGCACGGATCCGCAAATGGCGGAGAGAGTCAAAAACCTATCAAAAGGATTATTGACCATCACGGAGGTAACGACCACCTCGTATTTATGCTAGTTGAGACGCTGACACTGGCCGCAGCTGTACCAGCTCTACGCTGAACCGTTGGATCTTCCAATCGTCAAGCTGCTCGTCTTGCACGTTTCACAACATCATGATGACACCATCGTTCGCCCAATATGGAACAAAATCTTCCAAGAAGGTGCGGGTCCATGTATCCCTAGTTGTCGCAAATGCTGATCAGAATGATTAGCGATCGATGGTGTGGAGCCAAAGGTGGCCGCAGATCGCATTGTCTCGAAAGTTGTGTCCCTGGGACAGCGTTTCTATCCTTCTGAAAGTGCTTTCCCGCTTCGTGAGTACCATGATCGAGGATCCAATGGCCCATTCACTCAATTTATATCAGGTCATGTTGCTTCGCTTCTTGTGCAATATAGTCTCTCTCATAAAGACGTGATCCCATTTGGCTGGGCCCCGCGAATCCTAGTCCAGTGTGGTGTTCCTTATGCTGAGGTGTGGGATATCCTCTGGGAGATGTATGAGATGCAGGTAGGCTTCATGCGGCAGCGTGCACAAAGCACACTCTGACTAACCCGGCCTGTATGCAGGTTCCGCCGTTCAATGTTCAACAGAACTTACAAGCGATCTCCTCCGACATCGCGGTCCTCCTGACAGATTGGCTGGAGGAGGCAAAGCGGCCGCAATCTGCTGCTGCTCAGAAAGAGTTCCCAGTAAACCGGATAGACCGAGCTGTGGACCACTACCTCTCAGAGTTGGACCAGAGTAGAACGGAGACGAAGGCGGCATATGAAAATATCAAACGCCAGTTGCGCATGTATTGGTAATATATATCGTATAGTGTGGACGTGCTTAGCTGTATATACAAGCCACAGCAGGGATGCTGGGAATTTTGATGTGCGCTTGACAGAATCCTATGAGAAGGATAGGAGAAGAGAATGATATAATACAGACATGGGCTAATTCACTTCAAGGATAGCATCCTCAGCGCGCAACAACAGACGCTTAGTGAGTTTCTCGGTCAGCTTGAACACCTTATAGAGCGCTCTGATAGAGACCGTCATTCACGTGTCCACAGAGGGATTGGAAACGTTGCGTACCTCGCAGCGCCCATCAACACAATTGCCACTATGAATAGAGCCACAAGATCCCGCGAATCTCGCCCTCTGTTGTATGCTCTGAACCTGACCCAGTGGAAAGGCAAGGGCACCGAGAGTAGCATATGCGCGATCGAGCCAGCGCCGACGACAGGAAGCCCCAGGAGGAAGCGGCGCACAAAGCGCTTCAGTAATCCAGGCGGTTTGCTCGAGTTGCGTATAGTAGGTATCGACCGACGGCGAGAGCTCTGCAGAACAGCTTCGTCCAGTAATCGATCGTCGACGAATATACTTATAGTCGCCCGAACAAGGTTCTGGATGACTTCCAATGGAGAGTAGAATCCGTAGAGGTACATCGAGTCTCCCTCATCGGACAATAGGGAGGTTGTGACGAACGAGCTGCACATGACCAGAATCGTGAAGAGGAAGGACGAGACCACCGCAACGGCGACTGATGACGATCAACTTGAGCAGGGTGGTTCGTTCCAAAGATTTACGGTTACTCACCAGGATTAGTAGCAATCCCAACAACTCGGGTACGTGCGAAGTGGTACTTGTAGCCGCACTGCGGGCATGAATAGAAAGCACTGTGGTTCGCAGATGAGTTGCGCCATCGCTGGAGGCATTTGACGTGCACATGCTGGTTCAGAATTAGGGAAGAAAGATGTCAGTCCTGACCGACGCCCACAGCAAACGACTTTGCTCACGCTGATGGTGCCCTTGCAAAGGCATGGTCTAATGAGGCGGCCGAGGTCGGGATCCTCGCCTTCGAAACATATCCGACATTGCTTCGTCTCTTGCGTCGTCTCTGGGTCAGACATCTCCACTAATCTGAAGTCTCTCGACGTTATACGTGAAGTTAAGTAGCGGCGAGTGCATGAGAAGGTGTGCACAGGCCTGAGACGCTATGAGACATGATCATGATCTCGTTGCCCGCGGGTGCAGCTGGGCTGGGCTTCCGCGGTCACGTGAGCGACTTCTTATAAATAAAATGTTCCGAATTCGCGTCGTTCGATGTTCAACATTCCTTCAACTGGCGAGCGCGTCTCAGTTGAGCAGGGTGTCATCATCTCAACACACTCTCTTTTGCAGTTCTCGCACTATTTGCGGAGATCAAGCGCATCGTGAGCTCAGTTGCAGCATATCATGTGTATCATCCTTTGACGTGCTAGATTCGGAGCTGCTGCACAGGCCACTGCTAGATCCACTATATACGACCATAACTCATACAGACCAAAGTGTCAGAATGGAAGCGTTCATCAACATGCACGGCATCCCCGAACAGCCAGCCGCACAAGCAGCGCCGGAGCCTGCCACGGCGTTGGCGGTCTTGCTTGCGGCTGGTCTTAATTCACAGGCTCCCCAGATGGTCCTATCGCCTCAGTCAATCTTTCATCTCACGCCGAACCTTGCTCCGAATGTCCTTGGCCTTAATGGCCGTCAGTCTGATGCTGTTCAGAACCATTCTGTCAACAATCACGCACTGCTTAGCCAGTTGTTATCCCTCCCAGGTGTCACAGCTCTCCTCTCACAGTTAGCCGCGCCGCAGAAGGCGCAGGAGCTGTCCCCGCCCGTATCTACGGGCTTAGATACGAGTAGCAGTGCGCCACTAGACAAACTGGTAGGATCGATGATAAATGATGAGAACCTGCTCTTTCGTGCACTTACAATCCGCAAGCGCGATAAGTTGAGCGTCCGAGAGGCGTTGGAGAAATTACATGGTGTACGTACATGCAACCATGCGTATTCATGCAGATATGGTCTCATAGATACTGTGCGTCTCAGGTTAACAATCACACTGCTGGGTCGTGGAAGGATTACTATCTCGAGCACTTCGATCGTCTTTATCCTCAGCTGTGCCATCTCGAAGATAGTTCTTTCTCACAACCCCGTCTAGCGTCTAGATCTGCAGTGGTTGAGCATGCACCGAAGCCAAAAGAGCAACGCGAGGCTTCTCGTTCATCACAGTCTGCCATCGAACAGTCAGTTCTCGGCCGGGATAACCCATCGTCCCAGAAAGCCGCGCGTTCTCGCCAGTCAAACCATCGGCTTGAGCGAGCGAGCCTAGAGGCACCTGCAGGACCCAGTGCTTCTGCACAGACTTTAGAAACATCCTCACGACTACCTGGGATCTCAGGACGTGGTGATCACCACGATTACACAGAAGAGGACGAGCAGCTTGTGATGAAAACAGTCCAGCAGATGATTAAACAAGATCCGAAGACCTCGAAGAGGCAGATTTGCAATCGACTAGCTGACAAGGTGCGGATGAACTTCGATATATTCTGGAAGTCTGGGCCTCATATCCGCATTGCAGACACCGCATCGTTCTTATCGTTATTGGGTTCGGTATTTATACCGTACGCGTCGCAGCCTCGTAAACAGTGCCATGGCTGCTGCTCGAAAATCGGAACCCATTCAAAAAGATATTGCAGACTCGCATGATGAAGTACCGGATGAAAATGAAGATGCATCAGTTCGCGTTGATGACCGAGGGAGCGAGCGTGAAAGCGAATCCGCTCAAGATAATGCCTCAGAGTCGGACGAGTCCTCTGAGCTGGATACCGATGAGTCCGAACCCGACACAGACGACGACGAACAAAATATGGGATTGCTCGGAGAGCGATACACTAAAGCTGATATCCGCCTAGCAGCGAAGTATATTGTTGCGACTCCAGGTTGGCTATTGATGAGGCCAACAGAGCGACGATGGACGGCATTCCAGGAGAAGGTAACGTTTGATTGTGGGAAGGGCGTCGTTTTCTCACGTCTGAATGTTATCAAATCGCTAGTACCCTCATCGATCCATCCATGCCTGGGCGACCTTTGAATGTCGATATGCACGAGGTACGCCTGTTCATTTCATCCTGGTGTCAATGGCACAAATGAAGTAGGGACTGCAGCCATCGACAAATACGTAAGGAAATACAGACGAAGAGAGGAGAAGGCTCTTGCCGCACATGAAGCCTCGTCTGCACTTCCAGTGGCTGCCGAGCAACCGATCAGTTCTTCCATTGTCGTTGAAGGCGATGTTGTCGCCAGTTCATCCAAACGCAAGCTCGAAGATGAAGATGCATCGACGGCTACGAAAATGGCTGGTAAGGATGGCAAACGTCAGAAGCAAAAACTTTGAGGCTCTAATGCTCATTGGTACTGATTATTCTCCGTGTGGTTCTCCCGTGTACCGCACAATGCGTTGCTCTTGTACTGTTACTGAATTTCCTCGTCGATGACATGTATTGAAACACCCTCTATCGGATGTTCTCTGTCTCTAACCCACTGTAATCACAATCTTACCGAATGTTGGCTTTTGCCAATATTCGAAGCATGGTGTCCTGAATCGATTGCACTGCTCTGCAGATCCTCCCCTAGCCTTTTAACAAAATTGTGGTTGACGGACTCTGAAGAGCGAATTTGATGTGATCGATCTAGATCTCAGAGAGCGCTACTCGGATCGGCAAGCTGGACGTACGCGTTGCTCCCGAACCCAACTGTTTACGCGTAAATGGAGGCAAAACCGGACTCTGGCCATGTTCGAATGGTCGGAGCGGTAGCGGGCGTCGGAAGTGGTGAGAGGAACACCGACTGGGCTCCATTTTACCGGACACTAACGGGCGGTACTATCAACTTCGACCGGCAGGATTGACCAAGGCAGGTCGCGTTCTATCTGAGCTGAGAACGCGTCAATGTTTCGCATATCTCATTTGTGATTATCCAACAGGTCGCTGTTGGGCATGGGTGTGTTCAGCCTTCGATATGATCGCTGTAGGTACATGCCTCCTCAGGCTCCCTGTCAGTTCGTAAATGTTGCGCACGTTGACCATGCAATGCTCAGAACTTCACCGAGCATTTCAACAATCCAACTGATATGAAGGTTCGACACTATCAAGACTCGCCTGCAATGTTCTCCTCCGGGAACGTACCGAGGAGCTATCGACTGTCTCCTACAAACAGTGCGGAATGAGGTAGATTGCTTCATCTGTATCACCTTCTCCCTGAAGGCGATCTCATGATGAACATTATACAGTCAATATTCGCGCTTTACAAAGGTGCAACGCCTCCCGCTGTCGGATGGGCTGCAATCGACTCTTTACTTCTCGGATCCTTGCACAACTATCGCTTGTTCCTCATACGCCACAACGTGACAGAGCCAATTCCAGGAGGAGAAGGCCGACGCCTTACCCTTACAGGTCATGGTATTGCCGGCCTTGTTGCAGGGTTAACGAGGTATGTCTAAACGCTGCACACTCGCAATGTCTGCGATGCGACGGTTGTCAGTGCTTTGCTAGCTACCCCTATGGAGCTATTGAAAGGTTTGTTCCCCTACACATTTAAGCTTCGAGCCATGGTGATGTAGTATCCCTCGTCAGTCAACTTGCAAATGCAAGTCCAAAAGTCCGTCGCAGACAGGCAGTATAAAGGTCCCATAGATTGCGCTCGGCAGGTCATTGCAAGCCGAGGGGTCTTGGGGCTCTGGACAGGTTTCACGGGTAGTCTTGCCTTCCGGAGCAACTTCCTCTGGATGTTCCTTTCGTTTGAGGTAGCTGCTATGCAGTGGACGCTTCTTACACACCCTTTGGACTGAACACTATACCCAGGCTCTGATGCGCAGCTTTTCGAAGCTACAAGGCACACCTTATGAAGTGAGAGCTTGAATTCAATGTTGGCAGGGCGGGTTAAGGTTGATCGCGCCTCAATTGACAGATTACTACACCTACCGCAAACTTCCTCTCAGGCGGTCTAGCCTCGTTCGCATTTTGGCTTATGGGCATCCCTGCAGACAACGTCAAAAAGTGCAGTTTGCCTTCCATCGTAGCTGGGGAAATCTATAACTGACTGTCTTTATACAGCCGAATGATGTCGACCTCTCTCTCCCAGTCCCGTCCGACATTCCTGGCCATCGCCCGCAGCATCTACGCACTAGGCGGAGTACGAGGATTCTACCGCGGCCTCGGACCAACTCTTGTTCGTGCGTTCCCAGTGAATGCGTCTGCTCTCTGGGTCTATGAAGGTCTCATGCGGCTGCTGGGCGCTGAAAAGGTTTGCTTCAGATCCCCTTCGATGCTCTTGCTCTGACCTATCTGTTCTCGGTAGACGCGACATTGAATGATTCCACTTGGACGTCCCTGTGCTATCGCACATATCTTTCAGCATTCTTAACTAGGATTATAGATCTGCTAAATATAGCTCCGATTCAATCCACTGCTTATAGATGTTCTAAAAACCAACCGATACCCGTGTTACTAATTGTCAAATTATCATGTTACTATCCGTTCCCTCCTGCGGTCCCATACAAAATACAACGCAGTCACAATGGCGGCGGTGCCAATTGCAGACAGCAACATCCATGGTACAATGCTACGCAGTGATTGCTCGCGCTTGCGCACGCTAGAAGGCGGCTGCGGTCCTCCTCCTGGAGCATCGTCAGCTAGCTTGACGGTGTTCGCAAATAAGTTTTCTAAACCCGTCGGCTCTTCTGGTGCAAAGAACCGCTGAGGCCGTATCCACGACCCATCGTCATACTGGTGCGTATGCCCGTTGGACACCTGAGATGAGGAAGGCTTAATTGGCGTCCAATCCATAGCGTCCGGGTCCTTGGACTTCTGGAGCTCATCATCAGTCTCGACATCCATCGGATCTATCCATGATTGATCGGAATAGGTGGGTCCACATGGGGATGAGGTAGATGACTGAGGGCCCGTATTGAGGGAGGGAAGACCGAAGATAGGGTTCTGGGGAGGTACTCCTGAGGAAGGTGGGTGAATGATGGGTTTGGAAGACAACGTGAGGGGCGCGAGAAGATCGGGCTCAAACATAGGCGAGATATCGCGTGAAGACGATGATGAAGTCGGGTGCAGTAGTCGCTTGCTCGATGGAGGCTCGGAAGTCAGGCAAACAGGTGGCGGCGGTTCCAGTCGAAGAGTCGTGAATGAACGAATAAGGATCTGTGCCCGCAATATGTATGAACCCCCTGACAAAGGAGAAGCCGGGATTAGGATTACTCACAATTAATTCAACTAATAGACAGACAGTGCAGTAAATTCTTGCATGCAATCCTCGCGAATCACCTGTAAATACTGCTAGATAACCAGCTGGTCTCCACCAAATGATCGCGACGATGATTGTGTTGATACATCTAGAGGTCCACGCCATGATCTGCAGTTTCTATGGAGGTACTAGTTTAGCATGCGCTGTGGCTGCATGTGGGAAACTCACATTATACTCGTGCTTGCCTCGTTGTCTCAACGCCCGACCCTGATACGTTGCTCGTTTCAACGAAGCATACTTCGGATCCCATGCCGTCCATAATATCGACAGTAAAGCTATGATTGGACCAATGGGTTTGAGGGAATCAGGTATCCAGGACACGGTATAACCACGCGCAACTATCAAGATATCAAGTTTTTGACACACGATTGAGACGAAGAAAGGAGACACACTTGTGAGATATATGATAAACGTGAAGATAAGACATCCTGTCCATAATACTCCTCTCAGTCTCCAGAAAGTGATCCGATGCTCAAGCCGCTCCTTTTCATGCTTCCTGAGAGTAGCTTGGTGGTAAGTGTCTTTGCTCGCGCGGAGGAAGCCGCCGAGTGCTTGAGTGCGTGCCATGCTGTCGCGCTTCCGGATTTCCTCTTCCACGGCAGGAGCACAGTCAGCGCAGACTGGCGGATAGCGTGTCTCGATGGACTGTTTGTACTGAGGATACATCTCGCAGCGTTGCTTGTATTCAGGGTCCTAGACATGAAGGATCCATATTGAACAAAAGCAGTTTGGTAAGATGGAGACATAAGAAATGGACTGCGTTCAGGAGACGCAAACAACATTGCGAGAGATGGACGTACGTTCGGTGGAGGGAGATAGTTGGATAGCAGGTTCGTGAGGAGCATCTGGTTCGTTTGACATGTATGACAGAAACGACTGCTTTCGTAAGTTTCTGGTAGACGGTCTTTCGTCGCTTTTGCTGTTATTCATATATGTATGAGCGCATTCACTCAGCGATCCCTGGCTACATTCCAATGCTTCGTACCTCGTTTCGCAAACGACTGGGCATTGAGGCTCTCGTCATACATTGCAGGGTCACTGGAAACTATTTCTCCTCTGGCATCGTATCGATTCCAACATACACAATAGGGACATTGAAATGACCGGGGGTTGTGGGGAGGAGGATCGATGGGTGACAGACAGAAGAAGCAAGAGACGGTATTATGACTTCTGAACAGCCTCGACATTGTGTGTCGGCTCAAGAAATGCAAGGCGAACTTCAAACAAGCAGCAGGCTAGGCATGCGCAGAGCAGTGAGTGTAGTGGCCGAGTTGAAGTCGCGAACAAGCCACTTTGTGGCCAGACGTCCACGCGCTTGTGGCTCAAGCGCTCGAGTCCCACGGTCCCTCAGACTTGCACTTCGATGTCGACCTTGCCGGGCCCTTCGACGACGCGCGGCGAAATAACCCTTCAGCCATCCTATTTCACTTCCTCGCTCTATGTTGGCCCTCTGCGCGAAGATATAACAGATCTGATCAATCTCTTCTCGCAGCAATATGCGCAAGCACAACCGCCTATCCAGCCATTCGCGCTCTTCAAGAGGTTGTGGACCGAGCAGGGATGGTGCTGGATGCACTTCAAGGCATTCGACGGACGAGTTCGCGAAAGCTTCATTGCAGTGACGGAGCGGCTGTTTCTCGGTGCGAGTACCTTATGGTGACGATAGGGAGCCTTTATCGATTGAAACCCATTTCACAGAACGAATGATCGAAATGGAGACTCCCATCACGAGAGTAGTATCCCTCTTTGCTCTGTATACATTCTACTTCACGCAGCCATCTACTTCGGCGCCAAGACTCCATTCAGTGAAACATATAGCGGTACCCATCGGTACGCACTCGTCCCTCAAGTTACCGCGAGGATGCTCATCCCGCTAACGTATCGCCAGACATATATCAGTCCGTTCTACTACTTCCGCAGAAGTTGAATAGTCCCGATCTCTTGCTGCTGCAGCCTCACGCAAGATACGTTCTGACATCGCTCCTCAACGCAAACGCTTTCCATATTCTACCCCATTCTGACTTACGGCCATACAATCCGAGCAATCTGCCTCGTGAGATATTTGTTGAGGACGGGCAAGAATCAGCTGTGCTCGCCGCTTTGGCGGGAGAGACTGCCACCGCGCAAGGATCAAGACCACCGAAAAAGAAAGGACGCCCGTCGAAGCGCGAGAAGCTGAAGAGGGCCAAGGACGCGCTTGTCTCTCTGGACAAGTTCATCGATAAAAATACACTGGTGTCGACTCCAGAACCTTCTCTGCAGCATTCTTCACGAGTGCTCGGCAGCAGTGGCTCCTGTACAGTTGATCACCAAGAGACTACTCACGTAATGGTAACAAACCCTCCCATTGCAACACGCGATAACTACCGTGCAGCAAAATTCCAGCTCTTACACATGCTGGATCCCAGCCTCTATGATTCGGCGTCAGGCGAGGCAAGCCAAAGTGTTTCGCAAAGTATTGGGAGGCAAGCGCTTGAACGTACGAACGAAGCTGTGCTGGCGCGACTCAAAATGATAGACCAGTTAGCTGCGGAAAGAGGGTTGGAGGTTGGTGGCGAAGGAGGCGAGAAGACTGGATTCGAGAGAGTTGAGAGAGCAGTTCAGCAGCTGCATGCTACGGGTGTTGAAGGCCACCATGCCGGCATTTTGAACTTGCTGGAGGGTGCCGGACTAGATACGGGGACTGGGTGACGAAGCTCGCTTGTAAGCGATTCGGAGTGGTAGCTACTGGTTTCGACTGCGCAAATGTGAGTCTTCTACTGTTGCCATCCTCATGGACGGCCATCAGTGCCAAGGATATATTTAATTCCCTGATGAAGTCATTATAGCTGATACATGCCGTGATACTCCACACCCTCTTTCGGCTCTATGTCTTCTTCTGAGGAGCACAACCAGTGTGCGAATCGGCTATGTGACGCCGGTGAGCGGTGCACACGAGGACCCTTCATAAGGGGACGATATGGGCAATGTTCAGCAATCATCGATCATCCCTGAACTTGCAGCCTCTCGACCATCGGCTGGGCACGAATATTCCTTGCGCCGTGACTATCCTCGATATTGGACATGCTACCTTCGAGTTCCAGGCCTTCCTCAGATTACGAGGGTCTTCTCCATGGTGCTTCGACGACTGATCTTTCAAGATTACATTCCGGAGCATCCTCGCAGTTCAGGCGTTCAAGGCGCGTTTCGCGTCCATCTTTCTTTCAGGTAATGCACCTATCTTCTACACGCATATTTGAATTGTACCTGAGGACATGGCAGCATGATATTCCCCAATCTCCCGGCGACTCTGCGTCAGTGACAGAACAGGTAAGTAGAACGATTGTCAACATTGACCGCCGATATCGATGTTACTGGTTCTTCCTTAGTTTACACTGTATCCTGACCCTGCATCTTGGAATACCGCCCTAACTGAGGATTGCCCTGAAGATGATGATTTTCTACACAACCCAGACCCTGGAGATCGTAACGGCGACAGCGACCGAAACGTTTTCACCGTGCGAGGACTTACAAACCTGGGTTTTATATCGTTTCTACTACTTGGAATTGTAGCATTATTGTGCGTCTCTATTGTCGTGATTCTCGTAGAGATGCACCATCTTAACGCACTGCTCCTCACCAGTGGCGGTTATCCCATCATCTCCCACTTTAAAGAACAGAAGTTACTCAAGGATGGCGGCGTAAATATTGGCGGCCCAAGCATCATTACTGACCCTCCTTCAATGTCGACGAGCTATCAAATCATCGACCCGGACACGCCTGAAGAGGCACACACTAAAGCCGACTACATTAATGGCCAAGACTGGAAGCTTGTTTTCAGCGATGAATTCAACGTGGACGGACGTACCTTCTGGCCCGACGACGATCCCTATTGGGAGGCAGTCAACCTGCATTACTGGGAGACAAACAATTTGGAATGGCTCGATCCGACCGCGGTCACCACCCACAACGGCAGTCTGGAGATTACCATGTCGAAGAAGGAGAACCACGGCTTGGCCTATACGAGCGGGATGATTACTACATGGAACAAGTTTTGCTTTACAGGTGGAATAGTCGAAGTATCCGTCTCGTTACCTGGCACGAACAACGTCGTAGGGTTCTGGCCTGCCATTTGGATGATGGGAAATTTGGGTCGCGCAGGCTACGGTGCCAGTCTAGAAGGCATGGTGCGTGAGTATCTTGCTACTGAGACATGTCCCCTTTTGACAAACTGGGTGACAGTGGCCGTACTCTTACGACTCCTGCGATGTGGGTACAGCTCCAAATCAGACCAAGAACGGCCAGCCGGTCGCCGCTACGAAGAACGGCGATCCTGACTACGGCGGGGCGCTGTCCTATCTGCCGGGACAGCGGTTATCGCGCTGTTCATGTCCTGGATCGTCGCATCCGGGTCCCAAGCATGATGATGGCACGTATGTTGGACGTGCTGCGCCGGAAATCGACATTTTCGAAGCACAAGTAAGCTTAATGCGACATTCTGTCGACCATGAACGTTGTTGCTGAAAACGTTCTCAGATCACAGCGACCGGTGGACAGGTCTCGCAGTCTGCACAATGGGCTGTGAGTTCCTGCATTGAGGAATGATTTTTTGCATCGTGATATTAACAGCTGGTGTATCATCGTTCAGCCATTCGATTCCGGATATGATTGGCCCTCAGTTACCAACAAATACTCGATTAACGATAGCTCGATCACTGCTCTGAATTCGTACCAAGGTGGAGTGTTCCAAGAAGCAACTTCCGGCTTGACGAATACTGGTACGCAATGACAGTCATGTAGCCACTCAGTGCTAGTATTGAAATTGGACCTGAAAGATCAAAGCGCTTATCAAGGCAATGGTGGTCAGTACTCGACATATGGCGTCCAGTATCAACCAGGATTTGATGATGCGGTGAGTGTCGGGCTCGCCAATGTAGGACGAACGACCGAAGACCTGAATCATCATAAACGCCAGTACATCGCTTGGATTTCTAGCGGTGAAGTCGCCTGGGTGCTTCAGTCGGGATTGCCAGCAGATGAAACTGTCAATATCAGTTCGAGGTCAATTGCGCAGGAACCCATGGTGAGCATGAGCCATCGCAGTCGACAGCGTCCCGGCTCTGGAATGTTCTAAGGAGCTGGCTAACACCATCGCTCTTCATGCAGTATCTCATCATGAACCTAGGCATGTCGCTGCAATTCAATGGCGACATAGACTTCGATGCACTTATATTTCCGGCGACAATGCGCGTGGACTACATCCGCGTATACCAAGAGCCGAGCAGCATCAACCTCGGCTGTGATCCGTCAGATTTCCCGACGGCTGCATACATTGATCAGTGCGCTTGAGGTTGGTTGCCTTGACACTGGATTGCTGCTGAGAGCAAGCTCTAGGTATTTGGAAGCGTACACCAACCCGAACTTGACGACCTGGACTGGAGACTATGGGCAACCGTTCCCGAAGAACAGCTTCCTGGAAACTTGTTAGCTGGTGGGTAATCTAACAGATCCGCACGGACCTCAGTCGAGTGATGTTCGTGCAGTGCTGCCAAAAATATGCATGTGCTATTTTGGCAATGAGTGATGATCTTCCCGCCCGGCTACCACGTTTCCTCTCATGATGACAGATGCGCACTGAGTGTTGCAGAACGAATGAAGTTGTGAAAGTCTGGCCGGCGGATGAGCGGACTGCCAAACACTTGTGCAGAGGGAGCGGCTGATTGGCTAGAACCTTGACATTGTAGCGGAGGTTGAAATGATGGTGGCTGAGAGCGATGGTTGCTGTCCCGGTTACGGCCCTGTGCAATTCGCTAGACTCGGCTTTGTCTATGTACGATACCCTTTCCCATCATTGCCCTTCGTAGCGTCTGCTAGTCTCCAATATACCCGCTCATCGTTCCTCCTGCCGCCCGCGTCGTTCCCGACAATCATGGCTTCTCTGGGCCCCAACTCTCAGAGACGTTACGTCCAGCCTGACTCTCCTTCAACCACCAATCTTTTGTCACCACAATCAAGACTCTCCCCGAATGGCGCGCAGGGCGCGCAATCACCTCGTTCGGTCCATAGCATGGCCAGTCTATCTTCTCTGGTACGCGTTGCACCTCTGCTGCATTGGATGCTCGACATTAACCCGAATTACCAGAACGAGTCTCGGTACGCGTCCAGCGTGGCCGGATCCATTCCTGCTTCAATATCGGACAAGGTATGGAATACCATATTCGGCTTTGTGGACAAAACAACTGATAAAATGACAGTTCTCGCTCTCTCCAGACCCCTCGTCATGGGGTGCAGATCTTTCTCCAGATCATCCGGAGAGCGATGACTTCCTACACAACCCCGATCCAAAGAGGGACCGCAAGAACGACCAGGGCGGAAACATATTCACATACAGAGGAATTATAAACCTTGGCTGCCTTTTCGTACTGTTCACCGGGATCATGATGCTCTTGTGAGTCCGTTCTGCATGGTTGAGCACACTTTATTGATGTTGTCACTGCAGTGCTGGCTATCCCATAATCAGTCACTTCATGAAGAAAAATCACTCATACTCCACAACCGGCGCCTCAAATGTTGGTGGCTCCAGCTCGCTTGCCAAGATGGGTGGTAGCTACGACCTCATCGATCCCGACACGCCTGAGGAGGCGCATTCCAAAGCGGATTACGTCTATGGGAAGAATTGGACACTTGTGTTCAGTGATGAATTCAACGTCGATGGACGCACTTTCTGGCCCGGTGACGATCCGTACTGGGAAGCGCTTGATTTGCATTATTGGCAAACGAACAATCTGGAGTGGCTTAGTCCGACTGCGATCACAACCGCTAACGGCAGCTTGGAGATTACGATGTCAAAGAAACCTCAGAAAGGCCTGAACTTCACGAGTGGGATGATGACAACATGGAACAAGTTCTGCTTCACGGGTGGCATCGTCGAAGTCTCCGTTCAGCTTCCTGGTTACAACAACATCGTCGGCTTCTGGCCTGCTATTTGGACGATGGGCAATTTGGGTCGTGCCGGATACGGTGCTAGTCTCGACGGCTTGGTACGTGTAGGGCAATTGACCCCGTTCTGCACTTCGGTATACTTCGAAGCCTGATCTGCTGACATGTTCGTGGTATTAGTGGCCTTATACGTATGATGACTGTGATGTTGGTACAGCTCAGAACCAAACAATAGATGGCAAGCCGGTTGCAGCCACGGAGAACGGCGATCCTTATAATGGTGGCGTTCTGTCGTACCTACCTGGTCAACGCCTCTCTAGGTGTTCATGCCCAGGTTCGTCACATCCTGGACCTATGCATACGGATGGAACGTACGTCGGCCGTGCTGCACCGGAAATTGATATCTTCGAAGCTTTGGTGCGTCAGCAGGCAGATATCGTTGCATTCTGTGCTTTGACGTTCTGCATAGGTTTCTGACGGGAAGGGTCAAGTCTCGCAATCCGGACAGTGGGGGGTCAGTCCTCATTAGAACGCGGCCTAGCGACAAGTTCTGTGCTGATTGGTTTTCGTTCTTTCCAGCCATTCAACTATGAATATATATGGCACAACACTACGGATAATTACTCCATTGGGAATTCGTCCCTTACCGAGCTCAACCCGTACTTGGGTGGTGTATACCAACAAGCCACATCGGCCTTGACGTGGACAGGTGCGCAGATTTCATGTGTTCTTCTGTACATGTGTCACACGTACAGGCGAGTCTTACCGTCACAAATAGACCAAACTGCTTACGAGCTGAATGGCGGGGGATACGCCACATATGGGATACAGTATAAGCCCGGATTTGACGATGCTGTAAGTATACGACTGCAGAACACCATGCAATCAACGTGTCGACTGATCATCTTATGCAGTACATTTCGTGGATTGCAAGTGGCGAAGTAGCTTGGACATTAGATGTCGCTGGCATGTCCACGGACTCTGTAGTCAACATCAGCTCCCGGCCAGTATCTCAGGAACCTATGGTACGGAATTCGCGACATTACTGCTCCCAAGAGTCGCTGATTATTATGCCACGTCCTGTGTAGTACCTGATCATGAATTTGGGCATGTCCGAGAACTTCGGATATGTCGACTTGGATCAGCTGCCTTTCCCGGCCACTATGCGTGTGGACTATGTTCGCGTATACCAAGACCCAGACGAGCAGAACGTTGGATGTGACCCGACGGATTTCCCTACTGCGGCGTATATCGACAAGTATGTGCTCTCTGAATCATTTTTGAGGTTAGTGCTGAACGTCATCTTGTTCAGGTACATTGAAGCATACACAAACCCAAATCTAACGACGTGGACCAACGATTATGGGCAGCCGTATCCGAAGAACCGCCTTTTGGAAGCATGTTAACGATAGATGTGGGTCTGAACAGAATGCACGGCCGTTCTACGTAATCATTACTTTTGATCTACTAAAGTTACCTATCTCTACATGCCTTCGCACGGCATTCGCTTCACCGCTTTCTGCGCCGTTGATACCTGCTTAACGTTGCATTTCCATAGCTTTTCATTTTCGTCGTCACTTGGCCCCGTAATGGCGCCGCCCTCGTTCGCTTGTAGTTGTTCTGTCTAGTCGTCGCGAATGGAGTGGAGCGTTGTACATATACGAATCCCCCGTGGCTCCGCTAGAAGGAGCTTAGAGCCTTGGTGAGTATGGCTCGTAAGAAGACATTTGCTGTGCGCCTGTACTATCCATATTTGCCGCAACACAAGAGACTGGACCATCTCCAATCATTAGGAACCCGCGGTACTATATAAAGTCCTGCTCAGTGGCAGATGAGTATCGTACTTCTAGTGTGATGACGGAGGTTGTACAGAGGTAGCGTTGCTCTTCCAATATGCCATCCAATATCATAATTCCAAGCTTGGGACGATGCATCCTTAGGATTGCTTACACTGATGGTCGTACGCGTCTAAGAACGCCTGTAATTTTGCAAGCGTCCGTTCCAGCGCGATGATGCCGCCTTCGGTCAGTCTTGGAACTGCGAGCTCTCGATCCTCTGCTGAATTTCCACTATCTTTCGATGACTTGCTTTTCTCGATTAGAGCGCGAGCGTCGTTAAGCACCTTCGCGAGCTTTCCGTTTGTGTAGTAGAACCACCGCATTTCCGCCTCCAGCCCACCGAGGGCGATCTCCAGTGCCCGACGCACGAAGCCACGCGAAAGGACGTACGCCTTCTCGCTATACAGCCGACTATGGGAGGAGAAAACGTGGTTGAGCTGACTACCAATTCAACCTATACTATATAGAAGTATAATGCACACCTGTTTACTATTCCTTCTTCCGTACCTCTGAGTTTCTCGTACGCAGGCTCGCAGAACCAGCTGGAAAGGCCATCAGCAGACGATATGAGGTTCGCATCCAAAATTGGACTCACGGCTCTTTCACGAGGACTAGGCCCTGTATAGACACGAAAGCTTGTAGCAGAGAAGAACGCGACGCATTCCATGTCTCATTCTTGTCTCCTGCCCACGTACCCAATATGGACAGGCAGACCTTACCCTCCTCGTACAAATTCCTGCACAAGAGAGGTAAATGGATAGATAGCCTGCAATCGTTTCTTCAGTACTTACGGATTTACTGCGCGCGGAGACACGCGTAAGCTCGCATCCATCCAAGAATAGATGAGCACGCACCTCTGCCGTTGCCATTAGTCCAACTGAGGAAATGCGCAATAGGTGGGCTCTGCGGGAAGTTGGAGTCAAGCTGCCAGTCAATCACGAACGGAGCATCCTGATACGGCGTGTTTTCTGGACCAATAATAAGACTCCGCAGGAGATCTGTGCGATTTTCGTATGCTCGGACAAGTATAGAATCTGTGGGGTACCGCTGAGTTTCCCTCTTTCATCGGAGATAGGGTAATGACAAACCAGGTAAACTGCTCTGCAGCGCCTTGTACTCTCGGTTTAGTCTTGCTAAGAAGTTTCGCGATGTATGCGCTGGTGAACTGGAGTAGAATGCATGGTCCGCCGGGGCTGATGGTAGAATCTCAAACCGCTTCCAAGGAGTCTCGTTTTCGCTCGCTTCTGTTCCGTCCATTTCAACCTCTTCTATGGCATCCTGCGGCACGTCTGGAGATAGTGGCCGTGCCGCAGATGGAGGAGATAACGGCTGGGGTGTTGAATTCTCAGCAATCTCGATTGCTGAATCGACAAGCGCAGACGGCTCGGCATGATGCAATGGATGTACGGTCGGACTCGACGACGACCACCGATCTTCCTCGACCTCCATCTCATTTTCTTCGGCAGACTCCCATTCCTCAGCATCTTCGCCAGTGCTCTCCACCCAGTTACCACTTTCATCCATTGCCCACTCCTCAACCTCCTTCTCACCGTTCATTTCGCTTCCTTCTTCGCCCTCAGATACATCGCCCCATAGGTCTTCGATCTGCTCTAGCCCATCATACAGTTTCGTCAGACGACTCAGAGGGAGCACCGTTGTCGTGGAATCCGGGAGGAATACCTCGACATTGCCATCTAGCCTTAACTGAGAAGGGCAGGTTCATAATGCGCAGAATCAAGGCAATCTGATAATCATCACGTACGTCTATGATCTCTCCGAACCAGTTGAGCCGATGATCATCCTTCTTAGGCCGCTGGATATGTCCTTCCTCGATGCTCGGATCCTTGCCCCGTCGTTCCGCGATGCGAGCCCCTATATCTGCCATGTCGCGGCGCCAGCCACCTAATTGACCATTTGGATTCACCATCGGCAGCTCACGGACCCATTCTTCTACCTCCCCAATTCTTGGGACCATGGGATACTCTGCACCATTCGTCGTGCCCTCATTGTGGATGAAGACAAGGTCGCCACGATGCACACCTAACCCGGCCGTGGGCGATACTGAGGACCAGTCTGCAGTTCCGTGAGGGTCGAGCTCGAGCAGAGAAGCAAGTTCAATGCTTTGAGTGTCCATGCAGCGAATCAGAGCTGTTCGCTCGACGGCGTTTACAGATTGTACAATCGCCGCGCGTTTCTGGTCTTCAGTCTTCCATATGACGTGATCTCCAGGCCTGTGATACATGAGCATCAAGTCTATGGGATGATTCATGTGTGAATGCTCACCAGCAGTCGTATTCATCCGGATTGAGGTAAGGAATCGCCTCCGTTGCCTTCAAGGTTTCACGAGTCCCATCTTGCCACAGCACGTTCACCATAGTCTGAGTTTCCCGGACAAAACAGGTGTAGACGTCGAGCACAGGATGAAGATTGTCTTCTTTGCCGTGGTGCGTATGCGGAACGCCAACCGGGTTCTTAAGCATCACGCGATCGCCCACTCGCAGGGCTTCTTCTGCCCTACGACGCACTAAAATGAGCTTGGCTAGATCAGGACCATGCCAGAATCGAGATGGGCGCAAGCGTGTAGTCGCTTCCACAGGGTCCAGCTATACAATACTCGTTGGTAGGAAGAGCTCATCACAGATGACTTGTACGTACGGATTGGTTAATGGCGAGCCAAGCGATAGCTAGCACTGTGCGCTTCACGCTGACCACCGTGTCCTGACTGCTTGGCCTTGGGTTACCTAGGAAGAAGCCGAAGATGGACTGAACGCCGGACATGGGCTGAGGGAGAATGTCCTGGAACGCGATCAGTTAGTAGACGGATGTCACTGGATCGAACAAACTTCACACACCGATCCCTTTTCGCCAACGACGAGACGAGCACTCAACTCAGGCACGCGAACCAAATGGCCATTCCCCACATCAACGATCGCCTCGTCGAACATCTTGCTGTCATGTCAATACGAAGGCTGTCTGTCTGAGAGAAAGCAGATTACCTCGACAACCTGGGCAGACTTCAGCATACGGATATGATATCGGGGTGGGAGAACGCACCTGTCCGACCCAGTCATCGTAGACGACGTAATCCCCGAGATCTACTTCCACAGCGGGATCGACCTCATCCGTACTCTTCCACCCTGGTATCGGCTCTCCGCTGATAGCATGCTCGAGACGACCCTTCACATCCAGTCTATGCACCAGTTAAATGCGCGAACCGTGATGCGCAAGCAACTACTGACCCAGTGACCATCCCAGATACCACATCATCCACACTGCGCTTTAAAGGATCTCCAGGTTGGAACATGCGGTCTACTAGGTCAAGTTCGGATTCGAGTAGGATTTCACGAGTCGGACGGGGAAAATATGAGACGCCCACTTCGCCCTGCGAAATGTGAGCAAGGCTGCGACGACTTGCAGTAGCATGTGTCTCGCGCACCTGGAGCAATGGTCGCATCAGCGGGTCTACGGTCTCCGCTGCGGGAGGGATGTCTTCGGCATCATGCCAACATCGCTGTTGTTTGGATTCATAATGTGAACGGGAGAATGAGCGAGTGGTCACACACCAAAACGACTCCATATAAAGTCGGATCGTCCTTGCGCTTCACAATATCTTCTTGGTAGAACTGCAAGAGTACATGGCTCGGGAAACGCAATAATGCAACAGTCATCAATCGACACACCTTTGCGGAAACGCCACTACGTGCTGTGGATGCCATATCGGACCTGGGGCTTACAACCGACTCTACCAGAGCAACGTGCAAGGTTGAGGGATCCCGCAGGCTATTCCACTTGCAATTGCGAAGACCGAGATCTGATAGTAGAGTGAGGGTCGTGATTGTGGCGTGTATGGGTGTTTACTTGGAAGACAAGGAGCGTATTAAGCTCGCTCATTTGTCACCGAACCTTTCACCTCCGAGGCGATGCTTCCACACTACAGTCTTCAACCGGTCCTTTATACACTACCAGTCCTTTATACAGAAGCACTTTCCTCATTCATTTCCAGGTCAAATTGCTCAGTAAAAAATATATTATGTAGCTACTGGTTAGAAGATTCATGATCCATAAGACAAGATGCAGGTGGTATGCCTGTTCTTTTGTAATATGGCATTTTTTCTGTTCAAGGCTTTTTTATGAAATTTTATTTTGGCTCTCATAGCATGCAGCAAGAGAGATTCTGGAAGATTAACATGCCAAATATATCTATAGTCAAGAGGCATGATGTCTGCACCCAAATGAGCTGATAGCGTGTGTGTATCGACCACAGGAGGCGATTTATCCCTGGAGAGGAGGGGCCCAGCGAGTGCTGTCACGTGCTGTCACGTGACGTCACATGTGACAGATACTTAAGACCGTTTCGTGGACCACTTGAGAAAAGCCGCTCTCAAGCCAAAGATGGCGAAAATTGACGACAACGATGCCAGCGACGATGAGAGAGATGCAGATGGGTCGAGCGCAATGGATTCTGAGGCTGAGCGCTGAGTTCCAAGCACTGTGGCGAGAGCGTGACTATGCGTGACAAGTGTATAGAGGAGTCGGAGATGCGCATTTTGACCATATTGCCTTCTTTTATTTTTGTACACCACAGTTCTCATTCCTCTGCTCTGAAACATTCTTACAATATGCTCGTGGATGTGCTTGATAAATCTATATACTTTGTTTGAGGTGAAAGTGAAAATTCCTTGTACAGGAATTTCGAAAAAATTGAGCGTACAAAGGACCAGTTGAAGACTGTATATAGATATATGATGCAATAAGGCTCATTTTAGGGTAACTGGGTAATGACATGATAAACACAGTCGTATAACGTGCAACTGGAGCTCTGACAATTGTCAGGGACCTGAAATCGCGCTCATTTCTGATGAAAGTGCACATGTTGACTTCAACCGCAAAGTGTTCAAGGCTGTGCCAGTTTGAAGTGCAAACCTTTGCGCATCTCACAAGCGACGACTAGTAGTATTGCCATCGACAGTTTGTGCATCGCGGGTCAACTGCGACATATATGCTCACGGGGTCATGGGCTGGACCCGGTAGCGAGTGCCTGCGATTGACGATCTCTTTCCTGTACCTCACTTCGCTTGACGCGTCCTCTGATCCACCCACTCGCATTTTCGTTTTCGTACAATCCGCCCAGTATCTCCGCCATGCCAGTGCAGACTGATGGTATTTTCTCGTTGCCTACCGAGCTCATCATCCATATATTGGCTTGCCTCGACTATAAGAGCATCTTGCGCTGCAGAACGGTCAGTCATCATTCCTGGACTACGTGGATCTATCTCAACCTGCTTAGGTCTGCCATCTATTCGATGATCTAGTCAAAACTGCCGCGTTGTTGCAGTACAAAGTCGATCTAGCTGTAGCAGGAATGGAAGATGGGCCTCCTAGCATCGAGAGCCCAGCGGAGCGTCTTCAGTTGCTCAAGAAACACCAGGAGGCCTGGAGGTCCTTAAATTTCAAGGATGACAAAATCATACCCATGCTCAAAGGCGAAGTATGGGAGCTATATGGCGGTGTCCTGGCACAGGCGAGAAGTAGCAACACGCTTAGCTTCAGACAGTTGCCCTCCATCATGAGAGGGATAGAGGAGAAGGAATGGGTTGTCGAGGCCATGGGTTTTGAAATCCGAGACTTTACCATGGACCCTTCTCAGGATCTCCTTGTGGTCATCCAAAAGCCCAGCCGGTACGTTTCTGCACATATTTTGAACCCACATAGATTCTGGTATTACTCACACATTTCCTAGCGACAGTGAAAGTATCCATGTGCATCTCCGGGTACTTGCTACCGGTGCATTTCACCCGGCTGCACCACATCCAGCGACCCTATCTCACTCGCCCCAAGGCGATCAATATTCATATGAAATCCAGGTATCCTTAGATTTCCTAGGCATCTTGTTCGTCTGTGAAGATCGTGTTCACCATGAACTTGTGATCTGGAATTGGAAAACGGGCGCTCATCAACTGGTCAGCCCATCTCATGGTGGAATGCGGAATATATACTGATTATCGTCGGCTACTAGTGGGTCACCGGAAGAGATATCAGATCCTTCGCTTTCCTGTCAGAGCGTCATGTCGTGCTCGGTCTTGCCTCATTGCCAATGCATGAAGACGAACATGAAGACGAAGTGGAAACATTGAACGAACCTGAACTGCGTGTCATTGATATCCTCCACGTGCCTGCAGGACAGGTTGAACTCAAGGATGCACCATTCATATGTTCTTTCCATTACCCCAGGCTGTTACCATTGGTCATCCCACTTGCCTTTTCCATCCGCTCGGATCCAGCACCAGGGTGGAAGCCGCGCAATGATCTTCAAGTCCCCTTTTTCACCGCCCGAGATAATAGACTGCTCGTTATGACGTTCTGGGTGGCAGATCTCGAGCAGGTTCATACCATCGTGCTGTACGCTCTGTCGTCAAATTTGATGTCCTACGTCAACTCGTTGGAAGACGCATCACGGCTGCACCTCCTCTGGGATCAATGGGGCCCTGATAGCTCGCGCATAATGAAGGCTCCTGGTAGACATTCGACAGTATGGGTCTGCTACGTCTTTGGAACCAAGTTCATATCATCCGATCGGCATAACGTGTTGACGGTATACGACTTCAACCTGCTTCCTGCTAAACGGCAGGTCGCGAAGGGCTACTCGGAGTCGGAGGCCATTATCTATCCTGCTAACGAGTCCTCCAGGATCTCGGGTGGAGATATATTCAGATACGATGTCACGTCCAGATTGCCGTACTCCACACAGACGCTAAAACCGCCATTGGCAAAAGGGCCGGGAGATTTTGAAGCGGTGATGTTGAGCGAGGATAGCTTGATCATGTTGACTAGAACCTCATCCTATGGCGTAAGTCGTAACACTTCACGATCTGCGGGATACATATGACGTTCGTGCATATAGCAGGACTTCCGACACCGAAACTACCGGATCTTGACATTCTGAACGAAGAGCTGCGGGCACATCGCCATCTTGTGTGAATGATGTATGTGGTTTGGCGCGGTCTGCACTTGGGACGCCAGAGATTGATCATCTTCTCAGTCGCACGCCTTTCCTGGACGCTGTGTTGTGTTTCCGATGAGACATCTGTTTTGAACGCCGTGACTCTCACAGGCGCGGGTGCTCATCGTATTCGGTTTTGGAAGTTCTGGATCTGCATGTACATACGCAGAAAACCCAGGCAGCCGATGCAGCTGCCTTTATGAAAGATGTATATACATTTCGTGCACGAATGTCGCATGACGGAGCATGCGTTCCTTTGAGCTCGTTGCGCGGTTGGAAGGATATTTGCGGGCGGCATAATTACCGCTCGATTGATGCGTAGGGCACCAATGGCTGAAAAACAGCGGGCGCTTCGTGGCTATCCAGTGGACGCCTGTGAGACGCCCCCGTTCTTTTTGCCAAGTTCTACCATGATCTTTTCATGACTCATATAAACTGTACTGGCGTCAGGATTTCCCCCACTCCCTCGCCCCCCGTCGCAGCAAGCTCGCTATGTTCGCTCCTCCGATACGGCATAGTGGTCGCAACATCATGTTTGCGCCTTCGCGCTCGGCTCAGACGTTCAGGGCTTTCTACGCAGTACGTGCACCAGTCATCTACAATATCGTGCTAAGTTGACAGTGATGACTGTAGACCGTCCGTAATTTGAGGGAGCCATCCGTGGTGTCTGAGACAGACAATGTAGAGCCATCGGAGAAGGTGAATATAATTTGCTCCCTCATGGCGCGCCACCTGACAGAGCTTTTCATTAGGACTTCATACTGTCTATTTTACGCGCAAACCCGTCGTTGCGAGATACCCGGTCCTACCTTGCATCATTTGGGCCTCGTCCTCAGCGTCCACAACCTCCAATCAAGCCAAGGGAGGAGACTGTGTCCCCTGCTGCACAAGAACACGAGACTAAGGAAGTCCGCCCGCCAGATATAGAGCATCAGCCGCAAAGCCCCGTCGTGGCGTCCATTCTTGATCCTATACAGCGCCGGACAGCGCTTGTCAAGATCCAGGGTCCATTCACAGAGCGGCAGCTTGAAAGCATCGCCACAGGCATGGTCTACCTCGAGAAGCTGGGACTCGTCAGTGTCATCGTAGTTGGGAACGATGCTGTGCCGAAGGGCGAGGACGGAGAACGTGCTGCAATGGTGGAGGAATTGACGCGTGTGGTCAATGCTCTCGAGAAGCAAGGCGCGAAGGCTCGTCCGGTCCTAGGTGCCGTCGTGCGCTTGGGCCCCAAGCCAGGAGACGAGGAATCCACAGAGCGGCAAGGTTTCACCGTGCCAGAGGCTCATACCTTCCCTTCGGACCTCGTTCACATCCGCTCGGCATTGCGGGCGGGCGAGATTCCTGTTTTATCACCATTGGCGCTCGATTCTTTCTGTCGTACCGTCCGTGTGGAAGCGAATGACGTTGTAGCGGCGCTCACGCGCGGCATGGTGGAAGCTGCCGCGGAAGGTGGCCAGCATCGAGACGCCAACTATGACGGATCTACCGGCGAGGTCAATTTGACGCCGTTGCGTCTGATGATCATCAACAAGGAGGGCGGTGTGCCTTCCTACGCACGCTTCGGGATGCCTCACTTGTTGGTCAACCTCGATGCCGAGTACTCGTACATTCATGAGACGTTTGACTCGCGGTGGCAGAACTCCCATCCTACAGCCCTGTCGAACCTCTCCCTTGCCCGGACCTGCCTCTCGTACATGCCACCAACCTCTTCCGCAGTCATGGTATCTCACCGGTCACCAAGCTCGCTGATCGCTAATCTCATCACAAACAAGCCCGCTGTGAGCTCTAGCTTGCCGCACGCATTGCTGCAAGGCAACCGCAAGCTCACTCCGCATACACCCACTCTGTTGCGGCGGGGCTTGCCGGTTCGTGTCATACGCACTCTAGCCGAGGTCAATAAGGAGAAGCTGAAGGCGCTCCTGGAGCAGTCCTTCAAACGCACGCTTGACGAAGGGCCCTTCTGGGAGCGCCTTGAAAAGCACCTCGATTATGTTATAGTGGCAGGCGACTACGCAGGTGCTGCTGTCGTGACGCGAGAAGCCAACTCGTCTTCGTCGGAGCCCATCACATATCTCGATAAATTCGCCGTGCTTCCGAGCCATCAGGGAGATGGCACGGTGGACTTCCTGTGGGTTGCATTGCACGATGAGTCGTACGGCCTTGGTCTACCGTTCTCCGCCAACCCTAACGGAGGAAAGCAAGGCAAGGGCGAGGGTTGCGATCTTGTCTGGCGCAGTCGAGCGGATAACCCGGTCAATAAATGGTACTTTGAACGTAGCTCTGGGCACTTTCGGATGGGCAAATGGATCTTGTTCTGGTGCGATGCTGAGATTAGGCTGAAGACCGTGGAGGGTCGCCGTGGCAGTGCAGGGCTTTCGTACTTGGAGGAATGGGAGGGTGGACGGCTTGCTCGTTGGGCGGGCGTCGTCGACAAGATACCATCAAGTTGGAGAAAGTAACTTATACCACGCATATGACTGATGGTCTAGTGTATTGCTGGACTCCAGTAACTGTTGTCATAATGTCTCGTCGGCCTGTATCTCTATCTTGACCTACTAGATAGTTGCTCTTGACTCACTCACTCGCAACAGCCGGATGATTGTAAATTGCAGATCCTGTCTTCATACACGTAGTATACGAAACGTACTAACACACAATCGCGCATATCTCCCAAGATAGGCTTTCACTTAGTAGAACGGTAGAACCTACTATAGAGAAGAAACAAAGTCAAACGGAGTCTGAGAATACGACGAACGAATGAGACGCGTAATCATGGCAGTGAATAGGCAGTAATACAGTCGGAGTGATTACAAAGTTTTCTTTCGGTTAACTGCACGGCAACAGACTGCAAGCTCCTTCATACGTCGCGGAATTGCGGAATTCCAACGTTTCTCGTCGAGGTACTGTGAGTCAGTCTTCTTTTCCCTAGGTCGCAGGGCGATCTGCGGCCTCACGCAATATCGGAAGCCGGAAGCTGTCCACTCATTCAGGCATTCAGATACCATTGATGGCATTACCCTTGACCTTATGGTCATTCCTTTTGTGAATAGGATTGACGACAGAGTGACATACGGGTTAGGAAGGATGCCATTCCTGAAAGTGCTGATCAAACTGTATGCAAAAGGCGTAGGCCGACCGCCAACCTAGTCAACCACGGCAAGCCGGATCCGCACGACCTTCTTACATGGGGCCATGGCCTATTTCCGTGGCCTGTTCGAAATGCAAAGATCGTCGCTGGAAGCTGCGTAGAATACGCCAGCTCATGAGAGAAACCACGCCATCCTTACCTCATATGCGGAGCCTTATCCTTGAGTCGGTATCGTGTGCGCAGTGTGTGGCTCAAATGTGCTGCATCATATCATCGGATCGTTCGCCTGCTCAATAGCACGTTGCAAGGCTCGTAAGAAATTCATATTTTCCTACGAGATTCAACTGTTCTTAAACCACATTATCATGAAGGCACTGCAGGATGCATCAACAGCCACGGTACGCTATCCAAGAAATACAGACAAGCGAACTAAGGTAGAATCACGGTCTCGGACATATTCTCCTAGTAAATGGGAGGGTGAAGGCGGCAATACCTGCTTCTACAAAGCGGACTTCAATGCCTCGACGTATGTGTCCAGCAACCACGCAAGCTTTCCGTACATCTCCTTTGCCACAGTCATCTTCGCAATAAGGAACTGTGCAGAAGTCAGCCCTTCTATATCCTCCGTGGCTGCCACAATAGTCAATTCTATTGCTTACCGCTGTAACAGGAGCGTTATCGTCCACATTGAGTTCTAAATCCGTGTAGAGCGCATGCATGTCAAGATTGATCTGTTCTCAAATGCGGTCAGCGCCGACAGGTGCCGGAAGATGTCCTTTCGCCCTGGACCCTATGGTCATAGAAGGAGACACGCACGGTCTGCCATATGTTGACGACGGCCTCGACCTTCACGGCGACTTCATCAATGTACCTCTTGGGATTTTGCAGGACCTGCTGATAGATCTGCAAGATAACCTGTTCCGTGTATGCTGCGCCCATCTTCGCGATGGTAGTGGCAATCTCCGCCTCCAAAACTCGAGGGAAGATGTGAATACAAACAGTGCATGCTCTAAGTAAGAAGCTTACTTTGCTTCTGCTTTTGAGCATCTGCAATAATATTCCCAATTTCTCCAGAACGGAACGCGGATTCCTGAATGCAAGAATGTCATTACCTAGTGCATGGTGGGGCAAATCGCACAGCTATACTCACCATTGCGGCGGTGAATGCTGAAGGGCAAAGGGCAAGGATGGCCATAGCTGCGCCAGCACCACCAATCGCGACTTTGGACAGTGCAACGACCTGCAGCGCATTCAGCTGCAAGACAAGGTATCAGTCACATGCTGCTAAGATGAGATCATACGTTACTTAACCTTCTGCTGCAGACTAATGCATGGACAAATGAGACGATCTGCATCTTAGAACAAGAAGTATGTGGCGACGCACTCTATGAGCTGTCTACTTAACTCGTGGAGACGAGCGTTTATAGCGTTCAATAGGGCCTTTCGAGCTGCATCGACCAACGGTATCGCGAGCGCGAGCTCTACTTCCGACCAGAATATGCGAATACGGTCGGCAAGGTCTTGGAAGTGGTTCTTCATATCGAGGGCCTCGGCTTCCTTGACTTTCAACTCCTGTAATTCACAAAAATCGACAATTGTCATGATCTCTTTACGAGAACGAGCGGGACAATACCAACCCGCATGAACGCCTGAAGTCTGGCTTTGAGGTCGCCGCGTTTCGCGCCGGCGGCACCTCCCAGGATGTCCTTAACCTCTGCGAGTACACGGTCGAGGTGAACAACGTTCCTTGCAAGACTATGACAGATAGATCGCTTACTATTCATCATGACGACGGCTCCAGGTGCCACCTCAACACTAGCATGCAGTGCCTTTTCAAAATGCTAAAAGCCAATAAATCGCGCGGGATCACCATCAAGAAATCTGTGAAGCATTACCGTGGATAATTCCTTCCATTTACCGCCAAGCTGGACGACGCGTCCGTTCTCGTCTCTGAACCGGAAGAAATCAAACGTGCCCAGCGCGATCGAAATCGTTTGAAACGAGCCGCGAACAGTGCGGATCGTGTTCGCGAGCGTCTTGATCTCCTCATACGCTCTCTTAGTGACCTCTGGATTGCCCAGGACAGCATTGAAGGCGTCGCCAGCTTTCTTGGCAGTGGCATCGTTCTGCAGTCCTGACTTCAGTACGTCTATCTCCGCCTGCCGCAGGTGGCTTTCGGTCAGCGGGATGACGGTTTGGGTGAGCAGCATCGTGGTCGACATGATTGGGTCTGTTTAAGTGAAATAGCTACTGTGAGGAGGGGGGGATGAGTGGGAGTGGAGCTATGGGATGCTTCGAAAAGTGGGGCTCTTTATACTGGTAGACATGCGCAGCTAGCGCCTTGGACTGTCACGGTTAGAACGCGAATGGATGCATTCTCACAACTAAGTTTCTTTAATCACGCCCTGGCCTGATTTTTTTACGGATCACACGGCGCCAGTGCTGAAGCGCGAGCGGCAACAGTAAAGAACAAACAATTCGAAACCGGAGCAATCACAAAACCACCCTACAATCGCAAACAGATGCGCACTAAGATCGGGAGCTTTGACACGGGCACACAGCTCCACCCATCAGTTCTTGTTAACCGCCCGGACCTCCTCGACATACGTCTCGAGAAGCAAGATCAGGTGGCTGTAGATATCCTTTGCCACCCCGAGCTTCGCGATGAAGAACTGCGCGGGACGTCAGTACTGATGTCACGTCCATGCGCGGTCGAGAAAGCGAAGATACTCGCCTTTGTTATGGGACGGCCGTCCGCGATGTTCTCGTGCAGGCTTGTGTGAAGCGCATGCATATCCAGGTTGATCTGATGCACCCGATGAGCTCACGCGGGCATGTACTCGGAAAAAAGCGCGCTGACCGTATTCCAAATGTTGGCAATGGTCTCGATCTTGGTAGAGACCTCGCTGATAGTGTTCTTGCTTTCCTCCAGGCTCTTGCGATATTTCTTAAGCAGCTCCTGTCGTTCTTGCAAGTACTCGATCTCCTTGTTTACCTTCACAATCTCCTCCTGACATTCTAACGCCCCCCAGCAGTTAGAACTGTTGTCGATCTCGGCGCGTGGTTCATAAGCTACTCACTTTCTTTCTCTTTCTTTGCCTTCGCAAGGGCGATCCCGGTGCCGATGGCCGCAATGAACGAGCCCTGCACACAGCTCAGTCGCGGAGAAAGTAGTCAAAATGGAGATCGACAAACCACTGAAGCGAAGATAGCGACTGGGTTGAGTGTGAAGATAGCTACCGCCGCTGCGCCAACGCCAGCAACCACCTCAGAGACAGTCGCGATGGTCAGGGCTTTGATCTTACGGAATGCCCGAGCATGAGCATTCAACCGTCATGATAAGGTAAGTGGCATGCATACCTTGGCTTCAAGACTACCAGTTTGCGGACCGTTAGGTCAACTGACAAGATAATATAGAACGAAGAGCACCGACGCACTCCTCAAGTTGCTGTTTAAGATCGCTCAGACGGTTCTGGGCCTTCTCAAGGTCGATCTTGATAGCCTCCTCCGCCTTGTCGAGCGCGACGTCGACCTCCTTCATGAAAATGCGGACATCGTCCGCGAGCTGGGTAAACTTCCCTTTGACGAGGATCGCCTGGCCCTCCTTTTTCTTCAATTGCTGAGCGTGTATAACTGTGTTGAGAACCGGTTTCTCGCGCGTATGCAGATAGATCACAGACCTCCATAAAGCTTTCGAGCTCTACGCGCAGGTCGCTCCCGAGATCCGGAGTGACTGCGCCCAACACCGAGTTGATGCCTGCAGTATGCAGCAGCGTCAGAAAGGTCATAAGGACAGTTGAAATGAAGGACGTACTCTTCATCATGACGACGGCCTCGGTCGCTTGCTGCAGACTGTATTGAAGCGTATCATCAAACCTCTACAGCAATACGCATACAGTCAGTTCGAACTACGGCCGAGAAGAATCGCCATCGCAAACCTGTATGTACGGCCGCCACTTCTTGCCAAGTTGGATGACAGTTCCGTTCTTGTCCTTGAATTCGGCAGCGTCAAAGCCGACAAAGTCTCCAGCGACCTTGACGAACCCGGCCCTGATCTCGCGGATCGTCTTTGCGAGACTCTTGACATCTTCGTACGCCCTCTTCTTCACCTCTGGATCGTTGAGGGTTTTACTCAGGTCCTGTCCTGCCTTCTCCTTGGAGGCCTCGTCCGGGAATGCAGCTGCGACGTCTTTCTTCGCCTCCTTCTCGATCTGATCCGTGCTGGACGAGAGCGTGATGATAGTCGTGGGCGACATCGGGGCAGAGCAGGGAGATGTTGACTCGTATGAGAAAGGTGCTTGGATTGTGGGGTGGCAGAGGGCAGAAGGTTGGGAACACCAGCTGTATCTGGGCTGAAGTTATTTAGACAGCCAAGTCGAGTCGAGTCGAGTCGAAAAGGCAAGTGCAGGACCTTGTTGCGATGAGCACGGCCCTGCCAAACAGGAGCGATATGGGAGAGAGGAACAGGCATGGCGCATCCGATGATCACATTGCATGGAACCTCTGTCCGGCGGTGTGTCTCGCCGAATGCCCCAAATACATAGAGTGCGTGTTTTCCGGTGGTTTGTGGTCGCCGCAACGTCCTAGTTTAGTACTTTGTGGATGCTACGTGGCCATATGAGCAATTTCATGACGTTTTGGAAAGCCATTGTGCTGTCTCCCGGGAGCCTAGTACGAGGAAGAATGATATTTCCCGCGAAAACGACGGCCATGTTTCGTGTCGGAGGATTACGAAGCTCATTTGGCAGTGAGAAACATTCAAACCACACAATATGAATTGCGGGGCAGCAGGGGTGTGGTAGGCTGACAGCACCACTGGGAAGATTGTTGGTGGAGATCAGGGCGATGATGCTAACCTAGGATAGGCAGATCTTTGTTGTGAAGAGGAGGACCTGACAGGCAGGGAAGATGAGAATGGTGTGAAAGAGGGGACTTGGTCAGACGACAGTTCGGAACCGACGTCGGCCGTCGTGCCCCATCCCCATATTGAACAGGCCAAGCATGCTATGTCGTGGATGTGGTGCGGCCGGATGTTGGTGCGCAGCATCCTAACGGCAATCCGAGTACCCAAGTCCACTCCGCGGTCAGGTTGTCATCGCGTGTTGTCGGCAGAAGAGATAGAGTCTAGCCTGAACAGGGAGCGTACAAGAAACATTGCATCGACCTGCAACCCGCTTCGATTGACTGTTGGAACCGGTCAAAGGCCATTGGGATGTGTTTGTGGTGCTGTAGGCTCGGCCCGTCCGCTGTTGGCGTATCGCTTGAGCCCATTGTAAACTTGAAAGCTGGTCATGAAGCCGCGGACAGCGGACCAGCGGGAGCGTGGGCTGAGCCACAGGACGTGGCGGGGAAGATCAGTGTCGATCCCTGGCGTCTATCACGCTTAATTGTGATCGATCACTCGAGCGCCTGCTTCCGGGGAAATCGGACGTCCGGAGGCTTCATGCCGTTTTGGGCACCCCTTGAGCTCTCTCTTACCGTGTGACACCGCTCTGCCCACGATGGTGGCCCAAAAGTACTTATGTCTATGCAGCACCATCCCCCCTCCCCTTCATCCAATCCCCACAGTTTTTTCGTACTCGCACAATGGCAGCTCCAGTGTTCAGCAACGACATGCGTGTGCTCGGCCACAAGGCCAAGGAAGTGCGCACCGAGGTTGTCGACCTCGTCGTCCCCATCCAGCGCGTCGACGGCTACGCCGACACCAGCCTCTTCTCCACATGGCAGACGCTCCTGCCGGTTCGTCCCCTCCTCCTCCTCCTCCTTTGAGCATTGCTTGTGCTCACATCGCGCATTATCACCAGAAACTTGACAAGACCAACCAGGCGGCGAAAGAAACCGAGGTCGACCTCGAGCGCATCATCACTCGTGAGTACCGGCCCCATGCTTGCTCTGGTCCTGCGCCTTCGCTCAACATCCCTGCCAGAGTACCTCATGTTCCACAGCGAGGCAAACAACCCAGATTATACCGCAGACATCATCATCGAGTTCACTGCGCAAGTCAAGGTGCGAGTAGTTCCTCCCTCATGTCCGCACGCTCGCTCACATGCGTCGCCGCGCTCGATGTTGCAGCAACTCCAAGAAGGCGCCAAGCGCGCGGACCAGACCGCAGAGGTCAAAGCCGCCGGGGAGGACACTGTGCGATTCAAGACGCAGTTTGAGACCACCGTCAAAGCTAAGGACAAGGCGATCGACCGCGCACTGGACGACGCCACTAATGAAGTGACGCGCCTTGAGGACAAGGTCGACAAAATCCAGAAGCAGGTGCGTTCCATGCAGGAGGCGTAGGATGTCTTGCTCACGCGCATCATCGCCAGCTCTCGGAGATGCAAGGTACGCACAACCTCAAGAACCTCGGCAATGCCGTGGCTTCGGCCAAAGGCATCCTCGGCCGCAAGAAAGACCAGGACGCGACCAAGGACCATGACAGCAAGATCGGCGACGATGACGATGATGACAAAACTCCGGAAAACAAGAAGCAGCTCGAGGCCGAGCTCGCTGGTGAGCGTATTTGTGTGTTGACCCCTTCCGCGTACTGAACGTCACCGGTGCAGCGGCGAGGAAGGAGCTGCAAGCTGCGCGAAATGTGAAAATCGAGGCTGTGGCGAAAGCTGACGCTCGTGATAAGGCGGACACGCCTGCGACACAGGCCGCGCTCGAAAAGCTCCAGATGGACATCTCCACTTTTCTCGCAGAAGAGGAGAAACTCGCCGCTGCCTGGAACGCTGTACGCCGCTGGTATCCGTCTCGCAATCGTCTGCTAATCGAGTTTCAGATGGCCAAGGAGGTCGCGGAGTACCTCAGCCTCTTCGTGAAGAACCGCGACAACAACTCACCTGTACGTGTCCCTTCTCGTCACGTATGGCAGCCGACCAGGACACTGACGCGACGGCATCTTGCGCTGCTTTTAGGAGACCCAGCGGGCACTGTCGAACCACATCCACAAAGTGAGCTCCACGCAGGACAAGCTGAAGCAGTTCGCCCAGTCGCTCAAGGACTCTGCATACAACCTCTGACGTCCTCGCTTTGCGCCGCCGCACTCGCGTGATGAATATGGAGTTGTTTGAGGGTTGCGGTCAGGATTGTAATCTACTTATCGGGCGATGTAGCACTTCTGTTTTCTTGCCTAGCTTTGTGCTGGGAAGATGAGCAACATGAGAATCGAACAGCATAAGAGGAATGAATCGATATGTCTCACTGCGTTGAGCCTTGAGAATGGAGCGTTACTGGTTCATTTCCGGCGTAACGCCGTAAACTGTCGCCAAGGGGCAGACTTGTAAGAGACACTTCTCGAATTGCGATATGTTTGTCTTGCCATCTTTCATAGATGTCCACGGACCTCGCAAAGCAATCATCTGTAGGAGTCCTCCATGATGGAATGATGGTGTTTCCTTGAGGGAATAAGGAATGTTCCAAGGCTCGAGTCAGCATTGGATTATGGAGGAAGGAAAGTAAAATGAAGTGTGCATACATCGCGTCGTTATATGCGCGCTAGCATCGAGAGATGCAAAGCGGTTGTCGGATCGTGGGCGATACACATTGAGAATAGCACGAACGGCTTCACTTCAACACGTCCCTTGCCAACGATTTTGATGAAGAGTGTTGGCGACTGCACGTTTTGCTATAGAATCTTGAACACCAATTTCGAGGAATTGTAGGAGAACATATTGTACTGGAGTGAACTCATCCGGCGCTCTGCGGCGGCGGAAGAGTCAGGAAGCGCCTGCAATCAGCGACGAGGGTGGGCGCTGAGTATCGAAATGTAGGGGAACTCCTCTGCGACGGGTGTGTTACAGAAAAATCTGTTCTTAACATTGATGCGGAAAACAGCTCCCAAAAACCTCTCAGGAGCAGTATTTTTGTTTCTGCTTCCGCGAAGGAGATCTTCTCGCAGTGATTTTTACTATAGTATGTGTTACAGGAAACGGTCGTGTGATGTGGTGAGATACCTTACAAGATCTATCATTGTATCGTACATGTCGTCCCTCTGGGCTACGTTAGTGCGTGACAATTCGTGTAAAATAAGTCCCATCCGGATTCATCTTGGCTATAAAGGAGGAACAATGTAGCTGGCTGGAGACTCGAGAGAAAAAATTGGTATCGATTGTCAATAATTTGGAGACGGGCCGATTGCACAAGCCCAAGGCGAATGCTACGCACGAAAGTCCTCCGCCATGTTAGGGCGGAGCGTAGCATGTAGCAGATGTGTGGCTCCCCTTGTGCGTGCCGTCGCCCTGCGACAGTCAACACAACTTTCGTCTGCGCTTGGGCGTCGGAGAGCTGTTGGATGCGACCGCGTCCGATCTCTGTCTTTTCTGGTCTCCTTCGCTCGATCTCGCCACTTTGACTGAGCTTCTTCTCCACGGTCTAATCTTTTTGCCGTCGTGCATAGCGCTCTCTACCAGGTTCTCTATGCCCTCTATGATAAGCTCCCGAAATGTTCCTACCGTCCACAGGTCAATATTCCTGACTAAAAGAAAGACCTGCAGCATGTCACTAGGCTCTTTCAGCACCCAGCGATGAAAACGCCCTCCCGATCCGACAGGATGGCCATCAGGACCGGGGTACGCTGCAGAGCGTATGACCTGATGCGCTGGTTATCACGTATTCTACGCAACCTTTGCATCTACTTACAGGATGTTGTTCATCCTCCCCGTGCTCCCACCAGTCGACGTGAGCCGTTACTTCGCCCTGCTGCCAGATGAGGCCGAAGACGGGCAAGTCAATATCGAACGCGTGAAGTTGGCGTAGTGCTGCGGTGGTCGACATTATGTTTTGGCGATAAGCATGCCCCGGACTCTGAGTGTCCCGCTTATCTTCCCAGAAGCTGCTAGCGAACTGGAACTTCAGCGGAGAGCTGAGCTCGGTACATGGCGTCGCTTGGAAGCGGAAGTCGGTCTCCCCGCCGTTCCCGGGACCCATGATCGATGGGTGTCCTTGGAGGACACGGTACGGCGAAGTGGACTCTTGGTGGAGCTCGTTGAGTCGGTGAGCCGGGATGAACACGGATGTGTCAGGGAGTGCAGTTTTGGCATTGAGATAATGCAATGAGTCATCGGTGATAGGTTTCAGAGGTTGAGGAAGCGAAATGCTACACTGCGATCTGCGATGTGATTGTCAGACTAACTTCATTGAAAACAATGAGATCCTTACAAGTGATCACTCATGGTCATTGCGAGACTCCGAAAAAAGTACCTATTGAATTGTTCAGTTACATTGTTGTGATAATCGTGACATTTCGCCTACACGTTGTGTATGTAGTCATGTTCCTTCCGCGGCCGGTCAGAACTTTCGAGTTTCTGCAGCTTTAACGAGGCAGTGATGACAGTTAGGACTTGATTCAATAACCTCTTCCCATCTTCATCAGTTGCGGATACATCTGAGGAGAACAACTCAGGTGTACGCTTATGAGCGCTACGGATGAACGGCCGAAAAGAGGACGGCTGGACGTTGTAGAAAGGCTGTGAGAAGTGAGCAACCAATCGGATGGCTACCATGTGCTTCTGTGCTCACCCGGTGCAACCATTCTTCAGGAAGCAGTGAGTCGAGCCGAAAGACTTCCTCGACCTGTGTCCTGAGTTTGCGGGGCATCGATGCATAGTGTACTGTCTCGCATCCGTGAGCATCTGCCCACTCAGCAAAAACCTTAGGGCTTCGCGCGATTCTGTCAAGTATATAAAAAATAACCCCAACTCAACTGTGAGGTGTACATACTCCGCGGCTGACAGGGAACGAGGCGGACTCTGTACCTCGTGTTCATCGCCTCTGGTTCGGCGGCGTGACATCGCTAGCTGATTCAGGCACCTTTCACCACCGGTTAAAACTCAATGCGCGCTGAGTCGGCGCGTCCCGCGTGCGCAGTCTTCTACGAGCAAAGAAAACGACACGCAGATAGAAAAGGAGATTGACTCGAAAGTCGAACAGTGATGAGCGCCCATATCGAAGGCGGATATTGCGACCCACGTGATCGCGTACTGCAATGGATCGCGGAGTTCCCACGGTCGGCTCATCGCCGTCATGCGCTCTAAGCGCCCGCAGTCCTTAGTCGCCGTTCCGCACGCCTTCGTCCACGCCTTTTCTTTCCTTTACCTTCATCACTCCTCCTCATCGTCGGGCACCTGCCCAACATGTGGCCATGGACGTGCATTCCGTATACCTTGCTTGCCCTCCTCCCGCTCGTTGCGCCAGCACAGCTGCCCCTCCAGCCCGCGCAGCCTCCACACACGCAGTCGACCACCCTCTTAGACGCGCTCTCCGCTGATCCCGACTACGTCTCGCTCATTAAGCTGCTCCAGCGCGCCAAGCTCGTCCCTACTTTAAACAGACTGAACGGCAGCACTCTCTTCGCACCGACGAACGACGCTATCGCTAAGGATGCTTTCTGGAACGCTGCGCTGCAGGACGACGGCCTGCGTGACAATATACAGGAGCAGCTCAGGCAGCAACTCTTTTACCATTTGCTTAATTACACGTTACCTACGCTACCAACCGATCAGACGCCTCAGGTGCACGAGACGTTGCTCTACCCTCGCACACCCACGGAGCCTCCTACGCATGAGCCACCTCCGGGTCCACCATGGATGCCCCTGCCAGGCGGTACGCTTGGCGGAGAGCCCCAGCCGCTGCGGACATCACTCAGAGAAGAGAGTGTATGGGTAGGGGTAGATTTCTTTGGTAAGCAGGGCGTGGAGGTCGTCAAGGATAAAGTAGACACCGCGAACGGCGTACTGTTGGGAATTGGCGGTATGCTTGAGATGCCTCCGGATTTGGGTATGTGTTCACAGTATGTGCGACTCTCGTGTCTACTTACCATGACTCAGCGACTGTTGTATCCCAACATCCCTCCCTTTCGTACTTTGCCAACGTGCTTACGCCCGAAATCCGTTCATTCCTGAACAGCACATCAGCACTAACGCTCTTCCTACCGGAGAATGCCGCATGGGAGGCTTTGCCGCATTATGAACAGTTATACCTACAGAGCAAGTACGCGACAGACGATCTGACACGAATCATGCACATGCATGCCGTCGCACAGAAACATGTCAAGTATTTCTCTTCCTTCACGCCATCCTTGAACTGTATGTACCCTTCCGTGAATCTTCTCGACCTCGCTGACTTTTCTCAGTGACGACACTCGATGGGTCCGAGTTGCATATTGATGCGTCGGACGAGTCCAAGGTCATGGTGTCATCCGCGGCCTTGACCGAGGCGGACATCTATGCATCGAATGGGGTGATTCATACCGTGTCATCGCTCTTGGTGCCCCCAGGCGCGCTCCAACTCACGCCAGAGAAGTATCTGCTCACTCTGAACTGCACATCATTCGTGTCCCTTCTGCACTCGGTCGACCTTGAGACCCTCGTGAACGACACGCACGCGGAATACACGATCCTCGCGCCGCGGGATGATGTGATCAGCCTATTTGGAGATGATGGGGAGATGCCGAAGCCAGGAACGGAGGAACTGAAGCGCACGCTGAGGTACCACTTTATCCCGGGGAAGTGGCCACCGGAGAAATTGGCAGACGGGATGCTGTTGGAGACGGCGCTACAAGAGCGGGGACTGGCTGGTGGGAGGCAGGTAATGGCGATTGAAGTGAGTGATGAAGGAGGGAAGAAGGACAAGAGCCGGACGGTGCGCTTTGGAGGAGCGGGCACTATCGGAGATCACGGTACGTTCTCTGCGAGCGTCTTTGATTGCTGTTCCGTTAATCGCTGATCAATGATCAACAGTGGAGGTTAACAATACATTGATCTACTTCATCTCGCGGCCGCTTGCTCCTCCCGCAGATCCGCTGGAGACAGCGCTGCCGTCGCTCGAGCTCTCATCTTTCCTCGCTGCCGTGTTTTCCACGAACCTCGCACCCATACTGAAGAAAGCACCGCGCACCACGCTCCTCATGCCACGCAACAGTGCTTTCAAACGCTTGGGGATGCTCGTATCATCTCATCTGCTTGCAGCTTCGTCAAAGCGTGACCTGGAGAGGGTCATCGAGCACCATGCGCTTGTCGACGTCGAGTACACCACGGACCTAGTAAACGGGAGTCAGCGCACGTTCGGCACGCTGGAGGGCTCGGACATAAACCTGGACCGCCGGCCGAACGGGACCGTCGTCATCAACGCGAGCGGCGGGTGGGCAGGCATGCAGGCTGCGCTGCAACCCCGCGACATGCTCACGCGGACGGGTGTGATCCACGAAGTGTCGGACATCATGATCCCGCGCAGCGTGCAGCTCACGATCGGCAAGCTCGTCAAGGCAGCGAAGGGAACGACGATGGCGACCATGATGACCAAGGCCGGAATGGATTGGATATTGAATGGTACTGCTCCGCCGGACGGGTCGATATGGGCTGAGAAGGGGTTGAGCGGGTCTGGATGGACGTTATTGTGCCCGACAGACGATGCTTTCAAGCAAGTGAACTTAACGACACTTTATGCTGATGGCGATCGCCTACGTGCCATTGTCAGCCAGCACCTGATCCGCTCCCCGTCGTCTGCCCGAGAGCCGATTACGGACATGGAAGACGTGCTGAACAATAACCGGCCGATAGCGATGGACGACAGCACATCGTACGCGACCCTGCATACCTCGGAGTCGACATACTACGGTGACGTCGTCTTCCGCGCTCTCGAGGGCGATTCGGAGGGCACGGTCGTCGGTGTACGGGGCGCGCGAGGGCAGAATGGGGCAAATGACTGGGCGCGCGTGCTCTCGTGGGGCCGCTCGACGACAGGCGGGGGCACAGGCGGCGTGGTGCAAATCGACCGGCTGCTGGTGCCATACTACCCGCCGTGGTACGTTGAGTATGGGGCGCCGCTGGCGGTCGGCGTACTTGGTGTGCTGGCGATCTGCGGATTCTTCTGGGGCGTGAATGTGTTCTGGAGGCGGGACGTGACGGAGGCGACCTATGAGCCGGTCGGAGGGTTCGGGAGGGACGATGGGGAGGATGCGTGATGATGGTAGGTACGATGCGAGAGGGACACCATGGGTATTTATGCTTAGACATACCGCGATTGCGAGGTATAGGGCGGATTGTATTGAACATGGGCAAGGTAATATAGTGTAGGATGTATTTGATGTACTATAATATGAACCAGGATGGTCAGTGTATGTCCCGTCTTCCCCGCATTCGAGGTTGTTTCCCCACACCCGCCAAGTGAGCCCCGATCACGTCCCTTGACTCAATCTCCTGTCCAGCGTTTGTCAGTACCGGTGCCCAGCTTCGCTTATGACGCTCCGGCGTTGGTAACGATGTCTTGCACGTCCTTGGATTTATGTAGTATCAAACGACGAACTCAAGCGTGATATGGCTAGTTTTCGTCGCCATTCATGAAGAAGAAGGCCTGAACAGACTCCCGTAATTGTGTACTGACCGGCTGCAACTTATCCCGACTCCCGACGCCCTACTTCTTGCCAAAGAGGAGCACGGGCTCATTCTATGATTCTTCTGCTCTATCAGAAAGCTGGCTCGTCGTGGACGTGTGCGGTCAGGTGCCACGGCGAACGATGAGCGTGTGTATGGAGGCTGCAAAGGCGGAGGCCACATCGCGGAAGGAGACCCCCGCAATTTGCGGAGGGGTTCCCCGCAAAGTTATCAGATTAGATTTCCCGGTAAACACGGGCGACCGCGCGCGCCTTGGCCGAGAGCGTTATAACCAAATATCCTCGCGCAGATCTCTTGCTTCCTCTCCAGGTGTATTTCCGTCGGGCATCCTTCTGCATCCGCACGGCCTCCTCTTTGCCTCTGACTACCATGGTGAGTGCTTCCGGATGTCATGGAGGCTGCTGACGCCGACAACAGGCCCCTGCTCAGAGCGACGCATCGTCTGCCGAAGAGGCGCATCTCGCGACGGCTTCCCCTACGTCCACGACGGAGTCGATCAAGTCGTTCCTTGCGGGAGGCTTTGGAGGTATCGCTGCGGTGCTTGTCGGTCAGTTACATCGCGTGTTGCGTCGGGTAATCCACTGGAATTCTGTGCACAGGTCATCCGTTCGACCTCACCAAGACGCGGTTGCAGACGGCCGCCCCTGGGACTTACACCGGTGCAGTTGATGTGGTGAGGAAGACCGTGGCGCGCGATGGGCCCACTGGGTGAGCATTGGAACCCTCCGAAACCATCTGCCCATCTAACGCGTCGTAAAGACTATACCGCGGTGTCGTCCCCCCTTTACTCGGAGTGACACCCATCTTCGCAGTCTCCTTCTGGGTATGTCGTACGCGAATGCATGCATGTGGTCCCTCTAAATACGCTGTTGTAGGCATACGACATGTCAAAAGCACTCATCCTCTCCGTGACGCCCAACCGTGCCAGTAAAGAACTCTCTATAGCCGAGCTTGCCACCGCTGGGTTCCTCTCTGCGATACCCACGACACTCGTCACTGCTCCAGTGGAGCGTGCCAAGGTTCTCTTGCAGGTGCTCCTCAGCTTTGATCTGACGTCGCGTGCCAAGAAGCATTGACCGTGCGGAGCATTCAGGTACAAGGGCAAGGCCAAGGCGGCCAACAATACAGCGGCGTGTTTGACGTGGTGAAACACCTGTACAAGGAAGGAGGTGTCCGGAGTGTGTTCCGCGGGTCAGCGGCGACTGTCGCGCGCGATGGACCTGGAAGTGCCGCGTATGTTTTCTTTCTTCACGGGAAGTGCATTCGTTGATGTCGCTGCTCAACATCAGATATTTCGCGGCATATGAGCTCACGAAAAAGGCTCTCACTCCTGCCGGCCATTCTCCCTCTGAGCTGCACCTAGGCTCGATCATCGTGGCGGGCGGCATGGCCGGCATCGCGATGTGGTCTATCGCCATCCCTCCTGATGTACGTATCTAGCATTGTAGCAAGACATGCGGACATCAAACTGAGCGCTATTTGTATCGCAGGTGTTGAAGTCGAGGATTCAGTCAGCGCCGACGGGAACCTATTCAGGCTTCATGGACTGCGCTCGCAAGACGATTGCGGTGGACGGTGTTGGCGCTCTCTGGAAGGGTCTGGGGCCCGCGATGGCGAGAGTACGTATCGTGTCCTATTACGCTGATTTACCACTGAAAATTCCTTACCTCTGCAGGCGTTCCCCGCAAACGCTGCAACCTTCGTGAGTACTTGTGCCACAAATGATCTTACCATCTCGCTGACGACACCCGCAGCTGGGCGTCGAAGCGTCAAAAAAGCTGATGGACAAGTACTTCTAACTGTAACATGCCAGTGTATACCAGGGCTCTCGGCTGCCATATCCACAGATCCCATATATGACAACGGAGGAATGTATATCTTTATTCGTCATAGCTTACCATGTTTGCACCGCGGAGCAATGTGCGATGAAGCTCATGCATGCTTTGAGCTTGGTGCTTTAATCCGCCATAGTGATGATCGCCTTAAACTACTAGTGACAAAGGTTAAACTGCAACTTTCGACACTGCAGTAGCAATCGAACCGACTGCCGCCTTCTGCGCATTTCTCATCAGTCCAATTCCTGCGAAAAGGTACTTGTGCACATTGCTCCAGTCGAACATGCAAACTGATAGAATAATTACCACGCGAAAACGTGACCCTCACCCTCATTGCTCTCTGCGTTAAAATACCCGGATCAAAAGAAAGCATTCATATCGAACTCCGGCACCTGCACATCCTGCTTCGCAGACTTCATCAAGCTGCCCAGGCCCGCCTTGCGCGCAATGAGATCCGGCTCTTCCCGGAGCTCTTCTTCGAGTGGCTTTAACGGAGGAACAGCCTTGCGCTCGGGCGACGGTTTGCGCGTGGGCGGCGCGCTGACGGGGTCCATATCGATGAAGATGGACGAACGCCGGCGAAGGGCGGGCTCCAGTGCGAACCGCGTGGAGACCGGGCTGGGCGGCCGCGCGAGCGGCCCGTCATGGGTAATGGTGGACGGTCGCTCGAAGGACCATGTACGGACGAGGTCGAGAGCCAGGACGTGGCAGCCTACGTGGAACGTTTCAGTTTACATCCGGCATCGACACTTGCTACGCACCCATTCTGCAGAAGACGCGTGCGATTTGGAGCACAAAGTTGAACTCCGTGCGCCCCGATATTTCGCTCGTGCCCTTGGCTGTCTGAAGCGTTCGCGATTTCAGCTGAGAGAAGAGCAGTGCCAGGCTGGGATCATCGTAGTGAGGCTCGCCGATCTCGGGAATCTGCACCTCCAATACGGCTGCGATGTCCTCCAGCGGCGTCTATAGAGGACCGTTTGACATATATTGGATGTGTGTGCAAGGAAGAACATACCACCAGTATCCGTACAGCAAGATCTCGCCGATGCAATAGCCAGAAAGCCCAGCTAGCCAGCCAGCGATTCCCGTCTTGGAAAGCCAAAGGTACGACTGTGTTTTCTAGGATTTCCTTGAGTACAGGGCCATGATTTCCCTGTTCGATTACGCGTGCCAATGCGACCGCCAGCTGGAAATCTGAGAGATTCCTGATACACACGTTCACCGCGTCCTTTAAGCTGTTTCCCAAAAGGAAGAAGGCAGCGGCGTATTCTGAGCTTTGATTGAGACACGTGCTCGTCAGCACAGAAAATCAGAACCTACCGAAACGACGCTTGCTTAAAAGCGCAAAGGCGTTCTTCAAAGCAGCCGTACGCCATCGAGGCTGGGTGAAGTCGTTGCTTAGGAACTTGAGCATCTGTGCCTGCTCCTTATGCCACGCGGCCTGACGCCATAGACCATGAACAAGTTTGGACTTGCCCAAAGCGAAATAGAAAAGACTGCATGCCGTGGGATCGCGGTTGTCCCCTGCCATGTATTGATTGCGAGCCAGCACTTCCATGTGAGATTTCTGAAGCAAGTGGCCGTAAGCTACTAGGAACACGTCGATTGCGGTATTTCATGCTGCGTACCATGGACTCTGCAGAACGCATCCATAAGAATACGCCCAGAGCGCGCGCGTCGGACCAAGTCATCTTGCCACCGCATGCGGACATAGACGTCGACAGCAAGAGCTCCTGGCTTTCGCTGTGAAAGGCCCAGATGATATCGCGATACCGAAGGCGTTCGCGCGGGAGAATGCGCTTGCTAACGGTACCACTGCGGATGGATGCCGGAGTACCAGGTGTGGACATGCGGTGACGAGTGATGTAAAATACCCGCATGGAAATAAGATAACGCAGGCCGTTCGCGTCGAGCGCGCGACGTTGTTCTTCGATCTGAATTGCATTAGAGATGTTTTAGTGTCGGGAAGATCTAGCTTACCTCTAAAGTAGCCTGTATCAACACGAGAAGCGATGCCTGCTCGTTTGGCGTCAAATTGGGCAACGGCTGTTCTCCGAGGTTCTCCATGACTTTTTCAACCAGCGAGCGGGAGAACTGATCCTCATCGTTTCTGCATTGAACATTCAGGACAACTAACCGAACAAGTGACATTTTACTCACTCATCCTTAACCTCTGGAACACTGAACAACACGTTGTACCGGGATCGTCGCGGCACATGTATCTGCGAACGCATATGATTGGCTTAAGGAGATCAGCAGTGGCTCACCACATACGCACTGCTTTGACTACCTCGTCCTTCCGGAAGAATTCATCCAGTGGGACGCCTTTCCAATGTACGACATCCCGACCGTTTTCAAGATTCTTCGCCAGATTTATGATGATCTTTTTGACAAGCTCGATTTTCTCTGCATTGCGCTTGTTAGTTTCCTGAAGCTTTACATCTTAGAGTCCGCGCACCCCAAAGCAAGCATTGTAGTATCATCTGAGGATGGTATTCAAACAGAGGGCCATTCTCTCGAGCCACGTGCTCGAATAGGCTCTCCGGCCTCTGCGTTTCGCTTGGCGGAGACTTCGGCTGACCGAAAAGACATAGTATATGACCCGATCCGACAAGTAGCGAACCTCTAGTCAGCCATATGGAGTCACTGATTGGATGAGGGAACAATCTGTTGAATTTCACTGCTTAGTGATGTTCGGCCATTAACGGTGCAAGATGAAAAACCGTTCATACCTGCCAACGTCGACTGTCCAACAACGGCCCCACGCAGGTGTTTCATCGAAGTACGTCATGCGTTGCTGGCACAAAAGCTCAACTCGATGGGCAAAACCGATGGCAAGGATTGATTGAGAGTCAGGTGTTGCGGTCCAGTCAAGGTCGTTGATTGGGTCGGAAGAGCTATTACATTCTTTTTAGGGCCCGCCCAACATGAATTGAACGAGGCGTACCTGAGCACCTCACGATACTCTAAGCCAGAAGAAAATTCGGATATTTTTGAGTCCCAGATTGTCAGCTCCTCGCCTTCAGGTCCAGGCACAACTTTTAGGTACTGTCAGTATCGTATGTTCGAACAGAGCCATACGCTCCTACAAAACCATTGAAGCGCACATACCTAGCACAGACTTTTTCGCCGAGCTACATGCCGCCTTGCTCATGCCTTTCCTTCCCGTCCTCACTCGGCCCGTACAATGCCAGTGTGATGGCGTTGTGGCCCCACTCCCATTGACGCGACCATTCGTACCGTTTGTTTTGCCGTTTGCACAGCGACCCATGGCAGCCTCTGGTACCCAAAACGCCAACTCACCCTCCTCGGACACACTTAGTAGAACATCGTGGGGTTCGTTACTCGCCGCACCGGCAAATGTTCCACTCCATGCCATTGGGTCGACTGGCGATATCAGTCGCGCAGACGATGATATGGGGAGAGAACTCTCCGAGAACAACGATAGCCGCGGCTCAGGAGCGTAGGCGACAGAGACCACGAGAATAGTTTGTGCCGCAGTGATGCCAACAAGAGCAAGTGGTGGAGTGACAGCGGAGGAGGAAGGGATGGCCAAAGGGGTGCTCTGCAGCGGAAGACAGAAGAGCGAGGTCAATGGAGGAACAGTTAACATTGCGGGTGGAGAAGTATGTAGGGTGAGAACACCCCTTCGTGTGTCGGACTCGGACAGGCACGAATATGTGACAAAACACCTGCCTGAAGGCAGCAAGGCAACGCACGTTCAAAGATTGCGCGGAATACAAACGACCCATGTACGCACCCTCGTCGAGCACGGCTACTCTTTCCACCTTGCCCTTGCTATCCTCCGACTCTGGGATCCATTTTCCCCTAGGCTCCAAACGTCGCCCATGGTGGGTCACGCGACATGTTTCGCCGCCTCCATCAGCCCATACTGCCGCAACACCTTCCCCCTCCGGTGTTCTGACAAATCGCAAAACTTCTCTTCGTCGCATGCTAGTGCTGAAAGAAGCACCACCTACGTCGACATCCACTTCTCTTTCTTGATCTGCAGCACGTGAGATGGGCGTGAGCCCATCCGCACGCGCATCAAAGAATGGAATCGGAGCGAGAGAATAGGAGGCAAGGGGTGGGGAAGCGATGAGGATCAGTTCGTTGGGGGTAGTGGAAGAAGAATTTGTCGGGGTAGAGACGGCAGTCGATTTGGAGGAGGCCTCAGAGACGGGGGCAGAATAGGGTTGTAAGGAAAGTACGTAGAGATGCGATGGCGGCGGGGAGGGTAAAAGACCTGGTGCGGACTGTAGGAGTGTGAAATGCCTCAGAAGTGTCGGTGGACGACGGTCGATGTTCTATGGGATGACATGCGCATATAGTGAGTGATCATCACAGATGGTATACAGTAAAAACCTGGTGGCAGACAGGTGGATAAGACTCACTGCAACCGCTTGCACGACAAGTGACCCATCTGCAAGCACACGCAGAAATAAGTCCCAACCTTCTTCGGCGATCTCTCTCACTCTTCTGCTCCGTCCATCTTCCTTCGCAGTCTCCCCGCTGGCACCCTTCAATGCGCTCAGCACAGCACCTCTCTCAAGTGGGAACACCGCGCTCGTCGTGATTGCCACATCGGCATCCAGTGAGGACGAGAAAGGCACTGCACTCGCAGCATCAAGGGCAGCATGCAGTTGGACGCGCTGAGGCTCATCCAGCACAGGAAGAAAGATACGCAACGTCCCATCGGCCGTTGTTGTGTACAGAATTGGGTCATCACTATGGCCATGTGCATGGGAGTGTGTAGGTGTCGGCTGCCGCCAATGGATGTCCGTCACAGGACGGGGATGGGGTATGGCTTGTGTGAGGCGGCCAGAGGTCGTCGAATGGAGGCGGACAGTATTGTCATGCTGCGGCGCGTACACAATCAGCAAGCTTCTCTTGAAGTTATATAATGCTCCTACCAATGATATTGCAGCAATGTACATGAGGGATGGCGAAAAACGCACGCAGATTGGGCATTTCGCGCTACCCGTCCGTCAATCACGCCTTATTTCTTGACATTGTATAAATTTGCGTACCTATATGTCCACTTGCATGACCAAGTTGGCAGGTCGTTCTCTAGAATTAGTGTATAGACGGACAAACTGGCGCGCGTGCTGACAGCGAGCAGACCTGCTGCATGTCAGATGTGCCAAATATCTGAGACGATGCGGCGTACCGGATTTGCAATCCAGAGCGGTCACTTCCTGATCCTCTGAAACAAGCAACGTCGCATGCAGCCGCCAAGAGTTCTGTGGCTGGGACGACCCTGTGTTGGACAGAGTCCAGGTAGCGATCCGTGACCCCATCGACGCAACCACCTACGCGCAAGCCGTCAAAGATTATCGGAGTAAGTACAAGGCATTATTTTAGAAACGGCGCACGAGCTTCATTCCAGGATCGATGGCAAGACATCGTATAGAATCATTAGAATGCCGTGTGCCGGGGAAAGCCTCCCGAAACGCCAGGGCGCGCAAGAACGTAAGAGTGCGTGCATTCAGGATGATGATACAGTCAGAGTAAGGATATAGCTAAAATACAAACGTGAATGAGCGTCTGCTAGCAGATAATCGATACTCCGCTTACCAGGAGCGTCTCGCTCTGCAAGACGAGAAACTGAAGACCGGTGGTCGGGTAGCCTGTGAAAGCCTGTAATAGCTCGAGCATGCTGCGCACAGTGGGCGATCACGGCGTGATAGTATGATACCTCTAGATTACACGTCGAACGGGTTTTTGGACTAATCGCGGAGAGTCATGGTGGCCAGAGATGAATTGCGTAGGGTCACTCCACCGGTGAGGCATGGGCGTCTACCACGGGACGCGTTCCACCCGTGACGCGGGGTCTCGACGCTCACGACGAGCACCCATGCATCATGGCTCAAACGTTCAACCTGATGCATACATATCACAACTTCCATCTGCGCAGAAGCAAGGCCATAAAGGCAGAAAATACGTTGGCATTAAAAGTCATTGTACGGAGCTTCGTTCAACTAAATCCAGGGAACATCGTACACGGATTTCCTATGACCAAGATATGAAAACAGACTGGAGCGAATAAACCTTGACAACAGGTCTATGCCTCGTACTCAACCTCGCGCTTCTTGAGAACGAGTTCCTTGCCCACGACGCGCTTCCACACGTTGTGGACGTCATCGACCACGGTCTCGAAGTGCGAAGTAGCATCGTAAGAGCGAGTGATGAAGATCTGATCGTCTTCGCCAGACGATGTAGGCTTGTGAAGGGTTGATACGGAGACAAACCTAAAAGATGTTGATCAGAACGTGATAAGCAGGCAAATCACGTCGAACTTACTTGTCGTAGATGGGACCAAGGAGTTGGAGACCCGGAACAATCTCTTCCTCTGGCTTGTCTGTCTCCACGATGGTGCTGACAATAGCAACGTAGACGTCCTTGGCGCAAACGTTGTGCGTCGAGGAAACCATCGCAATGTAGATATCTGCAGGGATATAAGAAGTTGCTATTATCGCTAGGATCGAATCAGCGTACCGTTCCGTCGGCCGACCTGGTTCTGGGGTATAATGATCTGCACGCTGTCTGAATCGTCTGTACCAGGGATCGGGTGCTTGAGGAAGCAGATCGCGCGGATGACCTTGCCCTCCTCCGTGACCCTGACTTTGCCAGCCTGCGCGGACTGGCCCACACCGAAGTAGCTGGGGTCGCCGATGACTTGCTTCGCCTTCACGGTTTCGTTACCACTCCTGACGCCGACAAACTTGCCATCGGCGTCGGTGACGATCTCATCGATCGGCTTGTCTAGCATGTAAGTGCCGCCGTAGATTGCACTCAGACGAGCGAAGGATTGAGGCAACTCTCCGAGACCATAGAGAGGGTAGATATAGGGAGACTTGCCGTATCGCGCCATGGACGATGTGTACAGCACGATCCGGTCATATGTAGGCCGAGCAATCTTGGTCTTGTAGCTGGCAGAAAACACGTCAGCAATGGAACGCAGAATATACCTCATGTACCTACTCATCATCTAGATAGAGGGCCATGGCGTGACCGATGAAGTCCTGGGTACCAGGTTCAAGACCGAACTTCTCGTAAACAATATTCATGGTATCCTTGTCAAGGTCAATACCTGTGCAGATGTCAGCATCAGTATGCGATAGTAAGATCAGTATCACGCGCATACCTTGGTGCGTGGCAGGGTCGTCGTCCTTCCAGTTCTGCAGGAACTCGAAGAACTTCTTCGCCCTCCGCTTCTCAAAGAGGCCCATCAGCGGACTCCTGACCGCCTCCATCTCCGTACTCGGCACCTTCGAGATCTTGCCATCGCGGTAGACGAAGCTGCCCGCGATCTGCTTGAACTCGAGGTACCGGGTCACGTCGGTGTGCACGAGGATACGTGTCAGTTCTCCCGAGGCGATGATGAACTTGGGGATGAGGTCGACGGCGTAGTCCCGGTCGCGCCCAAGCTCAGCGGGAATGGCCTGATCCGGCCTGAACTGGCGGTATAGCTGGAAGCAATTGATGCGTTAGCAGTGTTTCTCGACCGGTGCTGGGTGATATACCTGTGTCAAGTTCAAACTCGCACTGTCTCCACCATAATAGTCATTCCTGTCCATGTGGAGGACCTTCTTGCCCTCGACGGATAGCAGACCGGAGAGTATACATTCGGTCAGACCAGTACCGAGAACGACGACCTGCCGGCACGAATGTGTCACCACGCGGATGTCACGGAGAGAAATAGAACCGTTGGTACATCATACTCTTCATCCATGTCAGATAGGGAGACGTGTTAGTGAGGTTGTATAGTTCAGGGAGGATGGTAGAGACGGTGCTGGTGCTAACAAGGCGTTGGCCTCATACATATACCTGGCGGTATCGATCCAGCACGTGCTCACCTCACCTTCGAGAAGTCCGTAAATCAAGATCATCATATATTTCAGCCTAGTCCCTACAAACATAGCATACACCTAGAAAAGCAAGTTATTCTTACATGTCCGTAGGAAGGCGTGATCAGCGGATCACGGTTCGTGTATGAAAGCAAAGTTGATGTGCAAGCGCTCCGATATAAATGATAAAACGTAATACTTTGACTGACACAAAGCCGTCATGCAAGGATCCATCAAGGACTACCGCCTGACAGTTCTACTCGCTGGCGCTTTTCTTCGAGCAGATCGATAAAGGGAGGAAGCGTGTTGAGCTCGGCTTTGCGCTTTTCTGGGATGGTATGCGATGTCTGAGCATCCTGTGCTGGCGCTAGCGATGGACTTCCACTCGCGCCGCCACTAGCTTCTTCCGCCTGTTTCACGTGTGCCTTGCGTTTATACTTCTTCACTAGGCGATTTATCTCTGCACAAGGACAAATTCAGCGTCGAGCAATCCATACGAATCGGACGATGTATACCCTGATTTTTTCCTGTCGTAAATTTGGGCATAAGCCTCAAACGACCGCTTGGGATACTGAACCCATTTGTCTCAGATTCTGATCAGAAGCCAGTGCAAACTATGGTGCCTCTCACCTTTGCAACATAAGGCGCGAACCTATCTGACCGAGTGAGATCATCCCAATCAGGCCTAGCGACTATATATTTTGCAAGCACACGCAAGTCCGCCTTTCTGACCAGATCTCCTGAAGAGCCCATGTGTTGAACATCTTCGTCCGTAGGTGGATCTGTCTCCGACTCAAGTAGTTCTATGTCTGACTCCTCGTCAATGCTCTCCTGAAGCGACAGAACTGACTGGGAAGTATTTGTGTCATTTTCTGATGAGGAGGGTTCAGGGAGAGACTTCGCAGCATTTAAGACCTTATCAACGATGTTTTTATTGCGATGCCAATAAGATGACCACGAAGCCAATGAATGATGCGGAACCTGTTTGCGTGTAAGCAGAAAAATCGATGTGTGCTATTCCCTCCCACCTTTACTGCCAGCAGCTTACACAATGATTCACGCTGCAGCTCGGGATTCTTCCCCAGTTCCCACTGCAGTAACTTGACGAAAAAATCCTTATCCTTTATAGTGTATAGATTCTGTCCTGTGACGTTGGCGATAACTTCTTCCGGCGGTGTCGGTGATCTCGAAGGCCAGCGCGGGAGATTAACCCTCGTTGATGAACTTGAAATAGAGCCACGCTGTTTCTTCTGGCGGGCTGTCTTCCTGGAACCTAAGGCTCCCTGGTCCTCGTCGTCTTGTGCCCTAGTCGACATCCTAGTTTGTTGCCGAGATGAGGTGCCTGTCTTTATATTTCGCGATGATGAAGGATGAGCACGTCGGTTCGATGTATTTTGCCGTGGAAGCTCTGCCTCTGTGGGCCGGACCGACGACGACGATACGTTAGAACGAGATGGAGAAGGATACGGACTTCTTTGCACGTAATCTACGGGTGATGAAGATGAGGACGCATAAAGATGCGCAGACTGCCCTGTGGACCTTGATAAGGTGCTAGACGTGGGCCATTTCTCCTCAGCGTTGCTGGCACGCAAGTTCGCGATCAGCCTCTCGATGCGCTTTGCGTGATCCAAATAGTAGTCCTTCCACATCGCTGCAGAATGGTTGTTGACCTGAGACAAATTTAGCAGTAGACAGATGTCGGTGAGGAAAGCATGCTCACTCCATTCAAAGCCTCCAGTGCTTGCCGATAAGTCTGGCCCTTACTCTCGCTCTCGTGTAGTGCTTGCACAAGGCGCATTTGGTCGTCAGGAAAACTCCCGACTGGGGTGCTCATCTTTAACATGTCCACCAATGCCTGCATCGCTGGATTAATATCGGGTGCAGGTAAAGGTGCGACATTCGTCTGCGGTGCCAGTAGCGTGATCAACTGAGCCAACAAAGCATTCGCCTGGGGGGCCGATGCGCCTGTTCCAACTATCCTAGAGAGACTACTCTGCTGTACAGGGTTCGCTTGAGAGAGGGAGGCAGCCGCAAACGGTGGCAAGAAGGCACTTGTCTGGGACATTGCTGGAATGGCGGCATGAGCGGTGAATGGAGCAGCGAGATTTTGCGGTGGTGTAGCGCTGCTGAAAGCCCGAGACAGCTGCGCCAAACTGTTATAAATATGAGCCAGGTTTCCAGATGGGTCTGATTCGCTTCCAGAGGAGGAGATGCCGGTAGGATTGGTGGGATTCATTGCGCGTTACACCCTAAGCCGGCGAAAACACGAATATAGCCTAATCTCAGCCATTTCTCTGGGCCGTGAATGCGGCAAACTTACTACAAAATACGGCGCAGTGCAAAGTGCCAGACAAGCTTGCAAGCTCGTCACATTCAACAACGGAGCGTGCTGCCAGTGGTCTGCAGCGGATATGATCGCGGCAAGCGTCAAGGACGCGACTGTGAGCGATCGATCGGCAAGGCGCCCGCACTCCTTGTGACCTCTCCGCCACTCAACAGCCGCCATGGCGCCGTCTGTCCTGATTGTCTGTCTCGGAAACATCTGCCGCTCACCGATGGGCGAGGCGGTCCTCAGGCATGTTGCGAAAGAGCGCGGCATCGAGCTCACTGTCGACTCTGCGGGTACGTCGCGCTACCACATTGGCGAGGATCCAGATGATCGGTGAGCTACCCAGTGCTCTCGAGAGACGCTTCGCTGTCTGACTGAGCTGCTGGGCCAGAACGATCTCAACATGTCGAAAAGTGAGACACAGCATGTCGACTCCCACACGTCCGCACGCTGAGCCGGTAATCAGTACAAAGTTTCCATAAAACATTCCGCGCGCCAGGTCTCTGATGAGGACTTTCGCCAATTCACCCACATACTCGCCGCCGACGAGGCCAACCTGCGTACTCTCCAGCAACGGAAGCCGCACGGCGCCTCCGCGGACGTACGGCTGTGGGGCTCATACCTGGACAACGAGCCCATTGCAGATCCATACTACGGAGGATCGGTGAGTTGCACCTATTTCCACCTCAATGTACTTACTGAATTGGCCATTTCAAGCGAGACTTTGAAGATTGTTACAAGCAATGCATCCAGCTATCCAATGCATTCCTGGATGAGGTGGTTGGGAAATAGATGGGATCCATGTTTTTGGTCAATCATACCCTACCCTAGACAAGGGACATGGAGCTTCGTTGATACCAGCGTGCATGGATAATCAACATCCAATCTTATTCCCCACTTGATCTCATCCTACAGCAGTATACAACTCTTATGGGATCTGATGGTACAAATGTGACAATGGCCTGTCTGCTTGCATGCGACGGAAAGTACCCGCAGTGCTAGGGCTCACCCATCAGGAGTGTGTCGGCATGTCGACGGAAGCTTTGTTTCCGATAGCGTCCTCTGCTTTCCAGAGAGCTGTGGTGGTCTAGACGAATGATGTTTCGCATCCAAATCCAAATCGAACGACGCAGTCAACGCTCACCTTGTTCTGCGTGTAAAAGTCTATACCACTATGGTATCAAGGTTGCGTCACATCAACGTACGAAACTCGTTGCGACGAACGCTAGACTTACCCTCTGCCGTAGAATGGGATATCACCAAGGAAGCTGGCCTACAGAATACCGTCCACATTCAGTATTCACACATTGGAATCACGTCGATGATGTGACGCGCCTTGTTTCCGCTCCACGAGAACATCGGCAGTGGGACTGGGATCGGCACGTTGATGCCAACCTGCCCGACCTCCACTTCACGCTCAAACTTCCGCGCAGTCGCCCCGCTCTGTGTGAAGATCGCCGTGCCGTTGCCGTATGGGTTCGCATTAATGATGGCGAGCGCATCGTCGAGGGTATCAGCCTTCAACACGATCAACACAGGACCGAAGATCTCCTCGCTGTCACGAGACCAAGTTCAGATTGAAGGTCAGTGCGGAGAGGAGAGGCTACAATTCGTACCGATAGCATCTCATGTCAACGGTGGCCTCGATGACAGTGGGGCCGATCCAATTGCCATCAGGGTATCCAGAGACTTCCAGGCCGCGCCCGTCAAGAACAACGACCCCGCCCTGCTCCTCTGCCGATGCGATGAGACCTGTGATGCGCTGTTTCGCGGCAGGAGAGATGACCGGACCACTATCGTAGTGATCATTAGTATTGATAGAAAGGAAAGGCGATGGAGGAACACGCACAGGTCAACGTCCTTCTCGAAGCCCTGACCGACCTTCAGCTTCTTCGCACGTTCGCACAACTCGGGCAGCCATCCCTGCGCGTGGCCAACCAGCACAGCTGGTAAAGAATGTCAACTTCTGAAGAGTACAACAGCAGCCACTGTACTTACCCACAGAGATCGCCATGCATCGCTGACCAGCAGCTAGAAACCGAACGCGATGACCGTTCAAGAACGTGAGGCTACAGACTGCTATTCATCGTACTCACCGCCTAATGCCGCCCCAATTATTGAGTTTAGTGCATGATTCTTGTTCGCTGTAAGATGGAAATCAGTCGCTAGTCTTCGTGGGAGCGGGCCGAGCTGCACACCATCTGGCATGATGACTGCGTGGTTCTTAGCACCCATGTTGCACTGCAACTCTCCTCAGCTAACCTACACGTAACAGGATACTGGTGTGACAATACCTGTACACGTTTCCCAGACTTTCGGCCCCTAACGATCCCGTGAGCTCATGCCCCAGCACTTCAGAAGCGCTCACCTACCTCTCATAAATATGCTTACCCGCGCGATCTCCGCCAACGAAGCTGACAGCTTTGATAGAAGGGTGGTCGCAGATAGCATTGACTGTCGGCACGGTCCCGTGTACAACGTTCAGGACGCCCGGAGGTAGGCCGGCACGCTGACAGAGCTCCGCAATGATCATGGCTGCACCGGGATCGCGCTCCGAGGGCTTGACGATCAGTGTGTTGCCGGTCGAGATGGCCATGGGTATCGTCCACAGTGGGATCATGCTATGGAGTTTGTGAGATCTCCCCGTTAACGACTTCCAGCTAGCCACTCACGCTGGGAAGTTGAACGGCGCGATGCTACAGCATTATGAATAAGTCAGGGCAGCTATGATGAAGCTAATGGAAAAGGCATACCTTGCACATACACCCAACGGCAGTCGTCGCGTTGATGTATCCATATCTTTGCTGACTGACGGACGTTGTCAGATGCAAGAATCGAGCATAGGATCGCGATGGGAGCACACCTTCAAGCGTATCGCCAAGCAGTGCGGTCGGGACATTAGTCGTCGTCTCTACGACTTGCAGGCCTCTGAGAAGGTCGCCGCGCGCATCTATCGTAGTTGTCTCGGTCACACATTCTCGCGATGGCTAGCAGTCACCGACCTCCAAGAGTCTTGCCCTGCTCTAGGACAATGCTGTTGGCAATCGCGTCCGCATTGTCACGCAGCACCTGCTGCAGGCTAGATGGCCGTCAGCGTAGGACGTCGAGCAGAAATGGGAGACGCACTCCATCACAAACCGCTGACGCGTAAGGACACTTGAGCGACTCCATGTCTTGTACGCCTCTGACGCTGCGGCTACGGCCTGCTCAAACTCTGCACTCGTAGTCTCTGGCACGCGTGTCAACAGCGTCTGTGTCGCCTATATTATCGCAGGGCAGCATGAGCTTCAATAAATTGCACAGCAAACGAACGTACAGGATCGACGGCATCAATCCATGACTGTGTTTGGCTCTCCACGAACTCGCCTCCGATAAAGTTCTTGGTGTTCTCGCCTGTCGCGCTCGTTCCCTTCCACTGCGATGATATCTGCTCCGCCTTCGCGCGGGCGGTGGCGCTCAGTGCGCTGAGAGGAGGGCGGATAGCGGTCGCGTATGATCGACGCAGGCCAAAGTGCCCGGAACGCAGCAGCTTTGCTGGAGGCATGGTGGATGAGATCAACGGTCGGTGACAGACCTGAGGCTGGGTATATACATGTCCTGCGGGCCCCCGCCGAGGGGAGAAGCACATCAAGGCTCTACTTAATCATGAGATCAGTCTGAGGGAGCCACGTGCCTACGCGTCCGGCTAGCGCTCGCTAACGGCGTTGGCCCAGCCTTGACTCTGGCTTGGTGACCGACAGCACATTCTCGTTATCTGCATCGTCCTGCCTGTTCATTCTGCCTTACAACAAATGGGCCCTCCTCCAATCCAGCTCTTCCTCACCACGATTGTCTCACAGACAGCTCTTCGCCAGCGGCAAGGTGTGCAATCTCTTGAAACAATACTACACACAATCTGGTTAATGAGATTGGTCTTCAGAGTACATACTGCGCATCTTGCAGGTCAAGAAAGTCCCATTCACGTCCTACGACCTTGCCTCGGATGAGGAGGCAAAGAAGCTCTGGCGTCGGAAAGCCCCACGAGGCTAGTATGGCTCGCTACACCAGATGCTGCACCGCCGGCCTTACTGACCGCTCCAAACCCGGTACAGACAAACAACAACTTCCTGGCATTCTGATTGGCGGCGAATTTCCAGGGGTGAGTCATCTATGCAGCACACGGTGCTAACGCATTTTCAAACTGTTTCCCCCACAGACATTTGACGAATTGTGCGTTTGCACGTCACATTACTAGTGACACAATGTTGAAACTGAGAACATAGCGAGGAAGCAGTAGAATTCGAGGAGGTCGACCAGTTCCTTCGCCTGAAGGAGGAGTGGAAGCCCTTCGAGGATGACAAGCCCACACTCCGCTCCCAACCCATCGGTGTGCCTGGCGCGTACTCTCCCGCCCAGATGCATCCGCATCACCAGCCCGCAATCTCGCGATCACCCTCTCCATTGAAGAGCAAGGACAAGGCGATCAACAGCAAGGACAAGGTGATCAACAGCAAGGATACAAAGAAGATCGATGCTGGTGCTGAGCTGGGAGATTCGAGACTGCAAGGAGTAAATGTCACCGAAGATGACCTGTTGGCATTGGTTGAGGAGTTGGGGCTTGGAGGGGACGAGGCCAACGATCTTGTAAAGGGACTTACAGGAGAGACTAGATCTACCGGTAAAGATGGCAGCAGCAAAGCCCAGGAGAAGCATGAAGAAGTAGGATCAGGAACAAAGGCTGATGCGGGTCAAAGCGAGACAGCTTGATCTGACAAACTTGTTGGAGTCAGAGCTGCGGGAGGGGATGAGGGGTCGGCGCGGGTCGCCAAACACTCCATGCTGGGTCAAGGGTATGTCAGTGCCGTTGTTCGGTGCTTGATGGGATTTATGGACTTGGAGGCAAGGAGGATCTACTAGACATTTATCTGCTAATATGTGTTACATAGCGAAGGCATACTACAAATTGAATACAGTGCCATATCGTCCATTACAACCGAGCTGGCGATCATCTTTATCAATCATCACGATCTGCATCTCGACCCGACGAAGACCTTGAGGCACGTCTACGGAGGGGATAGAACGTATCGTCCACGGGATCAGGTGCGCCCATTGGCGGCGGAATGTCTGGTAAGCGGAAGCTACCCTCCGGAGTTTGGTTCTGGAAACGTTCAAGCTCGGCGTAGTATTCTGCAAGTGCTCGTTCTTGCTGACTGAGGTCAGGCTCCAAGCGTTCATAGTCATCTTCCGGTTCTGACTTTACTCGAGGCTCTGTCGAAGGTGCCACCGACGATGGATCGTCCTGGACGAGCGGTTAGCCATTGCATAAAATGAATATGCGCGATAAACGCGTACCGTTGCGGACGAGCGTCGTTCGTGCCCAGTACTGATACTCGCACTTCTGCTCCGCTTGCGTAACTTCGGGTTGTGACGGGCTCCATCCGTGTCTGCTGCGCTCATACTAGGCCGTCGTCGCAATCGTCTGCGCCTCGGGGGTGGCTTATCCTGATATGGGTCGCTGTTGAAGCGCAGCTCGAGTGCCGGGAGGAGGCATGACGCCAACACGATGAATGAGATGAAGAGCGATGTCCCTGCAGCCATGAAGGCGGATGTTAGGGGGAAGCGGGCCACCAAGCCCCTGGTGGAATGCGTGTGGGATTAAGTAATTGTTCGAAACATGCAACGATACGACCCACCGAATACCCTTGCGAACAACAACCCCGCGCAACACCGCGGTGAGCACACTCAACTCGCGCCCTTCCCCGTTCCCGATGCTCTTCCAGCGGTCTCGTCGGCCAAGCTCGATAGTGGCCGTGGCACGAGATGTCTCCAGAGCAACTGAGCGCAGCAAAGGCACAGTCAAGTCCACCGTGCCGTGCCAGTTGGGCAAGAATGACCAGGGCGCGGACGAGCGCGGAAGTACGATAGCCTGCGAGCACATGCATCAGACCAAGCATATATGCGAACTGGAAACGTTTCTCACAGCTTTGCGTGACTGAACGAGCATTCTGTTTGCAGGAGATGAGATCGTGAGGGACGCCATGAAGTTGCCAAGTGCCAAGTTGGACTCGGTTGCAGGGACGACAAGATGAAGAGAGATATCATAGGGTTGCGTCGCAACCATGTTTGCAAGACTGACCTCCGCATATGGAGGAACTCCATCGCTAGTATCCCGTTCAAAAGTAAGCGGCAAGCAAGAAGCCTGTTTGAAGGAAGACGCACCCATACTGCAGAGCCAACTCCGTCTCCCAAGCGACTGCAACACTCTTCCACACCAGCCAGCCAGCCGATGCAGATAGAAAGGCGATTACAGGCAGTGCAAGCAGGAAAACAGCAAGAGGGATCAGGTTAGGTGTGTATGGACTGACTAAATGGAAAATGGCGGCCATGATGTCGCCCAGTAACTTTACGGGATAGTGCAGGGGGAAGACATAGTTCGCAAGACCGTCGGCACCATTGGCAACGCGCCTTTTCAGACGTTCTCTCTGCGCTTCGTCTACGGCTTTAGGGGATGCTGAAGGGTCCATCGTGATTTGCTGAACATGAGGCGGTCTGGAGATGTGGTCGAACATCGACCGCGTTGTGACTTGCAACTGATGCCCCGCACGCGTCGAGCACCTTGAGGCACTCGTGATTCTATCTAATCAGATCTAATGAACTTTCGGGCGCTTCCCAGTTCGAAGTTGACGACCATGTCAGCTCCCCTCGATTTTAAGCAGCTCCTGGGCTTGCATCCGTCCTCTGAGACTCTCGCCAAACACATATCGTCTCTGACGGCTCTTGCATCCATCACTGAAGCCGCCGTGCCTGAAGTGAAGTCCTATCCTGACGTAGTCTATTTCAATTACTATGTGCTCGGCCTCAGCCTTATGTTCAAGCCAATCAATGGTTACAAGCCCAAAACAGGATTATTACGCGACCAGCTGAAGGATGTGGATGTCGTAGTCGATGGTATTGACATTTATAACGTCCCAAAACCAAAGACCGGATCTGCATCCGAAAGCAAATTCAAGTCGACATACGCATCCTGTCCTATTTCTCCGGTCGTTCTTACTCTCTCGCATGGCTCTACCAACAAAAACGCCGAGCCGCGTCCTTCTCACTTTGAGGTGAAGCCAGAAACAACAGGCAAGGAGTTTGTGGAGACTATGGGCGAACCTGACCGCAAAGGCGGAGGCGCGGGACCATCGTCCGGATCCATTGGAATCTGGTGTGAATGGTCGAAGGACGGGGTCATGGTTGAGTTTGGTGGCGACGAAAGCAGAGGACCTCAGGCATGGGAGCGCGGGAAGGATGCAGTGTGGAAGATTATTAGCATCTTCCCGCCCAAGACAGACTAAGCCTCCCCACCCCTCCAATCTCCGGCATGCAGGTAAGTTTGATATAATTTTGTCTTCAAAACCTGGTCCACATTCGTTGATCAGATATCTTACATGACACCGCATCTCTACAATATATCAACCACAAGGTCACAATGTGCCCTCTGCCGAGCGCCATGTGTTGCTATCAGCCTGAGTCTATGAACACAGTGGCATGTACTCACGGTAATCATATACCAGACGAGCTTGGACTTTCTCTTTCTCTGGACCTGTAAAGTCGACGTGCCTTACATGTCTCTTCTCGCCATTGATTTCTTCGAAACCCCATGTCTTCGTGCCAGTCAGTTATCCTCCGAAGTTCAACGATGCCCGGCCCATAACCCACCTGTACTGCTACCCATCTTGTACCATTCTTTGCAGTGTCGCTTTCTGCCCGTGTCAGCACCAGACTCATTTCTCTTGTGTCCTTTGTCCAGCCTTTCTTCAGCCACTCGTTGTCTACCTCATCAATAGAGACACGCTTGCTCTGAGACAGCACATTGCCGAAGGTATCGTCTTCATGTGGCCGTGGCTCCCAGTCTAGGATCCGGTCCTCGTCCGTGTTGGATAGGCCTGACAGCGTCTGGAGGATGTCAATGTGCTCTATGGAGTTCTCGTCGGTGTAGTGTTTGATGCTGAGGTACAACGTCCCCATGCGAATGATCTTGCGCTTCAGCCAGCCGAGTCCTTGCAATCGAAGGATCTCGTCGGTATGATCGCTCAAGGATTTGCTCTGCATGTGAGCACGAATCCTCGATGAGCTGCTCTCGGTGCATCGTTATCTGGCTCACCATGATATACTTTCCGCTGATGTTGAGGACAGTCATCTCTGGTGGGACGGCCATGACGGGCAGCTGTTGTCGGATAGCAATGGCGGTGAGAACGATTGCGGGTGATTGGGAGATATAGCTGTATGGGATTGGTGTTGAATTGATGGCTTCATGTGGAATTTGAGCGACAATATATAGCTCTGCCTCATTGCGGCCGACGGCATGCCAGTACAGCCTCAAGCATAGCGCGCTCGCTCGTGATAGCTCGGCTGCCAGAATGTCCTATTCGCTCGTTCCACCCGTGCGGATTTGCGATTTGTCCGTCTATTTTGGTCCCCGTCTGGCCTCATCGATTGTACATAGCTCGAGGTGCGATTTCGTCGCGTTAATGATGGCTCCTCCAACGCTGGGCGCTTCGTAAGGTCACCGACTGCGACGGGCTGTTTGATGCGCCTGTGAGTGTCACGGCTACCGCTGATACTTAACAACCGGCAAGCCGAATGGACTCCATCTCGCTCGCGAGCTCCTCTCGGCGACGAGATTGAGTTCGAATCTGTGATCAGTCTCACGCCCACGCCCACGCCCACGAAACTTCCGCAGACCTTCGAGGTCGAGACATGCCTTCCGACATCGCAAGCTCCTGACTCATGGCATCGCAGGCTGAGCACAGCCCTGGGTTCGACTCGCACGCTTTGCACGGTATGTTAGGGGCCCCCGTCCGAAAGTAGACTTGCCAGGTATGAATATACGAATGCTTCGACTTCTACCGCCCATACCGACGCAGTTCGGCCGCAGATCCCACGCCATTCCTAACCCTTACCTTGCATAGTACCGGACGGCACGCGCACACTATCGCGCTAGAGCCCGCGCTCATTCGCCTCGCCCGCCCGTTCACCAATGCGTGGCTGTTCGTGATCCTCGCAGCAGCCTACATCATTGGACTCGCCTTCTTCTCCCGAGCGCAGTCCTTCTTGACACCAGCTGACTCGTTCATTGGTTGCACGGCAACGTATTGGGCTGCGAACAACGGCTGCGGACTGGATGGAGAGGACTGCGAGCCGTTCAGCAACACTACGTTCGACTTCCGCTGCCCCGCTGCCTGCAGCTCAACTGTGCTGCAGAATCCGCGCACGGTAGGCGATGTCCAAATTGAATGGGTGCCGCTCATCGTGGGCGGTGGAGATGCGAACAGAACATATCGTGGAGACAGCTTCATATGTGCCGCAGCCATCCAGGCGTGAGTGTCATTCCGCACTGCCGGCTCGTACTAGACTTTTGAATGCTCATCATAAACGCTCAGAGGTCTCATCGGCGACTCCAAAGGAGGCTGTGCGTCCTTGGCTCTCACAGGCAAGTACACCGATTATTTGCCATTCAGTGCAAATGGCTTGGATTCCATCGGGTTCCCAACTTCGTTCCCACTCTCATTCCGCTTCCTGAACACAACTCCCCTCCACCACTGTGATGACCTCCGCACCCCAGCACTCGCATTGAATGTCATAGTCACTGCCATGATCTTCCTATTCCTGCGCCCTAAACCTGTCGTAGCGTTCTGGTGTCTTGTTTGCATCGGATTCTGGCACGTCGCATTTTTCTCGGAGCCAATGGCCATTCCGCCTCCACTGGACGATGCCTTCGCCGCTTTCCTTCCCACTCTGTTTTTGCGTATGCGTTCTGGCGCCTAGCTTTCAGGTTTACCATGCCGGTCTTCTGGAAAGCACCTATCGAGGCCGCAGTGTGGTACCTTCCTACTTTCAGGACGGGCGTCCTCACGAACCTTACAATGGACAAAATCCCCGTAGATCGTCTGTTAGCGTCAGACCTCCAGAGACAGCCTGGAGCGATCATCGCGCTAATCATTATAATCGTCATCTTGGTGGTACTCGTGCTTAATCAAGTTCGCGTAATCCGCAAGACCGGTTGGCTAATTTACTATCTTGGGTGGTATGTCGCAGGCGGGTTGACCACAATGGTGCTTGCTTTGCTGCCTGGACTTGAACTTAGGCTGCATCACTACATCATTGCAATGGTTCTCATACCGGGGACAGCATTTCCGACCCGTTTATCAGCAATATACCAAGGCTTCTTGCTAGGCATGTTCTTGAATGGAGTAGCCGCATGGGGATTCGACTCCATACTCCAAACTGTTGCAGATGTATGTCAGCTCTCTACACAGTTGACTGCATTGACCTTAAACATCATACGGAATAGTTGCAAGGGGATGGTGCATCGGGCTCGATCGTGCCTTCATTTACGACCAACTCCACCAACTATGATGCTTCCGTATCGATGCATAATCAGACAATCTTTTGGAACCCTCTGCCAGACTCCAGCACCGACTGGGATGGTTTTTCTCTCATCGTCGACGATGTCGAACGTTACGTGGGAGTCGCTCTCAATTTCTCCTTGGCATCTCTTCAAATGGGCTTGCCGCACTTTTTCCGCCTCGCGGTGAGTAGCGTAGGTTCTCCGTGCCGTACATGGTCAGTTGACAATGTCTTCTCAATGCAGTATACCGATATGGGCTCGGATACTACCGGAGATTATACGATGCCCGCAACGCTGTGGCCAAATGGAACATGGGTCGATCCGCTATCCGGAACCTCGACGTGAAGTTCATAAGGTTATAGGACTGCCTATCGGAGACGATCGTTACGTCGCCTCGTCTGTATACTGATATCGCATAACATGGTACTGTGCACCTTACGCCGGAGTGCAGACTCTACAATTTTCTGTTTGATTGCAGCAAGAGGTGTTTGAACCAGTGTAGTAGCGGCAGTGGCCATTTTACCCGGCTAATTCCGGCAAGTCCGTGGCCTGTGGCTCCAATCATTGATAGCCGTTCAATGAAGCGGACCACGTGTTTACATAAGATCTCAGATCTGCTATACTCATCCGTTCAGTCCAGTTCAGTTGCAGTCGTCTGTTCTCACCCAGCTACGGTCATCTCGAATCCTCCTGCTAATCTTCCTGTCTAGCAGCTATGAGTTTCAGCAGGCCCTCATCTCAGGCCTCATCCACGCCGCCACCTCGTTTCAGGAATAAGCGTCGTGAGTCTGCTGTGACACACTCTAAGCTCTCACTGACTAATTGTATCCGCTTGCAGATTTTAGCCGCACAGCAGGACAGGGGGGTTGGTACTGCACACTTTGCACCACCCCAAGCCGTGCGCATCTTGAATCCATGTCAGGGCCTGCTGCAGTGACGCACGAACGGACGAAGGCCCACGCTCGCAAGGTGGAAGAGTACGAGTCCGGGAACTGGAAGCCAGATGTGTCCGGGTGGGAACCTGATCACACACCCTACGCGGATCTGCGCAAATGGGACGGGCAGAGTCACGTCAACCGATTGAGGGATCTCATCCCGTTTTGGCGGAATGGTGTGCTTGCGGCGGAAAGGGGAGAGGAGGCGGGCCGCATGGAGGAATTCCTCGAACGGCTGGAGGAAGAGTGGAATAACTCCAATGGATGGGGAAAGGCCGACGGGAATGGTGGCTGGAATGTGGACGTAGGGCAGGATATCTGGGGCGGTGTTCCTGCCAATCGGGGTGCACCTGCCAATCGGGGTGCACCTGAGGACAATTGGGGAGGTGCACCAGATCCCTCTTGGTTCGATCCGCATGTTGACGATGGGGCCGGTGCGGGCTGGGGGTCTGGTGATGCAAAGTGGGGCGTCTCTGAGCATGGCTCGCATGCGATAGCTGTCTCTCGGGATATTTGGCATGAAGAAATGATGGGGCGGACAAGTCGTTCCAGGAGAGGACAAGAGGAGGTTCCCGACCGAGATACATGGACGTTTGTCGAGAAGGTCGCGCATAAAGAGGAAGCGAGCGCAGAGCGAAGACAGCGTATGCACGAATTTTTCGAAGTGAGCAATTAACTGGATTTGTGCTGGGTTGCCGGAATTGACGAGGTTCCCTGCAGATGCCCATGGAGAGAAAAGTCGAGGTAATCACAGACATGATTCGTTTACTGCAGGCGCTTCCTTCAACATAATTCATTTCCACTGAGGCCCAGATGGCCATTGCGTTCGATTGCTACGACGCTCACGATCCCTCACGATACCCAAACACTTCTCGAGGTCTCACTATGCCACTGCTGGATTCATCAAAGGTCTATCGCTTTCCGCTCATGCGTTCGCTTGTGCTCTAAGGTGGATTATCAATATCTTACGACCTTTAATTCATTTATGTTGTACCTTTTGTCAATTTGTTCGATGCCCAGACCTGTGACTGGACATTGGCTGCTTCAGTGATAAGTAGTGAAGAAGCTCTAGTACATAGTCGAAACCTGTCATGCCGGTATTGGTCCGGAACCCAAACCAGATGACATCAGCAAGGCACTATGTATGTACTGCAGACGTTATGCCATTGATCACAGTGAAAGAGGCGTAACAGATTTGGTTTGGTCCTTGACTTGCAATGGATTATATTCGAGTGTTTTTGTTTAAGCCTCAAGTGTAAGCGTGCCGTAATCAAACAAGATAGCAAGTTCGAGAAAGCCATGGAAGTGGCCTACCGACGTGCACTTTCGGTGGAACGTGCTCAACGCGTCGCGCCCGAGCGCCAAGCCACGGCTGAAACGCGCCGCAAGGCGGTACTTGGAAACGGAGCGGGCGAGTACGGAAAGGCCTGGTCCTAGTATAGTAACCGGCCTCTCACTCCTTGCGCCCATGAGACAGGAAGGTGACGGCTAGCTAACGCCGGGGCCACACCAACATTTCCTGGACTTTTCTCTCCGGGGTTGGAAGCTTGTTATCGTGCGAAGTCATTGGCTTGTATAAGCCCGTTGAACACGGGAAGAACAAGTCAAAAAGGAGGAGCTCGAGCTACAAGTCGATTTGAGCTTTCCTGATGCGGTCAACTCCATCATCAGCTTTCGGCACGATATATCGAAAGAATGACGGTGACACAGGCATGTCGGGTTGCAGTACAATCGAGTGTTAATATTATTTGCCAAAAGCCCACTGCCCAGGTATAGTGTTAATATGAACTTCTTAACGAGCCATGGCGCGTTTGCTGCTCACACGTTCACTGCTAACAGGTCGCATCGTGCGTTGAACAAATAGGCTTGTGATGCACTCCAGAGACCCAATTCCGATTTCAAGCTCAGATATCGCGTACAGATGAACGGAAACGCGCGCCCTTTGTGGGTCCCTTTCAATGCAATCTGGGTGCCTCACGTGCCGCACGTTGTACATACTTCGCAAAGTGACTCGGTGTCGGACTTGAACTTCAAGTTCGACGCAGAGTCACTTTGTCCATTATCACCATCATCTCGTACCAATTTCGCTGCTACGGCATTTACCTAGAATGTCTAATCTCCCTAATGTTGCAGGTGCAGATCCTGTCTCTTTTCCACTTGACGCGTTTCGAGTTGCTATCGCAGTTCACCTGTCCAAATCGCTCCAGATATCAGTCGACATTGCCTTTACGGGCGTGGATCTAGGCAAAAAAGGTGTTGACTTTACAGTCGCTGTCCCTCGGTTCAGGCTGAAAACAAAGCTGCCGGAATTGATTCAGAAGGTTACGAGCACGGTATGTAAAGCAGCTGTCAATGATCATCATTTCACTGAAATTTCACACAATGGCGTTCAGTTTTCTCCCGATCAGTATTTAGAACGTGTAGTAGGGGAATCTCCATTTGTCCATTTTTATGTGCGCACGTCAACACTTGCTCGCCTCGTCTTGGACAAAGCATATGCCGGGAATTCCGCCAACAATTCGGGCGATACGTACGGTACCAATAAGCAGGGTATCGGGAGGAAAGTCATCGTAGAATTCAGCAGTCCCAACATCGCGAAGCCTTTTCATGCGGGTCACCTTCGAAGCACTATCATCGGTGCGGTGATCTCTAACATCTATGAGGCCAATGGGTGGCAGGTTGTTAGAATGAATTAGTTGAGTAAATCCAATCGAACAATTTCCAACAAGTCATAACTCTGTACTTTCGTCAGCCTCGGTGACTGGGGCAAACAATTCGGTTCGCTCTTATTTTGTCCAGGTCCTCGATGTGATCACTTACCTTATCATCCAGGTCTTCTTGCCGTAGGGTTCGAACGCTACGGTTCGGAAAAGGCATTGGCGGAGAATGCGATCATGCATCTATTTGAAGTGTATGTCAAAGTCAACCGCGACGCCGGTATGGAGAAAGAAAGAGGGAAAAAAGAAGTCACGAATGAGCTTGCTCGTGAAGTATTTCGAAAGATGGAGGCCGGTGAGCCATTTACTCTGTACACCTCGTCTCATGGCTAATCTTCCCGTGTGGCGCAGGGGATGAACCAACCCTCGCGATTTGGCACCGTTTTCGTGACTTATCTATTCGCAAATACACTGAGGTTTATGCTCGGCTCAACATCCGCTTCGATACCTACGCGGGAGAGTCCCTCGTCAGCCCTGCTCAGATCAAGGCGGCAATGGATATCCTTCAGAGCGAAGGACTACTATCCACAAAGACCTCCGAGGAAAGCGACAGTGATTGGAAGAAGAAGCGGGCTGCGATGGCTGCAGGTGTTCTCGTCATGCAGGACGAGGATTCTGAGGAACCATCGGCCGGAAATGACCTTGCTCTTGCTGTCGATCTGAACCAATGGAAGCTTGGGAAGCCTGTAGTGCAGAAGCCAGGTAAGCTACTGGATTGAAACACATGTCAACCTGTATCATGGAGACCTTTTTTCAGACGGCACCACTATCTATATCATGCGAGATATAGCTGGCGCTTATCAGCGCTACGAGGAGTACAAATTTGATAAAATGATCTACGTTGTCGGCGACCAGCAAGATCTCCATGTTGCGCAATTTTTCAAAATCGTCTCACTCATGCGCGCCCCTTTCGCAGATATGGTTGAGCACGTCAATTTCGGGCGTGTGAACGGGATGAGCACGCGCAAAGGAGACGTCAAGTTCCTGGACGAGATTCTGGACATGGCGAAAGGAGCTATGCTCTCACAGATGCAACAGAATGCTGAGAAGCTACAACAAATTGAGGATCCCGAATCCACTGCTGACGAGATCGGAATGACTTGCATCAAAATCCAGGATATGCAGGCAAAGAGGTATTGTATTTGTACGAGTGGTCGATGATATGATTACTCATGACACTTAACAGAGTACATGCGTACAATTTTGACCCTCAACGCATGACGTCCTTCGAAGGCGACACCGGTGCCTATCTACAATATGCGCACGCCCGTCTCTGTTCTGTTGAGCGTAAAGCAGCGCCAGCGGTCGTCCTTCCACTTTCTTCATCCGATATCGATATCGCACTTCTCGCGGAGCCCAAAGCTCGTGAGATCATTATCCTCCTTGGAACATACCCCGACCTGGTGCGCACCGCGCTCAAGACGCACGAACCCAGCAACATAGTATCATTCTGCTTTAGGTAAGAGATGTTCATTTGATCATGACGTTGCACCGCTTTCTGACAAATTACCTCCAGGCTGAGCCACGTCATAAGCTCTACTTGGGAATCACTTATTGTGATGGGAACGGAACATAAACTGGCTCAAGCTCGCCTTTTCCTGTTCGCCTGCGCTCGGGATGTTCTTGGGAACGCCATGAAGTTACTATCGCTCTCGCCGCTGACTAGAATGTAATTCGCGTACTTCCTTCTGTTTCGATGTGTCGCTGTTAATTTTGTGCTGTGTACCACGGTAGGATTTAGCGGTCATATGAGGTTTACGTCGAGATCACCCCATGCATAGAACAATCTCCCGATTACTTGACTATAGCACAACAACAAAGGGCATCGGAAACATATTAAATATATGGGATTGCGATCAGCTGTCCAATGTTCTAAGTAAAAAAGGACGTCCCGTTCGATACTCCGATCTGCGACTGGACATTATGTAGCTGGCCCTTACATGTGCCTGGATGCAGTGCCTCAGCTGCGGAGAATTGCCAAGTAAGGAAAGCAGAATTGCACAGCATTGGTCCGGAGTCCGGAGTCTGGAGTTTGGACCCAATCCAGATGACATCAGCAAGCAAGCGCAGTGGTGCGCAGCAATATAAAGAGCGAATCGTTCGCGTCGGTGATCAGCTTCATCCTGCATACCTTTTTCTGCTCCTTACAGCCATCATGAGTTACTACCCAAACCAGTTGCCTCCATTGCCTGAGGGGTGGGTTCAAGACTATGATCAGCGCGCGAACCACCCGTTCTGGGTACGCCTGCTCGTCGTGAATGTCTCATCAATTGTCAGCTAACGGACTTTACAGGTGGATACACGAGCAAATCCACCCCGTTCGATCTGGGTGCACCCATACGAGGACGAGCAATTCCTCCGCGAGCATCCGGACATTCGGGACAGGCTAGCTGCGGCTAGTGCTTCTGCTAATCCCAACCTTGCTCCGCCGCCCTATACTCCTAGACGGCATTCGTTCTCGGGTCAAGGCGGCTCCAAGAATGAATACTTGAATGTCGATGACTCAAGGTATGCGACATCGCAGCCAGGGTCGCCTAGCCAGGGCGGGTCGTCATCAAAGAGCTTCCTAAGCAACCTGATGGGCAAGGTGCGTCCGACTATTGATCATGACATTGACATGTGCTGACGAGTTGCCTCCCATACAGCCGCAACAACAACAACAACAATATGGTTACAACCAAAATGGAAATGCCGGGTACGGACAGTACCAGCCGCCACAGGGCAATCCGACTTCGAGTGGACGGAAGTACCTGCCGCTCTTGGGTGGTATGGCGGGTGGACTTCTGCTTGGAGATTTGCTTGGTGGTGGTGGACACCACCACGGCGGTCTATTCGGAGGCGGATCCGGGCAGACGGGAGGCGGTGGGATGTTCGGAGGACCATTCGGCGGAGGATTTGGGGGCGGCGGCGGCGGTCCATTCGGCGGAGGATTTGGGGGCGGCGGCGGCGGTCCATTCGGCGGGGGATTTGGGGGCGGCCCATTCGGCTGTGGAGGTGGTCCGGGTCGGTTCTGAGCAGTCGAGAGGATGTTTCTGTACTAGTACTTGCTTGATGGCACATGCATGGGACGTACATTGTACGAATATATAGCTATAGAATCGGTAGGAACGCGATATGATATTAGGATGCTCTCATTGCGGCAGTTTTCGTTAATCATCACTTGGTGAAGAGCTTATAGCTGAGCACCGCAAGAGGATATGTCGCGCGCTCAATGACAAGAGCAGGCATCCAGAGCGAGAGACCAAAGCACGAACGTGAACTATGCCGCGCCCTAGGACTATGTGACTCGATGTTGTGACAGGTATGGTCTCTCACGATGTCACTCGATCGCGCGTGCCAAGCGTGACGCGTCCGCGTTAACTACGCCGTGCGCGTTCGACGATGTCGAACTGACTTTTTTTTTGACCATTCTCGAGCAGGCGGATTGTTTGAACTGCAGGGGAGCACTCATATAGCTTGGACATAGACAAATCGGAACTCTCTTTGCTTGTCGTCAAGACATGGCGCCGGCCTTACCTTCATCACTGAGTCCACATGTCTGTATATTGTCCACCCCGGATGTAGAGGAGCTGTTCGAGGCTTCTAGTTTACCTTCTCTGCCTCAGACGCTTCAATGCTTTGTTCCGCTATCACAAGGTTCGTACGCTATGGAATCATGCCGCCTCCCGCGCTGACACATGCCCATGAAATGTCCGTCCTTTGTTGACCCCGGTGCATTTAATTCCCATACAGTGATGACGCGTACGACATCACTCGTCTCAGTTCCTCATAGCTCATTTGGTCTACGGTTTTCGGACCTCTCAGAGGTCGAAGAAGCAACACATGAGGATGAGGAACAGAGGGCCGCGCGCACTATGGACTGGATTGGTGCTCGGATCAGTCACCGTGCCGGACCATGGGTTAAGACGGTGGAGGCAAATCTCACCGCCGGTGCAGATGGCACTGGCAAGCAAAGCTCCTGGAAGGACAAAACACCGTGGTGGGAGGAGGTGAAGAGATGCGTGGAAGGTGATCATATACCCAACAGCGATGAGGGGTGGAATCATCCTGTTGCCAGTACGTCTCAGTCATTCCGCTTGCAAGCATTGTGCCACTAAGACCCCGTTGTGCGTTTGTCCCACCAAGTCATCTTTGCTGTATCCACAAGAGCGGCCAATCCTCTACAAGCCCTCCAGGATCTAAACTCGCGTGCTCTCGACTTTCCGCCATGGGTCGATACCACGCATCTCCGATACTACCTGATAATCCACCCCTCCAACTCGTCCCTCTCAGATCCCATGTGCGTCCCCTTGACGGCATTTCGTTTTGACGGATTGACAATATGCTATATCGTAGAGCTGAGGCCTTGTTCAATGCGATCAAGAAGCAGTATGGCTTACATAGTTACCTCCTACCCCTCGTACTTCCTATCGATCCTCTGCCTGCACCGGTTCCGGTCCCTTCCCTTCCTCCCCACCTTCCACCACCTCCGCAGCCCTCCGCGGCCTGGGATACCCCTCCTCTTGCTCCGCGTCCCACTCCTGCTGGGCTGGTTGCTCCCGACACCCCGAGACCTGCCATGTCTCCTATACCTCGATCACCTGGCCCACCGGCATTGAGAGCAGGTCAGCAGCAGAGTGCAGCCATGCAGGATTCTCCCGTAGGTCGTACGATACGGTTGTCCGAGGGTGACATTCAACAGATAGGCAAGTTCGTCCGGGAATTTGTTGTAATGAGCCTAATACCCTGGATGGAGAAGTGTGTGATCGATTGGAATGAAAATGTAGGTCATACGCCTGTTTCTGACATAATCCGAGGAACTGAATAGCTCTCCCAAGTATTCATCATCGCGTCGCCTGCCATCTCGCCTCTTCTCTTCTACCCGACGATTGTTTGGCTCTTCCGCCGCATCTTCAGCGACTGCGGTTCATGGCACCAATGCTTCAGTATCTTCCATGTCGTCCCGGTTGGCATCTCATGGACCTAAGGATTCTGTTAGTTCGCTCACGTCAGTGACCTCCCTTGGAACCGCCGTTGGCGCTGTCGTTACACAGCAAAGACGGCTGGCCGAATTCGCTACTATGCTAGGAGATGTCAAGCTTGCTGTCAGTGTCTGGGAGAATTTGAGGAAAGAAGGCAGAGGAGGTTCTGTGAGCGTCTCCCGTCAAGCCTTCTGACCGCTCAGCATCTGAATTTTGTCATAGGACATTCTCCCGCTTCTGTTGGCCCCTTCTCCGGCGCTCGCCTTGCATGCTGCCCATGCTCTATCAACCCTGCAACCGCACAGTCAGACTCTGCAATTCCCTACTCAATCGCCTGCACACGCACAAATACGTGCCCTTTCCTATGCGGTGCGATGGGCTGTTGGTATTGACAGAAAGGATTTTCTCGGCCCCGTGCTTGAAGGCGAACGGTGGTTAGTTCAAGCCGCTGGTAGTGTACGTCTCGTTCTATCTATGACTTCTCTTTATTTGTTCGCCTGAATGGTTTAACGAATGTCGTGAACCACGCAAGCGAACAAACATTGAGGACGTATCGACTCATCTGTATCCTGACTAAGAGCTTCTCAAGGCAGAAGACCCTCCGAGCACTGTTTTACTCGCGCATGCCGCACTACTCAGTGAGAGGAAGGGTGCTTTCAGGAGATCGGCGCTGTGGTATCTGCTTGCAGCGGATAGGTTTGAAAAGGTTGGCCTTGTGAGCATCTTTCCTGCTGTTACGTTGAGCCTCGCTGAGTTAGTGAATGCAGAAACCATTGGCTCTGTATTTCTTCCGCAAGGCGCACGACCTGTACCTGAAGCGCCCAAAGAAAGAAGTTTCTCCATCTTTCTGGGACAGTGAAGATGTTGATCCCGCACAGTGGCGAGGATTCGAGGCTGTCTTGCCTGGAATTGAACATGAACTAGGTACGTTTTCGGGCTTTCTAAGTGAAAATCTTACAATGAACTCGGAAATAGGCCGCCTTCTGTATACGACAGGTGATACGGAAGGTGCTGTTCGATATTTCCTAGGGCTACTGAGAGGCAGCTCTTGTGATCACTCACTGCAAGCCGACCCGACTTCATCTAGAGCGTCTAGCGGAAGAAGCACTCCAGATGGCCGCATTTCAACGGACAAAGTGTACCTAGAGGATTTCAGAGTAGCATTGAAGGTGAGTTCGAATCCTTGCAGATGACACCTTATCGACTGCGTTGACATTACACTTTACAGCATTTCAAGACGACTGAGCGAGAGAAATGGGAAGCTGCTGGTCTTCAGTTGCCAGTAACACTCTGCCAAGCCAAACGCACTAGGGTCAGATTCACAGGCGATACTGTTGAAGGGGACCCAGCAGAGTGGGACCGGCTAGAGGAAGACTGGAGTGCATTCTGGAGACCTCGAGGGAAAGAGCGACTTGAGCGCAGCCGCAAAGCCGCTGTGAATGGTCAGAACACTCACCATACAGCAGTGTGAGCATTGAATTGACAATCACTACAGAGGACTTCTGGGTTGACCTTGTGATGACAAACCCTCTCGATGTCGATATCAATATATCCGGACTTTCGATCACTGTTCGGGAGGCCTCTTCAGATAACCCCGAGAGTGCGAAGGAACTTGTTGAAGTCGAGGTCATTGACGGCATCACGCTAGGAGGGAAGGAAACACGTACGGTCCGTTGGCCAAGTATCACTTCATTCGATTCCATTGACACGAGATTGTAGATCCCCATTGCGGTCAAGTGCAAACAATGTGCATCACTCGTGATCGATCATGTCACATACGACTTTTTATCCTTGCTACCAGTAACAGAATCTTTAGCAATGCGCGGTTTTAGACTGCACGATACATCGCAACAAAGACAAAATAAAGTGTATGCGCCTGATGCTGTTATCAAGATTGACGTCGAAGAAGCCCTCCAGCGGCTGCATACCAGCTTTGTGGACGACGAGCATCTTGTCTTGGCTCAAGGAGAGTACAAACGCCTCAATCTGTGGATCACTAATTCCGGCACAAATCCTATCGGCGAGCTGTGGATGGTAGCCGGAAGAGAAGATGAGCTTTGGCTTGATGTCGACAAGCCGAATAGCCCAGGTGACCGGTCCTCCCACGCGAGGTCAATCCTTTAACTGACTAAGGAACAGAACCGTCAAGTGAAGGCTCATCGGTCGCAGAGCTGATACATTCTTCGAATTCGCTATCTCCTCGGATACCGCATCTCATATCATTGAGTCGCACCCATGGCTCATCGGAGCTGAAACCCGAAGAATCCCTGCAGTTTCCAGTCATCCTGCATGCCTCTGATATTTGTGATCGGGACCTATGCATCCTTTTCGTGTTTCGCGAAGTGAGTGTTCTGTCTTTGTTTGACCCATTATTAATTAGCTCATGCTTATGTGACCAGGCGAATGCATCATCATTTCGTTGCACTCGCGTCATTAGGCACTATGAAGTCGCCCCCTTGATACAAATAGCGGTTTCGGCGGAGGCAAGCCAGTCGACGGGACATTTGTTTACAGTGAACGTTGAGGTAGAAAACGCAGCTGAAGGAAGTGTGGTCACTTTGAAACAGCTTATCGCCATGAGCCCCATGTGGACGTGTGCCCCGCTGGGTTCATATCAAGCGTGTGTTGCATTTGCTCCCGATCTGCTTGTTCTCGCTCAAATCTTGTGTCCTAGGAGCATTATGCCGCCATATCAAGTTGTCCGATTTAGTCTGGGTGCTGTACCATGGCAGCAAAGGTCGGATCCTGTGGACACCGTCCGGTTTGTCACCAACAAGCTCCGAGGCGTACTGCACGGTGACCAACCAGATCTGACGAGGCCGCCACCAATAGATCTCATTTGCAGGCATGTGTTTGATGTCAGCAGCAGTCCTGAACTATCATCCTAGTGACATTGACTGATTCGTTGGTCATCTGTTAGGACTCCAATTCCAACCCACTTCTAACGGCAGACATGAGAACTTTCATCCATTGCAACAGACGGACATATAGCACTCGATCTGCTGTTTCATCTCATCCCTACATCCCACCGGACAGCCACCCAGCCATCTTCCCTTTGTATAATCCTCACTCTCTCGACATTCTGTTGTGCTGGGAGCTCCCAGCAGAAGGCCGTCGTGGACATGTGCTTATCCCGGGACTTACACTGGGGGCAGGCCATGCATTCCTAAAGGACATTGTTAATGAAGCAGAACGGATGAAAGTTAAACGCTCAATGTATGCAGAGACGCAGCGGGAGCGGTTAGAGATTTTGGGAGCTATTCGGGAGAGTGAATGGAATGTCGAGATGGACCCGATCACGGTGACAATAGACGCAAGCAGTACAGTACGACACGACTTCTCCCGCGGGTGAGCTGACTCCATAGACGATGCTCATTGGTTGATTGACGAGCGGATCCTAGGCCTTGCTGTGTGCATATTTCGTTCATGCTCCGAAACTGTTCACCCACCAACCCTTCACGGGTGGTACTCAAGCTCAACGCCGAGGACGGGAGAGGGTCTCATACAACGTGAGCGACACATTGGTTTGCAATTGAATGCGTCTCAATTTCTTGATGTCTTTTCAGTCAGCTCGCCTCTGCGCATTTCGCTGGTCGTCTAATACATCGCAAGGTGTTAGAACCTCTGGGATCCGTCACGTTCCGTGGGACCGTCTGGGTGACGCGTCCTGGAAACGTCATCCTGGACGGTTGGGTTGTAGAAACTGAGATCGGCGAGCAAAGTTTCGTTGAGTCTGAGTCCGCGGCCGTGCCATGGAAGTCTAGGCAACTTCGATACGTGCAAGCCCCCCGGGCAGACGACCCGCACTATGTAACCGTCATAGACGATGCGGCGTCATGATCGATGAGACGTGTACATATTCAGCCATTTTCTATAGCGAATAGCAAGCCTTTACTACCTGCGTTACTTCAACAGGGACATCGCAGCTTGCTCATGCGGGATAGGTTCCTTCATGACCTTTCCAAGTACCATAGTAGTGCTTCTTCGACTCCTTTAAGCCATCGTTCCGCGAAGGCATGTTCATAGACATTCGCATCCCAACTGAGGAGCAGCGTGAGTTGCTTCTTTGTGGTGACTGCACCAAGGTAGAAATACGCTGGCCGTACATGCAGATGAGTCTCCCACGATGTGATATGCAGAGTTTCGTATTGTCTTATCTGCTGACTGTCAGGAGTGGATGATTTTGATGTTTGAATAGTTTGTGATGACAAGGGATGGTCGGGAGCGAGAGGATAGTTACTAGGTTGGACCGAATCGTACTGGAAGAATTTCAGGCGCCATAACTTGACTATTCGAGTTGTGCGCCACTTACATTTCCGCCGCTGGATAACCCGAGACTGTAGGTCAAATCGTCTGCGAAGACGCTAACGGGTACATCTTCTCCTGTTAATTTGCGGCCTTGTATTGCTGCTTGCCAGTGCTCGTAGATCATTTTTCGTCTAGCTACTGAACTCTTCGTAGCAGCTTCCACTATCTCGAGAAAGAGTGGGTGTGCAATGTAGCTGGCCATCTGTTTCTTGACAATATCGCAACGCAGGAGGAAATGTTCCCGACTTAGCAAAGTCGAGAAAGAGGGTGATGTAGCAGAAATTCTCGACCCACCACCGGCAGATGCTTGGGAAGGCAGGAAAGGGAGTGAACAGTAGAACAGGTTGACGGAAAGGAAAACTTGCGCGAAGCCTCCTCGCTCTCGCCAGTCGCCGTCTAGGTATGGCCGCAAATTCACCGGCAGAAAAAAGTGCATCGGCTCTCGCCTGCGCTGCTCCCAGTCAGCGTCAGATATTTTGCCGAGAACATGTTGTATGTGTAGTGTTCTCGCCGCGGCCAATTGTGCCAGAACTGGGAGGGCCGCCGCAAGAGTGATGCCATGCCTGCGGCAATTGTCGAGTATGTTGGCAGTGGAAGACTCTGTCAGGCGAAGCCTGAGATCTTCTTTACGGGAAGGTGTGTGGTAAGTGCCAGTATTATACTTGCCCGGGAGCGGCTGACCTCCCTGGCCGAGCTTGGTCAGTCATAGGGAGCCGCGGGGAATCGGACAAGAAATACCTGCATCCTTTTCCGGCGCAAGGCAAATATGACAGAGGCGATGGCGCGCCTCCATCTTTGGCGGGGAACACTGAGTTTTGACGCAGGGTTTAAATCCTCGCAAGCCACCACCATTGCGAGCCGTTTCTCCAGATCAGGTACCTCCTGCGAAGGCGGGGACGTGAGGATGTCGAAGAACGTACGACATAGCACGGTGTGCGACACGCCGTCGGCTATTAGATGCGCTGTATTGAAGATGATGTGGTGAAGACCCGGCTGGTCCGTGCGATCCAGAATGAATACGCGAACGGGAAGGTCTGGGAATGACCGCTGCTCGCCGTAGATGATGTCGTCGATGAGGCACTGCACTGCGTCAGGCGTCGCGGCCTCTTGAAACTGTAGCTCGCCTGGGACGAGCTCCGCTAACCGCCTCTCAGAGACGACCATACGCACGGCATTAGAAGGGCTCTGTGCCCACCCTTCGAGGCGCGAGCCGAGGAGCGGATGGTACTGTTTCATAGCGATCCACGTGCGCACGACGTTCGCCTGGTCGAAATGCTCGGGACGATGTGACTCCGTCACGTAGTGCCACACCAGGTCGGTGGTGCCGTTGAAGCAGCTGTCCCAGTGGTATCCCATCTCGCTGAGACCGAGAGGGCGGGTGTACGTGAGGCCGTCGTGTTCTGTCGAGTCGCGCAGTACCCATGGCGCCATGTCGAGGATAGATGGGAGGGACGTTATCTCACGGGGATGTCGGGTGGGTTTTTCCTGTACCTGACCTCGCCAGAGCATTGGATATAATTTTGGCAAGCGTACGCTTGCGCATACATGGCATGCATGTTTGGTGTCTCAACTCTTGACCGCGCCTGGTACCATCTTCTAGATGACAAACATTTCTGCGGGCCGTCTGTAACCGTGCTAACGTATGTTTTGGATGGAGTCATAATGACATTCAATGCCGCCAAGACCAGCACGACATACCATGGCTTTGAGCAATTGAAACGTAGTGAATGGTTTGCGTAATTTCCTCGGGATCCGAGGAGATGGTGGTACTTCTTCGCTAAAGCGTGTGCAGGAGCCGGGAAGCCCGCTTGTCCTCAACCAATGACCTGGGTTGGTTGCAACGAACACACGGAGTGACAGCGGGTGCAATTAATGCGGATGCAGTTAGACTTTAAGGACTTATTATCCCAAGGCTGTTTCAGTTCACATTGTCTGATGATAACATGGTGCTTAGCTCTGGTCTTGCGGGGTGGGAACCAATTCTGTTGCATCAGAACCATCATAGAAGATAACCGAGATAAAATACACGATGCGTCGAGGAAGTCGTACATAATACGGGAATCACCTACTCTCGCTTCTCCTCCTGGTCCCTCTTGGCCTTCGCCTCCATAGCCATCCGTATCTTCTTCAACTTCATATTGAAGTAGGTCTACAGCACAACAATTGAAACGAATCGAATTTGCACGAATTGGCCGACTCACACCAGTGATGAACTGTACGAGATTGATGAACGGAACCCAGAGCTCTGGCGACAAATACCGTTGGGCAAAGACGATCGTGAGCGGCAGTGTCATCCATGTGACCTGACAGCGACTAGATGAGAAGTACGTCTCTGGCTAGCCATGGAGATGCACATACCCGGAGTGCGCTCATGAAGCCCGCTCTGATCGTCTTCACTACCTCGTCCACGCTTCTGGCACCATTAATGACAGACGTGCAGGACAAATACACTGCAAGCGGTCGGCAATATGCAATTAATACTCTCCGAGAGCTTAACGGCTTGTTACGTGTACTGACCTAACACCTGGATGGGCGCCACAACGAGGTTGCTTACGAGCACTTGTCCGATCTTCGCAGAGAGGCTGGTTTTACCCGCGAAAAGCCGCTGCATTTGGCCCACCATCGTGTGGCTGAGCGGCGCAGACACAAAGAAGCCATACAGTGCCATCTTGGGTGCCTTGGCATTGATCTTGGTGAGTGCGAGCAGACGTGCGTACAGCGGCGCGTCTTTCGGGACCTGCTGCGCAGGCACGCCCGCGAAATGTGTCGCGAGTACCTCTTGGCCGAACTGCAGGACGCCTGGGCATTATTGTCAAAATATGAGACCATCTTGTCGATATTGATGACAGGATGACATTGCTCAACTGGTCGTGATCGCCTTCGTCCTCAATGGGTGTGCGGCAAGCGAGGCGAGGTACGCCGCAAGGAGGGGGTTGATCTTCTTTGGCGCGGCGACGGTGCTCATGCTGGGGATGCTCTGTGTTGAGCCTGGGACTGAGTTAAGGGTAGAGGTGGGAACGAGAAACAGGAGCTGCTATGTTGGCAGAGTATGTATCCCATGGTGAGCGATACAGAGGAATCACGGGGACTCGAGTAGGTAGTAAATGCGGCAACATCTCCGGGCTTGCATCTTATCTGATAACTCCCGATCCACCAACTCAAAAGCCACATCCTCATCTCGGAACTCGACCAAAGTTCAACAATGTACAAGGGCACATATGGACGATAGCAATAGATTAAACGACATCAGTCTCCGACAAGATAAAGCGCCCCAAAATAAACCCATCGTAGCTAAACTACCTGCGGACAACAGAGGTTTTGTGGCGTGTGATCTTCATACTTCTACCTGCCTTTCACCCTGGATGCAGCGTTACACCATCAGCTCCAATACCAGCATGCTAGAAGACGAGGAAGAATCACGCACCAAACCTTCACATAGTCAGCAAAGGACACCATGCATACCGTTTGCCAGATACCGAGACCGATACGAGGCGTGACTCCGCGATAGAGACCCTTGAAGCCATTCTCCTTATAGATATATGACAGCGTGTTCGCGATCGTGACCTTCTGTGGGCGGTTGGGGTTTTTCGATTTCGCCATTGATTGCATCTGAGTAGGGGAGGATTCGCGTCAAAGGCAATTATATGCGCGTTTCTTGGGAGCTGACCTCTACTCGGACGACCTCGATGGGCTGATTCCATGTTCCCAACGCACCACCCGCTGTCGACGACATGATCTTCTCGAACGCAGTCAGTTTGTCATTCTCGCCCTTGCCCTTAAACTTCCGGATCATGTCTTCGGCAAGACGAGCGAAGCCCATTCTGAGGCACTTTGTCAGTACCGTCAGTGATATGAGTCAAGGGCTATTCACCTTGAGCCCCAGTTGGTCATCTGCCGCACCGCGACAGCATTGACACCCTTGTTAACGCCTCGGATACCTTCCCGGCGGTAGATATCCGCGAACACGGCCCACGTCGAAGGAGGTTTGACACCCGCCGCGGCCTGCTTATGCCGCGTGATCTCTGCGGTCTTCATGCATGTCGAGACACCTATCGCAAATTCATTCATTCAATGCCGAGGTGACGACTAGAACGCGGATGCCATGCTCACCCATCGTCGCGTACGCCTGTGCAACACCACCTGTCATGCCACCCAGCAATCCAGCGGCTCCAGGGCTGATGCCCATGCCCACCACGGCCGTCTCCACCTCCGACGCGGTAAACAGCAGGACAGCACCCTTTGTGGATGCCTCTATCCACGCCTGACGCCACCATCAACGTTAAGCGACGGAGATGAGCGATGGTCGGACAATTTACGTACCCATGGAATGAGACCCTGATAGAAGCCCAGTACACCTCCTCGGCTCCATATTGTTTGCAAAGCCTGGAGCATGGTCTGCGATCGGTTGGCCGCCATCTGCGTCTTGATGACTTCGAGTGGCTGCCCGAGAGTCGTGGCCTATTGCGCAATGAAGTCATGTGTGCGCATACCGCATCGAAGAGTAACTTGCCTCCTGTGAACGATTATTTCAATGATCCGAGGACAGGACGGAGTGCGGAGATACTCACGAACTACGTGTCATCATACCGTCCCGCAACGCGTCAACGTAAAATGCAATTCCGAAAACACGAGGATTCAAATACCATGTTCATGATTCCGCCTGGTGGACATGGCAGGAAGTGAGTAGGGAATGTGACGCAGCAGCCACAGGCGCGTATACGCACCGACAGCGATGTTGGACCAGTTCACGCCCTTCTGACCAGGTGCACCCTTCTCGATGGCCATGGCTGGTGACGGCGAGTGACGAGGGAAGATGAAGTCGAGGGTGGAGGTAACGAGGAAGGAGAACAGTAAAGTATTGGGGAGGCAGACAGCCGGAGTGTTTGTTTCCCGCAAACACGAGCGTGGGCTCCCGTCCCATCCTTCGCAGACGCGCTCACTCTAACGCCCGACGTCGTCCCATCCGTAGTGGTACGAGTCGGCCGAACAGCAATCTTGTCGCGCTGCCCATCTCCAATCCTCTCACTACCGCCGTTCAGACGGTGAGAACAGCAAAGAGTGCATTGTCGCTGATCGTGCGGGGCGACGAATCCGGGGGAATGCTTCCGCGGAATCAATCATGCGCGTCCAGGCGGTCCAGCCCTGAGCTCCCCGCTCAAACGGCGCTCGTGGCCAAGTCAAGGCACAACAAGATCACGAATTTGTGAAACAACCACCACCACCAACACCCGCCCTCCGTAGGCTAACTCAAAAACGCGAAGATGATATTGCGCGAACGTCGGGCGGTGACTCATGATGCATGAGCGCTGAGCTCCATCAGTGGCTTGATTGGATGCTGAACTGCTTCACTTGGTCGCGGCTCCAACGCTCGCCGTTAGTGCACACTCGGCAAGGGTCACAAGGCAGCGGAACCTAGGCTCGAAGAATGTTGACGGGCAAAGGTGCTTCTTTTACGGTCCTCGACCCTCCTCGTTGTCGCTGATCTTAGTCGCAAAAGCCAGATCCGGATGCGCTTCAGGCTTATTTTACGTGATGGACACTGCAGCCATCAGCGCTAGCCTCCTTTCGAGAAGGCGGAACAGACTCGTTGGCGGCCTTCCAAAATGGCCGGCGCATCGCCCACCTTTCAAACTTGTGGACGCTGCAATTAGCTGCCGCCGATAGGAGTCGGAGCAATCTAAACCATTTCGCACCCCAGAGATGAACGCCGTATGAACGGATCCAAATCTTGATGTTATGCCCCTGGCGGCAGATGCGCACAGTCCCTATGCTGTGTTTCTCTGCTCGTCTTCCTATTTAAATTGCCTGTGCCGCTCGTCCTTCGCTTTGTGCTGCTGACTGCCTGACTTTCAGGTGAGTCACCTTGGCCCCCTAACTACCTAACAAGATTCTCTAAATCTCCTCTGTATCAGTTAAACGTCATGTCAGTCGTCCCACAGGAGCTCAGCGACCTCATCATCGACTACCTGCACCATGATCGCTCTTCGCTCGCCGCTTGCAGCCTCACTTGTCAAAATTGGGTTGCATCGGCTCAAAAGCATCTCTTCGCCGACATCCTGCTGTATAATGCACGTCTATGCAGCGCATTCGGCCGGCTCCTCGAGAGCTCTCCACATCTTGGATTGCATGTGCGCGAGCTGAACGTGTCCAAGCTGAGCACAGCGAACAAACCCGAATTTATGTTGTTTGAGCGCGTCTTGCCATCCATAATGGCCCGATTGAGCCATGTCAAGTGTCTTGGAATATCCCTGCTCGCCATGAACGATGCCATCATCCGCGGTCCACAAATCTTGTCGTCTGTAACAGAGCTGCACCTGCAGTATTGCGAGTTCCCCACGTTCCAAGACTTTGTACGCCTTTTCTACGGGATTCCCCATGTGCAGAGCCTCACTCTTCGTGGGGTGTCGTGGACATCCACGTACTTCGACAAACGTTTGCACCCGGTGGTGGCTCCGAAGCTGCATACGCTGGTACTCGGAAAGGACACCGACATTGGCACGCTGGTCGAATTTTTGTTACACGGGTCGCACCATCGCAGTATCACAGCCCTGTCGGCGCGCTGCTCGTCACAGGAGGATGCAGCTGCTGTCGGTGTTTTGCTAGAAAACGTTGGCCCTTCGCTGATGTACCTTGAGTTGGATTGGAACCCGTGCAGTTCTGTAGAACAAGGTAAACATCATTTGCACATCAGTTCGATCTCCGCTGAATACATTTCTCACAATGCAGCTGTGTTCTTGCCTACTTCATTATTCCTCAATCACTGTACAACGCTCGAGAAGCTGTCCATGCACTGCGTAATCCTCAAGGACCGCTACATCCCTTGGGTCACCTCCGCATTTTCGCAGCTCAACTCCGTGGTCAACAAGGAGATTGTGATGGAGATCCGTCTCCTTGGCGATCTAGATGGGCTCGATTGGAAAACGCTGGAGGACGAATTGTCCGGTGCAAGGTTTGGCAATTTACGGTCGCTCCTGTTGAAGGTCATCGTTTGGTCTGGTCTGCCGATGAGTCAGATGGAAGTTCGAAGTCTGATTCGCGAGAGATTGCCCCGATTAGAGTCTAAAGGCATCCTCCACTTCTCGTAGGCTAGCATGTCCTATAGGGGTATCATGGCATGGTCTGCCTAATACTGCAGCTCTATTATGAAATTGTTCTACAGTAGCTACTCTTTTGTAATATAGATAAACTAACCACATGATATACCCGTAACATCAACTTGAACCATGACCATCGCCATCACTGTCGACACCGTTCAGCAAGTCGTGCTGCAACTGGGGTTGTCGGACAAAGTGGACTCCTTAACTTTGTACCAAGCACTTGAGCGCCAGTCGCTCAAGGAGACGACTCTAGGCGGCCGCCTCCTCTCCCCCCCCTCCCCACATAGGACTATGTTGGTCTCTGGTAAGTGTGTGAGATACTGTACATGTGCGGTTGCTCATGCCTATTTTTCGCGAAAGCGACTAGATCAATGACGCCTGGAGAGCCTGTGCCGCCGTACAGCTCTAAGGCCGCATCCGCCACCCTGGACGCCGATGAAGTCGCTAAAAGGCGTAATCTCGTCCAGCGTGCCAAAAATGACTTCAAAGGTGCCATGCCTATGGCGTTTAACGATCATCATCCTGTCTCCCCTGATTAACTTGGGTCACCTCCGCAATTTCGCAGCTCATCTCCGTGGTCAACAAGGAGATTGTGATTTGGCAAGTTACGGTCGCTCATGTTCAAAAAGGTCATCGTTTGGTCCGCTCTGCCGACATCGAGTCAGACGGAAGTCGAGAGTCTGATTCGCGAGCGGTTGCCCCAATTAGAGTCCAAAGGCATCCTCCACTTCTCGCAGGCTAGCATGTCTTCATAGTGGTATCATGACATAGTCTGCCTAACATAGCTCTATTATGAAATGGCTCTACAGTAACACTGCTTCCATGAGGAGACGATGCGCTACAACGGGTATCATGGATGAGTAGCATAGGAGGACATCAAAGCAACTTTTGGCAACATGTTGGATTATCCCATGATTAGAGTCCTTCCGTATCGCAACAAACAGAACAATTGCATAATTTTGAGGCGACGAGGCAACGAGGAAACCGAACACATCCCAGGAGGCGGTGTGAACATTGAGCGCGCGGGCGAGATCATGGCAGTCGGATTCGCCGAGGGAGATGAACATGAGGCTAGTATGCCGCAGCAGCTGCTACCCTCTCCTTCTCCTTGAGTTGTTCCGCGAGAAGGTGCTCCATATCCGCCTTCAGTCTAAAAAAGATCCGCGAGGTGCGAATAAAGACAACATGAGTATAGGTATAAGTTAACATCCAGGACGTTAAATAAATAACGGAAAGCGAGCGAATATCAGGTTACGGGATTAGAACAGGCCATAGACCACGACCAGAGTGCACATCGCCCCAACGAAACTTTTCAATCCAAAGATTTTGACGTACCGCGTTAACTGGTCTTGGCTTTCTTCTTGATCTTGTTCGAGGTACTTGATTTCCATCGTCTTTCGCTCGACCTCCTGAGCCAGCTCACTGGCCTTAGCAAGCGCAATTTCCAGCTGCTCCCTCATCTCCTGCATAGACCGTTCGTGCGCTGCCTGCAGGTCGAGCATCTTGAGGTTGTGCGCCTCATGCAAGCGCTGCAGCTCATCCCGCGTCGCATTCGACGCATGCGCGTGGGCAGATCCGTTCGTCCTGGGAGAAATGACTGGTTCTGCCGCCACGGTTGCCTTGAGGGTTGCTAGCTCGCCCTCAAGGTCTGACACTTTCGACTGCAGCTCGGATTTCTCCGTTGTCAGATCTTTCAGCTGCTCGTCATGAGCGGCACGAAGCTTGATAACCTCCTCCGCCCGTACCCGCGCGGCATCTTCCAGCTCGAGAGCGTGACTCTTCGAGACCTCCGTAAGCGACTCCTTGGTAGCGGTGAACATATCTTGGAGTGAGGCATGGTCGTCGCGAGCGTTGGACAGCTCCTTCGAAAGACGCACAATCATTTCATCCTTGTCGGATCTATCGATCGTTGCCGCAATCTGACGAGCCTCGTCGAGCTGCGACTTGACCGATTCGAGCTCCTGCGAGCTCGACGCGAATGCAGTTTTTGCCTTCTGCAAATCGTCATGCGTCGCCTTCAACTCCAGGTTGTTCTGCGCGATCTGCTTCTCGAGCGTCTTGACCTGACTCTCGAGGGCAGCCTGATGTTCGGCCTTAAGACTTTCGACGGAGACCTCGTGGGCTGTACGAAGTTGCTCGATCGTAGCCTGAGATTCAGCACGAAGCGCTTGCAGATCCTGACTATGAGCAGAACCAGCTTCATTCTAGCGAAACGTGAGCATCTGTGTGCGCAATGCGGGAAAGAAAAAAAATCACCCTAGCACGTTCGAACGCCTGCTTGAGCAGCTCGTCATGGTCGGCTTTCACGGCGTCGACCTTCGCGTTGTATTTGGCCTCTTGACTCTGTACAGTAATCAGTGGATTGCTACACTTCGCAGACATCGAAGGACAAACCTCAAGCTCTGCGGTGATGGTCTTCATCTGCTCAATCAGTTGGCTCTCCTTCTCTCGGAACTCGTCTTGCAGGCGCCGAATTTCCGCTGTGTGAGCTTCGACCTGCGCATCAATTTCAGCCTTGGCCTGTTCGTGGGTTTGAATCGCCTTTGCAAGCTCTTCGTCCAAGCTCTTGCACTTGTCGGATAGGCCGGCATACTCCATGCGAACAGAGTTAAGCTCCTGTGCAAGTTCCTGCAACGCTTCGTCGGCTTTCCCTAGCTTCTCTGCCTCACTCGCGCTCGCCTCCTCGAGGGCCTTTTGCATGGCCTCGGAGGCTTTCGTGATCTCCTCCTCCAACGATCGGATCCGAGCAATGGCCTGTGCGCGCTCATCCTCCGACTTCTCCTGCTCCTCCTTCATCTCAAGGATCTCGACCTCGAGCTCAGAGACCTTCATGGACTTCTCTCCGTTCTCCGCCTTTAGCTTTGCCAACTGCGCTTCTAATATCTCGACTCGAGTGGCTTTCTCTTCAAGCTCCGCCATCCGCGTTTGAGCATCTGCAAGCGCTTCAGTGTGAGCAGCCTTGAGACTTTCCGTCTCTAACTTGATTGCCTCCAAATCTTCTTTGGCCTTGAGAAGAGCAATGTGCTCAACCTCTGCCGCCGCCGCCGAGGCAGATGATTGCTCGCTTGATGAAGAGCGAAGCGCGTCCAAGTTATGCCTTCCTGCCGCGACCTCGGACTCTAGGGCTTGGATCTGAGACTGGAGAGCAGCCACGAGCTCCTTCTCCGTAGCGTGAGCGGCCGTCGCGGCTTCAAGCTATCACAAGTCGCGTCAATACAAGATGACGAAAGACAAGCTGATCATAACGCGCACCTCCGATCGGATTGATTTCAATGCAGCTCCCTCCTCCGAGCCGCCAGATTGCAGCTCCGCTACCTGATTGCGGAGGATAGCGAGCTGTTGTTCAGCAGCAGCCTTTGACTCCTCCAGCATCTCAACGGCAGACCGCCGAGTCTCAACTTCGGCTTGTGCTGACTTCAACGACGACTTGAGCTCGTTCACTTGAGCCTCGAGCTCCTTTACTACATCAGCCTTCGAGATAAGAGAATCCGTCGCTTCTTTCAGCTGTGGTTATATGAGTTTGAGGTGGACACAACAACTGCCGGAGCACAAGACTTGCCTTGTTATGCAACTTTTCTACCGTCTTGCTATCATTCTTGACTTCCTTGATCGATGAAATCGACGCAGATCCCGCAAGTCGGGTCGACCTCGTAGAGGTCGTGCTAGGGGGTCGGTTATTCGGCGCGACAGTGGAACGCGATGCAATTGTGCTTGTACGCTTCGCCTCTCCACTGACAGACGCGCGAGGGCGACCTGGGGCAGCTGAAGCGTCGGGCGTCGCACGAGATCCCGCTGTCCCGGATTTCGCTGCGGAGGCGGTGGAAGACGCCGTGGGTGTTCGTGCGCTGCTAGACGTCGGGGCTTTGGCGGACGTCGGTGTGGGGGCCTTAGGAACGACTGACTGTCGCCTTACGGCAGTTGTGGTCGAACCTGCGACCCCAGTAGCACCTGATCTGCTCGATGCCATGGCCGGCTTCGTAGGAGGGTTAACAGAGGACGTGCTGGACGATTTCCTGAGGATGGTAGCGGATGCGGGTTTGGTGGCTGCAGCCGCGGCTATTCCTGTGGTTTTCGTCCCGGGAGCAGGCGCATGCTTCACTCCAGATCCAAATGTGCCCGAACTAATGACCTATGTCCGCGGAAATGCGTCGCCATAGTGCATTCAGCACGTTGTGCGCCACATCAAGAGCAAAGTGCTGGATTAACAGACACACATACCTTCTTGACTAGCGGTGTAGGAGGCGCGCTCGTGGTCTTGGTGCCGGGCTTCACGGAAATTGACGGCTTTGCCGTATGTCTTCCGGACTGTGGTGCAGGGGTATTCTCCTTCACAGTTTCTGTGGGCATGTTCTCTGCGTGCGGAGAGGTCGGAGAGTCCGCAGGCGTAGCTGCAGCATCAGAGCCCTGGGCCATGTTGTCCTCGGCGTGTCCCTCTGCCACGCCTTCAGCTACAGGTGTGCTCTCAGGAGGTGCCCCAACCACGCTCGCTGCCTCGTGTTCTTCGTGCTCTTCAGAATGCGTTTCAGGTCCCTGAATTCCTGCCACGACATCGCCGTGTGTCGCAGTGGAAGTCGGGCTCTGCGGTTCGAGGTCGGCCATGGCGAGTAGTGGAAGCGGAGATAGCAGAGACGGACTGCACCAAGGGTATATCTGGTACAAGAGAATGCGGACCGATGAACAATTGAGCCCTTTGCACACTTGGTGCAGATCGCAGCAGCACGAGATCGGAACGGTCGTCTGTCACCCCACGCCTCCAGCGGAACACTCCTAGTATGGCAAATTAAAACATTGCTATCTCTAAGTTGTACAGTCGCAGCTATCGTCCAACGCCTACTTTAATGCCCTCAGCACCGATTTACACACATCCTCGCGGGTATTCCGTCGACTTGAGCTCCAACAACGTAATCTCCGATCGCAACCCCGTCTAAGTGTCGATTACGCGCTGTATTATTATAGAAACAGCGGATTACATGTGCAATCAGTGCCTGTCTATTGAGGAGGCGCGTAGAGATTCAGGGCGCTGAGAGCAGGCTCGGCCAGATTGCGATGATTGTAGGTCAGAACGGCAACCTGGCAATATGACCAGTCAACATAGCTCGCGTGTCGTATAAGCAGGTGGCAAACATACTCCCGCGGGCTCCACGTTGAAGTGCGTTCCTACAAACATGATATGGGCAACTTCTCGAACCGACGTGGAGCAGTGACTAGACGTACCTAAATGAAGGGGAAAGTCGATCCAGCGTGCAATCATGCAGCGATTGAAGTGTCCATGAGCGATGATGACTACGTCGCGGCAACCTATGCCCGCCTCGTGCCACAGCGTGTGGTGTTCACGAACCTAGCAGTCATATGAGGGTTTTGCGGTAGGTGATGTCCAGTGCACAACCATACTTTCTCAATGACGGTGTCCACACGATGGCACATATCTGCAGTGCTTTCACCTCCGGGGCACCTATGCAAGTATCCATCTAGTGAGCATACTGCCTTCTGTGGTACTTGAGAGGAGCGTTCACCCATCTATCCAGATGTTCCAACCTGGGTTCTTCTCGTGGATTTCGCTGGACAACATCCCCTCATATTCACCGTAGTCCCACTCCCTGACTTCTTCCGTGATGGTATGTTTGGGAGGTTGCGGCAGGTGATCGAAAGTCAGATGGAACGTATGATGCGCGCGCGCTCTAGGCGAGACATAGACCATACAGATATGGTTCGGGTCGATCACCTCTGGATGAGACTTTGAGGAAGTTGACGACGAATTCCTCATATAATGAAACGTACTTCCTTCCCCGACGAGCACCTTCGCATTTCCCGCTGTTTGTTCCTCACCTCGCTTGGTGAGCGGGATATCGGTACGGCCAGTCTATACGTGCAAACATAATTTCAGAATCTGCTAGATCTTCACCAAGGGCCGTTTCAATAGCTCACATGGCGGCTGCAAATGAGGTCCACCATTGAGTGAATATGGATCTTCCATGCAAAAGCTCATCGACTGACCCATTGATCGACCATTCGGTCTCTCCTGCAAGCGATGCAAGTCAGATTACGATGAATGGTAGCCGGTCCACACTCGCCATGGCGGATGAGAATCAGTCGTGGAACAGGTCGCAACATGGCGAGCGCACGATTAGATGGCTGCTAGATGAGATCGAATAGCGCGAACGCTCTGGGACTGGGCCCGACAACGAGCTGAGCTGGAGCCACCGTCATCGGATTGGCTAGAGGCGATAACATGGCGTTAGCTGAGGCTCAGAGCGGGAAAATGCCGGAGTCAACTAGTACAGCATCTGCCGGGTAACCGCACCATCCTTTTGGATCGTATCGGAATGTAAGATTTACGAGACAGAAAGCGGTTTCCAGAGAAATCGATCATCATCTCATAAAGGCACGTCGCGGTAAGGCAAGTTGTACGCGGATCCGGACATGGGTATAAGAGTAGAGTGCATCAGCATGAACGCCTTCCACGGATCATTGAGACTAGTACGCCGTCGGGTACGATCAAACACAGAGAGCCATACGGATGCACTGGAAGAACGTTACCGCATATTGTATCCGGTCTCTTGGCCCGCTGTTGTCGCATTGGTGGAATTCGTATCGGCGTTACGCGGACCTCCCTGGCCCCTCTAAGTACCAACGTAGAATGCATTTGCGTTGGCGATTTTGCGATCTTTACGATCCTTGTACATACGAACTACGAACTGCTGAGAAAGCCCGTGTGAACTCATGATTGTGGCTTGAAGAAATGGGTAGAAATTGAACGGCTCCCGTCACGCTGTCACCGAGCCGTGGCCTGATACGCCATCTCCATCGCCAACCACAGCGTTCCCATCAACTCTCTACACATTTTCTCTTGCTCTTGGTCTTGCAGCTGATACCACGGATTTCTTTGGCTTTACTTCGCATCCAACGCATCAATCAAGGTGATCCGACAGCCCTTTCTGCATCAGAAGAGGCAGAAGTCTGATCACTTATCGCGTCTATATTCACTCTGCATTCCCCCGCTTTGGCTCCTCTACTCAGGACACGCCCAACCTCACAATCACTTTTGTTCCAACCACTGTTTGAGAACACCTACTGCTAGAAGCAAAGCGAGCGCACATAATGCAGGCCATTAAATGTTGGTGCCAGTTCAAGAGTCATCGCTCAGGACATATTACTCACTGCCATCGCAGGTGTTGTCGTAGGAGATGGTGCAGTTGGAAAGGCAAGCGTCGTCTTTGTGGTCGGCCGGGGCGAGGCTCATTGGTCCACCATCGCAGACGTGCCTTCTCATCTCGTACACGACAAATGCGTTCCCAGTGCGTGGCATGCTAATGCTGCTATGCTTGAGCTAGCTGACGGAGGACACATAGGGAGAGTACATTCCGACCGGTAAGTTTTCGCGCGATTGATTACGGCACGCGGTCCGAAGTTGCCATCATCCAGTGTTTGATAACTATTCTGCCAATGTGATGGTCGACGGCAAGACCATCTCGCTCGGTCTATGGGATACCGCCGGACAAGAGGATTACGACCGACTCCGACCGCTCTCATACCCTCAAACGGACGTCTTCCTCATCTGCTTCTCTCTCGTCAGCCCTCCAAGCTACGAGAATGTCCGGACCAAGGTGAGGGTGTCGGAATATCGTGTACAACGCATAGCTGACGCGCTTTAGTGGTATCCTGAAATCTCACACCACGCACCATCCACGTCCATCGTTTTAGTAGGTACCAAGCTTGACTTGCGTGAGGATCCAGGCACAATCGAGAAACTTAGGGACCGGTGCGTTGTCCTCATTTCATACGGGCCTGTCGCGTTTGCTGACCAATCCGTCTACGTAGCCGCATGCAGCCGATCCAATACGCGCAAGGCGTGGCAATGGCGAGGGACATTGGTGCCGTGAAGTACCTGGAGTGTTCCGCGTTGACGCAGAAGGGTCTGAAGACCGTGTTTGACGAGGCTATCCGTGCAGTTTGTAAGTAATGAAACTATCTTTGTAGCCATAAACGCTAAGCTGATCCACGCTTTAGTGAATCCGCCACCGCAGCCGAAGAAAGTCAAGAGCGGCGGAAAGTGCATCATCGCTTAGCACTCTCGACTCTTTATACAGCGCGGGATACCCGAGGGCTGTTGCCGATTTATGAATGTGCATCCATTTACCACTGATATTGCACCCCTGGTCCTGTCCGTCATCCACCCATCCTTCGTTCACACTGGTGACAACGCATCATGGCGGTTGGGTCGCCCATGTTCTCCCTAGGCATGATAGACTATTTGGACCCTCCACATGGTGGCTTTTTGATGGATTTGTCTTTTCCCCTTCTTTTACATGTTTTCATAGTGTCTCCTGGAGATATCGTATTGCATCTACTACGCTTGGAAGTTGGGTTGACTGTACACCTTGTTTAGCTGTCATCGGCTTAGCAGCCACAGCCAGCCAGCCACGGTCACGTGATAAGGGCGCTTTGTGCTGCGGGGGACATTTCACGAGCCCGTTTTGGACTGATCCGCTTTAGTAAGGTAAAAATAAATTCAATCCGGATTTACTGTCACACATGGGTCCGTGTTTGTGACTGCTTTTTCCTTTCCGAACTTGGTATCCCAATGTCTTATTACAGAACGAAAAATGTCTCCTGTGTCTTGAAAGCTTTTACTCTGGAGCCCATGTCTGTTGGGATCTCACTGACTGAACTATCACAGTGTAGAGCCTGTTCGACGTTGCACGGTTCATCATCACTATTTACCAGCTTGAAGCACTCCCTGACCGTCCGACACCAGCGCCTTGGAACTTTCTTCCCGACAAACGTCTTGTTAAGATTTGTCTCTAGCATGGCTGAGCCTCACCATCGTACGCCCGAACAGATTGCGTTAGCCGAGCAGCGCAGAATCAACAGGGAGAAACGAGAGCAAATAACAGCCAAGGAAGAAGCACAGAAAGGTCGTATATTGCCTCGAGAATGGATCACGGTACAGGACCCCCCGAATACGGAGAACGGTGATTGGCAACGAGTCCGAATAATGACATGGAATGTCCGTCCCTGTTTTCTGTTGCTATTACCGGTTTGTGACTAATTGAGCAGCTTCTTGCGCAATGTCTTGTCCGTACGTTGTAGGCGATCTTGCAATGCAGTCGTTTGCTCAAGAATCACGATAGGACGCGAGCTTTTCCCAACGAGTGACTGTTTAAAGGCTAGTCAACGGGAGCCGATGCTGCATCATGAGATACTCTCCCTTGAAGCCGATATCTGCTGCCTCCAGGTACGGTCTTTCTCTCGATTCGTGAACTGTGTATTCATGTTATGTCTGTGTGCAGGAAGTTGATAGATTGGAAAGGCTGCTACCGGTATTGGAGGAGGCTGGCTATGAGCATGTTTATGCCGCGGGTCCCCGGAAGAAGCATGGTTGCCTCATAGCCTATCGCAAAGACGCATACATCCTGACCGATCAAAGATTGATCGAGTATGACCAACAAGAGGTGCATGAAGAGGGCAGTGAGACTGCTCGCAGGGGGAGCAGCTTCCGGACGAGGAATATTGCATCCTTGGTCCGACTGCAGAAAGTAGCGTCGCCATCTACGGGTGTTGTTGTCGCAACGACGCATCTTTTCTGGCATCCTTTGTGAGCGATATATTGCCTGTTGTGAGAAAATAGTTCCAATTATAGACCCAAGATATGCTTACGAACGTACTAGGCAAGTCATACTGATGGACGTGTCAGTGGCATGACGGACTGATATAAGTTGCTATTTTCAGGCAAGCAGCCATATTGTTGCGGGAGGTCGTCAGGTTCCGGGAGGATGGTCATCCGGAAACTCGTCAATGGCCTTGTCTAATTGCTGGAGGTGCTCTTCCAGCGCCTTGTTGCTGTACCATCTGTTGATGAGCTAGCCAGACTTCAACTTCACGCCGGAAGATCCGACCTATTCGTTCATCGTAGGCGATTCTCTGCGTCCGAAACAGGAAGAACGGTTATCTGCATCGCGTGTCGTTCATGTTACCATCGATCCGACTGTACCTGTGGCACAGGACGTGCCATCGAAGGAGGATGAGGACGGTCTGGAAGGAGAGGAAGCTGATCCAGACAGGGACATTGTAAACGCCCGACCGGCACGTGGAGAAGATGGCCTCCTTACGGATGCGGAGCTTGCTGCCATGTTCAAGAAGTCAGGTAGACCGGCAAGTGTATATGAGGAAGGGCAACGTCTACAACCGAACACCGCGGACATGGGCTTGACATTTGGGAGTAGAGTACCAGTCGAAGCCGGTCGCCACGGCGGATATGAGCCGATTTATACGAGTTACACTCATGTAAGTGCCACAGCTTTTACCAAGTCTGCGTTAACAAGCTAAGCCCCGCTGCGATACTAGTATTGGAAGGCCGTACTCGGTAAGAATAACCAGTCTTGATCAGTCAATACAGCCAGATTGATCGACATCCAGATTACATCTTTGTCCTTGCACCCGGAAAGCCGGCTCCCATTATCACAAAGCTTGCTAAGCCGCATGTAGCCAAGCTCCTCGAGCCGGGGCTCCCACAGATGGGTGTATGCGGCAGCGATCATATATCTCTGGCCGCCGAATCATATCTGAAATGCTGAGGGCTTATGATGTTGAGATCGTACTAGCGGACGTGGGCGAATGGCGGTCGGATCCATAGGAAAGCAATTTCGTGCATGAACTATGAATTATGTATTTGCTACAATCAATAAATCGTGGGCCAGCTGTAGAGTACTGGATCCTATAATACACCGAAGTGCGAGCACAAATACGGTGCTAACATGGAGACTACAATTAATGCGCATTCTTAGTTGGGGCAGACCTGTCGGATCCCGCGATAAGTCTCTCGAAGAGCTCTTCTGCGGACTTTTCGTTCCGAAGCTGTAACATGTAAATAATCCCGCTCCGCCGTCCTCTATCGCTGAGTTCCACGGCCACGCCTGTCTTGCCAACCCGTTCCACGCCATCTGCCAGGATGATCGTGGAAATGAGAATAGATTTGTCTTTATTCACGACGAGCTGCTTCACATAGGTCGGGAGCTCGCAATACAGTTTGAGATTTGCGTAGCCAAGGGATTTCCATTGCTGGTGCTGCTGCTGAAGGAAGACCTTGCACTTCATCTGCATCGTGATATGTGTTGTAGTCGGTCCGGTCCAGGGAGGCGTCTCTTCCACAGGCGAGCATGGGGGGCTCGTTTCTTGCAGCGTTGCAGGGACCGGAGGTAGTCTCATTTGCTGGGATGGCAGCAACGGTGGATGTCGCGGCTGCAGCTGTGGGTGTAGCGAGCGCATCGAGCTCAGTGACTCTGCCCTTGGGAAGAAGTTCGGTCTTGATTGTGGCGCGTCACGAGAGAATGCAGGCACGATAGGTGCAGACGCCGTGGACATTGTGTCATATTGAGAACGCGGTAACCGTGACGGGACAGGCCTGCGGAAGCTTCCAGGACCTGCAGATTCTACGAGTGAACGAGAGGTGAGATTCGCAAATTGACCAGGATCATTAGAAAAGGCGTCCAAGCCACCAGAACGGAATCCCTGAGAAGGATATTGCCCTATAGGTGGCTGAGAAGCAATCTCGCCATTAACATAGTAGTGCTCAGATCTCATGCTCGTACCCCTCCGAACTGGCACTATCTGCCCAGGATTGAACGATGACTGTGAACTGTCCAGATCGATAAACGCTGGCTGACTCTGCGTGAAAGCCTCTATAGGAACGATTTGTCCTGGACGGAAGGATGCGCCGTGAGCGAGCTGACCTGAATGCGCAACTTGAGGAGGTACAACTTGTCCTGGAGAAAAAGACGGCTGCAAGGGGGGACCGCCAGGAGGTTGTGCATGACGTCGCTCTGGAGCTATGGAGGTTGATCGAGGAGGATACTTTCGTTTGTTTGGGTCCGACAGGAGACGCTGCATCTGCGGCTTGCTTGCATCTGTTAGAGCGAGCGTTGTCATGTCACTAACCCAAGAGGTATCAGACGGGATGGGTTGTTGAGCGGCACGAGGTGGGTTGAGCGGAGTTAAAGAGTCATCGTTAGGTGACAATACCCGAGCTGGAGGAGCCATGCTCCCGCTATGTGTTTCGGCATATCTAAGTGGCGAGTCGGAGGACTGCTGACAAGATACGGTTGAGGGGGATGTCGGATATGTGGGGTCCTGAGGTGCCGGAGGTGCAGACTTGTTGATCGACGTCCGCACTAATAAACCGTATCAGTGCACGTTACATTTATGGTAAGCCGCAAGACTCACGATTGGCAAATGCACCAATACAATTTGACAGCTCCGAAAGCAGCCGATCGCGTATATGAGGTAGCCGTGCATTTAGGATCAAGATCTCCTTGCCAATGATGTTGATTGACATAGCAGTTGCTTTATATCAATCGAGTCTCAGCGAGAACAGACACACATGATGAACTTGTGCTCAACTTGAATTCTCGACTGGACCTGTCTGAAGATGCTTGCCAGCGAATGGAGGATACAGCAACCACATATCAGGACCATCCTGCCCATGTCGGATTTGTTCCTCAGGTGTCATGCTTTCGCATACAAGAAGAAGGTCGGTCAGTACGAAGACGCGACCCCTTTCTTGCCGCACTTCCACTCCCGTTGACTGAGGAGTGAGCTGGATTGCAACATCGGCTGAAAAGCGCACTTCGCGAGCGTATTGTAGAGACGGAGGGGAGATCTGCAGGCGGATTTCCTGTTTCAAGATTGATCACACATCAGTACAAGCGATGAGCAGTATTACATTTAACAACCTTCGGTTTCATAGTGAAAATGTCGAGCGTGCGGTCGGTGGATAGGCGCCTTTCCAAATGAGTAATTGTGACGGAGGGAGTGGATGCTCGCTTCTGGATATCGGGACCGCGCGTGGCCAATGGATTTGCTCTTCAATTTGAAGTCAACATCAAAATGAATTTTTTCTTTAGGATGACTGAACATGCTCACCTAGTGGGGGATCCCCACTGTAAATCGCTGTCGTGAGAGACTACTTCACCCGCGGGGTCCTCAGGACGACGGACACTGTCACGTGGGGGCTGTGCGGTCGAAGCTTCAGCTGAGATTAGAGCCGTTGTCGACCGTCCCTCCAGTTGTATGCTCTGGTGCATTACAGCAACTCGCATGGTTGCACGACTGCTAAGCATATTTAGCAGTTTCTCCACCTTTGCCACGGCTTTCGACAGGAGTTCGTGATCCCCTTTGCCTGGGGCACTACTCTTCAGAAGCCGACTATATAACCTGTGATAGTATTTCAGACGACTCTGCGGTAGCAGGAATAGACCATCGAGTTTCCAGATTGGAGGATCTGGTGGATGCTCGGGAGAGGAAGGAGGAAGTGAGGGAGGATAAGAGGAGGAGAACATGGCTAGGACGGTGCGCACGCGGTCGTTCGCCTGCACGGGTTCCCACAAGTCGAAGCCCGTCAAGTAGTTACTGGAGTAGCTCGCGTACGGTTGCTCAAGCTCCTCAGCCTGGACAAACATCAGCCACAGCAGAACATGTATAGAAGCCACTGACCCATCCCATCAAGAGATCTCCGAGAACCTTGGCAGACGAGGGGTCAAAAGCAATATCCTTGAGTCTCTGAGGTCTTGTGTTAGCGAGGAGCATGATCTTAACGAACCCAATACTTACCATCAGCAACGAGCGGTGGGCCTTATATATACTCTCGATAGCTCGGAACATGGTGTCAAGTTCCTGTGGGGGTAGGTTCGAGCGTGACCATGCGCCAGCCACCTTCTACGCAAGCAATTAGCTAAAGCTATGGCAGTTCAAGCGAATGGCGCTGCACCTTGATGATTCCGGCGAGCAGCTCCACGTACGATGTCTCAGTGTCCATCAGATCGGTCAACAAGTTAGCTTTCTTCGGGATAGACATGGGAATGTCCGAACTCTGAGGTGCTGGATCGGAGGCGCCACACGCTGCAATACGGGACGAAATTCAGCGATGGACTCATAGTCGCATTCGGGATACCGTAAGAAGGCACCAACCACCGGAGGGAGTAGCCAAAGATTTCGAGGGGTACTCTGTGACATGAAGATTGTCGGTGCCTGCACTCTGCGCAGGCTTCTGCACACGCTCTATCCCGAGAGTACCGTTCGGATTGGATAATTCAGTCGTCGAACTTGGAATATTAGACGGCACAAAGGAAAGTGGTGGCTGGGACCTGGCCGTAGGTGAGGGTCGACGGTCGGAAAGTTCGTGCGCAACATTGCTGGTCATGAGGGGGTATCGAGGAAGGAGCGTGGGATTACATAGACGACAATCACTAGCGCTATGCGAACAACTGATACAACGCCGCCACCACCACAGCTGCCGTCTCGCTGCCGACGCGTCGGCGCGCGCACGTGATCCAACGCGTTTGCGTACCGCCTGGAATTTCTCGGAAGTGCGCGTCAGCTATAATGTGAACTTCGTCGGCCTCTCGCATACATCCGTATCCTTCTCACAGCCATCGCGTCTCTCGATGTCGACATACCCAATTCAATGGTTGGATACGACGTTCAACTCGCCCAGCAGAGCACAGGAGCTGCTGCGGCCAGATCTCGAGTCGGGCCTCATCACGCCGCATGATTACCAGCTCGCGACGACCTTTCTACCAGGATCTCATCGTTACTGGCCGGTCAGTCATGCGCATTGATTTCAACGCTCTGCATAGTGAGAAGCCGCTCATGTACAACTTCGCAGCACATGTATGCCGCCGTGGGCAGCGGCATGACCGCAGGCTACGTACGGTATTTGAGACGGCCACCCATGTCACTTGGCCGGACAACACTTCTCGCCACGGTTAGCGGCTTCTTCGGTGCGGTATACGGCCAAATATGTCGCGCCGAAGCGCATTTCGCTTTCTCAGAGATGCTGGATGATCCCGTTGCATTCAGCCAAGCCTTAGAGAATGTTAACAAGAGGATGGGAGGCGTGCGGCCGCTTGGGTGGACTCTAGCAAGAGCAAAAGAGGTGAAACATGGGGAGGGCGTGCATGGGAACGCACCACGACCGGCTGAAGGCCAGTGGGCTCCAGACGCAGAAGGTGCAGAGATGGGAGTCGGATCTGCAGCTGTGCCCTCCAGGCCGGTTTCACTACCTGAGGAATGTACGTCATCGTTCAATGCTTCTGCTTACGTTGTGAACGTTGCGATGACGAATGCGTCGTCCCGCAGCACCGCAACAATCTTCGAGCCCCTCGAGTCGCTGGGACGCAATTCGCACAGCCAATGCGCGCAATGCTGGCCAAACGTCTTCATGGGATGCTCTGCGGCAAAGTCATGAACGCGCTCGTGTCCCGTCAAATCCTGACCGTCCACCGGAGGAGCCTGATCGAGCACGAGAGCAAGCGGAGTTTGATGCATTGTTGGAGGCGGAGAGGAAGCTCGGAAGTGGGTGATGGAGAATTGTTATCCTGACACTGTGAGGACTGTATTACTATCGAAATTACCACGAACGATAGAGTCAAGGGCGCAGCAGCGTTTGTATGCAATGGACATGCAGAACTGCCTCACGGCCTGAAGCTTGATGGGATGTAGTCGATCGTGACGAACTTCGTGCATTAGCGACGATTGTCCCTGCATCATGATTTTATGGCCCACTTTAGGCTGACAAACTTTGTTGCATCTGCACCTAAATGACCGGCCTTCGCAACATGGCCGCGTCGGTCAATTCCGACAAATTTATGGAAATAACGGATGGTGGTGGCAGGCAGGAGCGGGACAAAGCGCCGATTGATTGATCGTGGAAGCGCTGATCCGCGATCCGGACTTATTCATTACAGCATCATCTTATCAGCAACTCCGGCGCGACCGCGAGCATTTGTCTCGCATTGCTCTCATACACTCCTCCGTTTGATCTGTAGACTAGCCGAAAGTATGGGTTGGCAGAAGTCTTTCACGTTCGCTCCCCACAGGAAGGGATGCCACTTGGTGACGAATGAAGTGCTCGATCACATTCGCCCGGGATTGAAGGATGTGCAGGTATCCCTTCAGCGACCAGCTCATGAGGCTATAGACTGACGGTGGGCTTCGTCGGTGTGTAGATAGGGATGCTCTACCTCTTCATGTAGGTCCTGCTAGCGTGGCATGACGTCGTACTGAGCAACCGGACCTGGCAGTCAACACACTTCTGCAGCCTTGACCGTGAACGAGAACTACGACCCAGGTGTGTGCAGTTTGATACGTAAAGTATGAGATTTGATAGTATCCTGACGGTGCTCAGATGTGAGGAAAGGTATTTTCGTTTCTTGAGCGGCTGATTGTTTTAAATACGTTATGGTTAATTGAATGTTCGCAGATATGGACATGGCCTTGGACAGAATTGTCCCGGAGAATCTGAACTGGATTCATACGGATGAAGGCCCCGAGTGAGTACTGAGTGGGCATTCAGGGCGGTGATTGCGCACTGAATACCCCTGTCCTAGCGATTCGTGAGCGGATCCGGCAATATAAAACCAATCGAGTACATTGATGTAATTATTGCCTTGCCATAGAGTCTCGCACACCAAGACGTCCCTCGTCGGCACCTCCATCTGCATACCGATCACAAACGGTCGCCTCAACTTGGGCACCTGGCAAGGTGCGAACAATTGATGTCGTTTCATGTCGTGTATCATGACGTCGTTTCTGCAGGCATCTATCTCACCGAATTTAGACACGCGACGCACTCCAGACGAGTCGTGGCGACAATCCTGTTAGTCAAATATGCGCTTCCTGAATCATTGATATACCCTCTGATCTTTCACCCAGCACATGAAGCACCAATGGGCGCTGTAATTGTCATGTCAACGACATACGCTATCATTTGCGGATCGGAGATACACATGTATGAACTACGGTCCCTGCTCGGTACGGAACAATGCTATCTCCGCACCGTTTGCTCGCGTGGCAATGCCATAATTGCAGGCGCTGTGATCGTCACGGCCTTGCTCTTGATGCTAACCGCTCTTTTGCACTACGTTTGGGTAAGAGCCGGTTTTAAGTGAGCGCCGAACGAAAAGTGATCTGGAAGATCAAGCGAGAACTTCAGGGCCAGCGCCGAAGCCTCGTTAGCGAGGAGCTGTGCGCGAGCAAAAGTATCATCGCGTCACTGCTCAAACATGCAACGGGTCAGCGCTCCCGAAGTATGTAGAATTTGAAGCTGGCCAGGTTCACCCCCCTAATTCAGGTACCGGTATGTTGGACAGCGGCTTGGAAGGTTGGATCCAGTTTGTAATTAAGTCTCGGTTGGCGCCGTGCGTGAACAATATTTAGCGGCGCGGCTACCGCAAATACCACAGCATCTTAGCAACGGGTAATTCCCGAAGAGCATCGGCAATCGACATCTGGATTTCCAGCGCGGTACAGCCCGATGTCGTTTGATTTATCTCCGGGGTGGGGATGTTCTTGCAGATCACAGTGGGATAATGTATTGTAGTCTATGAACTACGGACAAATTTACGCAGCTGTATTCCGAGTTTGCATCATGGCGGAGTTATGAGAAACGTCCGCACGAAGATCGGCCGCCACAGGACGCTCGTAGACGGAGTGATGCTATTTCGGGTGCGTTTCCGATGGGATCTCTTGTTCTCGAGGGTGATGGGAATGCGGGAAAGGGCATCAGAAAGGTGAATTGGATTGATTGGAGGGGAGAGGTGTGCAGAAACGCGAAAGACGAGTGTTGTCGATCTGGGAGTAGTAGTGCAGGGGAGGCCGTGATCCGGCGAGGCAGCCGAGTAGTCAACACTCGGAACGAAACTGGGGTACCTGCTGGCGCCCCTTTGCACATCGCCGCCGGGGACGCTGTGCGCGTGCAGACTGGCTGATACAGACTGCAGCCTCGGCTCCCGGGCGAGGAAGCACGCAGCTCAACATAAATTGCGCAGCGACCCGACTTAAGCCCTGTTGTCAACAAGAAATACTCGGGAGATTCCCGCCCGCGCGCGTCCTGTCGCCTCGCGGACTTGCTCGTTCTGTGGCCCTTCCTGTCTTATCAGCAGTCTCTCCTTTCGTTCAACCTCCCATCTACCGCTCGCGGACCCGCCCCGCCCTCGTCCCTCCGACCCTGCTAGCGGAACCGCCGTGATCTCCAGGCCAAGATGCCCAAGGCCAGCTCCTCTTCGGCCCGACCCGCTCTGCGCAGGAATCAGGTAGCCCGCTTCCTGCAATTGCCCGACGCGCCACACTCACTCTCCCGCCGTATCCAGGCTTGCCTTGCATGTCGGAAGAGGAAACTGGTGAGCGGCTCGTCCGACGTCCCCCCAGTGACGCTGTCTTAATCCGTTCCACGTGCAGAAATGTGATGCCGCCCGTCCCCACTGCGGGACCTGCGTCAAGTACGTTCACCTCGCTCATCTCGGGGATGGTTGATTAAAGGCGATCGGCAAAGGCAATGGCAGTCGCTCATTAGTGTGCCACCCCCCGTTGGTTACGCGTACGTGTCCATCATAATCCGTCTGCATACACTATGTTCACGTTCAATAGCCATCCCACTGAGCCCCAGTGCTCGTATGATCCCGTCGAGGGCCTCACTGTTGCTCCGGATGTCGATCCCGCAGAGAAGATGCGACAGATGCAGGAGGAAATATGTACGTCGTGCGCGCCACACCTGCGTATCCTTCCGTTAATGCAACATGTGAAGCACAACTCAAAACCCAGCTTTATCAGCTGCGAGATGCCGCGTCACACTCCAATCTCTTCCCAGGCAGCTTGAATGGTTCGCTGCGGCCACTGTCCAGCTCACTATCCAACGGCCGTTCGCCTGAGAATAGCCCGCATGACTCCGGCATCGTCCTCCCTTCGAGCCTGTCTTCTTCCGGTTCCAGCAGTGGTCCTTCGACTTCTAGTCCAAGTTCGCGGCTCCGGAGTCCCACCAAAACCCCGGACTCTCAAAGAGGCCCGAATCCTATGATGGATTTGTTTTTATCTGGCTGGGACCCCTACCTGCCTCCTCCTGACACTCTGCACCATTAGTGCGTATGTTCCGTCTCACGAGTATTTCGAATGCTGCTGAGAGCTGCTTCGTGATGACAGTGTGGACGTGTTCTTCCGGTGTGACCCATGCAGTTCGCACGTACTGCACCGCCAGTCATTCCTTGCCTCCTTGCATTTGCACCCAAAAGATCCCAACTTCCCACACACAGCCCTCTTGCATGCTATCGTGAGTGTCATACCTTGCTCTTGTGACGTCAGATTTCATATTCGCGCCTAGTGCGCATCCGCTTCTCGATGGGCATCGAACGACATCATGATGCTGCCAGAGGGCAGCCGCCGTGACAGGTTTGCGGAATTGCACGTCAGTAAGACACGTGAATACATCGACAGGACGATGGCATCCGGCCAGGACATCTTCCCCGTACTTCAAGCATGCCTCATGCTATCTTGGTACTTCTATCAAGAGGGCCGATGGGTCGAGGTGTGGATTTTCGCGGGATTCCAAGCCAGGGTTGCAGTGCCGTTGCGTCTGAACAATCCTGGGACGTTTTCAGGACAGAGTGCGAATACGCCTGGCGCGTTCCTGCCTCCGCCGAAGAACTTCAGAGAGCTGGAGTCGAGGCGAAGGGCGTGGTGGATGACTGTCCTGTTTGATCGGATTGTCTCCGTGGGCGGATGGATGCACGCTATCGATGAGAAGGACATCGGCACAGAGTTCCCTGTACGCCGAGTAGACTTTGAGGCAGACGTGAGTGTACCATGCGTATCGTTGATTCTATTCAATTTTTAACGATCAAGTTGTCCAGTCCAACATCCCGAACAACCCGCAGGATCTCGCATCTAAAGATCTCTACACAAGAAATGATCCGCAGTACACCGACTCGTTCATACTGTTCCTGAAGTCGATTATGCTGTTTGGCAAGGTGACAGACTATAATACCCGGAGCAGCCTCCGCGCGCCGGGGATGCCGAGCAAGAACCAGAACCCGTTCCACTTACTAGGCTTCTCAGAGCTGGACAAGCTGGTGTATATGGACTTTGTCAACAGCTTCCCGCAGCCGTACAGCCATCTCGGTGTGAGCTACACGGGGGCACTGGACACAGATTTGTACATGGCGCATGTTGCCCCTCATGCGTGAGTATGCGTTCGCTTTCTCAATACTGTCCTCATTCCAAATGTTTGCGACTGTAGGGCTGTCATTACCCTGCACAATCCCTTCATGAACTTCAACGATCCCCACTGCATATCCACGAACCGCTGCATTCACGCCGCCCGCACGATTCTCAACGCTTACTACAAGCTCTCTGAGACGTCACTGGACACGACGCGCCTCCACCCTTTCATTACTGTGGGTCACCTACTGGCTTTCGCTTTCCTCCCATACTGACGCTGAGCTGGCGTGCCTACGCAGATCTGTTGGTATCTGGCGGCTGTGGTGAAGATTCAGGTATGCAAGTACATGATAGAGATCGGGGATGGGGCCCAGGAAGCGACGCTGTGGGGCGAGATCAACACCCTCCGGTGAGTTTCCTCCCACTTCCGGTAGACCCGGACTCATGTTTGGGCATGGTTGACTGATTTGTTTTGTCCGTCGGCCAGGTTCGCGATGTTGACGTATGGGGCTCGCTCGCCCATTGGTGGTGAGTATTAATACCGTATTCCCATAGCTGTGTTCGGTGCAACTAATATGAATCTTGGTTGATTAGTTCGTCAAGAGAAGCTTCTGCAGGGACTCATGACGGAGATTGTGCGTATTTCGTCGCAGATGCGCTCCCTCGAGGTCGGCGTGCCACTATACCCCTTCTCACACGCGCGCCTGTTCTCCAAGGAAGTGACATCGACACGCGAGCCGATCCCTGCGCCGCTCCCGGGGGTGCAGTCATTCGAAGAGGAGACGGCCCCATCCCCACAGTCGTTTCCGAACGTTTCCCCGACGCTCGCAACACAGATAGACGCGTGGGACACGCGACAGACCCCCCGTCACTCGCAGCCGCAGGAGCAGCTGCACGGGTCATCCGGGTCGTACTCGGAGTCGGCACAAATGTACCAGGCGCCAGCTGTCCTGTCTGTCCCATCCTACAATGGAGGGTTCTGAGAGGACATGCGCGTCCTGTACTTGGTGAAGTCTTGTCTTAGAAGGATTTGCTCCAACTGTTCGTTCGGAGTCGTTGTGTATAGTGATCATTCGAATCTGTGGCTTCTCTCATTTACTGATATATGTATGTATTACTGCTACGTGCTGTGCTGTTCGGTCGGTCCTGTCGCTCGTTTCTTGATTACTAGTCGATAGTTCTCCGCTCATGATTTGTATCGATATACATAAACGATGCTCGGTTTGACGTTTAACTGCTGCATCCTAAACGTGAAGAAGCGCATGAAACACGCATGGCATTGCTCCAAACTAACACAAATCATACAAAGATAATGCTCAAGGCCGTAACAACTCCGCGTACAATCGTCATCGTTTACGCATCGAGTTCATGCAGTGATTTGCATAATGACCCTTCTCACCACACTGTTCGAATAGATCAGCACTGACTATCAAGGACATCAAGTATCACACACGTACTCTGAAGCAGACCACTTCATCGATGTTTCTGCGGGGCCCCGGCGGACCTCCAGAACCGCCAGCGCCTGGTGCTGGGCCGAAAGGACGGTCGAAGTCTGCGTACCTACCGTAACCCGGAGGAGGCGGTCCAAGATCGCGAATAGACGGTCGCGGTGGTGGCTCATATGCCTCCGGCGGCGGCAGACCCGGTTTTGGGCTGTGCATGATTGAGCGTATAGTGACAAAACATTGATACGAAGAACTCACTGGCCACGAGGGCATTCAGCACCCAATGGGCAGAATCCGGTCAGATATAGCTGACACGCGACGCGCCGGACGTGTTTGCGCGGGCAAGTCGGGCCTGGGGGGCAGCTCGCGTTAGTACGTCAGAGACCGTGTGGAGCGGAAATCACTTCTCACCAAGTTTGCAGAACCCTCTGTTGTAGTCTGGGCACTCCACTCGGCGTTCCTTAGCATGGGCATACAAGCACTCATCTCCAGCGGAACAATAACCGTAATGGGCATACCACCAGCATTCGGGCATGCGTCTCAGGTTGTACTCGTGCAGGAACTCGCATGCATCGCCCTTCTTGCATAGGCCGCGCAGCCAGTGCTTGCAGACGGTGGCAAGACGCTCCCGCTCACGGGGACGTGTGGGCAGCTGCTTTGGCGGCTGGAAATTCTGCGTCGACGGTGCGGTGTGTCTTAGCGGGCAATGTAGGGGGCCTAGCGGACAACCGGCTGCCGTGAGATTCAAGCGACAAATTTGATCATCTATGAATGGAGCATTCAAAAACAGTCAGCTATCATGCAGGTCTCGGCAGCGAGGCGCGGGCCCGACCTTTGTCGAGCTTGATGCCGAGCTCGTTCTTGACGTATGTCTCCTCTGCAAAGTTGTTCTGGTGGAAAGAGGGACGAATGATGTCCTTGAGCGGGGACGGTCCTGCGAGGGGGTTGGCGGCGGTGGAAACGCTCATGCGGGATGGCGATGGTGGCGGGAAAGGTTGTGGCACATGGATTAGTCAGCGGAGGGACAATGTATATGTCCGAGAAAGGCAGGCGGGCAGGATGGGTCTGGGCGGTCGCGGGACCAACTCAGCGAGCCCTCGGAAGCAAAGCAAGCGACTCTCAGGCAGAGCCCTGGTGCCGTCCTGCCAATCCAGGCGCATATATTCCGTAGCCCTCCGCGACAACTTCGCCATGGCTATATGAACCCCTCGCCGACATTCGGTACGTAAACCTTTCCCACCCGCACCCCCCTGAAGAACGCGAGGCACATCACCTCAACCTTGTCCTCGACAGCATGGAGGGCTTCTCGCTTGCTTTCTCCTTCCTCGTTGCCGGCTGTCTATTCTATGGCTTATATCTCCGCAGCACCGCCAGACGTCTTCCTCTCCCGCCAGGCCCAAAGACCTCATGGTTCGGCTCGGTAGAGCTGCCCAAGACGTACCCTTGGAAGACCTACGCCGAATGGAGACAGAACTATGGTCCGCCTCGTTTTACGTGCTGCATGCTTCTCCGTGATTCGGATGATCCTCGTATTTGCATTTGAAAGGCAACCTGATCTACATCTACATCTTTGGCAATCCAATCCTGATCCTCAACTCGGCCAAAGTAGCAAGTGATCTGCTCGATAAACGCAGCAGTATCTATTCGTCCAGGCCCCAGAGGACCATGGTTACTAAATTGTAAGCAAATGCGGTCTTTCCTGCAACCATGACATTGAAGATCTCGCGTCCTAAGAATGGGCTGGGATTGGCTGTTCTCGACGCTGCCATATGGTACATGGTGGAGAAGACATAGAACTCTATTTCATCAGTACCTTAACGTGAACACTACCTCCGACTATCATCCTATCCAACTGAAGGAGACATTTGTAATGCTACGCAATCTGATTGAGACGCCGGAGAATATGCCGCATCATATTCGAAGGTTGTGGTTGACTTATGCGGTCGAGGGAGTGTGGCTGATCCCAATTGCTTCTGCCGCAGGACTGCCGCGGCGATCGTGATGCAGATGATGTACGGTCACCAGGTAACGTTTATTTTAGTCAAGGTTTCCTTGTGCATCTACCAATCTAAGCATGTATCAGGTTGCGCGGGAAGGAGATTCCTATGTGACGTTAGCTGACAAGGCCCTCGCTACGCTGGGCCACAGCGGTATCTTCGGAACGTACCTAGTAGATTATATACCCATGCGTACGCTACAGCCCCTTCTACCGACTTGCATGGAGGTCACCTTATGGCCATCTACCAGTCAGACATGTCCCGACATGGATGCCGGGAGCTGGCTTCAAGCGAAGGGCCTTCGAGTGGCGGAAGCTGAACCAGGCCATGCTCAATGTACCGTTCGAACAAGTTAAGGAAAATGTTGTACGTGCATTCAGGCTTCGCTCGGAGAAGTTCTTAATGACCTATGCGCCGACAGGCGCGGGGCACGGCTGTTCCGTGCATCGTTGCAACAGAGCTGGAGCAATGGTTTCAGTCTGGGCAAGACCCCGAGCATGAAACATTAGTGAAGGATGTCGCTGCAACCACGTATGCTGGTAAAGTTGTCATCCGTGTGTATTTTCGGTATCGGATTGACTCACAAGGTCGTGTAGCTGGCTCAGATACAGTGAGCAAGGTTGCATTTGTAAAGAGTCTACGATGATCTAACATAGCTTAGACAGTTTCTGCAATCTTGTCGTTCTTCTTGGCTGCAACTGTGTATCCAGATTTTTACAAGAATGCGCAGGCAGAGATCGACCGCGTGATAGGCACGCAAAGGTTACCGAACTTTGGCGACAGACACTCGTTGCCTTATGTGGACTGGATCGTCTGGGAATGCCTACGATGGAACCCCGGTGCGTTTGCTGTTCTGCTAGGCTAGGTTGTTTGATTACCTATCTTGTGCTGTCTAGTCACGCCGTTAGGCATTGCACACAGCATAACCGAAAACGACGTGTATGAAGGATACTTGATTCCCGAGGGCACCACTGTGCTGCCCAACGTTTGGTGAGCATCTACACCACCAGTTGCGAGAGCGATATCTAAATTCGATAATCAGGGCCATCTTGCATGACGAAACGATATATCCTGATCCGTTCGCGTTCAGACCGGAGCGTTATGCAGACGCAGAAAAGAATGCGGCACTGGGCATCAACGAGCCGCCGTTCGCTGCGTTTGGATTTGGACGCCGGTATGTGGTCGTACGGCTCCTAATAATCCTACGTGATCGACTCAATACAATATGTAGGAGTTGTCCAGGGCAGTGGCTGGCGGTCGATTCCATGTGGATCGCGGTCGCTACTATCGCGGCAGCATTAGACATCACCAAGGCGCTCGACGAAAGCGGTAAACCGATAGAGCCTGACGTGCGCTATGATTCTTCTATGTTGAGGTACGTTCGGCAACACGATCGTCAGATTAGGGGAATATTTAACGCTGGCTTCCCTAGCCGTCCGGAACCCTTCCAGTGTCGCATTATGCCCCGCTCCGCCGAGGCTGCCGCGCTCGTCGAGCAAGCCGCGGACGAGCTTTGACTGCAGCATGATACCTCTGCTTCACTCTCACAACCTTATGACACTATGAAGTGCGGTCGCTGCTGATTCTGTTCTCACTATGCACAACACGCTTCTCTACCTCACGATCTCACGCCGTGCTAGGCACGCCTTGTAGAATCTAGTATAGACGATGTCGAAGTTTACATGAAATCTAAAATAAATTTAAAAAAAAACAATTCGCATACGCATGGTCCCGAGTACTACCATATACCCAGTAGAGATGCTTCACCGCCTGCATCTTGCACCTTCTGAATCCCGGCTCTCACGCGCGCAAACATCGTTTCTCTCAGAGCGTCGTGAGACTCATCCGTTGTGCTGACCGTGTCCTCCAGCTCGATCATGTAGACGTCCTCGAAGGGCACGTCTGATAATGACGGCCGTCTGTCTATCCTCCTCGCAGGCATTCCGAATGTCGTGTATAGCGTGCTGAGAACAATCGCGATGAGGCGATTTTTCGGAGACATTTCGGAGCTTGTATCGGACGGTTGTTTGAGTGAGACGCGCACGAGGGCGTGCCGTGGAGGTGGAGGCTGAAACGCGGGTGGGAGCGACGTTTCAAGGGAGTTTGCCAGGATATAGAATCGTGTGCGGTTCGCTGCATGCACATGTTCATGTTAATACCCGTGAAATCTGCACAACAGAACATATAAGAAGCTTACAATTGCTATCTTGGATATCGTCTTGCAAGATATCCAGCCCGTCGAACACTGTGACGCAGAGAGACGAGCATATTGCGGCGCTCTCAGTTGCTCTATCTTCCTCACTGTCCGATAGGAGCGCTTGTGCTGCCGCCGAAGTGGATGGCGTCTTGATGCGCGTTGCCTCAGGCAATTTCTCTGACAGAAAGCGCGCGCATTGGCCTAACGCCTGGCGTCACGCCTTAGCTGCCGCCATGCAAGACGCAATTCGGGATGTGGTGCTCACCTGTTCGTGACTGAGCACTCTGTGTACGTTCTCTAGTTTCACTCCTTTACGTGCAACCAGAGAATGGCGGATGGGTAGTACGACTTCCCCCCGGACGAATTTATGCTCTCCAACCTCGGGTAATCGGAGCAGATCATATGTTTCTGTGACTGAACCGTATAGACTGTTTTCTTGCGGGATGACGGCGAACGGTATGTCTGTGGACACTGCATTGAATACATCTATATCCAGAGGTCAGTTTCAATCGCACGATCGATCATGCGAGAAACGTACCTGAGATTGTCTGCCTCTCAACATACTCCGCGCTAGAGCCGAAAGCATTTCGAGCACACTATGTTCCGCGTGCATGAAAGCTTGTTTAACAAGGGATTATGAGTGACGGACCTGGTACGAGTGCGAGCCTGGCGGCCCAAGGAAGGCCAGTTTGGGCAAGGCAGACATCTCCAGTTCCTTGGTCATTTTGCCTCACTTATTGACAGTCTCAATGAGCCGAAGCGAGGTGATGTATTCCGTGCAATCAACGAGCTCTTAGTAGGCGGCCAAATAGTTTCATGTGTCAGGCGGCCGAGTGATGTCGCTGATGGGCGAGCTATGGTCGGCATCGGGTCGACGTTCTGGCGCTCGGCGTGACTCGGACGACGTGCATGGGCTGCGTGGCGCTGTTAGAACGAAACAGATGCATAGTGATTGAAGGCGGACAACTAAAGTCGCGTGAAGAAGAGGCGATACGCAGGTTTCAAGAGATATCCCGGGAGTGTGGTCGGACGTTGCTCGAGTGTCTCACGAAACTCCGGTTGCTGCATGGTCAGCGGAGCGCGCAGCTCAGCCTCTCACAAAAAGGCAACGGATGCGTTACATTACTGACGAAGCAGCTGAAGTTCTGGCCCACAACAGGGTGCGCTGCAGCCTCAGCCTATGGCCTTCACTAGAACCTGATCGACCTTGCTACATCAGTTATCCCCTTGATCAGATCGTCCACGTGACACCAGTTTTGTTAACTGCAGCAGAGGAGCGGTGCATTGCTCACCGGGCTCGCTCAGGCCATCGTCCAGATATCTTTCCTACACCGCACATCTTCCTGCCCGCCCGAAGACTCACTGGGATAGCGGCCAGTACCTCTAAGAGCTTGCTCGCTGGATGCACCGTCTGCTCAGGCTGTCTCGCATACCGCCTGCTACTCCGAATCGTGGCGTCTCTACAGTGTTATATACCAACTCTCGCCTGACGTCTCGCTCCTATATCCGAAACCATAATCTGCACACGCAGAACGTCATGAGTGAAAGGGATAAGACGTTGTCTAACGGTGGCCCAAGCGAGAGCTTCGGGAATTTCGACCTGGTGAAGCGTCTCAAGCTGGACTTTGCCGACGTTCTCGTATCTAAGTGGAAGAGCAGAGTGACCGGCTTGTCTGTTGTCCATCTCGATTATGAAGGTGTGTGGCGGGCTTCTCTATCAGTCGCCCTCTAAATCAATTTGCGAATAGCTCCCATTGTGAACGGATACTTCGTGATCGCCACTGAAAGTATGTACTTGGTTGAGCTCATGAAGGGACGGGTTCTGGCGCAGCTGCCCAAATTTAAGACCGAGATGCGTATCCCTTGCTGCTATTTGGTCTGGTTACGCATATGCGCCTGGTGAAGTGCACGTCCATCCATACGCGTAAGCCTGCCGATATGCGTATTGATAGCCATACGCTTCGGGCGCGTATATTTTATGCACGACATTCCTTGCATCTTTGCGCATCTGTATTCACACCAGGCTCATGTGTGGTCGCATTACAAGGCTTATATATCCCGTTTGGTTTTCTGCATACATCGGGATGTCTGCGATGCCGCTCGCCAGGATTTGTCCCTTCTGCCCATTAACGGGCCGGATGTCTCATTTCTACTAGTTTTCGATGACAGCGGCTGTCCTCATACTCTGGAACAGTGAGTGTGACCCATGTCTACGTCGTGTAAATTGATTCACGCCAGATAATAGCCTCGTATTCATGGGTTCGGAGCGATATCCTTATAAGGGCATCATAGACCATCTCGCAAATCGTGGTTTTTCCAATGGCACGAACGCATGGACGGATACGGATCATACAGCGTACACTGTATCGACGGCTGGAGAGCAAGGGTTCCTACAGCTGCTACCGGTATATGTCGACCATATCCTGTACCCAACGCTCACAAAGGCAGGATTCATAACAGAGGTACACCCCGTTTTACCTCTTCGACAGTAAGATCAACTCTAAACGGCTCTCATAGGTTCACCACATTGACAGCAAAGGCCACGATTCCGGTGTAGTCTACAGCGAGATGCAAGGCAGGGAGAATACATCGCAGGACCTGATGGCACTCCGGTAAGCGGCGGAGCATGATCAGTTGACAAGCGGAAATTGAGCGCCGACATAGCATGCAGCGCCTAATGAACCCGCCAGGGAGCGCTTATCGCAGCGAAACGGGCGGTCTCATGGCAGCTCTCAGGCAGCTCACGGTTGAGAAGAGTATGTCCACGTCGTGCTGCGTTCTCCCTATAACTAACTTCCGATGCAGTCCGCGAGTACCATCACAAATATTATGTACCGCACAATTTAGCGCTTATCGTCACCGGCAAGCTGGCTTCTGGCACCACCTCTCTCCTCAGTGTTATTGAGAAACAGATTGAACCGGTCCTGGTCGACCATGGCCAGAACCACGGTCCCCGGCCTCTGGGATGGAAACGTCCATTCGCTGAGACGCCGAGTGCTCTGCGAGGACCTATTCAAACGACTCTCAAGGAAACGGTCGAGTTCCCGGAGAAGGACGAAAGTGTTGGCGAGCTGGTAATTGGTTTCATGGGACCTCCGCCCAATGCATTCCTGGAGAGGAAGGTGGGCGAGTTTATCCTATCTAGCGTTCTTCGCTACAATTGTTTTTTAGGCACTTGACATTCTTGGGACGTACCTTACATCCTCCGCAGTGGCACCGCTGAACAAGGAGTTTATTGAGGTCGAGTCGCCACTCTGGTATGCTTACGGCTCGTGAAGTATTTGCACGCATGCTGAAAAATTGACAAATTAGCACGTACATTTATTTCGGCGAAGATACTCGCGCGACGTATGTTGACCTTCCCGTTTACGTCGGCTCTGTGCCTACCGAGCATCTCGACACTTTCGACCAGAAGCTCAAGGACAGCTTTCGGCGAATTGCCGACGAGGGCGTCGACATGAAACGCATGGCTATGGTCATCAATCGCGATGAGCGCCAGGTATCATGAACCCGCAAATATCTGTATGCGAGTTTCTAAACGGTTTCCGTCAGCTTCGCAGCAAGATCGAGACATCCAAAGGCGATACCTTCTCTGGCACCATCATCACCGACTTTCTGTACGGTGCCGAGGATGGTTCGGAGCTCGATCCTTCTATGGATGAGATCAACCAATATGCTCAACTCCGGAAGTGGTCGAGCAAGAATTGGACTGATCTTCTCAGAAAGTACATTATCCTATCTTCTTGTCCCCGCCTTTCCTAACAGGTACTTCCAGGTACTACGTGGATCCGCCCTCTATTGTTGTGCAAGGCAAACCCTCCGGTGCAATGGCCGACAAGCTCGAGGCAGACGAGAAGAAGCGCATCGCTGACCAGAAGGCGCGATTGGGACCGGAAGGACTCGCTAAGGCTGAACGGGAGCTCGAGGCAGCCAAGTTGGAACATGACCGGGAAATCCCTAAACATATCTTGACCTCGTTCCCCGTGCCTGATGTGAAGAGTATCTCATGGATACCTGTGCAGAGTTTGCAGGAGATCGGCGAGGGCAAGGGGCGTCATCGGACAGTGGAACAGACTAATAACGCTGAGCTTGCGAAGCACGTTGCAAAAGACGGGGATCTGTTGCCCTTCTTCGTCCAGTATGACCATGTCCACGTGCGTATATGCGCCAAAACTGGGAGAGGGAAACTGAACGGAAACGATAGTCTGACTTCATCACCATCAACGCCTACTTCTCCCTCGCCAGGTTGCCCAACAGACTGCGCCCGTGCGTCCATTCACCGTCTGACGTTCTTTGCACCTTGCTAATTCTGTCACTTCTATCGTAGCTACATCTCTACCTACCTCTCCTCTTTCTTCTCACTGCCCGTGAAGAGAAGTTCTGGAGAGGAGCTGACGCACGAGCAGGTCGTGAACAAGCTCGACGACGATACCGTGTCATATGATGTTGGACTTGGAGTTGGCGCTGCCTTCAACGAGATGATGCGTGTCAGCATCAAGGTCGAGTCTGCTATGTACGAGTCTGCCATCGCATGGCTAAGAGATCTCCTCTATGGTAGCGAATTCGACAAGGATCGGTCAGTGAATACTTCAAAATCAATCGCACTGTCTCTTATATAACTGGCAATTTCATCACAGCTTGCAAATAACCATTGCCAAGATCCAACAAGCACTGCCAGAGTTGAAGCGCGATGGAGACAACGTGCTAGCATCCGTCTCCTCTGAGATGCTGTACAGCGAAGATTCCACTTCGCGGTCTGGCAGCATCCTGCCACAGATCGAGTTCATCCCAAGGCTTGCGCAGCAGCTTCAGGATTCGCCAGAGGAAGTCATTAAGGATTTCGAAGAGATCAGGCGGCACAGTAAGCGGTGATGTCCTTACTGCGCGTCTTGGCCATCTCATTGCCCACTCTCTATTCCAGTCACAGATCCCACTGGCGTTCGGCTCTCTGTTGCTGGGAATATGTTGGGCATCAAGCTGCCTCGAAGTCCCTGGAGAAAGTACTTCGAGCAACTACCAGTACGTACAAACCTCAACGATGTCTTGTGTGACCAGCATCTCACATACCTTGTAGGCAACTGAGCTGGCGCCTGTCACATTAGCTATCGACACTCTCAGCTCTCTGGGTAAGAACCCCGTCAAGAAGGTACGTTATAAAGAACGAATACATGTTTTGCATGCTGAAATCGTGGTCAGGCGGTCGTGGTCAGCCTTCCGACAATCGAGAGCTCCTATGTCGCACATACCACAAAGGGTATCCAAGGTTTTGCCCATCCCGATTATCCAGCTCTTCGCGTAGCTAGCGAGGTTCTCAACGCTACAGAGAGCTTCCTATGGGTATGTCGGAAACTCTTCAAACTCTAGGGCTGGCACTCAATATTATCTCAAGAGGTACATTCGTGGGTCGGGATTGGCCTACGGTGCACATGTATCTGTGGACCTCGAAGCTGGTCTTCTGGGATTTGGACTTTACAGGGTGCGTGTAGTTCCAAGAGTTGAAGAAGTATGGCTCTAAACTTGAACAGAGCTCAAATAGTATGAAGGCGTTGGAGCAGGCTAGAACGGTGATCCAAGGCCTCGTGGATGGATCAGTAAGTGCATATCTAATCCGCTTGATCGGATGCCATCTCAACGCTCCCTTGTAGATACCACTGGAAGACACCACGATTGACGCAGCGAAAAGCAGCATCGTCTTCGGTGTCACGAAGAGCGTGTCGACACCGGGTCGCGCGGTAAGTGCTCATAACGTATATATATATGAGCAGAATGCTGAGAAAAGATCCTCCAGGCATTGTCCTCCTTTCTAAACCAAGCCTTCAAGGGCGTCCATCAAAACCACAATGTCAATCTCCTGGAGAAGTTCCAGGCAGTTACAAAGGACGACGTCCTGTCGGTTTTACGCGTCCATTTCCTGCCGCTTTTTCACTCTTCGTCCTCTGTCGCAGTAGTTGTCACTGCACCCTCGAAGGCCGCGGATATCGGGGAAGAGTTAACCAAGCTTGGCTTTGAAGTAAAGCAGCGGACACTTCAAGCTGATCCCGAAGAAGATAACAAAGCGGAAAGCGGCAGCGAGAGCGCTATTGACAGTGAGAGTGATAGCGAGGACAGCCGATGATGACACACTGTAATGGCTGAGCAATGCATATATCTACTACTCTTTGTCGTCCCGACGGACATATCAATGGGATCAGCGTCTCCTAGGAAGATGCTACAGCCGAATTATCCGCGTCCGCTGCAGTGGAAGAGCCTATGACCTCAATCATTTTCTCGGACGCCTGTCCCGCCCTGAGCTCAACATCCTCCAGGAAGTCATTATCAACAAGAAATCGGATAGCTTGCGAGAGATTGGACACCGTCATGCGTATCTCAGGAGTGAGTAGCTGATAACGCGCGTTTAAATATCTGCATGGGGGGTAGAAGTAGTATGTACTTACATTGCGTAGAAGAGATGGACGTGAGGCGAAGGGATTGTTAAGTGGCTTCCGGGGATGCTTAACGTATGGCTTCTTGATTGGTTTGACCTGCTGCGTTGTCGATGCGTCCGCACCTCGAGCGACGTTGGCACTGGCAGATTTTTGAGGACCGCCCGCTGTAGAAGAAACTTCGTCGGCTTGAGCTGGCTCGCTTTCGAGCGAAGCTAAAGGCGCTTTTGACGAGACAATCTCCGGCGCAGAGTCCGAATCCGTGTCTGCATCAGAACTTTCGGAGGCATAATCTGCCGCTACATTGGGAAGAGAGGATACTTTTCCAGACGGTTTTGCAGTAGAAGATGGAGATGATCCGACAGAGAATGACGGGCGCGCGGGCAAGGGAATGGGCTCGTGTGTCCTCCGTGTCGCAGTCTCACCATCGTCTCTAGTCCACAGTTCCTGCTCAGTGACTCTTCCCCTCCCCTGACCGCGCCCGCGCCCACGACCACGGCCTCTCGTCTGCTCATATGAATCGTTCAGACGTCGCCGTTTTCTGTTAGGAAACCGAGAATCAATAGGAGGTAACTGGCCACGAGCGATGGCCTCCTCCATCTTCTTCGCCTTCTCTTCCACCCGAGACGAAGTGGGGAATCTCTTCTTGCGCTCAGCGATCCACTCCGCAATAGCCTCAGGCGTGTTCAGCTTGATGGTAGTACCTTGGATGGGAATCGGCTTCCTGTCAACACATCAGCTCTGCATATAGCCGCATAATCACTCGAATGCTCACCCCTTGAGACTAGGGTCTGCATCCCAGTCAGATTTCCGCTTCCTATTCTCCCACCCAGGCGGAAAGATCAGATGACGATCCATCATATGGATCTCAACAGCCTTCTTCGAGCCCACAAACTTGCATCCAACATGCGTGCACCTTGTGTTTCCAGGCTGATACCAGTGGGTGGGTACCGGACCGTGATGGGCATGCCGTTGATTGCTCCGTTGCGGAAGGTCGGACGTGGTATTGCCTGCACCATTGTATGAGCCAGGAACGTACGTAGATGATAGTGTATAGCCGTCAGAATTCGCGCAAGGGACGGATGGGCTTCCATATGGACGGTATTGAGCACAATGGGGTACTTGCTGGTATCCAAAATGCGCAAAGGGCTGTCCATATGGATTCGAGAGAGCAGCAGTCGCTGCACGGGCTGCAATCATACCAGGATTAGCAAACCGGTATTGAGAAGGTCCCGGAGCATTTTGGTCAGGCCATCCTCCTTGCATGCTCATCGGAAAGGAGCAAAGTTTGTGGTGCCAAATGAGAAAGACCACAACGTGAGCTCAATAGCGGACGAAGCTCAGTCAGAGCGCTCTGAGAGCCATCGCGTGAAATTTCCCAGATCGCGTCTACGCGTTCTGTCACGTGCAGTCAGATTTGTACACAATATTACCATTTATATCCAGCGCGCTGTATTGTAATGGGCGTAGGTTTTGGGCGCAATGCGGAGGACGGATAGTGGACTAGGCGGATGAATTATTACGGCAGACGGTCACGGACAGCCCGTACGTGAAGGTGAGGAGAATCACAGAAAGGAGACGGCATGGAGGGGCCTTTCTTGGAGAACGCAGAGGATGCGAGGGCGCCAAGGCCCTCTGGGATGGAGGCTGGTCGCGACACTCACGTGCAATCAGAGAGAATACAATATCGATATTTTCTTGCAGTACACCTTGTGAGCTATATATTACGCTACGCTTACTTTTAAATGTCTGTAGCCCGCACTGATGCAAGTAAGCACTACAATAGAGCACGAAAGCCAGACAGCATGACACAATCAGCCAGAACGCGTCACTGAGAAACTGAGATTGCCAACACCAGGCCGGACGTTCATACAGCCCGAAATAGGCCACGAGAGGAGGATGGTCGGAAGAGGAGGGGGGGTCAAGAGGATGAGGAAAGCTTTGATTTTTACGGATGACAGGAGGTTTGAAGAATGGCGAGTGCTCGCAGAGTTGAGAAGCTGCATGAGGATGGGTGAGTAGAGGATTTGATGGACGTGCGAGCACGGCGGGAGGCGCCTCGACTTGACGTTCATGAAGCCGTAGATTGACCTCATAGCGTTGCAGAGCGTTTAGAGCATAAGAGCGCAGATGGTACGTGCGTTGCTCCAAGCCTTCATCAATCCTGCAGTTCCTCTTGCTGTTGCTGGTCCCTGCCCACTCGCCTCTCTTTCTCGCTCTCCAATTGGTTATACAAGAGGAAAAGCGCCTTCTCGTTGGCTTCAGGGGTGCCCACAATCGTAAACATCCTCTCGCCAGTCTCGTCATGGGGCTCCTTCGCAATTGATATTTTGGAACCGGAGAGACGCCGGATCTCGGTGATTTTCGTTCCATTCCGTCCGATAATGCATCCAACCATATCAGACGGAATAGAGATGTTCTGTGTGCGTAGGTTTGTCGGCTGAGTTGGGGAAGTAGGGGAGGGCGACGTCCGCCCGCGCCCATTCGCATCGCCGTTATATCGCCGACCACCAGCGTTAGACGACCGTCGCCCAGACCGTTCATCCCCCGTGCCAGGGCCAGGATGGAAGAGCACAGTTCCCATACCTCGCTCCCAATCCTCCAGAAGACATCGGCCAATCTCTTCGATAGCGCGTCCAATTGCGTCTGGTGAACCTTGCACTTCGACTATGCGCTCTGTGGATTGAGGAAGCATTTCCTTTGAAGCAATCATTCGCGCTCCTGATGCATCTTGTATCGCCTTGATCTTCAGGCCATTACGTCCGATCACGCTGCCCATCAGATTGTGCGAGATTAGAAGGCGGATGGCAGTGTGCGGCTGTGAAGAATTCGAGACAGGAGAGGAGGGATTCGCGGCAACAAGCTGGGAAACTATGAGAGCATACGCCTACAAGAACATCAAAAAGTAGTTCTGAACAGTTGCGGAGCACTGACCTTTGCTACACCCTCCACAGAACCACCCACAGTCAACACCCGTTCAAACACACCAGGGACGACCTTGCTGACGCCAGCTTTGACGCCAGTTTGGTCCCTAAGATCCGCAACGTTCTTGCCACCTTTCCCAATGATCACACCCGCATCTTTAGAACTGACGAGCGCCCTGAGAGTCAAGGTATCGTTGCCCGCAGGTGAAGGAGAACGAGAGTGCGGAGAAGAAGCTGAGGCGAGAACAACATTTTGTCAATCGCTCATAAATGATGCTATGAAACCATCAACGAACCTGCCTCGCGATGAACAGGAGAGTCGGACGGCATGGCGAGAAAAGGAGGTGAGGAGGATGGAGGGATAGCGGCGTCGGTGAGCGTGCAAAGAGAGCGAGCCGAGGCCCGGATGGTGAACAGCGTGGGGGTGGCGGAGCTGGAATCGCAGATCTTGCCGATAACTCGGACTGGCCGGGAGTCTAAACGCCCTCGCGCGGCGGGAAATCATGTGCTCACATGGTATGTCACACACGAAATATACAACCCGAGAGGAATTCCTGCCGTCCATCTCGGCGAGGAAAGTATCATATTCAGACAACGCCCCCTGGTAACACATCCACGGAACAGGCATAAAGAGTACGTGGTTTACATGAAATACCTCGTGGCATCTGGTCACAGTGGATCGCGAATAGAGCATGCAACAAGCCATGCAATTAGACCATCTAGTAGCCGAGCTGTGTAAGGTTCTCGAAGGACGATGCTGTGTCGGCAATGGCTTTTTGACGCAGCTTGATAGTTGCCAGCTGCCAATTTGCGTGAGACTTGAAGCGTGATAAGAGCAGTATCGTATCATACCTTGCGTTCATGGAAGGCCTGGGCCTTAACCTTCCTCTTCTCCTCCAGACGGTCCACCACATCCTTGTAGCCCCAACCAACCTCATGAGACAGACGCTGCATCCCGACGATGTTATGTTTTCATCTAGTCGAATTGTCAATAAGAACGCACCTTGACTGTGCAGTACTTGCGACCAGGCTTCAACCGCAAGACTCTCAGAGCCTCAGGAACCACCATTCGCTTCTTGCGATCGTAAGGAGGAGGAACACCCTCGAACAACTTGAGGCGTTCAAGGGCTGCCGTGCCGCGGGCGGTCTTATGCGGAACCATACCACGGATGGCCCGGTAGAGAATCTTGGAGGGGGCACGGTGATGGAAAGGGCCAGACTTCTTCGGGTTCACAATGTGGCGCTTGTGCAAGAAATTATGGTACCGCAGCTGTAGGGATTACACCGTACAATGAGCTGGACGCACAGAAACGCGTAAATCTGGTAAAGACCTTGTTACGGAAGAAGCTGCCCGAGATATTTATCTCCTCACACCGCACAACCACAATCTTCTGGCCGTTCAGGATTTGCTTCGCGACGATTGAAGCGAGACGACCCAGAAGATGGCCCTTGCCATCAATAACAATGGGCGAGGAGGAGAAGGTGGCCATGGCGAGTCTGTTGAAGGAGATGCGATGGACGGGGTAAGGTATGGTAAATTCGGCAAGGTCACAAGAACGAACCTAGGTGGGTTTGGACAGGGTCAGAGTGGGCAGTTTGGCCTCAGCGAGCGTTCACCGCCGATACGCTAAGTCTCACCTTGACGATCTTGCAGTCGTTAGCAATGGTGGCTGAGAATTGAAAGGGTGACAGCCTCCGTGACTGGTGCTGCACAGTTCTGCTCGGCGGTTGCCGCAGCCTCAGCCTCCCCCGCACTGGCGCTCCCGCGGTAATATTTCTCCACGTTTTCCGGCTCAGCTCAATCTGCTTGATACTGTGTATGTACACGGTAACCTCCAATTGATACACGCTGGTTTCAAAGCTTGGCTGCCACACATTTCCTTTGCATTTGTCTGATTTCTGACCATCATCGGTCGGCTCACAGTCACAATCTCATATGTATCAAGTCCGTCGGTTCATCCGAGGTCGTAAGCTGATTGTTGCATCACGTAAGCCCCCGTCTGAAGTCGCAATTAGTCCAATGCTCAAGGACACGGCATCGCTAAGTCGTCAGTAGCACCGTACAACGCGAAAAGTGTCAGTGGGCGTGATTCCAACCGATAAAATCATGATTCGTAGACTGCGCTGGATGGATACATAAGTTCAGCTGGTCATGATTAGTGATAGTCGACTAGTGAAGTTAGGTGATGTCGCCATTTTGTAATCGTAATGATGTCTTTTTGTGGCGTAGTTGGCTATCGAGGCTTCTGGTGCATGGTGCAATGCCGGTCATATGGGGCGGTGCTCGACACATTCGAGTGTATTCGCTTTCAAACGCATTCAACTGCATTGGTCGCGAAAACTGGAGTTCACAGTCACGTGACTCAGCCGCCGGACGTTACCGAGCGACATCACAGGCTGCAGCGACCGGGCACACCGGCAAGTGGAACGCGTCCTCTCAGATATCCATTCAGACAATGTCTCTTCTCCGTGTCGCCGCGCGCGCCATTTCTCGTCCTCGGATCTCTTTGACCCCCCGAGCAGCGCTATTGCCTCGGGCCGCGGCTGTTCTTCCTCAGTCGCGTAGTCGCATTCCTCAGTATGCCGCCTACTCTGCGTCGGCTGGTCTTGCAAAAGAGGAGATCTCGGCGCGCGTCTTGGACGTTCTGAAGGGTTTCGAGAAGGTGGACCCTACAAAGGTACTGCTTATCCGTGCAGTATGTGACTGAACGGCACTGATCGCCGTCATTATCGATCAGCTCACTGAGACCTCGAGATTCTCTGAGGACCTGGGATTGGACAGTCTGGATGCAGTCGAAGTGGTCATGGCAGTAGAAGAGGTAGCAAGCACGAATCTTCTGGCGTGGTTTTCTTTCACCTGACCGCGTTTTATCAGGAGTTTGCCATCGAGATTCCGGACGAGGAAGCAGACGAGATCAAAAGTGTGAAGCAAGGTGTGCAGAATCGCTTGTCCTTGTCCACATGATTCCGACGCCTTCGTCTATCTCTAGCAATTGAGTACATCGCGAAGACGCCTGCTGGTACGACTGTTCGCCTCTTGTTTGATCACGTCATTAATTTCGCTCTCCAGCTCACTAGGATGGTTGCACATGACACTGTATAGTGGTGTATTTACCTCATTCCAACCCCGCATCTTCATTATTCCATCCCTTTTTGGCTTTGCCACGCTGGTCCCCGTTCCGAAGTCGATCGATATGACGTGACATGTCAAGTTCATCGGCACCCCTGCACTGGAAGCAGTTAAATTGTCCATTCTGTAATATAGTCAACTCCGGATGGGCCCATGAATGATCTCAAGATAATGTGGATGCGTAGCATGCGTGCAAGGAGATCGGAGGGTGAACGCTTACCCAGTCACCCTTAATCGGTAGATATGCTCTAAGGCACGCGGAGAACCATCCGAGTATCATATTTAAAGGAACGTAGTTGTTGGTGCGTTCAGAATCCGTCACCTAGGTTCAACATGTCTTCTGCTCCACGGACTATCACAGTCGAGCGTCCACTTTTGCAGACTCATTGCAGTCTCGGTGAAGGTAGTGGCATTAGTTCTATATATTCCTGTCGCTCTATGCATTCATTTTGAGTGTGCACTGCAGGGCCCATCTATGAGCCGGGGACGGCCATGCTACACTTCGTAGACATCGAACAGCACAAGGTAGCTCTGGTTAAGTATGAGATCAAATCCTCAACATTGACCCGCAGCCTTCAGGTTTATCATCTTAACACCATTACTTTGGACTACAATGTCGAAAAATTCGACATGCCGATTACTTGCCTTGCTTTACGTCGAAATGGACAGGGAGTAAGCCGAGCAATCAATATCTGTGAACACTAATCATGGATCAGCTACGAAAATATGTAGCTGGCTTGTACATCTGCGCAAGGCTTCGCTGTCATTGAAGCAAATTCGGGCCTCCGACATCTCGCCATGCCCATCCCACCGGAATATCAGCCATTCACAAGGTTCAACGATGGGGCGTGCGATAGCAAAGGCCGATTTCTTGCGGGCACGCTTTGTTCCAAAGAGCGGGGCATTCCAGGACAATTGTATATGTATGACCCAGCTGACAACACCTGCAAAATCATCGAACCCGGCCCATTTACGGTTAGTCGCTTATGCTCCCGCCACGACTCTTCGCTGACCTTTGTCAGGATTCCAACGGCATGGGATGGAGTGCCGATGAGAAAATCATGTAAGCATGTCTACATCTTCCTGCTGCGAATCCACTCACCGGAGCTCGCAGGTATTTCACTGATTCGTTGGTGAACAAGATCTACGCATATGACTATGAAGACGGGAAACTATCCGGACGACGTGTATTTGTCGACTCGATCTCTCACGGCATGCCACGAGGAACATTCCCCGATGGCCTCTGCATCGATAACGCAGGAGGCATATGGTCTGCGAGGTCAGATTAGTACGATAATCGCGGCTTTATACGCATTGATGTTCATCTTTGGCATAGATGGGGAGGCTCTAGAATCATCAGATACACTCCCGGCGGAGCGGTGGATCTAGAGGTCTACTTCCCCACCGCCCTCAACATTACTGCGTGTTGTTTCGGAGGCAAGAGTCCTTAGCTCGAGCTTAACGTTGAATCTGATGGGTAAATCTCCCAGGCCCGGACGCGGACCGACTCTATGTCACCACCGCGCATTGTGGGGCATGCGGGGGCGATGCAAGTCGGCAGGAACTTTACCCGGACTCTGGAAATTTGTTTGCGGTCGACCTGTCAGGTCAATTCACTGGTGGAACGTGGCGCCACAGATTCTCTGCGTGAGTCGCTGCTTGTGTTTAGAGGGGGACGGGCTCTGGTGGGAGAAACTATAGCGTGGATGCGATAGTGGATGTGACAATGTACCATCACGTTTCAGGCCTGCAATCGGTACATCAGCATTCTTGCCTACTTCGTTCCTCATGGGCCAAAAGTCCTGCAGCCCAGAACACCGATAGATCGGCATCGAGCTACTCCGCTGATTCGCGGGAGATCACATTGTCTCTCGCGTTCGGCGACTTGCTCTTCAGATGGGATAGGTCGCATTTCTGGCAATGACCGACTGAATAGCGGATCCCAAGCCGTTCAAGTTATGACGCTGAGTCGAGCTTGATGCATGATTGTAGCCGACGGTCATGAGGACCGCTGACACCATGCGATAGGTACGCCACATCCATTGGATACTCAGGACCCTTTTGCGGGTTGTCAGTCTCAAGCAACTCACGACCGTCCAATCTCGTTCAGCAGGGACGGCATATCATGGGAATAGCTGAGCACCGCGAGACCCGGCATGCTTGCGGACGCGTTTCACGCATCAGTCTGTTGCGTCGCTGCCGAGCATTGTCAACTCGTTGAGAACGTACTAGTAAGCTAGATCAAAGACCGCCATAGCATTTGTCCAGAGGAGCAACTGCCGTGTTGTCCTAGTAATCATGAATATGATGCAATGGCTGACCAAGAGCGCATTGAACTCGTGCAATTTATTGTCAAGTCGATGACGATAGTCTCTCTGAGACGTGCCACCGAATTTGGCAGATCGCACCAGAAGGGCTCTTTGTCCGATCACTTCAGTTTAATTGTGAGTAGATCCATATCAAGGCGCATCTGCCGGAAAGCTCTTCAAGTCTTACCGTACAAGCGACAACCGCTCAAAGCCGCAAAACCTACGCCCTCACCCGCATGTCCATGCTCGCAAGCAAGGTTTCAGTCCGGTGTCGCTGAACAGACATACGCCAGAGCAACGTTGAAGAATAGCCCTGGAATGTAGATAAGTCTCTCGATCCCCGATCTACACATTTAGATTGAGGAATGTCATTGTGGACGAATCATCAGATGCCGACGGAGTACCTTTGTGCTTTGTGTTCTGTATCAGGCTCTTGAGTAGCCCAGATATCGCAACGGCCATTTGCATGACGTGGCCACAAAATGAATGCGACAAATCTGAATTCCCTCGCCAAGATAAGGAAAATTCACTAGGGCACGGACGGCGGCGAATTCCATGTTATGAGATGCAAAATCAATGTACAGCCATGTAGCCTAGGTGTCAGGCCAAAAACTGCCTATATTGAGCATCCCGACTCGGTATCTGCGTCAATGCATGGTGATAGCATGAGGAGCCATAAGCCACCCACGCACATTGTCAAGATTGATTCCAGCAGTCCTTTGGCTGACACTCCATATCCAACACTTGCGCATCAGCGAAGTACATCGACAAAGCCTTGTTCACTTTTGTTCACGCTAAGTTCGTTCGGGCCACAAGGCGGCGGCAACACGAGTGTCATCGGGATGTGCCGAAAATAACGCAAGCGCCTCCGGGTGGCTGGGCGCTAAATATCATCTCTTTAAAGTCGAGAGGCCACCATCATGAAGCATGGAGTGGCATTTCGCGGGCTTTCGAGGACGTCCTCCCATCGGATGCTTATGCTGCGGTATGCGTATGCTGTCTGAATGTATCAGGCAGTCTCTGAACAGCAGGTAGAAACCTGGTGACTTCGCTATTCGAGCACGAGCAGATCAAGACAACCCTGCCGAAGGCGAAGGAGGCTGCCAGGCTTGCAGAGAAAGTAACCAGCGCTGCGTACTGCTCGTGGATGCTACTCATCCGTATATGTTAGATGATAACGCTGGGCAAGAAGAGCGATCTCCCGGCCTATCGGCGTGCAAACGCCTTCCTCCTGAAGCCCACAGTCTTGTTTAGGCTTTTCGACGTCTTCGCGAAGCGGTACGCCGAACGACCGGGAGGATACACACGTATCCACAAGTTTGGTCACCGGCAAGGCGACAATGCGCCGCACGCGATCCTCGAGTTAGTCGACAATCCGCGGGACCTGCGGTTCGGGATGACTGCTCGCGCTGTTGCCTTCGAATTGCTCGGCAAGCGTGTACAGCATGGCGGGCCGCAGGATGTTGCGAGATCTGGCATCCCAAACGTGGAAGAGGTTATCGAACGCGAGCGCGAATTGGGGCCGGACGCGCGGGGCGACCTGCGTCCGAAAACGCGGTGGTATTTGCAGAAGGTCCTGCGATTCCGCAGTGAAGACGCGATCAATGATATGGCTGCCATAGCTCAAGATCATGCTGTGCGTCCCGTGTTCTGACTAATTGCTGTGGATGTAACGGACCTCTTGTCGCTTTCAAGGACACACTGCTCGCGCAGCCGCTCGCTGAACAGATCTCGAAGGAGAAGGCAGAGAAGAAGGAGGAGAAAGGGAGAGACGGTCCTTCATATCCTCGAGTGGATGGGCTACGGCTCAAGGCAGGTCAGACAGTTCCTGGAGGATGGGGCAGCACGCTTCGTCGATCACAGGGTGCTCTTGCAAAAGTGCCCCTTGGTCGACCCAGGTGGTTTGAAAGCAGAAAGCTCGGTGTCGACAGAACCGACGTCTGGACCCGCCCTTCATAGGCATCTGTCATAGTTTGCTTCGGCATCTCTACTATCTATCTCTGTTCTCTATATAAGATCAGTCCTATTGAGAGCGATGAAAGATGAATATGATCCCGTTCAATCCGCGAAAAACCTTCAGGTGAGATCAGGCGTCGGATTCAATGAATACTGGAGTGTTTGCTACGGTGCTACAGTAAGTACTCAATTACCATCATGTGCCGCCGTAACGTCTGAATCCCACTGTCAGATGTACCCTTGCAGTATCGATTGACATCAAACAACCATCTGCTCGATTGATATATAACATTGAGTGCTTCACTTAATTTGCGCTGATTGTCTACACCGTTTCCACGACAGCTCCGGATCCGCACATCAAGCTTCAATCCTCATGGGGCTACAAATAAACCCGCACCTAAACAATCATACGTATATGGTAGTACAACAAATGGAATCTCTTGCACTTCTATTCTTTATTCACACGCTCGCTTACGAACTCACCCCGCTTGTACTGGGGCATCTCTTGCTTGGCGCATTCGAGAACTTCGTCACGACGAACACCTTCTCGACATCACCCTCGTGCTTGTCAAAGCCTCATATAACTTCGAGAAGTGTCTCAGTGGCAAACGATGTGTAATCATGCTGGAGCGTGTCACAGGCTCATCAGATCCAACGCACACGAGAAACCATAAGGTAACTTACAGTGTCGGGTCGAACTTGCCGGGGATCATGTAGTTGTGTGAGATCTCCTTCCATTACCTGTGTACTGGAACCTGTCCGTTGCCAATCAGACTGACGTCCTTCAATGGTGCGTACATGCAGTGTATGCAGCGGATGCGGTAATGATACCGCAGCGACCACCATTACTTGACAGAGTTGATCATCTCGTTCACGATCTCGGACACATCGATCTCAAGACTCAAGTGCAATGCCTTCTCGGACCTTGTGGATGAGAGCTCTCGGTTGATAGAAGGTTCCTGCGCACAGAACCATGCTGAGTCAAATGCTCTGCTTCCATCTATATCTAATCACTGCTGACCACAATCCAGGGCGATCTCAACGCAGATTCATTGCAGCCGTTTGACGACATCCTTTCGCTGGGAATATCGAATCATCTCGGTTCCGACTTTCTCGCGGGCAAGTACGAGGCACTGTAGAATCCTGTCGATGCCGATAATTCTCGAGGCGCCAGGCTTCGGGTTTGTCCACTTGGTTACGCATTTACCAATGCGATCGAGACCCTGGTGCACATCAGTCCTATCTGTCGAACCCCTGCATGAGATCCTGATTACACCGATTTCGACGATATTTCCGTCTTCTACGCCGGTGTCCGTGATATCTGTAAAAAGCACGTCCAATAGGTAAAATATCTTCTTATCTGATTTTTCTTCGGAAATAGGGAGAAGGTTCACGTTCTCCTTCGGCACGCGAACATATTTGGCTTATTCGCCAGGGAAGTCACCGGGGAAGTGAGCGGCGCCGAAAAGCCAGCGTCTCTGTGGCCGTACATAGCGTTCTGTTTTCATGAACGTTTATCAAAGTTTCGACATAGGCTCACCTACATGGATGGATTCCGGGTACGGTCACAGAATGATGACAAGTTCTGTTTGCAGTGTTCACCGTCATCACATGCAGGCAATCTGGTATGAAGCTGACGAGCAACACATGACGGGGCGATGTAGATAGATGAGAAAAGGAAAACATTTGGAACAGAATGCCAATAAAGCAAATTTCAGTGCAGTACCTACAATCCAAACTTCACCAGCGATATCCAAGATGTGGTGCAAGGCTCAAGCTTGTTCACTTTCAACATAGGGCGAGGCAACGGTATCCTGGGCTCCTTTGCTGACAGCCCAGATGCTCAATAAGCAGTACATCACATTATATATTGTTCTTACCATGACGGTATGATATCCTAATTGTCAATTTGCTGCTGCTGAGGCATGCAATGGCTCCAGGCTTTAAGAGAGGCCTTAGGTAGGTATCTCACTTACTGGGTCAATCCATAAACTCAATTCTTGATCTGTTTCATATTCTGGCAAGAGCATGGCTCAAATATACGGAGGAATTGAACAAGTCGATCTGTACATAGTCTCGGAAGTACGGCGGACCTGACCAGCGCCAAACGTTTGGTGCATGGAATTGCCGTTGGCACGCTCATACCCCGCTTTCCCACGTTACGTTTCTCCTTAACCCCTGAGTCGATAGGCTCAGCCTGAGTATATATCGGAACCACTGTCTTTCTGAAGGCTGAGAAGTTCATGAGCCTTAGCCCAGTTGGCCTATTGCGACCGCACTGGACGAGCCATCTGCATCATTTTCGGGGGATCTCCGTCAGGTTCCCTGTGAAACATGCGTTAATAAATGCTTACGTTCTCTCACAACAGTCAGTGTCGATTCTGGCTAGAGCAAGATTGCTATGGGAATGATCCCCTTCAACTCCTATCTGGTGAGATTCGGAGTTTGGTCGTGGATAGGACAGTGGCTTGTGCCGTATCACATAGTCTCGAACGCGGCCGCGACATGCCGGACTTGCGATATCAATGAGTATGATACGTCACTTATGCTAATGGTCACAACTCTGTGTCCACGCTTTGCTGGTCACCTCACCGGCTTTGAAACATACACATATTGTGTTATCAAGGTCTTCTATGTAGCGTAGTTAATTATCGGACGAATCCAGCGAGAATGGACCATCGAAGGTGTTGGCACTGGTCACAATTCAACATGAGGCTACCATGCATTGCGGGGGCCACGAGGTCGAGCACTCACAGTTTGTCATGTGCACTTGATTCTCGATGCATTGATGAACTCCGCGCTTGAGTCGAACGAATCTTGATACATGCGGCCACCTCATTGCCTGAATGCATCTGCGAATCACGCCTTTCAAAAGCCGAGCAAAGCAAACTTTGTTACTGCAGATAATATAATATTGCTAGGAACAGCGGTGAGGATATCATAATACGTGGGTATAGACTAGATCTGGAACACTAAAGTCCGTCCTCGTAAGTTCGCGATGCTGAGCCACGAGTTTGAGGCGTCCTGACGACTCGGGTAATCAGTGGCAACCTGGTGAATGACGAAGAGCGAATAGGTATCTCGTAATAGTGCTACTTCCTAGCATTCGAATTCCTGCATTAGTTCGAACGCGGTGTAGGAGGGAAACACGCACGGTAACCAATGCTATGAGTCGTTCCACATGCAGAAACGCATATCCCGCCATAGGCGGTCGACCGTTATGCCATGTACTGGCCGCCAGGGCTCTGAAGACGCTTGCGACATGCTATGCGAGCCGCCTGGAAACAATTGAGACACAGTGCAATTGACGTCCCTCCACGTCCGCGCGCTGGTGAATAGTTGCGATTAGTATCGGGAGGTCCTCATTGTGAATTCGCTACTCACGTCACATTCGCGACTTTTGAACGCGTTTTCAAGGCATACTGGTAGACTGAGCCTATGCATGCATAGCAGAATTAGCAATCTCATAGTAATGCGTACCTGGCTGCTGAGCTAACCTGCATCCAACACAAGTGTGACGCTTTCGCCCGGATGTAATAGAACGATCGCGCCCGTGTTCCGACCATAGGTCCGCAGCAGCTGCACGGTTGCGCAATCATGTGTATCGTTTGTAAAGTCGAGGAGGACTTCATATTGAGTGCTCGCGGGCATGCTCAAAAGCGGTCGGAGGGCGTCGAGGAGGGGTTCGGGAACGATCGTGTGGTAGGGAAGGAACGTGATACGGGGATTCTGAGGGCGCGAAAAGAAGAGAGCGTAACGCCAGAGAGGCACAGGGATGTATATGCTCTGCTTGGCAATTACAGTTGCTTGAAGCTTCTGCGGGCCGTCGCACTTCGACACTCACGGTACTGAACGTGGTCTTAAAACGATTCCTGATGTATCGTTCGCCTGCGAGCCTGTACGGCCTGTGCTCAAAAATGCCTGGCTGTGGCAGATGGAATTGAAATTGCGTGTACAGCCTGGATACATGGCAAGGATGGGACAAAACCGGACCTGTTGCCACGTTATGCCTCCGTGGCCTTATTGTCTGCGCACCGGCCGGGTGGCTGCTCAGTTCGGTCTCGGCGAGGCAGACGGGCGATGCAGATATCAACAACTACCTATAGGGGGGGAGCCGAGTGACGCCAGGGCATGCATGAGCAGTGAGGCAGGCGAACGCAGCAGATCAACCGAGTTACATGAATTGCATCCTCACCTTCCGCCGGCAGCCAGCGGGCGCCTATGTGGTGAGTGTCCGTATATGGTTTCTACAAGACTCACATGACCTCCTTCTCTAAACATCTCGCTCAGTCAGACTCAGTGCGTTCCGCTGCTTGTCTCGGTCCTGAGGATCCTCATATAGAACGTTGTGATATGCCAGCTGCCCGCATCTAATTGACTCCTGAAGCCATAACTTGGGAGCATGGCCGCCGATTTGCATTTCCTTGCAATACCCGTCGAGATCCGTCTCGCAATCTATGATCACTACTTGACAGAGCATCAGCGAGTCTCACAGACCCGTCAACCGTCAAACCAGCATCTGGGATTGCTCCACACGTGCAGACAAATATATCACGAAGCTGGGCCGCTATTTCAGGGATATGTTTCGCTGAGAAATGAGTGGCAGATCAAAGCATTTCTCCAGCATGCGGACAGCCTCCTTAAAGCCCAAGTATACTGGGCTGACGTGGCCAATGACGGCCGTGTTCTCTCTACCGGTGGAAGCGCGCAAGTAATGTATTTTTCCATCTTTCAAAGAGAGGTGTGCTGATTGAGCAGAAGGCCGCATTGCCGTTATCTGTGCTCTACCTCGCACTCCGTCGCATGACATCCCTCAGACGCCTTCGGGTATTCCAGTGCCGCCAGGGGCTACCTGTGGACCTGGACAGTAAGCACGGTTTTATTTGGGGAGCTATAATCGTATCGACGATACTGTTATGCAGAAGTGGCTAAAACCCGTCTTGCTATAAGATTTGAGTACGCAATGGTCCTGTCAGAAAGTCTCAAACAATTATCCGCGTACGAGCTCTTTTTGGACCAGGAGACAAGGATCTATCCGTTCGAGACTGTTACCGCAGATCGTATCAACAGGCTACGGTTGTCAGGCGAATGTCATCTTCCAGCCTCACTATCCACACCAGCTCTCCGCCACATCACGCTACATGGGGTCACCGGAAACTATTTCGACCAGCACAACCTCACAGACTGTTTCACAGGAGCTGCCCTCGAATCATTTTCCTACGGACTCGCGCACCGGCTTGGCTTCGAGATCCGGAATCGTCATGTCGAATCGCTGGTTGGCCTCTCCGGTGGCCGGCTGCGCAAGCTAGTCTTACTCAGCTGCAGTCGCCTCACAAGCACTGCCATCGCCACATGCCTGGAAGGCTTGCCCCTTTTGGAGCACTTTGCCCTGAGCCTCGTCACGGTGGACGAGCTTCGGACAAACTTCGTTTTGTCGCTGCACCCCACGGTCGCCATAGTCAAGCTTCAGGTCGTAAATGCCTGGTATGCCATACCCATGGAGGCAGAGGAGCAGGCACTGTGTGACGCCCTTGAATCTACTGTGATGAAACGAAAGCCGCCGCCCCGAGAAATTTGGGTTAGCTTCAGGAACAAAGTGATGTCCGAGAACGGTCGCGAGAAAAGATGGAAGGCCATTGCTGAGATTCATCGGTTTAAACTAAACATTGGACCTTGGGAGGATGTTAACATGAAGGAATTGTAACCCCGAATCAGACTTCAGAGCGATACCTGGGATATAGGCGCTACGATCTGGATTACAATTTATCGCAGATGGTCCGTAAACGTTACATGGTAAATGGTAGCAACTGTGTAACATAGTATATGACGAAGGTCCGGACAGTACAAGGATATGATGCGGGTAACGTATGCTAACGCAAAGTCCAAAGTCCTCGCAGGAATGAGTCGCAGTAACAAAGATGCAGTCGCGGATCACTGGCCAGGCAACAAGCCTTGCGCACGCTGCAATGCGGGTGTTGTATGCGAATAATCATCAGTATACAACGGCTGACTGGTGGTAGTGAAGACTGACCCTGCCGATGGATCACCTCTCCATTTTCAGAGTAACATACCACTCAAGGCCCAACTCCCATTCAACTACTCTTCGTCGTACCCTTAATCGTGATATGGCTGCCTCATTTCTGCGTGGTCATTCTCTGGCTGGATAGGATCATACGGCGTTTGATCATAATCATTGTAGTCCCGATTTTGCTGCATTCGATCACCTATTACAGTTGAAACACTGGCAACACTTTCTGACCTGTCATGGTATCCGCGTGGGTTCGCGAATGAGTCTGGGGAGCCATGCGCGTCCCAGGGGTCGCCGCGCGTGCGGAGAGGGATGTCGCTCGCAAGAGGTGCTGTCGGATCGTACAGCGAATCGTACTTGGCATGATCGCGCCGGATACCAGTCGCATATGACGAGAGGACGAAGAAAAGGTACAGCTGCACGTGCGAGGGCAACGAATCAGCCAATGCTTGGCAAAACAGGGGACGGCATGTTATCACCTGCATGATCGCCATCAGAGCCCACAGACCAGCCATGAGTCCGATGTCAACCCAAGGGAAGATATCACAGAGTGTGTTCGCCTCATCAGTCAGAATTGTGGTGTTGGTACCGGAGTAATACGTAGTCCTGCAGTTGGTCTCCGCCGTGGTGTGTCGAGTGGCCGATATGATGATCCAGACGGCTGCTACCGCAAACGCGGCTAGCGTGATCAACGTATGCAACGTTACATATATTCTGAATAAAGACGGCCTCTCCTACACAACCGACGTCAACCCCTTCCAACGCATTCTCAAATAGGCGATATACTCACCCCACGAACTGCAAAGAGACCTACGAACTGAAGCGCTGCACCTACGTAGCAAATGATGGCGAAAATCCATTTTGCGAAGGAGGGCACTGCCGCTCCCACAACTGACAGAGCGCCTGGATTAGGAATGCAACAAAAGAGCGGCGAGTGTCTCACTTTGTGGTGTGGCAACTGCCAGAGTCGCAGTTATAATTCCAGCTGCAAATTGTTCCAGTATCGCAAAATAAATGCCCGTGTAAACTACGGGGATTGCGCAGCAGCAGTACTCTCTAGGCTTCATGATGCGGATTCCTTGTGTTATGGGGCTACGAGCGGAAGGTCTGGAAAAACAAAGATAGAGGCAAATGCGTCAGAAGCCTGGGGAGAGAGTGCTAGACAGCGCGCGGTGGACAGAAGACCAGCGGATGGTGGTGGGAAGAGGAGAGGCCGTTGTGCAGCGCAGCCCCATGCGCAACCGCTCGGTTTCAGAATAAGTATCTAGTTCCCACGATTGACGTAACCCAAAGTCGGCAGTCCAAGTGTTTGTTCTCCGCTCCACCACTCCTCTTTCTCCTCCTCCACTCTCGTTCTCTCCATGGCTCGATTTGCTATCTTAGTCCTCTTAGTGACCACGCTCAACGTTATCTGCAATGCTGCTCCCAGTGAAAGGCAGGAAGCATTTGACGTGACTACCACCAGCGATCGCTGGTCTTGGACAGATTGTAGTGCGTATTGAGACCTGATGACGATGTGATTGTGTGCAGCTCACTGACGACCGCTATGCACGTAGGCGATGGCTCATTCCCAGTGCACATTGAGAGCATTGAAATCTATCCCGACCCGCCTGAGAAAGGAAAGGACATGACTGTCACAGTTGTTGGCACCGCGGATAAGCAGATTGAGGTACGTCTTTACATCCGTTTTTCGTGGCCTGCTGGCCTGAAGCGTTTTAATCTTCAAGGAGGGCGCATATGCAGACGTCGTTGTTAAAGTTGGTGCTATCAAGCTTCTTCAAAAGGAGTTCGATGTTTGCGAGGAAGCGTACGTCATCAGCCTGTTGTCGATAAGAGAACCTCACTCACAACCTCGCAGGCGAGGTGCAAATGCTAGTATCCAGTGCCCTGTTGCTGAAGGCAAGCACCAGGTCATACACACCGTGACACTGCCGAAAGAGATTCCTCCTGGTAAGTGGAACTATGATCGCTCTCGATGTGGAGCTGACATCTGTCCAGCTCCATTTGCTGTCAGCATACGCGGTTACACAGTGGATGACGAGGATATGGCATGTGTCGAAATGAAGATTGACTTTAGGCCTCAGAGACCCCGTCTGTTGGGCTGGTAATCGTTCTTGCAGGATGTTATGACTCACGGGGCACGCTCTTATTTCACGAATCTGATGTCGTTTGTAACGTCTCGTACTTCATCCGCTTTGTTCTGTATACGCTAAGCATCTTTTTTCAAGTTATCCGCTATGCATGTTGTTCAGGATGGTGGTAGACGATGGCCGATGCGTAGTGTTTGGATTTTATGTACTTGCTCTTGGTTCCGAATCACCGGTGTGTCTCTTTGCGAGCATTACAGATGTTGTGTGCTCCCGTGCTGTCTCGTGGAATCCGGCGCTGGGTACAGTCTGCAGTCACTGTGCTGTGGATCATCGAGCGCCTGTGCCTTGACGAAGTTCTGCATGCCGTACGAAATGTTCCCAGTCAGGTTCCCGTTCGATCAACATGAATGCCGGCGCTTTGTCCTGCTCCTTGGTTCGCGCCAACACATCCAGCTTGTTCCCTCACCATAATCTTCCCAGCACGTTCATGTCGAAACATCGTCTGCGATATCTTCTTATCCTCGACTTTGAGGCCACATGTGGTGATCGTGTCGAAGGAGAGAATGAAATCATAGAGTTCCCGACTCTTGCGTATAACTTGGAACGAGACGAGGTTGAAGCGACTTTCCACGAGTATGTCAGGCCTCTGATTCATCCAACGTTGACTCCATTCTGCATCGACCTTACGGGCATCGCGCAGGTATGTTCGAGAGACATCAATGAGTTGACCATGGCTCGAGCCTTTTTGCCCCGTAGCACGTTGTCGATGCTGCCGATCCCTTCCCTGTCGTTTGGGAGCGCTTTCGACAGTTCATTGAAGGCAGCGACTTCCTGAAGGATCCCGCTGATTATGTTTTCCTAACGTGCGGCAACTGGGATCTCGGGAGCATGCTTCCTCGTCAGCTCAAGCTAAGTGACAGCGAGCATAGTCTCGATACATCCGGGAACCTCATCGCTCCATACAATCGCTTCGTTAACGTCAAGAACTCCTTCCGGAGACATTATCGGCTCCGCTACCAGCAGGGCATGATGGGGATGTTGCAGACCTTGAAGCTATCTCTCGAAGGCAGACAGCATTCGGGGATAGACGACTGCAAGAACATCCTTCGCATAATCCGTCGGATGCGTTCCGACGGTTGGGATCCTTCGCAGGACGTGTAGACGGACTGATTCTCGGACGGAACACGATGTATGGCGCGCGCAGAATGGTTCTTATCTCCCCTCCGTACGTACATCCATAGAACGTGACCACTGCAAAGACAATAACAGACGCTCCACTCTCGCACATCGTAACTATTCCGCTCTCCGGTTTCTCATGCTTCCGGCGGGTCTTAGATATACTGCAGATGCTCATCGACCTCCTGATCCATGTTTGGCAATCTCTAACGCGTCTCGCCGAGCCGAGCTCGATGCATGATCGGGGAGTCCTGCTTCAATCTTCCTCTTCGGGAAAACAATAATGAGCGTTGTAGTGCGAAGGACGTGTAATGAAGGCGCAACGTGCAGATTGTCTCGTTCGTACTTCCGCATAGAGAGAGAACCAGGGTGCAGACAATGGGGTGCATCGACTCTGCGCCCATAAGTATTTGAGTCTGGTGAAGCGCCTTCGGGGGCAGGCATGCCTGTCCCACCACCCACTTAGCCTTGCCGGGAATGCCAACGTCCACGGTGCCTTACGAAGTCCTCCTCGAGTTCTCAAATGACACTATCGAGCCGGTCACTCTACAAGTGCTGCGACACGACAGCGGCTCTCGCACGGGAGCCACAATATTCTTACACAGCGGAGAAAGCATATCGCTCGTATTAACGGCTGGCTTGCCGTATAAATACGCAGCGAAGCTAGGAGGAAGGGAGGCTATGCTGTCGTGAGCATCTTATGTCGGGGTAACTTGAGCTTTGGGACGACCGAGCTTTTCTCATAGTGTCAAAGTCTGGCAAGACAGCCGCTGCAACTTGTCGGACGTAGCATCTGAGTCAGATCTGCTGGCGCGAAAATGCGACGGTGTGTCTAGAGTGGTGATGGAGGGGATCTCTGTAGCGTCGCTTGTCGAAACGCGCGCCACCATCCGCCGCTAGTCTGTGAGTAGTGTCTGAAGCAAGCGTTTAGGGTCCATACTGAATGGTATCATAGGAATGGGATACAATGTAACAGTCATCCCAAAACCGCATGGATGACGCAATAAAACACATTATACATAGCTATTGTCTCTGCGATGCCATATACCCGAGATAGCTTCTTCGCACATGTATCGGTACCAGATTTGATCTCCGTGGCACTAGCCCTGCTTAAATATTGGTCAGAAACGATAATCTTGCACCACCGCGGCAGCACTACCGATAGAAGATTAATTATGACGGATCATGAGCCCTGACTAGAAGATAAACTTACGTGAAGACGTCCCAGACCGACGTCTGGTTGATATAAAAGGTGAAGCCTGAAAGAAGCAGGAAGTGCTGAGATTAAGGATTGCTCTTAATGAACGGAACAATTTACCATCGTTCGGCGACGCCTGAGAGAGAACACGTTAAAGTATGATGCAACGTGGAAGTTTGCGCAATCATGAACTTACGCCCATGTAAATCTGGTCACTGTACTTGATGAGACGGTTGCCTCCGTCCTCCGTCAGGCCCAGTTCGCCGAATTGCCAAGGCTGGATTCTGCGTAAGAGTCAGCGAAATTCGTATGAGGCCTCAGCCAGGAGAAGGTCCGTACCCACTGTAATGAATGGAAGAGAGTTAGCAGGCTCCACACATGCCCCGCACTCATGCACAACTTACGCATGACCAGTAGCAAGAGCATAATCGACCCATACAGGATAGATAGCGGTCTTGTTGTCTAAGTTGCAATCAGCACATTGTTCCGAACAGAACATGCGACACGTACCAAGCCCCGTGACACCGAACTCCTCAATAAGCAACGGTTTCCCTACGTAAGAGGCCGCTGTACGAGGTCTCCAATGAGCAGAGGCGAGTAAAAATGATGAGAAGACGAGACACGTACTGTTGGCATGGGCGCCGATCCAACCCAGACCCCAGTCCTCGACGGAAAAGTTGGATCCAGGGTAGTCCTTGGGAGTGATATTGAGCTGTTATCTATCACCGATTGGATGAGTGGACGCGTACGAGCTCAGGATACCAGGTTTGCGGATACATGTGCTGTATGGCATGCAAAGCACACAGTCAATAAAGGGAGTGCGATGTAACGCACGTAACTCACATATGTACCGAAGTCGATGTTGGGTAAGGAGAGGCTGGCTTCGAAATCTTCGCCAGCTATAAACATGCCACTCAGTGATCTTCAAATACAGATTGCGCCGAGCGCGCGTACCTTCTCCATTGAAGTTGAAGTCACTGACGAGCTGCCCGTCGTACCAGCTACACAGGAGCTGTCAGTCCGTTTTCGCTACAACCGTGAGACAGAATCACTCACTATGTCGGCGGGTCCGCCCAGTAGAACTGCCCCTCCCCTCCCGTTGTAATCATATGGTACGGGTCCCTGCACCGATCGAGTCGCACATCATCAACAGATTTGCCACCCACAATGCACAACAGCTCAGTGCACGTACAAGCTCCGCACATAGTCCGACTGCTGCTGATACCACTTCGTGAGCGTCTCCGACCCAGGAACGCAGTTCGGGCCCGAAGGAAGGCTGTCGCCCGCACAGCGCGCCTCGTTCATGAGCTCCCATGCGAAGATGGCCGGGGAGTCCTTGTAGCGGCTGACGATCTCTTCTACGTAGGACTCTGTGAGATATCAAGAGATCAGATATGCGTAGAGGTAACGGGGAGATGAGTGAGGAGAACGCTGACGGTAAGATGCGATGATAACAGGGTTCGTGTAAAACTGGTCGTGCGTCGCCGTGTTGCCGAGAATGTGGTAGATGTACAGCTCCATGCCCTGGTGCTTCAGGATGAGAAGATGTGCCCTCGATGGATGCATGGTCAACGTACTCCATATCCAACCCTACAATCATAATAGAACTCAGACACCTCAAATTATCGAATCGCGAGCCTAAAGCACGCATACCAGTTATTCGTGAACGTCATGATCATCTTGATTCCATACTGTTCCGCAGTCTGCACGACATAGTCCAGTCGTTGCAGTCCCTGAGGTCCCTCGTTCAACGTCCACTCGCTGTTGTTCCACACTTGGTAATACGTCAGCCCAGATGAGAGTGCGTAGTCAAGTTCAGTCGCGTTGATCGCGTTGAAGCCCTGAGGGAAGTGAGCGCGCGTAAGCGATGATAGATGACGTAGAGCAGAGCGGGAATGTGGTGAAAGACATACCCAGGTACGGACGACCTTGACGCCTGCGCCCGCCATGGTTGCGAAGGTTGCGTCTACATCCTCTTGAGTGATCAGCAGAGGCAGCCACTGAGTTGAGAGGCAGTGAAGTTAGCTCTTCTATTCTTCGATGCATCAAGAATGCGTTTTGCATGAACGTACGTATGCGTTCGCTCCAACGAAGTACTGCGGAACATGAAGTTCAAGCTCTTCTCCAAGACAAACTAGACTCACGAACGGCTGTCCATCCAGCTCGAATTGAGCGCCATTTGTTGTTACGAACCCAGATGAAACAGCCCGCCTCTATGTAGAACTTATCAGAGTGTCAACTTTCAAATAAAGCGTGAACCTCACAGTCGGCTGCCGTGCTTCCTAATATGCACACAACCCTCAATCAATCAGTCCAGACGCTGTCGAAATGAGAACTCACATCGTTATCCTTGCGTGCAAAATGCCTTGCCTGTACCTCAGATAGGGCACAAAGGAGGAATGCAACAAGACAACTCTGAGCAAGCAGATGCATGGCTGCAAGCATCGGCGATGGCCACTGGGAGCCCGATGCTGACGCAATTTATACTGCAATCACGGTCAATAATAGAGCCTGTGGCCATGTTGCGACTACGCGAAGAGACGCATCCCAGCCGGTGGAAAGTCGGTCTTAGAGTCAGTCAGGTGGACGGTCATTCGGGAAAGTCGCATCGATTCTTGTTCTAAATAATAAGGCGTACGCGTCGAGAGGATGGCCGTGCCGTGAGGCGAGTTTGCTATGAATATGGACAGAAGCCGTACGCGAGAAATAGCGGTGAAAAGGGCATCCGAGAAAGGCCCAACATCATGGAGAAGAATGACTTGACTGTAGGCACCGCGTTCCAGCAGCTTCCGGCCATACTTTCCATTGAAGTCGCTTATCCTCATGAGCTACGAATGAGGATGCCAGATCACTGGGTTATACAAGCTGCATAGAGAGTTATGGTGGACATGAATGAATAGTTGATCGACGAGCGCCGAACAAGCCTCAGGACGAGATAGCAGCGGCGATTTCTCGGAGGTACGACCACGTGGCCTCGATCGCACTCCCGCGAGGGCGACGGCGCTTCCTTCATCTGTATTTTTACAAGGAGGCCACACAATGCCTAAGAGTACAAGGAAGAAAAAGGACAAGGCCGCTGACTTCACAGTATGTTCAGCAGAAAACATTTGATGCAGACTTTGTATTCACGCTGCCCTATCAGAAAGCGAAGCTCAAGCTCGGCAAGGGCAAGCGGGCACCCTCCAATGCCGTAGACACTTCCTTCAAAGCTCGCTGTACGTGACACGCAATGCGATGCTGCATTTGACTGAAGTACGATCAAGACAGCTATTGCGCTTCCCTCTCAGAGCATCGCGCATGACAGGGCCTCGGATGTGCCTACCACCAAGCGGAAGCTCACATTTGATGATCTGATTGCGTATTTGAAGCATTACAATGCTAGCACTCGAAGAGGTATAAACACTGCTCTGAACATTCGACATGCATAGTGCTGATGAAATGGTCCGTAGATGCAATTCTCGGCCTGCGGGAACTTCTGGATTCGCATCCAGAACTGATCTTACCGAACCTAACAGTCCTCATTAACAGTTGCGTGAGAGTCATAGGCGATGAGGTTCGCCCTCTGCACACACAGATAAGTTGCTAGTTTGTCGCTGAACTTCCATTCAGGATGCAAACATACGCAAGACCCTGCTCTCGTTCTTCGGTTGGCTCCTCCCCCAAATTCCCCATGTACTTACCATCTTCTAAGCCGCCTCACACTCCCTGATTATTGGCCATTAGGAAGACCTCGTACCACACACACCCATCCTTCTTCTCTTTACCACTTCCGCCCAGACTCATATTTTCCCCGAAATTCGCATTGACGCCATCCGTTTCCTCGACCTCTTCCTTGAAGTCCTACCTGAGCTTGTCACAGAGGGATGGCTCCAGCCGAGTAGTCATGGAAGGAGGGTCTTGGAGGGGTACCTTGGGATACTGAATGCTGGAACGACGTTCGGTGAGGGCGGAGGTGAGAGTTAGTATCTGCCTTTCATAGCGAAGGCGATGCTGAGTCCAGCGTTTCAGACACTGGGCATATGCAGGCGACCTCCACAGCAAGCGTAGTTTTGTCCATGGGGGTGCGTTCAGTGCATTAATGCTTTTCTTTGCTGTAACTCGCTCACCTTGCGCACTCCTCGACAGTCTAAACTCATCGCGCTAAAATCCTTGTCCTCTTTCCTACAACATGCGCTCGCTACTTCCTCCAATGTCACCTCGTTCTCCTCCGACACCCACTCACACACAGCAGCTACTCCTACCTGGTTCCTGGCCCCGTACTTCGCCTCTTTCGAAGCCTTTGACGCCTTCGATGCTCTCCTCCGGCCATCATTTTATGCCTCATTCTCAGTGTCGGGTCCGCATCAACAAGTCTCCGAGACATGGTCCCCAGAAACTGATATGGAAAGCAACTTTGAGAAATTCCAGGGAACCTATGAACTGGCAAAGGCCTCGGTTGGGGACTCATTCGCCCTCCAAGACCTCATGAATCTCGACGTCCAAGATTCCACTCGCTCGCTAGAGGGCTCTAGCGTCAAGGTGTCTTTTGCAGCTGTACGTACCCCCTTCTTTCGTTACTGTTCATTCTCAATATGACACTAATATGACCAACTCTCGCAGCACCTTGCGCGCACGCTTTATCCGACGCTCACAGCGACCTTCCTGGACTGCGCGCCCGCCGTGTTCTCTCCGAGCGTCGGCCCGCCCGAGACGGAGCTCCAGATGGTACTCGTCATCGCGGAGATCTGCCTAAGCCTGTATGGCGCGGTCTTGCGCGAGCCTGCGGAGGTGCATAAAAATCTGCACTGTTTCGATTTCCACTCTGATTCCTAGTGGTTGCAGAGTGCGAAAGGGCAGAACGCGGTCGAGGACCTGAAGCTCATACTCGGGTACTTCGCACCATATTTCCCGTTCATAGTGAGTGGATCCACGACGGCAAGGCGCGACATCAAGGTAATATCCATGAACACTTTCGCTCAATCTTACTGTTAACCAACTACATGGACTTCTAGATCGAGCAGGTGTATCAGGACCTCAATCTCATCTATTGCGAACTCACCTCTTTCCTTGTGCTCGCCTCCCCCGAGTCTTCTAACCTGCCCGCCAAGCAACCTAATCCCCGCCGAAGCAAGCCTTCTAAGCACTTCATCTCCGCACCCGCGTCGTCCGCCCTGCCTGCCGTGCAGACATCTCATGTGCGAACTTACGTCGTCCAGCTTCTTCGGGGTGAGGCCGCCCCCGCCCCGGGGTCGCTCGCCCGCCCGATCACGCCCGCAGCCTACAGTGCGCTCCTGCCAACGATTTGGTCTCTATTAAACAGCCCGCGCAAGTCGGCTAACGATAACGATCCCGATGCATTGGCAGTTTTGGGGGTGATGGTTGAGCACGCACTCAGGGCGTCGTCCACGTCCGCCGTCAAACGGCATACAGTCGACTTCCTCGCACGGCTCGTGTTGGTGCGTGTCTCACACTCCGGGCTTTCTCTCCGCGAAGGCTAATTCTGTTCTCTCCCTTTGCCGCCGTGTTTCTCCCACATGCAGCTCGAACGCGAGCCTGAATATCGGGGAGCTTTCAAAGCCGGCCTTCACGCGGATCAGGACCGGAGGTTGGAGGAGTGGATCCAGCAGCTTCCGCGTACGCTCTGGGAACTCGGCGCGGGCTCGCTGCCCACGACGGAGGTGAGTGACCGAACAAACGGGGTTTCGCGTCCTTGTAACGGCTGTGGGCATACTAATAAGTTGCATTCATTTCCATGGTTGTGCTCATTCCCGCGCAGACGATTCTACGCTTCCTCCTAAGGCTGTGCGAACGCAACTCACCGCTACTTCGAGACGAGGTGCGTGTGATCCGCTCGGTCTCAGCACCGGTCTCGCCGCGCGTCGCTCACGGTTGTTCGCGTGCAGGTCGTCTCGTCTCTCCGCATGCGTCTGGTGCCGTATTTTGTCGTCACGCACGAGACGCGGGGTAGGCTGTCCGGACCTTTCGCTAAGCTGCCGACCGCGTCACCGTTGCGCATGCTTGCGCTTGATGTGGCTGCTACGCTCACAGGCACAGGGCCTGGTGGGCAAGGGGTTGGGCATGGCGACGGTGACGGTGACGGCGACGACCTCGAGGCGGCTGTGCGGGAAGCCGTACGAAGCACGGAAGTTGAGGCGTACTGGAAGTCAGTTAAGCGACGGACATGAGGCATTGGCGCAGTAAAGATGTTGTATGAAACATTGTTGTTCCACCAGGCATCTTGCAACCATCTTTATGATGCTAGGATTGAATAATACGTGTATTGTTGTCATTGGTTTTACTCACGCACGTTCTAGGATGAAGGCAGCAATCGATCTACGATTTCTATTCTTGTTTGCAATTCTCTGAATCACTCACGCACGTTCCAGTCCACACTATGACATTCCCGCTACGATAGTAGTGGGTCTTGTGGATTTGAAGCTCACAAGGCTCTCCGCGAAAATTAGCGATCGGCGGAACACGTCTGCCCTGAAGTGATCGCTCCATTGCGCGTCATGTCTCGTGATCTCTTTCCCTGTGCATCTGTATGACCGTCGCCACAGTGCCTGTCGCATTCTGTGGCACGATGAACATCTTCACAGGATTATGTAGTCGATTTACATACCTCCGTTTCCACATCGTATTCGAGCTCCTCTATCACTGAAAAGTGACCGAACTAGCTGCCCATTATGGGAACTGGCATGCACACAATTCGAATTCTAGGGCGATGACTGACAAACGAAATGATTTGAAAAAATGACAAGCCTGTTCATGCCACATCTCTCCAAAAGATAAACCACGGTAAGGAAGACCAAATCTTATTACACGACAGGCGGTGTTACTCAATTCCGGTGCTTGAAACGCATGAAGCGCCGATTAGCAAAGTAACCGCGCTCGTCGTAGCGGGCGCTGCCGGCACCGGCCCTACCACCTTATGAACGCAGCAGTCAATCTACGATTCCTATTCTTGATTTCAATTCTGTGAACATCTACCCGGATGTACATAAGTCAACAATAAACAGCGCGCAAGCGCATCTAGAGCTAGTGGACCGAATTATGCATGCTCGATGCAACGACATAGACAGCTCATCATACGACCCGTATTTCCTAGCCTCCGCCTTCGCACGCGAAGCAATCAGAGGGACACCCAGGTGCCGAAAGAACGGGAGAATGCTATGGACGTGGAAAACCAGAGAACCAGAGGAAAGCAAATGAAAGTGATAACGTGAACGTTGGGGGTTGTAGTATGTCTTCGTGCGTCATGGGGAAGACGGCGCAGGGCTTGCTGCGAGTCGCTCAGGATGTGAACTCCCAGGTCACATCAGTCAGACGGCCGATGGAGAGATCGGCAAGATCTCCGAACGCGGTCGGCGTGAAGTCGAGGCTCGTCGTGCTGCAACCCGTGCAGCGGTCGGTAACTGTGACCGACACGGACTTGCCCCCATCTGCGGAACAAAAACGGTTCAAGACAGATCGAGAAGCAAGTGATAGAAGACGGTTGTGACAAAACGCACAGGAAGCGGTAATACCCTTGTTGCAGACAGGGTTCGTGTTCGGGTTGGTACCGTCATAGCCACTGTGATGTAAGACGCGTGTGAGTGGAGAAGACGCGTCGTAAGTGCGGCAGTTACTCACGGGTAGTTGTCGAACAGCTCCCAGGACACTGCAACGATGTAGTCCGAGTCGGTGTTCGTGATACCGCACGCGCCCAGACCAGCGGCGTAGTAGGTGCCTGGAGAGTATACGCGTAAATGGCATGACAACAGGGTCGACCGTCAATGACGCACCATCGCCAGAGTTGGTGGCATACATCCAGGTAGGCTCGCTAGAATCCGCCGCAGCAGTAGGGGTAGCCACGTAGGAGCTGCTCTCAGCTTCAGAGGTCGTAGCGGCAGCCACAATGGTCGAAGCCGCCTCGGTGCTAGTCGGTGCAACGTAGACGGAGGTCGAAGTCGGAACAATGACACTCGAGGTCCCAGCAATGACGCTCGAGACTGGGTCTACAGACGACACGGCAATGACAGAGATGGGAGAGCTGTGAACGCGACATCAGTTATTATCATAGCATGGCTTCCAACAAAAGATGGTAGCTCACGTTATACTTGCAACTGCGCTGCTAACCACCGATGACACGGGGTCCACAATGACACTGCTGCTGGGTGCGAGCGACGAAGACGCAGCCGAGGGGACGTCGCTTGATACAGCACAGCGCTTGTTCAGGTTGCGCTTGCGCTTCGGCTTGACAACGACGCTCTCCGGCTGCACAATGGGCTCAGGCTCGGCGACGGGCGCACTGGCGGCAATGGAGCGGTGGTGAACAGCGTTGCGCGCATTAATGTGCGGTACGCTGAGACCAGATGCGGAGAGGGCGAGGCCAAAAAGAAGGAAGGCCTTGGTGACGAACATGGCAGCAAAGACGGCAAGAGAGAGTAAGTGCTAGAGAGGGTGGGTAGGAGTGTAGCCGGGCGAGCAGAGCCTCGAGTTGAAAGCGGGGAAGAAAGGAGAGCCCTTTATAAAGAGAGACGGGGAGGAACTGAGCCCTGGCTGGAGAGAGGACGTCTACGCGATGGTCACCACCAACGTTGTGCACGTAAGACCGCTGCTGCGGGCATTATTTTGTTTTATGGAATTTTCCAGGGTTGTCTCCCACGCCTTGCCGGCCGTCCCCTTGCCGACTCGGCGCCCGCCATGTGCACCATCGGGGCCACAATGCGGACATTATCTTCGTATCTCCTGTCCTCAAAAAGGAGATTTATAGGTCTGCGTAAGAAGACAAGGGCATCATGTACTCGAATTGGCCTTTGCAGCATACATCTTCACCAACCCCGTGCTCGATGTCTCGGCCAGGCTCTTCGCATACGCGTCGATCCTTCCGAGGAGCAGCATGCTCTCCAGCCGGCTCGGTTCCGGAGGGATCTTGAACAGCCTGCTCACATCCTCCTCAGGCAATGGCGCCAGCCCCTGTGCCGCCCGCGTCGCGTTCTCTTCCTTCCGTTTCGCGACGTATGCGTCTGTCTTCACCTTCTCCCTCGCAATTTGCCGCTGCAGGTACGCGAGGTTGCCCTCCTCCGTCTTATAGTTATCCACGGCTTCAATGATCAACTCGAGATTCCGAGAGACGCTCGATGTTCCGAGATTAAGCGTCGAAAACGAGGGTGGCAGCGTCTGCGCTGATGCTCCTGATGACGGGCTTACGTCCGCCGGTGATGATGGGGTGGCTTCCTTGAGCGTCTCCAGGAACGACCCCAACAGGGGGCTCGTCCGGATTTTGAGAGTAACTTCCTCCAGAATAGATGAGAACGTAAGCCGGTGGTTTATTAGGCTAAACGTGCTCATTGAATAGGCTGTAGAGCGGCGCCGGCAAAAAGCGTCTCTCACCTGACTGTGCTGAAGTTGTGTCTCTTGTAAGCGTCCAAGAACGCTTTCGTTAACCGGAACGCCCGGAAAGACGCGTTGCCGCGAGCGGTTTGCGACAGGTCTGCATAATGACGTTAGTCACGGAAAGGAAAGTCGCCCTCCCCGCGTGAAAACAATTACCGTGCACAATGACAACCCCGCCGTGCCTTAGCTTCTCCTGATGAATGGCTTGTGTGTCGACCAGCGTCTGATTAAAGAATGACCCCAATGTCATGGCCTGGTAGAATCCCACCACGCTGTCATCTGCCTGCACCTCCTTCAACGAACGCAGCATTGTCGACTGGTACCGCGCTAAATCCCCATCAGAGATCCAGCAGCGATGTGCACGTTTCAAACTAACTCACCAATGCCCTTCGCCGACTTGTCATCATCGTCCGATGCGTGGTTTGGCAGGGGAAACGAGTTTGTAACTTCCAGGGTACCGTCAAGGTCGAGGCCGAGAACGAGCCCATGTGCAAGAGGACCCTGCGCTTCGCGTGAATGCTTGATGATCTTCGTGACCACCTAAAACATGCGCAGCATCCCACCCAAAAAGACCGAACCCCAAAAGCCAGATGCGAAATACAAGAAGGCACGGTCAGCATCGTCGCGTTTCAGTGCTCCAGAGCATGAAAAAAAAACACATCCAATAGCGTCGCAAGGAGGGCCGGACGGTACGAGCGAGGATGGAACAAAAACAGCGAGGGAAGCGCGACGCCCCGGAGATTATGCTCGCAGGGAAAGTGGAAGGGATAAATCATGGAGACCGCGCACTCACCAGGCCGTCGAGCTGCACGCAGGTCAAGGGGATTTCCGCCTCAATGTCGATCACCCTGGACATCGATGCCGGGATGGCTTCATGTGTAGGTGCAGCAGGTGTAGGTGCTGTCTGTGGTGCGGGAAGGGTTGCAGCAAGGGCTGCCGCCATCGACGTTGCGGCCATTTTTTCCGGGATATAGTGGTGGTCTGATATGAAAGCAGATGAGACGAGAGGACCAGACAGCACCAGAGAGTATAACGTGTGGCAACGAGGAGGTCGACACCGTCAAGCACGGCGAAAAGTAAAGCTTAGAAGCTCTTGCCGAATATGGTACAACTCGTCCACATCACATGACCCGTGAAGCGTATTGGCATCCTTTCAAAATTCATTCGACCGTCCCCTGTCACAGTAAACCAACCCCTCTAACTTGTCATGATAGCCTCCTCACCCAGTTTCAATGAGCAACATGCTATTTGTCCACTATATATCACATGGCCATGCACGAACTTCGAGGTGATTAAATGGCTATCAAAATTGCGTTAATTAATGCCTTCAAAGCTACTGCACAACTCAAGTTGCTCGAGGCTCGTCGCTTATCCGCTTCTTGATTTGTTCAAAGTCTTCTTTAAGGTACTCTGACTGGACTTCCGCTGAAGCGGAACCGAGCGTTCCCTATCACCGTCGAGAACCCTTCTATTGGCTCCATATTGATACGTCGCTAGTACTGCCAGGTACTGTCTGATGTTTCTCTCAGAGGCTCGCCTGCTCGTGGAGTGCCTGGCCTCACTTCTACTCGCATTTTAGTAAGGCATTTGACATGTCTATGGCTCCCCTGACTGGCGCGCATGGCGTTGATGGAAGAACTAGTAGGCCTGATCAGCAGGTGCAAGCATACACACCCGAGCGACTTCGTTCATCCAGTGTACACTAATCAGACGTCATTACAAGCAAATTTTGTCGTCTGAACCCTTAGCCGCTCGTCCTATACAAGCATAACCTGTACTTTAAAGGTCGTCTCCTGAGTGTGCAGTTTATCGTGCCTCCACTTAAAGTCACTCTGAAGGTGTACTGAGCTGAGCAATTACCGTCGCAGACCACCGTTAGGACACATGTAACCTGCAAACGTCGGCAAGGTACAATTGAACGCGAGGTATCAGAAATCCCAACTGCGGCGCGTTGACATGTAGTTGACAATATATACCCCTTATCGCGAAGAGAGTGCACGCATCGGCCGATTCTGAGGTACCGAATGTCCTAGATCCATATGTGTTGACGTGGGCCCGGGTTCGACGCCGCACCGAAGATAACAAGTGCGGTCGCTGCCAGCGACGGCTAGATACTCTACGGGCGACGAAAAGTCCAAGTTGGATCTTGCAAGAGAGAGTCGGCTGTTAGCGTGATGATCGTATCTCGCAGTCTGATGCCACAACGTTTGATTTCCGTGTGGCCACCAAGAATCCATAATCGGAAGTTCCTTTGCAGCCGAGTCACGTGACTCTACGCGAATGAAGGTGGCGTATGTCAGGGTCTGATATTCAGTGATCACTCGACGTTCACCCTAAAATCGGTTCCAACCCTACATGACCCCAGGCTTGCCCCAACCATGAATCGTTCGACCCGTATCATCCTTCTTCTGGTCATCGATGTTCTCTTCTTCTTCGTCGAGCTCATTGTCGGTGCGTCTTCCACGCTTCGGCTCCAACATGCGGAACTGATTAGGTGATTCGACAGGATATGCCGTCGGTTCATTGGCTCTCGTTGCGGACAGCTTTCATATGTTGAAGTGCGTTACGACCAGCTCATTATCCGAGGTGATGTGAAGTAACTGTGAAGTGCAGCGATGTTATGAGTTTGGCCGTCGCTCTCTACGCAATCAAAGTGAGACCGTTACACTTGCCCGATTACAAGCGGCCGCTCATAGTTTTTTAATCCATGTAGCTCACCAATCAGACTCATACCGACTCTCGCTACTCCTATGGCTGGCATCGTGCGGAAATTTTGGCCGCTTTGATCAACGGTGTCTTCTTGCTTGCTCTGTGCTTCTCCATCTTCCTCGAGGCAGTGGAGCGGTTTTTCAGCACCCCCGGTACGAAACTTCCGTTGTTCGTTGTAGTGCGAAGGTACCGATTGGTCTGCGACAGAAATTAGCAACCCTCGCTTGGTAGTATTGGTCGGATCATTGGGCCTTGCGTCCAACATTGTAGGGCTGTTCCTGTTCCATGGTCGGTTCCTTTACCTCCATGTATGCATACGACTGACTTCGCCTCATCCAGAACATGGGCATGACCACGGACACGGCAAGGAGAGTCATCCACTCTCCAAGCCTTCAAGCGTCCGTTCGAATAGCGATGCGGAGCGTGTCCCGCAGGCCAAGGTCACACAGCCCAAGAAGATCTCGTCCACCTCCCGAGCCCGCTCTGACTCAGAATCCTCATATTCGCTCTATGGTCATCCGGCGGCCACTCGTGCATCCATGGTGCAGGCAGCCCAGGAGATTGCTTCCGCTCGTTCGCCATCCCCGGTTGGTATAAGGGGCAAGTCTCGCTCGCGGCGATCTCGTTCGAGGCCTGGCCAGCATGCGGAAGAATCCGATCATGAGGAGACTCTGGCAACCTCATCCGCCGGCGAAGCTCCTGCGGCTGACGAAAACACCCCGCTTTTGACTTCTGAGACTGCATCCAGCACATCGGATTCGCACTCTGAGCACGACAAGCACACCCATGGGAAAGGAAAGCACGGGCACTCACACGGGTCCATGAACATGCGTGCTCTTCTCCTACACGTGCTAGGAGATGCGTTGGGGAACGTCGGCGTTATTGCAACGGGTCTAGTCATCTGGCGCACAACATGGAGCTTCAAGTACTATTTCGACCCAATCATCAGCTTGGTGATTACTGTTATTATTTTCTCGTCCGCGTTACCGCTAGGTTCGCAATTTCTCCACATCAATTGCCCTGTTCCAGGCCTAATAATTTGCCACGCAGTGCGCAGCACGTCTTTCATTCTGTTGCAGGGTGTTCCATCAACGATCGATATAGAAGATGTCAAGGAAGCTATCCTCGCAGTGGATGGTGTGCTGTCGTTGCACGAACTTCACGTGTGGCAGCTCTCGGAGAGTAAGATCGTCGCGTCCGTGCATGTCATGGCTTCCAGGAACCACGACTTCATGCCTGTCGCTGCGGAGATCAGGAAGGCGCTTCATCATCAAGGAATTCATTCAAGTACCATTCAACCGGAATACCATAATCCCCGGAACTCCCCGCCTGAAGAGCACCTCAAGGTCTTGTATAGCTCTTCTTCGCGCGTTTTCTTCATTATTCACTCCCGTCTATGCTACAGACGTCAGAAGAGACGTCATGCCTCATTCTCTGCCCTCCGGATGAAGAATGCAACCCGTCCGAAAACGCCTGTTGTCGTGAGCATCCCATTGAAACCGTCGCAGGTGTCTTCTCACATGCCTCCTTCGTAGCCCCGCCGCCCGTTGATGTGTGATACGGCTCAAACGTACATATCCGGATTCCCCCCATATTTTACATATAGTGCATGCCATTGTAATTTCAATCTCGGAGCAATCTACAAGTTACCCCACACGTGTTGTGCGTGTCCGCTGGTTAAGCGGCCATGAACGTTGGGAAGTTAGTCATGAAGGATGGTGATGAGGCTAAACGCTGCACGAGGATGGCACTCGTGGGCCCGTGGCTTTTATTACGTAGGTCACTCCCCAACCGGCGGGCCATTGCAGTTGCGGAATGTCCCAAGACTGGACGTTGTTCATCACAAGCGGTATGCAACGCCCATTCAAGATGGAGGGCTGCCGTCAGGGCTGACGACACAATCGCCCCTATAAGCTCTACGGTCATCGCTTGTTGGGCAGGATTGTGGGCGTCCGCAGGGCTCTGGAAGTCGGCAGTGTTGTGGGTGTCAACTGCCGCTACGAGCCCCGGCAAGAGACCGTGAAGGAAAATAGGTAGGAGAGGCGGAGAACGCGGGCGCCGTGGCATTACAAGCACGAAGGTAGCGACTCGCTTCGCAGCTTCGATGCTGCCCATGTTCATGTTCTTCATGCATTCCGTCCAGAGAAGATGGAGGAACGTGGTAGGTGATGTGACAACGAGGGCTCGGTCAACATCAAGGCCGTGGGCCTTCCCCGCCTGCGCCGCAGATAGCACTGTGCTGATCGCTTGCGCAGTAACGTCCGTCCAACTGGAATTTTGCGAACCGAGCGATAGAGAGGTCCGATTGCTCTCTGCCAATAACACATTCGTCAGCAATCGGTCGATCGACGTGAATTATTTTGTACCCTTACCTTCGACGGGCAAGTTGAGCGATTCCAGCGCAACCCGCCGAATGGGTGCTGTGTCTAAAGCCGGTATTTTGGCCCGCTCTTGCTTGTGCGCGGGAAATGCCCTAAGTAGACTCGACGCAGACAGGCGAATGACTGTACGCGGACATAACGTCGAGAGGACCAATGTCTGCAGGACTTCCAAATGGAGGGAAGGATCCAGCCTGGGGCGGTGTCAGTTTAACTTCGGCGTGCCGTTGTTATGGTACAGACCCTTCATGTTGAACGATCACCAATAAGGATTTGACAATGCCGGATAGCGTCCAATTAAGCAACACGCCCAAAAAGTAAGATATGCCGTTATTGAGTACGTCTTTGTCGATCCTCCGCCGCGCACACATGGTGATCGCGTGCGCAAACAAAGTGGCAGTGATTCGCAAGAGCGTCCTCGGACGAGTATTCCTGAACAGGCAATCAGAAGTGTGTATATAGGCAGAAATCAGGAAGAGCTACCGAAGGATCGTGTCCTCAATTCCCTCGCTACTGGTATCGAAGAGAGCCTTGTACCATGCGTGAAATGCATTCGTTTCTTCTGCGTTAAGTGCTGTCATTGGCCGCACTCGAGCGGCCGTCTTATAGATGTCTAAGCTGAGTCGGCGTTCATCCAAGACGAACTCTGTCCTGGTCAGCTGGAACTCAATTTAATCGATGCATGTTCTACATGGTTTGCATGGGCTTACATCGAAGCGAGCGATCGTTTCTTGCACAAACAAGACAACCTCCCCAAGATGGCTTACTGCGGTTTGAGGGTCACCTTGAGGAACAGTCAGAACGGGATAACACAGACAATAATTCATCAACACTTGCCCACAGTCTCGCAGTCGTAGTCCTCAATAAACGCCAGTATACAAGCCACAAAGTCCGAGATTCTGATGTGGAGAGACAGTATGTCAAGCGCAGCCTCGCATCGGTAGAAAGCTTTGCACAAGAAGCTGAGCGGTTCGACGTCAAGGGTGCCTACAAGTGCCCTGACCCTCTGTGAAGGAGTTCAGCCAATATTTGCAAAACCCAGCCATACACGATATACCTTTTCGACCACGTGTGCAAAAACTGCGTGGCTGCAAGGGTCTGCACACATACGCTCCAGAAGAGCAGAAGCATCGTCAATGTTGGTGTCTGCAGCCAGTTTCGTTTCAAAATACGACTAGAGTCCCTTGAGATTAGCTAGTGGAATCGCTAATGCTAACACTAACTTTCATGTTCATACCCGCATCCTGCGCTTCTGTTTCAAGCCGTGAACGGAAGTCGTTGAGCAGTTCGGGGTGGAGTGTGGCAGCATATGAACTGTCGATCAGACCCGCAGATTGGGACTGATGCAGAAATTCCAGGACAAACGGGCGGGGACTACAATCAAACCTGTTCTCTTAGTACCTGAGAGGCGGAAGGTGATAATGGGACGAGATCATACGTTGTCGCTTTGCTTACGCCCATATCGTGTCCAAAATGTTGGTTTGCATCGCATTTTTCGATGACGTCGGATCGGCGTAAGACCGTGGTTAGTGCTAGCTTGAACGCTGGTTGCTAAGTGCGATGAGTGTCGCTCGTTCGAGCGTAGCTCTAACTCACCCAGTCCGTTTCTGCAGATCCTGTCGATTCTGCGACCTTTTGGAGCATACTTAGCAGAAAAGGTAGCTGACAAGATCCCGTCAGAATAACTGCCGTGAGCACAAAGGGCGTTCATACCCTCCCTATCACGAATGAGCGCCATAGCAGTGCTGTGGAATGCGGGGCGCCGATCGCTTGCTGTTCCGCCAGACAAGTTATGGCAGACAACAGAAGCTGGCTGTAGAAGACGGCAGGACTCCACGAAGACCACCGAACCCATGCTAACAAAAGGGCTGTCATGTTCTTGCTATCTCCGGCGCCAAATGCATGCGCTCTGGCGGTAATCTAGAGAACATGTCCAACTTGTTCTGAACCGAGCAACGCGACACTTACAATGCTGTGGAACATGAGGCCAAGCGTTACTGGATCTGTTTCTGGTCCGACGTCGAGACTGCTCTTCCCAGTAGCCAAGTGTAAAGTTTGCATGATCTGCTCTTCTCGCGCCGCCTTCTCCCCGTCAACTAAGACTTTGTGTATAGAACCGACGAAGCTCTCCAGTTTTTGGTACACAGCGGGTGCCAATCGCACAGTTTGCAACAAGTCGGCTGCATCCATAAAGAGCATGCTGGCTTGAGCGGTTGATACCTGAGATACGTCCACAGCGCAAGATAGGAGCAAAACAAGGAGTTCCGAGGCAGACGTTGTGAGTTGGTGGAAATGAGACATCGGGAGCGAGTGTGCAGTTCGTATAAGAGCCATAGCGTCTTGCACTGTTCCCATAACTTCCATGGCCGATTCCGAATAGGCGACGAGAGAACCTATGGGAGGTATGCCCGACTCGTAGTGGGAGTCTAGAGCGACTCTGCAGAGCATGTCAAGGGTTGCTGCGTTGTGTAACTCTAGGGAACGAGCGGCAGAAAGGAAGGTCGACACAAACTTGGCCAACGATAGCAGCCCATCTTGTATTGCGTACTTCAGATAGGCTTGTAAGCCAGGGTCACCGGGATAATTATGGAACAGGATCAGCACGGAGTCTGAGCACAACCTCAATTTCGCGGTAAGCTCGAATCTCACAAATAATACTCAACTACTGATGCTCGATTGAATATCATCGCTTGCCGCGTGAATGTTATTGTTCGTAAGGAAGAGCTTGCACAGATTAACCCACTGCGGACGCGTTAGCACGGTCCGTCATCGAAGGCCTGGATATGGTTTGGACGCACTTTCTTTGCCGATACACCACTCTGAAACGAGTTCCGTGTAAGCTCGCTCAAGGACATTTACACAGATGGAAGACGCGGCCGACTCGTGCAGCCGCTCGTGTGGCCTTGTTCAAGGAGGTCCTCATTTATGGAAGTTCACACGATATATATGGAAGCTGTTGTCAAGTAACTTATTCAACAAACAGCTAGATGATCTGTAATCCTCAAGCCAACCGTTCTAATACTCTTGATCAAAATCGAGGGGACAGCGCTACAGTAATAGCAGACGATAACAGTGTTGGGTATTCAATAGATGCCACACGAGTTGTGCGGGATGTGGCTCATTATGCAAACAGGAAACTGAGCAATGGGATGCACTTTCTCAGAAAGCCATGAGATTATCAACAGCATAGACTATTGCACTTTCGAAATGAGTCGCCTCGTCTCCTGTGGAGTGAATCTCAGGATCGTCGACAATATTCTGACGAGGTGAGGCTGCAGGCCGATAGTCAAATGAATGTTTGGCTTGGAAGGCGGCAAGGAAACGCACCCTCATTTCCTTGTGCTCCAAGAACTGCAGAATCACATTCCTCAAATATTCGACGTTGATCTCTTCATCTATCTTGCTGTTGGTAGGGGTTCCTGGCCTAGAAGAAGAATCTCGACCCGGAAGGTCTGAGGTGGAAGACCTCGGAGAGCGAACTTCAGGTGAACCCTCTTGCCGCGAAGCCCAATAACCGACACCTGGATTACGCTGTCGTTCAATTAGAGCTGCCGATGATTGCACCTTGCGTAACTCCTCGCGCAACGTCTGGGGGAGGATGAGTCCACCTAATACATGTGCAGTTGAGAGTCACGACTAGCCTTGTTGTGCGCACGGAGTTGCGCTTCACGACCCTTACCCTCCTCCAGAAGCTGATGCAGAGCGGAAACCTTGGAATTTAGTTCAGTGACCTGTGATCTTGCCGATTCCTTGAACTGCATGTCAGCGGTGGGATTGCATGAGCTTATAAATATTCGCACCTCAATTTCCTTTACTCTGTCGGCCTGCACGCGTAAATCAGTCAGGCACGTCTGATACGTGCGGACTTCTTCCTTCAGTGCTTCGATCTCCTTCCGCAGAGCATTCGCACTTTCAGACTCTTCCTCTCGGTCCTTCGCAGAAGTCGTAAGCGTCTTCCTCAGTGCTTCCAGTTCCTTGACCTTCTCCGACAACTTGCGACTCCACTCAGCCTCGCCTTCGTCGCGCTCTTTCTCCACGGCACTCAACGTCCGTCGTAAATCGCCAATGCGTGTCTCGTACTTCGCTTCTGCAGCGGACAGCAGCCGACTGACTTCCTCGGCAGATGCGCCGGGAGCAGTGCTCCTTGCTTCCTGCTCGCGCCGAGCGTCTGCTAACTCCTCCGTGAGAAGGGCAATCCTATCGTTTGCTTCGCGAAGCTGATACTGCAGCTCCGTTGTCTGGCCTTCCAGCGACTCCAGACGAGACCGCGAAGACTCTAGCTCCGCTTGCCGCAACTGGAGGTGATCGAAGATCTCGTCCTTCTCGCCCTCGAGCTGCCTCGTGACGCTCTCCAAATCTGAAATACGAGATTCTCTGGTTTCTATCTCTCGCGTGCGCGAGGACTGTGTGATGCTGAGATTCATTGCATCCCTTGCAAGTTGAGGATATACATACCTTGACCGAAATGGCTTCCAACTCATACTGACCTCTCATCGCCAGGAGCTCCTTCTCATTTCGGTCCTTCAGGGCGGCGACCTCCTTGTCAAATTGAGACCTGAGACCATTGACAGCAGTCTCTCTCTCCGCATTAAGCTTCTCAATCTCTTGCCGTAGTTGTGACTTCTCAGCCTGCTCCTTTTCTTGCCCATTCTTTTCTTTCTCCTTCAGGTCGTAAATCTCTTTATTGGCATCGTCCCTTTCCTTCTCTGTCTTCACCAGCTTCTGTCTAACTGTCTTCAGGAGCGTGACAGCCTTAACGCGCTTCTCCTCCTCTTCCTTCGCTGTTCCCTTGGCACGTTCCACCTCGGCACGCATGCGGTCGATCTCTGCTTGTTTCTTCGCCGAATCTCCTTCCAGCTGCACATTCGAGGCTTGTGAAGCTTTGAGAAGGGCTTTCGTCTCGTCCGCCTGGCCTTTTAACTTATCAATTTGATCCGTTTGAGACTTGGACTCGAGTCGATGGATGTCTCGGAGCTCCTCAATCCGCTCTTCTTGTCCTAGCGCAATAATATGAGCAACCAATTGAAATCAAAAGAAAATGTACTCGCTCGTGAGCTTCCCGTTGAGGCGTTTGATCTCGTCCTGAGCCATCTGCGGAAGGTCAACTACTGAGACATCCCTGCCAACGCTGGAATGCGAACCTCTGTCTTGAAGTTCATATTCTGCAAGTAGTCACGCAAGGCTTCCACCTCCTGCACGCTCTCCAAGGGAGACAACTCTTGCAACACCTTGTCAGCTGCGATCCTCTCCGCTTGAAGCTTCTTGAATGATGTCGATACATCTGCGATCACGCTGAATGACTATTGCACAGCGCAAGTGGCAGGACATACCAGCAAATCGTTGCTCCACCAATTTGAGACGTTCTTGCAGAATCTCGACGTCTACGGCGCCTTTCGTAGGAAGCATTGAAGGCTGTGTCTCGGTCTCGTCTCGAATACTTGTTGGTATCTCCTCCAGTGAGATGGGACTCTCGGCTGCTTCACTGCTGAGGGTATGATCCTGCGCGCCATCGATATGATCGGAGGAATTACTCGGATCCTGGTGCACGGGTGGTGGTATCATGGCAGCCTGCTGCGTGGCCTCATCGTTGGGAGAATTTAGATCATCTTGAGTATTCAGTAAAATTGTCTGAGTCTGCCGCGCGGGATCCGTGACTGTGGGGCTGAGTTCGGATGACGCAGAGTCCTCCACATTTGCTGCGGAACCAGCAGTCATGTCCGCTGAGAGGTTCTCTTCACGTTCGTCAGAACTGTTGATCTGTGGTTCTTCTATGGACTCGATAGGGTCCCTAACCTGCGGGGAATCCGGTCTTTTCTCTTCAGCCTGTCCAACAGACACTTCATCCGCCGAAGCGTCATTTGCACCAGGCGCAGGATCAAGCATAGCCATCTCAACAGGATCTGAAGATGCCTTCGGCTTTTTTGCATCTGGTCCCTGCAGCTCCATCGCTCGTTCCGACGGTGCAGGATAATCTGCTACCGCAGGAGGTGGTGGCGGACTCGGAGGCTCTAAAACCAGAATGGCGGGTGGATCAAGGGGAGGTGAAAGAGGAGGAGAGTCTGGAAGGGGCACAGACTTCGGAGAGAGTGTATTGCTTAGATCATCGTCTATAGATGAATGCGACGACTTCTCACTTGAAGACCCAAGCGTTACATCTGAAGTGGCATCCTTCATTTCCAATATATCGGTGCCTGCGGGAACGGGGACAGGAGAGAATACACTAAGAGGATCCGTCATCCTGGTACTGTGAGATGAGGGAGATCCTGGTACGGACGTCGAGGAAGGAGAAAGAGGATGAGCAAGTGCTACATTTGGGCTCGGGGACGCTCTTGACGAAGACGAGGGAGTGGTTGTATTGGAAACGTCCCCGATGGAAAATTTGGCCCGAAGTCTATCCTCCAGAGTGGAGCGATATACTGGCGGCTTCGCCAAACCTTCAGTACTAGAGGAAGGAGATCCTCTGTTCAGCTCTGGACTTTCCGAGCGCTGACCACCCAAGGTCTTCTTCAGATTAGTGAGAGCAGACTCGGCCAGCTGTGCAGATGAGAGTGAAATATGTAATCCAAAATCCAAGGAGGGCCGAGGCTGTTGTTCATGGTCGTCTGGAGACATGTCTGTGGATGATGTGGGTCCCGGTGCGTGCTGTGCCAGAGATTCGACGGCCTGGCGCAACTGGGAGAACATTGCACATTCCTCAGGTGCAGGTAAAAGATGAGGTGGTCGAGCACGGTGAGCGATGGTTTATGCGCACAGTTTCGAGTGCGGGTATGTGGCCGCTGCGTAGCATCTCTAGCGCCCATAGATGGTGGGATCCCATCACGTGATCAACGCCGGCTTCTCGGTGGTGGCTAAGTGTGATCTTGTCCTGCCACCATGTCGCCTCATGGCTGTCTGCCTCTGCGGAACTCCCATATGTCTTCTTCCGTTCCTGGGGCTGGTGTCTTATCTGACAGATCTTATTTGTTGCGCGTAGGAAGCCCCCTACCCTGATCATCACAGCGGCAGACCGTCAGGCTGATTCCGTGCTAGACCCCATGCGCTTTCTTCTCATTTGTCTGTTCGTGAAATGGAAGCATTACGTAGCGCATGCTGGCTGCCTCACTGACATTGACTTGCTTGGCGGAACATTGGAAACACGTTGTTTGATATGATATCAGTTTTTTCTGCAGAATTCCTTGCAACGAGGGCTATACGAATCCGGGAAGCGTATAAATTGCCTTCTCGATGATCCTATTCTCATCGTCACGCAGGAATATCTGGTATGTTCCGTAGTTTTGCTGAGCCATTTTCGAGACAATGACACGTTGAGCATTGGAGATGTTGACTTCTATCTCTTAGAAGGTGGCCGTCTGCAACTCACGAACCTCAACTTTGGCACGGATTTGATGTCGCTGTATATCATCCACTAGTGGGAAAGACATCATGAAAGTGTTGCTATATCGCTGCAAACGGGCACCAGGTCTCCTCCTATTTTTCTAACGCGTAAAAGGTAACTTGATGTGCCTCATCTGACACGTCGCAAACGTTGTTTGTCGAGCACGCTCCCTTATGCATGGTAACCGTTCCCTGCCCTTCGCCTCGAGGCAGTACAATGAATCACGGTTCTTCACTGCTCCGTGCCGGCAGAAGTCGCCTTTTTCTCCACAATCAATATCACAGAGGCCGCAATGCATGAGTTATATAAGGGACAATGCTTTGCTACGTAACGTCATCCCACCAATCGAGCACTCTCTCTCTAGACACGACTCTACAGCTTCGCGGGACTTCTTGTCGAGATGTGTTTTGGAGAGAATTGTGCTCCCCAGGCCGCACGTTACGTTAACTCTCAGCTCATCGCTCTTCATGAAAATGCTGTGGAGTGCCTCAGGACCCATGAACAGGTACACAGGACAGATGATCATTTGAGTAAGCCTGTCTTACACTGTGTTCCATCCTGCATGCTTAACGCTTTCTGCACATAGGATACTCTCACGCTCTTGCTGACTTCGTCTATGGAAGGGCTCGCGCTAAAGTCGCGAACTCGTCCGATTATGATAGCATGTTTCACGCTTCATTCGACGCGCCCCAGGTCGAATTCCTTTGTAACCACGACGTCGTCATGCGCATCATGATAAAGGAAGGTCATTACTGTCAAGATTACACCAAGCCGGCTGGCAACGTCTTGGAACAGTAAGCTCATACCATTACGCCACTGCTTCGAGCTAAATGGCTTTGCCAGGGGTCGTGTGCGGCCGATCAATAATTGCGAATTCTTCTTTCGAATGGGTTTCGATACTCGAGAGATCTCTCGTACAGATGCTGGTGTGAGTAGCAGCAAAAGTCTGATAAGATTGATCATCTTGGATCTACCTGGTACGTCTTTCGTCTGGTAGCCACGGATCTAATTCGAGCCCGATGCAGGGTCAAGTCTCCAATTGATGAGTGATGAACACGCTTCTGACAAGGATGCACTGGTGTTCTACCTCTCCCAATACCTCCGATTCCTTCAGGACGCCGGTTATCATACTCTCTTCTCCTTGCCGGAGTTTCATAACAGTGGATCTCGACTGACCATTGACTATTCCGCTTTCGGCGACACAACAGTCGAGGTCGAGGAGATTTACGGCATTTCGGTCGAAAAGATAAACTCGCAACTCACTTCTGCATGGTTGAAGGCCGCTATCCAGGCAGATGATTCGTCGGGGCAGCCAGTCATCGAGAGTCTAACGTACCTCGTTGAATATCGTTGCCATACCTCTATCGAAGGTTTCCCTCATGCTCAATTTCACATCAAATTTGGTCCTCCACGCATCAAAGCTGTTTGCAGACGCGAAGTGTTCATGTTTTTTCCCATCAAGGAGATCGTAATCACAAGCGAGGACTCCGACACCCTGTACGTCATTTGGCGTGCGCCTGTTGCCCGTAGTTGACTATTGAATGGGACAGCGACGAACATAAGTACGACTGGGAGATTGCCGTTTCGGTCGATGTGCTGAAAGAGGAGACGTCTATCGTGGACATGGTTCGCCTCAAGGTTGATGTCGGCAGTATGTGGATCACCTTGCTTCTATATTCTCTGATAATCATTCCATATCTCAGCTATACGTCTTCGCGAGGAGAGCTGCACGCTTCCGACTCCAGCTGCTGATGATGACGATGATGATCCAGTGCACGACTACATTGAAGGGCTTCTCGACATCTTCATTACCGATTATATCTCTGCGCTCGACAGTGCGGGACAACTAGTGATCTATGATTCTCAGCAGATCGCCTTCTCCGCTTCTTCCACTTCTACAGACTCCCGGGATTATGAGGAATTTTGGGTCGCGACGTCCGACTCGTCGACGAGCGCGACTTTGACCAACACGATTGCATCTTGGAAACAAATGGTCACCACATCTGATATGCGCGACTTCGACCAGATTGTCGCCGTGTCTCAGACGTCACTCAACTTTGCCTTCAGGGAGAGCTGGACTGCTGCTTCGTCCAAGAGCAGCTCGCATTTCTCGTTGCTCGCAAATTGGTCCTACAGTGATTCCTTCTCTGTGGCGTTCAAACCTATGACAGTGCGCCTCCTGAGCAACGAACGAGCCATTCTATGTCTTCACTTGGAGCGAGGTTCCTTGAAACCTCTGAAAAATGGGCTACCTTCCGAGGAGTAAGCAGTCTGTCGCTTCAGCCGCCCATGTTGAGCTTGCTAACAAGTGATCGTCGCGCAGAGGCGAAAACCACGAGTTCCAAGATTGGCAGCTCGCATTCGAAGTTGATATCAAAATATCGTCTCGCGAAGGGACAGACGAAATCAATAACATTTGGCGCACGAAGTTTGCGGATTCGCCGGCATTCAGACAAAACAACAACCGAGAAGAGTGGGCCTTCCGTCACATCTATCTCGACCTGAGCAGTAAGCAGATCTCCGAAGACGTGTTATTCCTGCAATCACTGACTTCCGTTTTGAATAGATTTGACATTCGTACAAGAATACTCACAGTTCGACGACTTATTCGTATCCCAAGGGCGATCTCCCGTCGACAACGTCCGAGCGATGTTGTACTACATCCGAACGCACTACCTCCCTGCTTTGACTCAGCAGGGATGTAACATCCTCTATACCATTCCCATATGGATTGCGAAGTCCGAACCTCCCCCTCATGCCCTTACGAACGTTACATTCCATGCTTACTCAGAGAAAACCGTGAATCGTCAAGGATGCGCTGTAGTTGGGCCGAATGGGGAGCCAATTATAGTCATTCTTGGTATGAAGAACTTCCGCACCCTTTCTGCCCTTCGACTGCGCTTCTCCACGAACTGGGTGGTTCAAACGAACAAAGGTCTCGCGTTCGGCACAGTCAGCGTTTCTCGCCAGGCATTGATGGAGCGGGTGTTGCTCGACGGCCTTGCGCGCATCAATGCCATCACGACTGTTATTCCCGAGTGGTCGCATGTTGACAAAAACGGCTTCTGGAAGTTCCAGCTTACTACATGGGCCAGACATCATGAGACAAAGGACCAAGAGTGCACATGGACCGTCGAACCCCCGAAAGGTGACGGCAGCTTCAGATTCCGTTGGGAGCACCATGTGGGTCTAACCTATGCGCAAAATGGAAGTAATGTCGTGAATGGGGGATACTCGGTGTCATGTAAGTGTTTCAAGTACCTTCGCGTTCCGACCTCGCTCAAGCTATATTCAGGTACTACGCTGAATGTCGTAGAGTTCCCTCCCGCGGCCAGGAGTAAATCGATGGAGATCAGATTGTCAGGCCAGGTTTTGCTCAAGGTGGAATTCAGATCCGGCGCACAACAGGGAAGGTGAGCTACAGGCTACTGTTGGTCTAGACGTGCACTGCTGACAGCTTGCCTTCTCAAGTGCGCAGTCTGTAGCGAAGTGGAGTATGGCTCTCACTCTCCGGACTGAACCGAACGGTCTCAAAGCCAACGCGGCCGGCTCGACAAGTCCAGTTTTCGAGTCTACCGAACCGAGCGGGGATGTCGGAACGCTTCAAGTCGCGGATCTCCAAACCAGCCTTAAGGGAGAGCTGCAGGATGCCATCAACTTGGATGACATTCTCAAGCAGTTGCAGCAGTTCGAGGGCGCACTGAAGTCCTGCTACCCTTGTTCGGGCGCATATTGCCTAGCTTACCCGGCTTTCAACGCTCATGGAGATCTGATGTTCGAGCTGAAACCGCAGACTCAACTGAATACTCCCGCTCGACAGGTGAACGGCGGAAGAGGGAGAGCTCAGCGCCGTGGGCAGCTGAATGGTCTTGGGTTTGGTACGTCCACAGGGTTGATCGGAGAGTTTTCTAGAGACTGATAGATTGTCTTCATCTTCATTAAGCAGATCAAAGCAAGGCGAGGACCAGGGACTCTTCTATCGATAGTTCGGCTGGCCTCGTGAAAGGAAAAGGACTGCAATCGTCAAGGGCATCGTCCGTGCGCAGCAGCCACCATAGTGAGCATGGCAATGGCCACGTACCGCCATTTACCTCAGAGGAATAGGTAACGGACGGTATGAGTCCTGCTAGCTGGCTCAATGCTTCCTTGAATTACCCTCTCATCCGTGATTTCCATTAGTTCTGCATTCATCAATGCTTTCTTTGCTGCCATTTGGGATTGACAGATGCCATTATGGCACAGTTGCGCATGTCTTTACTTACAATTTAAATTATTCCGCTGTCTTCAAGACCCCAGGTGGGAAGGATCACGTATCTTATGTGCATACGAGATTGCCGCTTATTAATACATCGAGATGAATAGTAAATCAGGACATCCAAGGCCGGCTATGCCGTTGTGAAAGAGGGATCTGGCGACAAATCAACCTCCTTCCCTTTGCCATTCGTGGCAGCAGCAGGCTCGGATGACGGCTGGGGCAATGATGGAGTGGATACGGTGCTGCTACCACCCACTGGAGAAGGACTAGCGGCCAACTGCCATGCTGGTATTGTCGGCTTATTTGGTATGATTGGGGTCGAGAAACCGCTGGATGCACTCGGGCCACGGCTGAGCAGTAGAGCCTTCAACGATTTCAGCTCTTGCTGCAACTCTGCTAGCGACTGCAGCTGGCTTTCCTTGTTCTTTTCAATCATCTGCAAGAGCTACGTCAGAGTAATTCGTGAAAGGAATAATATAGTCACCTTAGGCAGCATCTCTCGAACGTTATTGACTTCCTCGCGAATCTCTCGCATCTCGTCTCGAGTCTTAGACTCGCCCTCGCGCACTTCTTTAGCCATGTCCTCGACATCCTGTGTCGCCTTTTCGATGCGCTCATTTTGTTGTTCGACTGCGACTCTGATGGCAGCCGATTCGGTCTGAATCTCCTTGAGCAGCGCCTCTGCTGCATCGAACTGAGCCGTCAACGAGTCCTTATCGCTTTCATATGCTGTAGATGAGGGTGGTTGCAGGTGTGGAAGGACATATTTCTGTTGGGTGACTATAGCGTAAGGAAGCCAGCCGGAGAGCGGTACTTACCTTGAAGAGTGAGACAGCGCCGTATGCCACAGCCCCAGAGACAACAGCCGTGATCTATAAACTATAAGCTCACATAGTCACAACATTGGTTACACAGTGCTCACGAAGTAGTCTCTCCAGTCCCAAGGTTGCACCGGAGGTTGTGCGGGATAAGGAGCTGGCCCGTACGCTGGTGGATATGCAGAGGGATATGTCTGCACACTTGTCCTCGCGTTCATCTGTCCTTGGCTCAATGCGGCCTGTCTCATAGCTTCATCAATCTCAGCACTAGAGAGTCCCTTTGCCTCGAGGAACTGCACGCGCTGCGCGAGCGGTGACGCTTGGGTCTATACCTGGGTCAGTGGACGTCTCCCGTAAGAATGCAGCATGACACGCCTTTGGATCTGTTAGAAAGACAACTGCATTTCGGATGAGCTCTTGTCGATCTGGCGTAGCCATCGCGGTCGGTGGAACAGGAGCGAGCAATGCAGGCAGAGAGCACTCCGTGTAGTGACCGCCACCAATTCGATCGCCGCATATTAGGCGCGCGCCGGCGCTGAATATTTTCGATCCGGTCATTCGTGCTGCACGCTGCACGTTCTCTCTCTGGTCGACCGTCATGTTCAGGACACAGCTGGCAACGTCAAGGGCTCTTTCTCGCCGTCTCGCCTCGCGAGGTCCGTTGGCTCTGCTCTTTGTGTGATTGGAACTGCTCACATCAAGGTCGCAGTGGCGCAGTCGTCGTATCACTCATGCACTCGCGGTCTGCTCAGGAATCCGACGCGGACTGTGTCCTCGAGGCTTTTGCCGTCAGACGGTTTCAATATGGGTTGGTGCTATTCGAAGCGGATGATGCAACTTTTGCTGATGATGCGTTTCCTAGTCTGTCGTAGGGGATATGCAGAAGTTGGAGCATCCAAGTACGCGCGCACAAAACCTCATCTGAACATTGGCACCATCGGTGGGTCTAGTTGACACTGTTCCTCTTGTAGCTCTTATGCAGAACTACTCGACTACAGGCCACGTCGATCACGGCAAGACTACATTGACAGCTGCTATCACCAAGGTCCTCGCCGAACAAGGTGGTGCCAAATTCACTGACTACGCTGATATCGACAAGGCTCCCGAGGAAAAGGCCCGTGGTATCACGATCAACTCGTCTCACGTCGAGTATGAGAGTGAGACTCGTCATTACGGCCACATCGACTGTCCTGGCCACGCTGATTGTACGTTTCGCTGTAGTCTCCAATGGCTGCTGCTGAAAGCACCGTAGACATCAAGAACATGATCACGGGTGCCGCTCAGATGGATGGTGCTATCATCGTCGTTTCTGCCACCGACGGTCAGATGCCTCAGACCCGAGAGCACTTACTGTTGGCTCGTCAAGTCGGCATCAAGAAGCTGGTCGTCTTCATCAACAAGGTGGACCAGATTTCGGATCCGGAGATGCTGGAGCTCGTGGATATGGAGATGCGTGACCTTCTGTCGACATACAACTTCGACGGAGAGAACACTCCTATCGTTATGGGCTCTGCTCTTGCTGCGCTGGAGGGTCGCGATCCTGAGACCGGTACTAAGAAGATTGTGGAGTTGGTTCGGGCTTGCGATGAATGGCTCGAAATCCCTCCCCGTAAGTCGTAATTGTCATGAGTCTGTGGTCCTGGTGCTGATTTGATATGAAGGTGACCTTGAGAAGCCTTTCCTTCTTCCCGTTGAAGGTGCGATTGACTGAGATTGTGTCGAAAACATCCTGACACTAAGCTGTCCAGATGTCTTCTCGATTTCCGGTCGTGGTACGGTCGCGACGGGCCGTGTAAGTTAGCACCGAACAGTGATTCACAGTCGTACTTATAGAAGTTTAGGTCGAACGTGGTATTTGCCACAAGGGCGATGAAGTTGAGGTTATCGGCTTGGGCGATCGCATTAAGACAACCCTTACTGGCATTGGTGAGTATTATCTCGATATTGACCGGTTACATCCTCATGCTTGTATAGAGATGTTCCACAAGGAGCTTGACCGAGTATGTTCCTATAATGATTCAAAGTGGACTGAGATTACGAAACGGTGTGGTTCTAGGGTGAGGCTGGTGACAACATGGGAGCTCTGCTCCGTGGTGTCAAGCGTGAGCAAATCCGCCGTGGACAAGTCGTCATCGCTCCTGGTAGCGTGAAGGCCGTGAAGAAGTTCCAGGCCCAGATATACGTACGTGGCCTGATAATATTCCATGTGTGGTCATTTGGCTCACACTCAACGTAGGTACTGACCAAGGACGAAGGTACTATCCTTGACGTCTGTTGACGAAATCCTGCGGCCACTGACGTGCCATATAGGTGGACGTTACACTCCCTTCATGGACAACTACCGACCACAGCTCTTCCTGCGCACGGCGGACATTACTTGCGGTCTTCACTGGCCTGAGGGCACTCCCGACGCCAATGAGAAGATGGTGATGCCCGGTGACAATGTCGAGATGGTCTGCGATCTCGTCCACGACGTCGCAGCGGAAATCGGTACTCGGTATGTACATAATGCACTATCAAGTCCAAAACATGCATTTATGCGGACGATATGCAGCTTCACGCTCCGTGAGGGTGGCAAGACCGGTACGTTTGTACTTAACTGACAAATCCTGTTCATCATCTTAACATCATTTGCAGTCGGTACCGGCATCATCACCAACATTCTGACCTACGCATAGGAGGAGTTCAAGCTGCTGTATTATCCGCTAATGTCCGTGCTTGTATTTCCATGCTCCCCACTCCTGCAAAAGTAGATGTCGGGCTGGCACACCTGGCATCTGCCGTACGATTTAGCATACTAGATACTATCGCACAGTCTGCTTTCCACGATATATAAGAAACGTGCGCTTTACATCAGTGGGCTGAGAGCGCTGCATGGAATATGAGTACGCATTTCACAGTCGGCGCTAGTGCGCAAGGATCTCGGTAGGGAGTACTATAAGAGGCACCGTTGCGGGTCGCCGAGTCCCGATGAGACCAGCGCCCAGCACGCACACTTTGCAAGTCGACCGTTGACCGCATAGCCAGGCAGGGATGTTCTCCGCTTTCCGACAGGTCTCTCGCCCCGCAACTTTCGCTGTGCGCGCTGCACGGAGGCCAGCGGTCGTAGGCGCTTTCCGCGCTACACCATTTGTGCGGACGTTGATCAGTAAGTACTTACTGAATCCGGACAGGTGAAAAGTGGTTGGATTGATACACGGTCGTGCAGCTAAAAGATATACGGAGGATCATGAGGCTATCGTGTTTGACGACAGCACGATGACGGGCACCGTGTACATCACGGACTATGCTCAGTCTAGTTTGGGCGACGTCGTCTTCGTCGAGCTGCCCGTGGAGGGGACGAATGTTCTCATGGGTGGTGAGTACTATGGTCGCGTTCGGTTGTCAATGAGCCGCTCAACAAGCATAACACGCTTTCAGACCAGATTGGTGCGGTCGAGAGTGTGAAGGCGGCGTCGGATATCGTTGAGTACTTGACGAACTCATTTGCGTGCTATCCACTAACGCGCCATGCTTGACGCCTGCATCACAGTATGCACCCCTTTCCGGCAAGATTGAGGAGGTCAACCATGAGTTGTCCGACCAGCCTGGGCTGCTGAACAAGTCACCCGAGGATAAGGGTGAGTTGTCTTTCCATGGAAGCTCTCATTTATTCAACCACTGCCTTAGGCTGGCTATGCAAAATTAAGGTCAAGGATGTAGCAGAGGTATGTTGCGCCGCGCTCTCGTATGCTTTCATGCTCATGACACCTCCTAGATGGAGAACCTGCTAACGGAGGACGCCTATAAGCAGCATTGCGAACACTAAGGGTGGATCGCAGTAGAGCTAGCGAAGATGGTACCCATGGCCTCAACTGCCGTGGGTGCGCAGGGTTGGGACTCAACATAGGATGAACAGGGACACAGCCTGATTGGTGTAGATAGTTGGGTGCTCGAGGCTAGCGCGCAAAATTAGAATATATGACATTGCTATTGCTCGTTTACGATACGTGCAGCAGCAACGGCGAGAGGCATTGGACAGTGTAATGCTTCTGCCGATGAACAGAGTGGAGTCTCTTCAGCGGTACCATGCAGTATCCCGCGTTGTTGGGTGTGGCGAGCGAGCAGCTTCTAGGACCGCCTTCATCTCGAGCGCGGAGAGAGATCATGGAAACTAGTGCATATGCGTATGTACGGAGCGACGGATTTCACGGATAGTCGGTCTTTTCGCCACGAGCCTCCATGCGCTTCTTCGCCTCTTCGTACGCCCATGTACGCGCACTAGAGATGGACCAGTTCATGGACAAGAATGACATGACATGACAGGCATGCGCACCTTCTGTCCGGCTTGTAGTACAACATCACCGCCGCAAGCACCATCGACCCGTACATCAAAGCGTACCACGGCATCTCCCAGCTTTCCTTCTTCCTCTTCTGGCCAGGCGGTAGCGGCTACGATAGATCCCCCGTCCAGCTCAGTTCATGGCATGCAACGCAGGACGAATGGGGTGGTGAACGTTACCTTCTCGCCGAAGAGCCAGCCTGATGGCTCATTCCATTGAGGCCCGTGGCCATGGGAGGCAAAACGCCTGCCAGCAGGCAGGCTGCGCCGTACGTTGAGTGCCGTCCGCGGGATCGTGGGTGGCATGGTAGGGGTGAATGTATGGAGGACGCGAGCGGCTCGCGTTAGCCCGGGAAGGACGTCTCAACACCCGGATTAGGGTCTCGTCGTGTAGACGCTCGAGCAGTAGAGTCAACGAGTCAGGATTCAAACATTCAAGCTCAAGTTCGGGGAAGCTTGACTTTAAAGGTGTTGCAAATCGTGCAATGCTACGTCGACCGTCCATTTTTCATGCTGGCGGTTCATCTCGTGAAGGTCATGATGGTAATGTCTTTGATAGTATTTCATAGTCATACTCTTCTGCCCCCTCCTCATCCACCTGATCTTCTTCGTCAACGTATTCTGGGGAGGTCGGATCCAACTCAAAGCTGAGGAAAATGTAAGCATTGGGGCCATAGTATGACACAATATTGGCTTACCCTAGTGCGCTATAGAATTGCCGTGCCGGATTATTCGCTTAGACATGGTCAGTCTGTGGACATACTGATGGAGACCGCGAAGACATACCTTTCAGCACCGTGAGCATAATCTTCTCCATGCCCCAATGTGTCGCAATATGCTCCAACTGCTGCATCAAGAACTTCCCGATGCCATACCGCTTCATACGGAAGTTGACCTGCAGTTCATAGCTATAGAGGACATGCGGGTCAGACTCTTGCTGCTAGCGTATCAGCAACCCTGAGCAAGTCAATGGGACACATGTAATAATACCCGTTGCATAGTCCCCAATTGTACTTGCAGATGTTTGCACAGCTCAGAAACTCACCAGTACGCGACGTCCTCGTCTTCTTCCCGTTCAAAACGAAACATAATATACGCAGACAATGGCCTGGGTCGGCCATCTGGCAGCACGCGAACGCTTTGCCTTGCAACTATGAAGCGCGAGTCGGGATGAAACAGCTCGTCTCGTTTGGTGGTGGGGTCCCAGCCCGTGGTGGAATCTGCATAGCTGCGATCGAGCAGAGCGAAGTTACGAACGATATGGAACTGTGTCAATAACACGGCCATACAAGCCACGCATGTTGTCTTCAAAAATCGTCCATACTGCCTCGCGGTCTTCTTGGTTCAACTCTGAGGCCGTTACGACCTCAAGGTATAGTCGCCTAATAGGTATGAGTGGCACTCAACGATAACTGCCATTAGGTGCTCACTTGGGGACGTGGTCTCGCTCCAAGACAATCTCGTACGAATTGAGACTAGCGGAAAGCTCTGCAGAGGTTGTCTAACATACAGTTTAGGAGAGGGACGCCTGTAAGAGATGAAATTGAGTATCATGTTTAGCGAGTCTCGTACCTTGTTCGCTTTGCGGAGGTTCCTGGATGGGCGCATGATGCTAGCTTCGTCGTGACTACTTCCAAGATTGGTCAGAGGAGTATTCCCGACTTATATGCCCAGCAGAATTTTCCTGTCACTGCCACGCAAGCAGAGAAGTTGACCGATGTGGCCCACCGCGACGCGATCGAAAACGCGCCTGCGATCGGGGTCACGTGTATCTTCCCACTCTTTTACATTTTCCCAGCAGCCACACGCTCGCTGCATCGTCGCACACCCATCCAGCGACAAAAAGGCATCTCCGCTCGACTTCCAGATCTATTCGTGACTTGAATCGGCGACAGCTAGTTCTCTCGGACGTGCCTGATCATTATGCGGCTCGACGCTACCGATCTCCGCTACATCACCTCTGAGGAGTTCAGGGTTCTCACAGCGGTACATTCTCGATCGCAAGACCTGTCTCTGCTCCTGCTGAGCAAACATGTATCCCTCAGGTCGAGATGGGCTCCAAAAACCACGAAATCGTGCCCACCGCGCTCATCGCGCAGATCTCGGGCCTCCGCAACGGGGGCGTGAACAAGAACCTCGGCGTGCTCGCCAAGCGCAGCCTCGTCGCGCGCATGCAGAACGCTCGCTGTACGTCTGTGCTTCGCTGCGTGGATGATGCGTATGGACTCCATGGAAGATGATGGGTATAGGCTGACCTATGGCGGGTACGACTTCCTCGCGATGCGCGCGCTGTCCAAGAGGGACTCGATGGCTTCTGTGGGGAACCAGATTGGTGTCGGGAAGGAATCCGGTTAGTAGGGAAGTGCATCCTGCTCTTCGGATATCGCTCACTTATGAGAACCAGATATCTACATTGTCGCTGATGCGGAGGGTCAGGAGATGGTCCTGAAGCTGCATCGGTATGTCCCCTTTCAATTTTATGCCTTCATCTAGAGGTTCATCTGCTTTCTGCAGCTTGGGACGTATCTCCTTCCGCGCGATCAAGGAGAAGCGAGACTACATGGGCAAGCGCAAGTCTGCATCGTGGATGTACATGTCTCGCCTGGCTGCCGAAAAGGAATGGGCATTCATGAAGGTGCGTATGAGTCCCGCCTTGTGCGCATCGGGTGCTTATCGACCGCAGGTTCTGCACGAGCACGGATTCCCCGTCCCCACGCCGATCGACCATGCGCGGCATTGTATCCTGATGGAGTTCATCGATGCCTATCCTCTGTCAGTGCCTTTCGCGACCATTATCACCGACTGACGGTGTCTGATGCCCTCGTGGAAACCAGTCGCCAAGTCGCCGATATCCCTTCTCCTGGCAAGCTCTACTCTGAATTGATGGACATCATCGTGCGATTTGCCCGCGTGGGCCTCATCCATGGCGACTTCAACGAGTTCAACATCCTCATCCGGCGAGACACGGGCGATCCTGTCGTGATCGACTTCCCGCAGATGGTCAGCACGTCGCACATGAATGCTGAAATGTAAGCGCAAATGGTGGCCGCACGCACAACATCAACTGAAAACATGGGATGCTCTGTAGGTACTTCAATCGCGACGTAGAGTGCATTCGAAAATTCTTCCGCAAACGGTTCCGCTATGAGAGCAAGCTATACCCTCGCTTTTCGAGCATGCGGAATGATGAGGATGGAGAAGGCTTCCAGCTGGATGTCATAGTTGCTGCTAGTGGGTTCAAAAACCAAGACCAGCGAATGCTAGAAGAGGTGAGTGTTGTCGCGGACATTATTTGGAAACGACGCGACTGATCACTGGCATAGTACATGAGTAATGTGGCGGGATCGGAAGGCGGTGGTAATGGCGACGATGGGGGCGCATACAGAGATAACAGGGAGGGGGGTAGCTCGAACGAAGAGGAAGAGGAAGAGGAGGAAATGGATGAGGATGACGACGACAAGGGCGAAGATGGAGACGAGGACGATAAGGGGCGGAAGGGAAAGGATGAGGACGAAGAGGAAGAGGAGGAAGAGGAAGAAGGTAAGAACAAGAAAGAGGAGGTGAAGAACGGAAAAAGAAAAAGAACAAGGGAAGAGTATGAGCCTGAGGAAATACATCGTGGGCGAAGACAATCACGATCCCCTTCCTTGACCCCAGGGCCTAGCTCACCGAACGAGCGGCGCGGTGGCGGCGAGGCCAGGCTCTCCCCGCCGCGCAACGTCTCCCGTTCTCCGCCTGCGTCGCGACACGTCTCTCGCTCGCCCGATTCGAGTGCTCTGCTCGCCGAGCGGATGGCCGAGATCAGTATTGGCGGCTCGCAGCACGACGACGAGTCGTCGGATGAAGGGTCCTCGCACGAGGGCGGAAGTTCGCGCAGGAGAGACGTGCCGCAGCTGGCGCGGACGCAGGCTGCAAAGCAGAGGGCTCGACAGAAACGAAAACACGGATCGAAAACTGGTACAGGTGCCGGGCGGCCGAAGGGGAGCAAGGCAAAGATGGATACGCGTGTGAAGCTGGATGACAGTGGGTTCTGGGGTTAGTCGGTTATGGATGTCTCTTGCTTGGTTGAGCTCGAGTCTGCCGCTGGTCGTCTGGCGTTGTAATATTACGCGTTCGTTCTTGCTTAGGTCGATACCATGTACATGTGGGCATGTGCTCCAACATACGCGGAATAGTAGGTTAACGGAAACCATCTGGTTGTTCACGGAGACTGCATCCCGTGACAATACTTTGACAAAGTACTCTAAGCAGCACTACGAGGAAAGCCGGCTAATGATCGCGCAAAGTGACAAATGCCCCATGTACACACGCATGCGGCCTCAGGGATCGTCGCACGGCTTCGGCCTGATGCAGACTGCTTCTTAGGTTCTATTGGAGCCGCGTTCTGGGTAAATGCACCGTCGGCAAACGGTGGAGAGCGACCACCGCCGACCACAAGCCCGCTCGCTCGGAACCGTGGCCGCCGGTTAAGATAGATGGCCGACTGGTCAGATACGCGCAGACCACCCCAATCTCGCCGTGGCGGCTGCATTCGTGAATCTCTTCTTCTCTACGCACATCCGTTGATCAGCGAAGCGGCGCATTTCAACTCATCCTGGACGAGTGTCGACCCGGGTAAGCTTGTGCACTTACTACAAGTGATCATGAAACCACATAGATGGTTCGTCTACGTTCTGCGTCACAGCTGACGTTGAAGCACTGTAAGGTGATGACGCAACCGAGGATAGAACTGAAGCAGAAGCTCCCGCGGCAGAAGGGACGATCGTCGTCGATGGAGACGCCAAGATCGCGCAGACCACCGGCGGAGCTATCCCGCCCGAGATGCCCATAATCTCCTCTCAAGATTGACATGGCCCCAGATTTTGGCGGCGCACGGACCCGTCTTCCAGCCACTAACCCACCCAGATATCGGGGCCAGAGTGGATCTGTCCAACGATCTCAGCGTCTTGGCCTCCCCTGCCAACTGGCATCTCCTCAGTAGGTACCAATTCACCGCTCGTTTGTCTATTTAACCAAGAGGACAACGGGCGAGATGTGGTGCATGTACAGTAACCTCACTGTCACGATGAAGGCGATCACCCTCTGCTCAAGTGACGACGAGCAATGCCCATATCCCTGTAGTGCACTTTGGCACCATGAGCAAGGACCGTGGCGAGGGCCCTTCCAAGCATTGATCGACCCATCACCACTATATCCTAAACAGAGAGAGAGTAATTATGATAGACATTTTGGGCCCAGCACACGCACCGACGTCGATCGCCTCGGCGCGTTCACCCACGAGATTGAACCGTCTTCAACCGCTCGTCAAAGGAGAAGTCTCTATCCCCGAGCCGAGTAGAGGCACCCCCTGCACACCCTTGACACAATGCAATCATGCAATCACAGCGAGTTTTGCCACTGCTAATCCACATTCAGCACGACACCAAGCGCAAAGGGCGGTATAGGAGATGTAGTCCTATTGGACCAGTAGAGCTACTTTGTTCCTCTCATGCAGCCTCTAATGCCTAGTCGCATGTAGTTGTTATTATATGAATAGACATGGTCTGAGTCTTGCGAAGAGGAGGGCAGGGGACCGGCTCGCGATGCACCCGTACACTGATAACGTCACTCACTATTAGTCTCTTCGCGTAAATGAGTCTATCGCCAGCGGACTGCCGCATTTTACGAGGCCCTGTCTCGGAGGCAAGTTCGAGGGCCGTTTCACGCAAACAGTCAGTCCAAGCATATTGACGACCAGGGAAATGCACACCGCACTACGATGGCGTCACGCAATGGCGCATATAGACCACCGAAAATCTCCCGAGAGCGTGCTATCTATCTGCCCAGAAAAGGACAAGGAAAAATGCGTTGAGAGATGTGCACTAATTTGAGGAAAGAAGAGAAAGCACACGCATAGCCTGCTCCAGCATTTGATGTCGTAAATTACAGTCTTGAGATCTGTCGCAGACAGATCGAGGACCTGGCATCGCAGGAGAGGTTGCCGTTAATACACAGTGAGTCATCTACAAGTGAAACGCGACATATGTGAATTATGCTGCGGTTCACTGTGAGTGAAATTCCAATACGACACAGTAAGACGCTCACCACAGCTCAAGCAGTGGCATCGTCTTTAGCCTCGAACTTGTGTTTATGCCGAGGCGCCGCCTCCGTCATTCCCTTCCCACTTCCGGTGACACCCACTGTACAATACATGTCCAGCAACTCTCCAAATAAACAGAAAGTGTAATCGCGCACCTCTTCCTAGGGGATTGTCCGGCGTCTTGAATATGCTCGTACCCGAGACACCCGCAATATGGATTCCCTTCTTCTCCGACTTCTTCGCAAACTTCTGCCAGCTCGCCTGCTTCTCCGTCTGCTCCTTCGCCTTGGCCGCCTTGACCTCCAGCTTCTTCTCGTTCTTCTTCTTCTTCCGCTCGCGCTCTTCCTCCTCCACCTTGGTCAGCTTGCGCTTCCCCGCCGCGCTCGGGCCCGCCGACTGGTAGTTCGGCGGCAGCAGCTTCAGCTGCGTCGCGTTCACCAGCTCGGTGCTGTTGTAGTTCTTGAACATCACGCTGTACGCCCGGTTGTCCGCCGACCCGCCCACGGACGTGATCCGCGCCGGGTACCACGCACCGTCACGCGAGTACTTTGCGAGACAATCGTCGCCCGCGGACCATGTGCGCGTCGCGGTGGCCGCTGCGGCCTGCTTGCGTGACGAGTCGGTCTTGGACGAAGACGCCGCCGCCTCTTGCTGGGCGATCGCGGCCTGTGTGAGTTCGATGAGCTCCTTGAGCTCGGAGCGGAGAGAAGAAAGCTCAGGGTTCTTTGGGTCGGTCGAGAGCGCGAGTTCAACTTGGGAGAGCTGGACTTGATAAGTCTCCAAGTCTCCGCTGTCCATGATCGAGCACTGTCCCCACAGAGGATGAAACGGATATAAAGAGTGTCGTGCAGACGAGAAGGAGCTGTGACTGTGAGACACGCGCGCTAAAGCCACAGCAATTGGCGTGAGCGCTTGTATCCCGCGCGTGGGAAATGTCCGGTCCGCAGTCGGAGATCGACATCGGCCACGCGCCAGCCGCTACGAGAGGAACGACGTTCGCAGCGACCTTGCACAAGCACTAGAGAGGTGTAAATGGTGAGCGGTTGTTCCCTCGCTTGCACTCTTTGCTTCATGCCCATTTTTTTCGAAGGGGGCTACCGTTAATTGCACTGTTGTCCGCATACCCAATATGACTGCGCAGAACCCGCGTTGATGCAGAGATCCTCGACGCTTCCTTGGATGGCTCGACCAGAAAAGAACGAGCCGAGAAATGGAGGTACGCGGTCCATTACGCCAGCGATTTTTCCCATTGCAGCGTTCCACTTGTCGGCACGATCCATTTTACCAAGCTTTCGGCGTGGTTTCTCCCGTAAAGCAAGACGCCCTGTCCTTGGAAGGTATTCGGACACCGTGGCAGTGGTGTCTTCACGTCGCCTGTTATATTGACTTTCGGTTTCTCTGTCATGTGCTATTAGGACCCTCTTTCGGTGACGGATTGCCGAGCTGCCCGATTTCGAGGGTCGAGAGCGTTTATGAACAGCGCGCAAAGAAAGGTAGCCCACGAACTTGAATTATTTTGTCTTTATATGCTGCGTTTTTTTTGGCCAACGGCATGAAAGCTAACCGAAGATATTTGGTGCCACAGTGACAGTGGAAAAGTGCGCGAGATCTTCGGCGGACGTACACGCCGCGGACTTGGCGATGAGAAAGACGAGAAGACCGCCACCCGCCACGTCAAAATCAAAATTGCGCCATTCACCAGATTCGGTCACGAACTATCAAACACGCCAGCAGAGAAGGTGGTTGCCTTACGGCCGGTGACGCTGGCAAAGCATAAATTTTGGGATCTCAGCATGACTGACGGTCCTTCATCGGAAGCTCCCGGTCGAATTGGTAGGTAGTTCGGCAGCTCCATGAAGAGAAAATCAGGATCTGACTTTCAGTCGCCATTCATCGCGCTCGTCATGTATTAATCCGATATTCCCCTGGCTCTTCGACTTTGTGGGGTAGGTCTACTCCGCAAAATCTCGGTCCATTATTTCGAGCATCGAAACTACCTCTTGTGAACTCGTGGCAGTCCCCAACGTTTTCTGAATCAAGCCTCCGGATTCCTATTCCGTTCACCATTGAATGGCTGATTACGTCGGTGTCAGCTAAGTATCTTGCACACATCGGTTCAAAATGCCTTCAGGTCAGAATTGTGTCTTGATATCTTTATTTATTAATATCTACCTCATCCTCTAGCTCGACCGACTAACTCAAGTCTGTTTTTCTTTCATATACTCATGAAAGGTCACCTCACCGCTCGGCTTATCGGCATATTCATGGGACGTAAGTAATCGGTCACTAAGTACTAAGTAATCGGTCACTAGGTACTAATCTGTCATGCCATAACCGTTCTAGGCCTCTGCTTTACCTTGATTCTTAGCCCTTCACAACGGCCGTATTAAAGGTGTGGAGCTGTCTACAATTTTCTTCACAGATAAGTCTCCTCGTTTAGGCTTTGGGCACTATATCAAGAGACCGATCGGTCACTGGTGACCTCCGGCGTTCTCTTCGTCTGCGGCCATCACGGGTAGGCTGCATGACGCACGACACCAGTATGTCGCGCACGAAAGTGCCTCCGACGAACCGCTCGGACGAGTCTCTCCCCCTGCGTCATCATCATCCTTCCTTCGTCGTCTCCAAGTGGGGCCGTGGACCTAACAGTGTGCCGCCCTCCCTCCCACCGGCCATTCGGGCTCTCCTTTATCCACTTTGCCGCGTCGGCCGTCGCACATGCCAGCAACCCGGTAATAGCTTCCCTGCGTATCTGCCTACTTTTCGACTTCATCTTCTCGCCTATGTACTACACCGCTCACCTGAGACCTCCGCCTGAGCCGACGCCCGGTCAAGTCCCTGTCGTGAATATTGGTGCTGTTCAAATGGTTCTACCGTCCTGGACGTGATCTTTTACGATTGGGCCGCAACACTATTTCCCGGTTGAGGTTCATTTTTAACCTCGTCGTATGCCTCCCTAGATGCCGTCAACTTGGGCTACCTGATCTTCCGGGGAGAAACGACAATGTCGCAAGTGAATCGGATCTCATTTGCTGTTTCACACCACGCCTATCGTCCAGGGTTCATGTCAAGTCGAGTACCTCACACATCGCGGTGCGATGCGCACGCTCATCGAATGCACCTGTCCCGGGTACATATGCACATTCGCGCGCAACGTACCAAGCCGCACATGCAAGCACACCGCTGGTGTTTACGTTTGCAGCTCGGAGCGGGCGGAGAACAGCCCGCCCGCGAGAGAATTGCAGTTCATGCCGCATAGCTGGGTAGCGACCGGCAACACTGATCGCTTCTCTAACGTAGCCACGGTAACACCACTCCAATACTGGCCACCGACACCAGCGGGTACCTAGCTGATGTAGCAGTCACTGGCGAGGCGTTTGAGCCGTAGCCGATAGCCTGCGATGCAGCCTGACAACGGAGACCTTCCCTTGTATGCCGCACTACCAACTTGAATGCGATAAATTTGCACTTTTTCCTCGGATGGCGTGCATGAGTACTGAGCTGGCCTTCTATATGTACTACCCTGCGGTATACATACAAGCCCATTACATTAGCCTCAACCCATTTGAGAGGGGGGACGAGCTTTCTTCCCGCATTCAGTAACTACCCAACCCGATTTGGAACGCGACTTTCCGAGACCGGCGGAGGGCGCCGACTTGGAGCTGCTTTAGTCTCCCCTAGGCAGACAACAGAATACCTCCTTCTCTCCGTGACAGAGAGCGGTCACCGGTCAGCACTCAGCTGCGCTCGAAAGAGAGCCCTCGTTCCGCGTCACGCGGCGCGTGGCGTAGAGCTGCTTGCTAGTCGCATCCAATGCACCCTTGAATCCCCCCACTCATTCAACGCTCCGTTATACGCTTATTAGCTATGGTGAAATTACTTTCTTCTCTAGTATCCGACAATCTCCTGGCATATAAAATCGGGGTTGCAAAAGGATTTATTTGTTCGAAATGGAACGACCATAAAAGCTTGGATCATTGTCTGCGATGACCCCCCGCTAGTAAGGCGATGATCTCACGAGGCCTAGACCGCGCAGTCTGTATGCAGCCGCTCATTTAGTCTTATAGGCATACCTTCCGAAGCTCTGGTAGTGATATACCACGTTGCACCGCTACAGGAACGCGACCCAAGCGCCCTTCTTCTTCTTAATGAATAATATCACGACACTTTAATAAAGATAAAGATAGTAGATCGCACTAGCTAGAGTAGAACTCGACAATCTTCACTATACCAGTACTAGCACCAGCCGCGGGCATCGAATATAATGAATATTGAATCGAGAATCTACGCCACATCATACACCATTCCGAAAGCGGAACCGAATAATGTACAAATAATCATATACTGTACGGAGACGGCCGTGATATCAACAATGTCCAGAGCTATCAACCGCCCAGGGGATCCCCGCTCCCCGACACGCGAGTCCATTGGTGGCCGCAATATATAAACGTCACACTCGAATGCGACAAGAAACCGAGCAGAACCCACAGCCGACTCCGAAAGTCAGTTCGCGGAAGCAAATATACGGCCAACACACCCAGGCCAAACCAGGCACGACCGCAAGGCCGCGGATCAGATATGCGCATCGAGTCAATAGTGCATTGGAACGGCCTGGGGCGCGTTCGGATGTACCCGTCCGCTGGGGATTGGCGGTGGCGGGAGGAGGAATGGCTGCGAGCTGAGTGGCGCGTCCGGGAGCCCGCACGAGGCGACTGAGTGCCGCCTGAGCTGGTGCGCATCCGCCGAGGCATGCTGCATCGAAAGTTGTATCTGGAGGTTCATGTACTGTCCGACGCAGAACGCGAAATAAGCATGCGGTGCCAATTAATGAGAGAAGCAGGAAAGCTTACGGCACGCTCGGCTTCGACGACCTGCGCGTAGAGTTCTCTGATCTCGTCTTCCATATGGACGAGAAGAGTCTGTTAAACGTCGTAAAATAAGCTTTGGCAAGTCAATCGAACTTCTCGAAGACGAACGCACCCGTATTGATCGGCTGGTCAGTCCGCGGTAGGTCGAGACGCGCCCGAGAGACGCAGGCTCGTTTCCCACCAGGTGGATCTGGTCGTGCAGCCACTGGACGTACTGCTCAAGACACTCGAGATAGCTGCGTTTCTTGTCGTGTGACGTGATAGTGTCCCTGCGTTGTAAGTCAGCGTGGGCCGACAGTCCGAACATGGCTATTTACGTACGGATCTGTCGGTGTGAACCCAACGCTCTCTGCGACGAAGCGGAAATACAACTTGCGCTGCGTTTCTGGCGGCTTCGTCGGCGCACCACCGTTCGCGTTGCCCTTGGCCTTATCCGACTTTGTAGCCTTGCTCGCAGTCGGATTCTCCGGTTGCGTGGGAGACGATGCGCCTACGGAGGCTGCTTTCGGAGTCGAACCGGCATTTCGATTGGACGCGGCAACGGCGCCCTGGTCGCGGGCATTGAGCTCCGTGAGAAGCTCACTCGGCGTAGGGAAGGTAGTCTGAGGTGCGTTGCCGTAGTATTCTAAAGGGCTCGGCTCGGAAGGCGTTGTCGGAGGTGCAGATGCAGAAGGTGCCACCGACATTTCCGACGAGGAAGGGGTTGGGACTGCCGAATTAGCAGGATTGGCGGCAGGTTGAGCAGGGCCCGTAGAATGATCATTCGCGTGAGGCGAGACAGGTGGGATGAGAGAAGAGTAGCCGGAGACAGGAATCGGAGCATGTAGGGGGACCTCTTGAGCGTACGAGGTCTGAGGCATTTGTTGTTGGGATGCAGGTGGGAAGGCATAATTTGTAGCGGGCACAGACGGAGCATACACCGGCTGGGAGTAGGCTGCCGGATTGTACGGAGGTTGAAAGGAATAGTTGTAGTCGAATGTGTAGCCTGGCTGGAGATACTGGTTGTTGCCGTCCTGATGCACGTATGCACTCTGATAATTTGGCGCATGTTGAGCGCGGCAGTCATCAGACAATTTCCTTTGTCAGACTCACTGCTTGGCCTAAGGATATGTTTCCCGCGGAGGTGCCATATGAATACCGTTCGGAAGACATGTTGTAAAAGTCCATGCTGATACGAGGCAAAGGAGGGATTCTGGCACACAGCATAGCAAGGGAGATTAAATATGAGAGCCGCGCATGGGCTGGGACACGACGATGAGATCGACGGCGGAGATTGCTGGCGCACGGCAAGATCGCTTTCCTGGGAAGAGGGACGTGTATATTGAGGCCGAGACATGGCGGGGAAGAGAGGGGAGAGTTCTGTGAAGTGGCTGGGAGAAGATCGGGGAGGGAAGATGTGGGATTATAGTGCCTGCGTGGCAGATCTCAGACGATCGGGGCACAGAACCTGCCTTTTCCGCGGCGGACTCGGTCGTCTCGGCTGCAGAGGCCACCCGCCCTCAATTCGGCGCTTTTTGCTCACGTACGGCAGCAAAATCCAACATCACCGTTGCCCTCGCCAACATCGCCGTACGTTGCCCTCGCCATCGCGGCCCATCGCCGGAGAAATGCAAGCGGGTCTGAGATGAGCATCTCAGAGGATATTAATTATATTTTGAGCATATTCAGTCAGTGACTCAAAGAACGAGTGAGCCCAATGGTGAGCCAAGTATTGCAAGAAAACACGTTCAGATTTAATGCTAACAGCAGCGAGAATTTCCAATGAGCAGGAAACTCTCTACTAAACTCAGTCGAGTATACAATCCTTGGCCTGCATGGACACGTCCCGCCTTATCAATGAAATGCTCATCGTGTCCGTCCACGCGGTCAGTGCAACCACGCAATACTTCGCGCACCAGTGTGGACGGCGGTATGACAAGAGGAAAGGGCTATGCTGGAGGTGAGCGTGGTTCTGGCAATATATTCTTTTCCGGTGAAGAAAAGCTGGTGGAAGGGTCCGAGACCGCATTGCGTAGGTCACGTTCATCCGATTGCAGCGTGAGACATGCGGTGATCCTCCCTGGCGCAGACTTGGGAAGCAGTCGGTGTACTAGTTTGGCCGAGCACCTCGACCGCCGTTCGATGGCGCCGTAGCGATTCCAATTCCTCGGCACCGGCGTCCAATCACTGACAGTGCCGCGGCTGCTCAATTTCTCTTTCCGAGAAATCACAAATTTGCGCCATTCTTGATATTCAAAAGGGCGTTGCCGAACACTCTAAAAGTGACGACAGAGCGCGTGCATCTGCATGATGAAGGTATACATGCAACACGCAGTAGCGGCGCTCGTGTGCGTGATTGTCTCACATGTGAAGAGAGACGGGAGGAGCAGATCGAGGGGACGCAAGCAGTGTGCTGGCACACCCAGCACCATCCTGGGCGTCTCCCGTGGCACCGTCCTCTCAATGATACTTGAACAGGACAAACCAGCCCGTCGGGTGCACCCCGAGCCGAGATAAAGTGCCTCTTCTGGAGGCCGCGTCTCCATAAGTACCGTCGGCACGCGCCTCGAGCCTGCAGTTCCGCATACAACCCCAACCGCGATCGTCGCCGCACAATGTACTCGGACACACTCCCAGAAGCGCAAGACCCCGTCTCTTCCTCCAGCGAGCTCGGTCCGTCCTTCGGTACCGGCGAGCTGCAGTACCCCCCGAACGAGTACCCTTCCAGCGAGCCCGACTCCGTCAGCTCAGATGCAGAGTCGTCCGTTCCCCATGGCAGCGACACGCTCGCGTCCGGCCTCTTCAGCCTCAGGCTTGCCCCGCAGAACGGCCAGGCCGTACCCCCGCCGCAGTACTCCCCGTCGCAGACAGAGAGCGACTACTTCGAGCACGACCCATTCGCGACCGAGTCGCCCGTGGACGCGCGCAGCCCCACCACACCCTCCTCGTCCGTATTTGCAACACCGCTCTCCGCTCCTCCCGGCACGCACAATGAACAGTTCGGGAGTGTCGACGCACCGACATTGACAGCACCCTACTTCTTCCCGCCACAGCTCTCTGAAGCCGGCCCCGCAAGGACGATGGGCAGGAACTTGGCGGGGCCACAGGGGTCGCCTACAGGGGGGAGCCGGCTCGACCTCGCACATCCATACGCGCGCCTGCCGACGAACAAGGACGGCACCAAGCGGCGCAGGATGTGGAACCATCTGCTCGAGAAGTCAATCTTCACTCCACAGGAGATGTTCGTATTTCAATTCTGTCATGTCGACGTCTTCAAAGGCGGGACTGACAGTTTCTTGACAGATCGACCATGACTGCGCCCCACCGGCGAACAATATATACCGCGAGTCTCGAGGCGCACATCGACCAGCTGCATACGCAGCTGCTTGGCTATGCACTTTTCCCCGTTCCGTTCGAGAAGCTGGAGCGCTTCCGCGGGCTTAACTTCAGGACAGCCAAGGTGAGCGGTTTGTAATTTGCCTGTCAGCGGTAGGATAGGTGGTCCAGAGATGACTGATTGCTGACTCTCCATCCCAGAGCATGGTCGCGGGTTTGTACCGAGACGCGGTGGCTTTGAAGATGAAGAAGCTCGCGCTGGATCGAGCGGTACGTGTCTCGGTCAGCAATGCGAAGAGAATTTGTTTATATAATCTCGTACCTTGTCCAGAGCCACGCCATACGCAATCAGCTATACGGTCCTTCTGACGCGGGCCCGCCACCAACACCGCCCTACCCACATTTGGGAAGTTCCAGCTCTAGCCTGCGCCGGCATTCCCTGGAGTAGCAATCGCATAACCATTTCGGTTTCATCACGTCGGCAAACGCGGATCCCTTCAAGACTTCGCCATCAGGCACTTGGGCAAATTTTCTTGCGCCTTTTTTTAATTGAACTCTACGTCCGTTGGTTTTATTGAGCATGCGCTTTCCATCGCATCGCGCGTTTGTAGGTATCACATGATTTGAGAAGAAGAGTGCAGCCGGATGCTGAATTCGACCGGCGTTTGTAATAATCGTGTACTCGCCTTGTCATGTAATGGTTGCAGTATACCGCAGTCTCGTGTTCGTCAATGTTTTGCGCTTGAACTGGGGCATAAGACGTATAATCGATGGCCAGCTCACGCTGCGAATACGCATGGCGAGAGCACATCTATCGAAGTGATGTAGATAAACTTCGGGGAGTTGAGGGCTTGTCGCCTAGCGCAAGCAAAACAGATTCTTGATTTGTCCCCCCCCTGGACAGAGCTCAGGGGACACATGAGCAGAAACATGTGCCCCCTGATGCTTCTAACAGTACGGCCCAGTCCAGGAACCAAGAACATCTAGGGGTCAAAGAAGCAAAGCTGGCCCAACAGGGCGCTCAAGTATCGGGACGGCTGCATGTGATGTATACTGTCATGTATATGGTGACCCAATCGACAGGCTGGCTGGTTGTCCGGGAGACCGTGTTAGGATGAACGAAGTCGCCCTCGTTGCCGAGCATGATGCATGGTGCACGAGGTCAATATGTGAAGTCGGTCTGCGGGAGTGTGGGAAGAGTCGACGATGTGATTGTAGTTCCTCTTCTGGTGCGGGATGCGCGCTGATACGACGTACTAGCGCGTTATGCACGTCAGTGGGCGTATATGGTGAGAGATTGCACTGCGAGGCTTATGGGAGTGTATCGAGCGAGATAGATTGCTCTGCTGCACTGGTACGGATGAACACGTCCGTTTGACGACGATATCGATTCAGTCAATGAAAGCTGCGCATTGCTGTTCTTCTTGCGAGGCCCATGAAAATGCAGCATGCGCCTTGCTACATCTTGGTCACTTTTGCACCAATCCGCACGCTTGGAGCGTCAATGCATATTGTCACAGCGCAGTCTTACTCACGCATTACGGGATAATTAAGCAAGACTTTGCCTCGTGACTCGGCGACCATTGTGATTGATTAACAATTCAGGCACAGAGCGGTGGCTACGGCGATGACTGAGCATCTCAGCGATGTGTGAGAGCGACGAGCGGGAAAGACCTTCAGTCAGAGCGAGACGCCACATTCGTCTCCTCGAGACGTCACGGTCACGTGCGCTGCCGTGACCGGCCCCGATCGCTTTGTTGTAAGGAGCTTGGCGAGTCAAAGTTATTAACCTTGCTTGTTACCAACTTTCACGCTCTCGTGTGCTCTCGTGCTCTGTCCAGCCTCCTAATCGCTCTCCCCCCTTACTGCTAGTCGGCAATTCACTCTTTGGACAGACTCCCTCGTCCTCGAGACTTTTTACCACCGCCTGTCATCGGTCGTAGCGGACCGTTGTCATCTCATCCCAATCCAGGAAGCTCTCTGGCAGCGCGTATTTCTGTAGAAACATGATGAACAGATCTGTTGAATCGAGTCTCCCACAACCTGCTCTCCAGGCGTCGCAGGCGGCCCTCAACTCAGCAATGGCAGACAATCAGATAAAGGAGAATGGAAGTGAGGAAGGGAAGAAGGAGAACGGCGCGGCGGATCTCGAGCCCGGAGAGATCCAGGAGGTAGATATGCAGGCTCAGGCGGATAACATCCGCACGGTTTTCGATGACCCAAAGAACTTCAACGTCAAGGTGAATAGATTTCTCTCGTCATGTGGCACTCGTTACGCTTTGCGTCATTCGACCCGCATCACTGAGCTTGCGCTTTGCAGCATCCTCTGTACTCTCCATGGACCCTCTGGTTCGACTCGCCCTCTACCAAAGGCCGAAATCTCCCACAAACTCCGATGTCATCCTTCCCTCAAACGCCGCTTCCCCAGACACCCGGTGTCGCAGCAGCGGCACAGGGGTGGATGGAGGACATCAAGCGTGTGATCAGTTTCGATAGCGTGGAGGAATTTTGGGGGTACGTAGCAGTATGTCACGACCATCGGCTGAGTGCTCATCACGCTATAGGCTTTACAACAATATCGTACCACCGTCCATGCTTCCGCAAAGAGCGAATTACTATTTGTTCAAGGTCGGCACATAATTGCGCCGTGTGTGAATACCCTTGTATAAGATATCTCTGTACAGGACGGAATCATTCCCGCATGGGAGGATGAAGCCAACAAAAGCGGAGGCAAGTGGAGCATACAGTTTCCTAGAGACAAAAATAGAAGCAACGTTGACAAAATGTGGCTGAACACGGTACGGTCTTCATCTTCGGAGCATGCATACTGTCGGCACTCACACGCAAATTTCAGATGCTGGCCGCTATCGGCGAAACGTTCGACCCGCTGACCAACGAGTCGTCTGAGTCTCCTCAGTCGCTGATCACAGGCGTCATCGTTTCTACGCGGCCGCAATTCTACCGAATATCGATTTGGACGCGGTTGGCACCAACAGGGTCAGGCGGGGAGGACGACAAGTTGCGAGAGAGGGTCGAGGCGGTCGGGCGGCATTTCAAAGTGACAGTGCTGGGATACGAGGAGTCGCAAAAGCTGGCGGGTGGACTCGCGACCGAGGTCGAGTTCCAGTCGCACAAAGACTCTGAGAAGAAGGGGAAGACGGCGAAGAAGATTGTTGTTTAGTTCGAGGAGCAGTGGTGGCGGTCATTTATATATGTCTAATTACCCTCGATCGGTGTCCATACGATGATGTCTCTGTATATCGCGAATTAAGTGAATGTTGCTTTCGGGGTTCAGGACGACCGCGTGCGCAGTTGAGGCGATGACGTTAGAATATCGAGACAACAAAAGGGGGCACTAGTGTGGCTATGCCGTAGCGCGACGCTTCCCTCTTCCCATCATGTCATCCGATTTTCTCGCGTCCCTCCAGGAAAAGGCACAGAACGCGCTCAAGTCTGCCGGCTTTGGAGGGCAGTCCGATGGACCCTCTGATGGTCACAGCGGAGGGAACGGTGGCATCCTCAAGTCGCATGCGTTCGAATCGGTCCAACATCAGCTGCGCACGCTCCAGCAGACGTACTCGTACGTGTCGCTGGCATCGTCTGTCTTTCTCGGGTTCGGGTGACTGAGCGTTTGCGATCCGAACTATCAGGAGTTCCGTGAGCCCGATTCAGAAGGTCATCACGACGCAGAAGGGCATCGCGCTCGATCTTGACAGCCTATCGAGCGACAGCCAAACGCATAGTAAGGAGTTGTACCTGTGGGGCCAGCAAGAGGAAGTGGACATCAAGGATGGTACGCGAGCCCCCTTTGTACCTGGTGCCTTTCGTACTGACTGGCAGCCTCTCAGTGACCGACCGCCTCGCATGGATCAACTACCTCGAAGGCACCCTCGCGCGAACCCTCGCAGGCAGGATCAACGCATCTCGCGTGCCCTTCAAGGGGCTCCGCGATGCAGAGAACACGCTCGGTGGACGTCGGAACCTCCGGAGCTCTCTGAGCAACCAGATCGGGCGGATCGAGCACGATCAGCGGCGTGGTGACGAGCAGAGGCTCGCAGACCTCAGAAAGCAGCTGCGCCAGGCGGAGGAGACCGACGAGCCGCTTGAGAAACAGGTTGAGCTGCTGAAGAGGAAGGCCGTGAGGGAGAGCGAGCAGCAGAAGTGGCAGGCTGTCCGAGAAGTACGTGCCCATTAAGTCCCGTTTGCGGCTGCCTCAGCTGACATTATGTCGTTCATACAGTATGCGGAGAAGCTTATTCTCCTCTCTCAAGCGGCTACTGGCGTCCTCTCTGCGTTGCCTACGGTGCCGTCTGCCGATCACAAATACCACGGCGCAGAGACCACGGCGTCCGTACACGCGGCCCTCGAGCAGGCCCTCGACAACTACAAGCCCGGCGACATCAACCTGCCTCTCCCAGCACCGCCCTCCGACCTCAAGAGGTCAGACACGCGCAGCTTCGGCGAGACCCACGCGCAGGAGCTATCGCGCATCAACTCTTCCGCGGCCTCCCAGCCCAGCATCCCTCTGACGCCGCCTCCCACTGCCGGGGGTGCGCCTCTACCGGGGCTGGAGGCGAGCTTAGACTCCCCTGTGTCCTACGCGTCTGCTCCGTACACGTCTTCGCCTCCGCCTGTCGCCGCTCGCCAGTCGCCAGTTCTGGCCTCCCAGCCCCCGGCCGGCACGCAGTCGCCCCCTCTGAACCCAGCCTTTTTGAATCAGGCGCCGGCGCCGATTCCTGTCTCCTCTGGCTCGCCTGCGCCCATCGTCGCACCTTACCCCTCTGAGAAGGTCCCTTCGGTGACGCCGACGGTGGCAGAGACGGGCGTGCCCCAGTCTGCCGGCTCTGCCGGCCCTGGACCCGCCAGCGGCTCTCTGCGCGACCTCAGGCAGCCTTCGCAGGCGCAGGCTGTGGATGACAAGGGTTATGCTCCCTACGGACAGAAACACGAGTCTGCGGGAGAGGAGAAGAAGAGGCTCGAGCGCGAGGAGCGAGAGAAGGCTCTTGGTGCAGGCAGCAGCGACACGAACCCGCAGCCGCCTGCGGATGGTGAAGAACCCCCGCCGTATCCAGGCTCGCTATGAGCCTGAGAGATGAAACCAGAGATACCCCCGTTTTGGTTACTGAAGTCTGAGGGACGAACCGTCTGAAGAACGAATGGTTTCTGCAGTGATCTACATGTACGTCCTTGATGTAGTAGCGATCTCTGAAATGTACATATAGCGGCTACGAAGGAACAATGTTCAGATAAAGCGTCTATTATGACGTCATCCGATGGTCGCCTTGACTCAGTGTGTTTCTCATTCATGCCGTTAGCCTCGCAGGTAATGTTTTGTGAATCGTTGATATGCAGTCCGGCTTGAGATCTCTGAACCGAAACTGCTCTCTAACGTGTTCCAGGTTCCATCAATCAGGTTTGAATATGGTTAGTTGTACAATAATTACAGACACAAGTAGGTTCCGTGGCCCGACTTTCAAGAAGACTTCAGTTCACGACGAAGCAAAGCCGTCCAGGTCGTCGGCTCTCGCCCCAAGAGCCACCGCAATACATTGTTATTTCCTGGAATACCCCTGCGAACGAATTCTAGTAAGCGTAAAGTGATCAGCGCGAACAGTGTAGTGCACTCGCCTTTTCTCGTAGTAATACAACATCCTATCCGCCGCGTCGATCGCATAATCACCGCGCAACATTGAAGTCTTGATTCCCTGAGCGATAATCTGCTCCCTCGGGACCTGCTCACACTCGATCGGCCGGCCGAGCTGGGCTGACGCCTCGTGTGCGATGTCTGCGTAGGAGCAGTTCTGTCCGCAGAGTTCGTAGCGTGCGCGGTTGTGAGTCTTTGGGTCTAGCAGAACAATTCGAGCGACGGCGGCGAGATCTTCAAGATCGAGGTAGCCTTCTAGGATGTCCGGGCCGTTCCAGGAGTAGATCTTGAAGGTGGATTGCACCCTCTCGAGGTCGATGTTTTGCATGAGCGCTGTGGGCTGAGCAGGTCTCCAATAAGCGGTCAATAGTTGGGTCAATAGGGAAGATCTCCGTACCTCCAGTATGGTGTAATTCAAACCGGATTCGATCAAATATTCCTCGACACTATGATGCGGTCAGTTTCAGTTTAGGTCAGCGGAGTGGAATTCCGTCGAGAATGCTTACTGGCACTTGACTATGTGGTTCACCAGTTTCGTCAAGATGGGAAAGAGTACGCTGCAGTAGACGAAATGTTTCACTCCCGCCTCCTTAGCAGCATCGATCATCGCGATGCCCATAGCAGTCTCCTGGGGGTGGAAAGTCGGGGCGTTGTGGAAGACAACGTCCACCCCTTGTACGGCAGCGGGCAGAGTGCTGGCCTCGAGGAAATCCGCGATCACGAAGGAAGGGCGCGGCGGCAGTTGGGGGAACCTGGCGTGTACTTTCTCGATGGCGCTCTCTGAGCGAACGAGCAGGCGGAGGTCTGGAGCAGAGACATTTGGCGACTCTAGCAGGGCTTTTATCACGTATCCTGACGTCCTCCCAGCAGCTCCCGTGATCAAGATGGTCATGCTGCTGGTATAAACTACAGATATGCGCGATTACAAGTTACAAACGTGAATGTTTAGCCGACTGTACGACTCACCAAGTTTTGGCGAAGGAAGGAAGATCGAACGAGGAGTAGAGACGAACTGAGTCGCGCCTATATCATACTGCGATGTCATCGTTCTAGCCATGTCTTTGATCTGAATCTTTGCAAGCTTTGATCACAGGACACGCTAGCTGCGGCTGTGACGGGGGACAGCAGTTTCGTAGAATTGTGTGGCGTATGTAGAGTCGGCTCCGAGGTATATCTGCGTTCTCGACGCCGCTCTTGGAAGTGCTCTGCATGGGCCACGCATGCTTATGCTTGGGCAGAGAACGATTCTTCCAGCGGACCACAGCACGAGCTGCGGGGAATCATCAGATTCGATCTTGCCGTCCCTATTCAACTTTGATCAACGATCGCGATTTTTGATGGCGGTATCTCTTTGAATACTCATCAGAGCCTGTGGTTGGCTGGCGAGCAGCGCAAAATTCGTGTCCTCGGTTTCACTCTGTTCAAACAAGAAGACATTTCAAACAACTCATCTGACGCAATAATCAAAAAAAATGCCTAATAAGGTTATCAACAGGCCACGGTTCTGCCCATCCAGGTATGACCCAGAAAAACGAGCCGTGGCCCCATCTTTTGTGTCCGACGATGGATCTATTTCCTGGACGCCAATCATGTGGTGTCCCGCTGACTTTCCAACAGAGTTGGTGAGTAGCATCCCTTCTTACTATCCATGCAATGTCCATGACTTTATTTCACGCCAGTGCAGTTCGAGGTTGCTGTCTCGCAGCTCATACATCATCCAGAGTACAATTCCACTCTAATTTTACGCTCAGAGGTGGTCTCCGAGAGCAAGGAGGATTTTCCGTCGTCAATTCCTAAACTTAAAGGCTTTCATTCAGTGCAGAGTATACGTAGAAGATTGCTCCCTCGCCGCCCAGGCAGAGACAGCGGCTTGGAACAGTATTGTACCCTATACTCGTCATCTGACGACATCGACGGTCTACCGACCGCTCTTGTCCTGACTCCACTCGTACCGCCTGGTGAATCACTCCCGTACTACCATCCTGCGGTCTCTCACATCGCATTCCGCTACATCTCGTGCGCGCCAGCCATACTGCAGATCGAAGCTGTCCCTCTCCCAGGAACTCCCACTGACATCAACTCAAGGCTATACCGCACTTGTCTGGCTCTATTGGAGACCTTGCATCGATATGGCTGGGGCGCGATGACGAACTACAAGAAGCGGGTCTTGCATGACCAGATCATTCCCCGTGACACATATCAAGACCTATATCTGATCATGCGAGAACGTCATAAGCACCTAATAGAAACATGGCAAGAAGTCACGGATCCGCTCAAGCATGTCTTCGAGGCACGCACTGTATGTGTTCATAGGACAATCATAGCTGATATACCTACAGGACATTGGCATTGGCACATTCTTGATGTTGCTCTGGAAAGACATGTATAGCGCAGCATCTCCCATGTCGGATGATTCTGATGCAAACGGAAGCGAACCATGGCGAAGTTGGCCTCGTCCTCCCTCCGGATTCCTTGACCTCGGGTATGTTCTAAGACTACCCGTATGCCAGTCCACCCTGATGAACTCTCAGGTGCGGGAACGGTCTGCTCGTCCATATTCTGACCGCGGAAGGATATCAAGGCTACGGGATCGACTTGCGCGCCCGCACATCCTGGTCGCACTACCCCGAGTCGACGCAAGCCCAGTTGCGTGTCGAAGCGCTCGACCCTACGGAACTCACAGATCCCTCATCCTTGTCTGATTACCCATACCTGCGCCCCGGAGTCTTCATCATCGGAAACCATGCTGACGAGCTCACGCCTTGGGTGCCGGTCCTATCCACTTTGTGCTCGGCATCCGGGTATCTCTCCATTCCCTGTTGTGCCTGGGCATTCGACACGCGCTACGATCGTTCGAACACTCCAAATTATCCAATCCCCGTACCGGAGGCGGACTTGGTCGAAAGCCTCAACCTGGGAGGAGACGGAAATAACACAAGCTCATATTCGATGTACCGCATTTGGCTGGCTTCGTTGAGCATGTATTGCGGGTGGAAGGTCGAATGCGAGAATCTACGGATACCAAGTACGCGCAATTGGACAATAATAGGTCAGTCGACAGCTTTGGCCGTTGCATATTTGCTCATTGCTCATCATAAATCAGGGAGAGAAAGGACAGACTATGACCCCAAATTTATTGCAGAATATCGTCGCCGTACGGAGGAGGTCATCAGAATGGTGCGCGAGAGAGGTATCTTCAAAACGCGAATGCCGGAGGGAAAGGCCGGATACCATTGATGTCAGCACGACAGCCCCATGTCCTCTCGATTTACGGTTGCATCGATTGGATGCGCAGAATACGTATCGGGAATTTAATTGATACCTGCTTGCACTACACAGGCTGAGAGCTCGACAGCGTGAGGCCACGAGCGCCTGTTCACATTGAGGCGTGCACACGTGACCATGACGCGTCTTCCTGCTTAGGCGCGCGCCGCCGACTGGGGGACTTGATTCACGATACGATGAGCCTACTGAACGGACTCTAAAGCGCGATGGCGACCGCGGAAAGGCTTCCTATAGAGTTATTGCTTCATATTTTTGAGCTTGCTGTCGAGAATGAGTCGCTGTTTGATCATGCATTGCCGACCTCGATGGTAGAGTCGTCTTGGGTCAAGTCGGAGACGTACCACGGATGTCGATGGTGGCTGAAGTCGCCGCAAGAATCTTTGGATGCGATGCAGAAGATGTCCTATTACACTGCAAAGGTGAGTGTCTGTAAGTCACGTCAGGTGCATTTTATTGAATCACGATCAGGCTATCATCGCTACGTGCAAAGCATGGAGATCGCTAGGTTCAGAGGTGCTCTTCCGATTCCTCCACTTCACGAACCCTACATGCCTGCTTCAGGTCTGTTCGATAATGGATCGTGACCACACCTTAGGATGGCGGACGAAACGGCTCCAGATCTCCCGGTATTATGCAAGCTACGGTGCCACCATGGACGAGATGCAAAACTCCCTCATATCTATTATACAGCACTGTCCAAATCTAGAGATATTCGTAGCGACATGGCCAATACCAAGTGCGCTCACTGCTGTCATTGACGCACTTTGTACGTTCTGCTCAAATGCGTTGCGCACGATTCACCTGCACATACCAAATACCAGTGTAGCCAAAGCCATCCTCATGCTAGAATTTCTCCCAAACCTCTCGAGCCTCCACCTCGAGGTTGATGGACCTCCCGTGGAGAGTTCCGAGCTGGGGTCAGCTTCCAATCTGACTCTTGTGCTGCCGGCTCTTCGCCAGTTATCGCTGAAAGGGCTCTTCCAAGACTTCCTGGAGCAGGCCACAGGATGGGACCTGCCTGCTCTAGAAACGGTCTCGCTCGACTTTCTCGGCCATCGTGAGGATCTTCCGGACATCATGGAATTCCTCGCCAGTCATGGCCCCAAGCTGACTTATCTCGACATCAACTGTATCCCTCCCCTCGATGTAGCGACCATCCTCGATCTGTGTCCTTTACTCAAGACATTCGCCTTCAACTTCGATTGGCGCCTGGAGAGCGCCGAAGGCGAAAACTTCGGTGTCGGCACTCTTGTCCATCGGCCCCACCAGAACATCGCGACGATCGGATGTCATCAGCTCCTCCACGCTTTCGGCGTTGGCGAGGCAGCAAAGTATACCCATGTCGATCCATTTGCCACGTACATCATCCGGCGTCGCAACGATATGAACTTCGCAACTCTGAGGAAGAAAGACTTCCCCCGTTTGCAGCGGGTGCGAGTGCTGAGCCGCACGCTTCTCCGGGACCTTGAAAGCGCTAATGGACCCGATGGCATGAGCTTTAAGCGCTGGGAACAGTGGTGGGAGCAGTGCACATCGCAAGGGATCCGGCTGGAGGATTGTACGGGGAACCTGCTGGGCAATTTACCTGAGGTCGAAGAGTATGAGGATGAAGAAGAGGTTGAGGAGAGAAAGATGGAGCCCTTCCGGGAATTGCTACAACAATGCCGGCAAATGTCTACCACTCAGTAAGGGGCTGTGCGGCCAGAGTATCGGAGCGTTTGAGAATGCATGTTCTATGTGCTTCCTTAGGTTGTGTGATATAGCAGGTAGGTGTCATAAACTTGTATAAATCATATCCCAGATCGCTGAACTGGTCATGCATGCTCCAGACCTCGATTGCTGCTCTACCTTTCTAATGTTATCATGTTTTGATCGACAGTGCCTTTGCTCTGTTGTACTGGTACGAGCTCACGGAATGACGATATCACAACTCATGTACTCTCGTCTCGGATACCAAACGTACCTGTATTCAAGTTGTAGGCTGTATGGAACAGTACCTGGAGGAATCTCATTGAGCATCACCAGAACAATCAGAAATCGTATAAGTCTGGTCGGTCCGACATGAATGCAACTTTCTTTTTTGTTTTGACTTTCTTAACAGTCCCCACTTTCTCCTCTCCTCTATCATCCGCTACGCTCATGGAAGAAGCAGCAACCTCCATCTGCTCCACCTCCACCTGTACAGTGGCATTCCCTCCTGCTGACGCCTCGAGGGCGTTCGCTGTCTGCCCAACCTGGGGATGCGCATTTGTAACGACCTCATCGAACGCCATCGCATTCGGAGCAGGAGTTGTCCGTCTTTCACCGACACCACCTTCCAAGTCCAGATGAAGCGTCTCGAAGATGAGCCTCTTGCGCATGCATTTAAATGCCAGGTTGTTCTCGCCGGACGACGAGAGACCGCGTAGAGTCGAGAACCGGTCGCTCGGAGGAACGAGAGTATGAGGCGCTGGGAGGGAATGTATGTGAACGAAGCCGTGGTGAGCTGAGAACATTGCGGTGAGGGATGGACTGGCTGCGAGCATGATCAACATGATGAGCTCAGAGAGTGACAACACGCAGCATACCAGTGAATGCCGCCAATGTTATAGAGGCATCTGTGAGCCAGCCGAGCTTTTGTACCCAGCCTGCTCCTCCCCAGGTCTCTGTACACAACGGTGGAGGGAGCGACACCGAGGCGCATGCGAATGGATGACGGCGCAAGATGCTCCGGAGGGAGTAGAGAAAGTAAGAAATGTCCTAGAATTGATTTCAATTGCTGCATGTAACATCGCGAATCGTTTACTCACCCGAGGGGATATATCACCCCATTGCCATGAGCCTAAGGACGGAATGCAGATTCGGATAGGTGCCGGCGACTCGGATGACTTTGCGTGGTCCACCAGAATCTGCTCAACTGCGTCAAGAATTCTAACAGATGGCTGATCTTCCGCCTCTGCAGAGACAGGCACCAGAATGACTTGTCCCGAGGCAACAGAAGATTGTAAGACGGTATCCGGTATTCGACATGTCAAGTCAAACGTGCGACAATAGTCTTCAGTCGATCTTGGGTTGCGATCATTCGCTTTTTGCACGGCGGAGCAAGGAACTCACAACATACTGATTCGAGTCGGATACGGTCGTTTGAAACTGCTTCATCTGCTCATATCGCCATGCGATCTTGATTTTGGCATCATCCTCGCCAGCCTTTTCGTCTTCCTCATCGTCTGCCGCGTGGGAAGGGGAATGAGTAGCTTGTCCAGGAATCCACACGCATTCGCTGAGAAAGTCCCTAGCATCATCGTCCACAATGCATATTCTGTGACTAGTTGCTAGGCCTTGCGCTATGAAATACTTCTGCACCAGTTCGCCGTATGCAGAATGTGGATCAGGCGCGAGCACGAGCTGGGAGCAGGACAAGGGCAAGCCTCCGCCCAGAATATCATCCAGAGACGGAATCCCGGTCGAGGTGATGATCGTGGATGTAGACCCGGGTGAGATGCGTGTACCAGGTTGCAGCGACTGCTGCTTGGACGTTGTTTTTCTCTTGAACGAAGACATTTTGAAGCGAGGTGACTGTTGGTAGCTAGCAGAACGCAGGAAATATTTGGGCGCCGGGAGCTCGGAAAGAAAGCCTAAGCGCCGGTGATCTCTGCACTTCATCCATCATCTCGAGGCCAAACCACGCTCGTCAAATGCGTTCTCGCGTCTGAGCGTTGTCGATGGTCATAAGCTCATGCTCAAGGCACGACTCGCTCAGCTAGCGCAGCAGCTACGCCAGCGCACTCAGGAGAAAGGCTGGCAAGGCACTGGGCAGTCGGTCGCCCTCGGAGCTCTGCACGTACGTTCGTTGTGGTCCCCATTTCCGGAGCAAAACTGACGACACACATAGCTAATCAACGGCGCATGCGCTATCCACTTATTTGCTGAGCATGTCGGCTGGATCTGTACTGTATGTCGAACGCTCTTCTGCTAGACTCGCTAAAACATTCTGGGCCTCTCACAGGTGGATGGCCCTTCCATGCTCCCCACCATGAGCTTGACCGGAGAATGGGTTATTGAAAACAGGATGGTCGATCCTCATCGTCTCACAAGAGGCGACCTTGTCACCTTTCTGTCTCCTTTGGACCCTGGCCGAATCGTCTGCAAGCGCGTCATCGGTCTGCCCGGAGACGTGATCTGTGTCGACCCCACAGGAGAGCTCGCGCCCTCGACAGAGCACGTCGTAATCCCACGGAATCACGTCTGGGTGAGCGGCGACAATGCTGCGCTCTCAAGAGACTCTAGGTTGTACGGCCCAGTGTCGATGGGACTCGTTAGAGGAAGGCTAGTGGCAAGAGTGAGTAGCTTTTGAACGCTGCCTGCGTTCGGTATTTGACCTTTTAGTAGATCTGGCCGTTAAGAAACTTCACCATATTTCAGAACAATTTCAACTACATTGATTAGACAGGTTCCGGGCGTGAATGACATGAACGCGTGAGAGCAATGTGTGGTATGTCTAACAATATCGATCAGTGAAGCAACAATCTTGCAGCGCAGCAATCATTCCCGAGAGTAACCGTGCAGTGAGGTATCATCGGACAAAGTTCATAGAGTAACCGCCTTGTCCGTTGGGTACAAACTGGAAGTTGTTCGTCGATAAACCGAATTTACCTGTTGAATGAACTTATGATCAGTCACGGCGGTTTGGAGGACTCTGAGCCCAGCGCACCCAATACATTGTTACCGAGGCCCTTCAGCTTGTCCAGCATTTCATCCGTCTCCCGCTTCTGCGCCGCCTCGGCGCGAGGCTTGAGAAGGGCGAGGGATCGTCGGATTTCGGGCAGTTGTGTCGATGTCGGCGGCAAAATTGAGAGCAACGTAGTGTAGTCTGGGTGTGAAGTGGGAATCTGTCAAGTAAGAACAACGGGGAGTGTGATTATGTACCTTCTTGTGCGGCACTGAGCGAGGACCAGCTGTTGATCTGTTCATTCGATTGTGCTCTTCGTTGAAGTGCCTTTACGTAGTGGGGATCGTCGGCAAGTGCTAAGGACAGCGTCAGTGGATGCGCAGCCACATAAGAACGAGACATGCACCTTCTGTGCATGCTGCCACCGCTTCTTTGTGCTCGCCCTGAAGAAATGCTCAGCATCCGTAAGGGCCTACACAGGCAGAGGTTTACGCACAAGCTTGACATGACACGCGCCGATGTTCGCGTTCATGACCGACCTTGCTTTCGCGCACTCTTGCTCTAGCTCGCTTAGCGGTCGCTTCTCCTCTTCCTCTGTCTCTGGCTGCACGCTCCCTTCAGTATCCTCCGCTCCGTCTGCGGAACCATCATCTCCACTATCAGAGGGCTCCGTCTCCCTTCCCTTTCCCTTTCCGTCGACAGGGACAGCCTTGCGTTTCGCCTGCTTCCGCTTCGGCAGCCGACCCAAGCCTGCTCTGTAAACAGCCAACGCCTCGCCCCACCGCTTAGCCCGGAAGTGCTCATTCCCTTCTTGCTTCAGCTCGTCTGCATCTTTCAAGCATTTCTTCTCAGCCGTGAGTTTTACCATCTGAGAGTACGCTAGGACTATCCTACCTTGATCTGTGCTTCGTTTTCGATCGCATCAGTCGCTGGGTCTTCCGCAGTCTCCTGTGATGGCACAGTCTCTGACTGTTCAACTTTCTGTTCTTCTGACATGTTGTGCGATTGTGCGAGCGGATCTATTGAGAGTGAGGAGGATGTCTGAAAACCGGGAGGAGAAAGGGATGGCTGGAGATGAACGTTTGTAGCAGGAAAGCAGAGTGCCTGTAGCACGAGGTGGCTATAGATAAGATTAGATGGCGATCTAGTCTTACCGAGCTGCCCAATCGAAGCTGTGCTCATGTCGTGCACATAATATATAAAATACAGCGTGAGTCCAATGCCACAGCGCACACACTGTTGGAAGCATTGAAAGGTGATCAAAGTGGGAGATGGAACAGGGTATAAACGAAGTGCTGGAGAATCATTGATCATCATCCTTTCCGAAGAGCATCCAACCGCGCCTGCAAGGCGTCCTCGTCCGACATGCCACCGCCAGGTCCGCTATCGCCACCGGACGGATGTGGAGGGCCGCCACCATCTCCGAGCGCCACCGGCTGCCGAGGTTCTGTAAGCGACGAGGAGACTGCAAGGCCCGTCGGCGCCTCTGTGAGCTGGGAAAGGTGAAGTCGCACATCAGCATGGGCTCGGTGAGTAAGTACCAACACGCACCTGTTGCGAAAGGTCCACACCGATCTCATCTAAGACCTGCTTGAGGATCTTGTCTCCCTCCATCTCCTCGTCCTCGAGCTCGTCATCCATGACGTCGTCAACCGCGTCGGACATCATTTCTTCCTTCATGTCCATCGCAGAGCTCTCCCTCTCGAATTCATGCATGATACGCTGGATTTGTGGTAGGTTAAGCCCGCGGTTCATTGCGCCCATCGCCTAGAAAGCTCAGTGTTCAACTACCATTGTAGGGACGATTAGTAAATTGACGCATACACGGGTCGCGCCTCTCATCGCTTCGGCCATCTGCTGATTACTCCGCAACGTCTGTATCCGGAGTCCGACAGCCTGCAGTTGTGTGCGCATCTGATAGAACTTCTGGACATAGCGTCGTGTCCGAACGAGATCCTTGGCCATGACTTTACATGCATTCTAACGATTGCGCTTCAGATGATGGGCCGTGAAAGAGGGCATATACACGCACGATCTGTCCAGCCTTGGCACTCTTCTTGATGTCCATCACAAGCTTCTTCTCCTGCTGCTCGAGCTTCGTCCGTTCCCGGTCGAGCTCGCGCTGCGCTTTAGCGAGCGCACGCTGGTGTTGGCGGAGGCGCTCCGCCGGGGTGACCGTACGGCCAAAGAGTGTCTCCTACGAGCATGTCGACTGTCGTGTCAACGCTGAAGAAGAGATGCAAGGTGTACTGACAATGATGTTCATCGCGTTCCAGCAACGCTCAGGGCGGATGCAACGCGGGAAGGAATAAGGCGCGAAAGTGGCTGCGGTTCCGACCTGATATGGTGCCACATCAACGATCGGGACGCGCTCGCTGAGCTTCGAGGTGTGCTACCTGACTATGCATTCGAGGATCATCACGCTCACACGCATACTTCCCAAAAGACCAGCAACCACATATATAGGTCAAGTTCGTTCTCCGTAGTGGCTCGGTTGGGATGGCCTGGACCGCACATGCCGAGACGTATAAATCGCAGTAACTCTAGTGGAGTACCCCTCTCTGTCCTAAGCTCGCCATGCCCAGTATTCTCGACTGTAAATGCGTCCTGGTCATCGGAGCAACCTCTGGCATAGGGCGCGCACTTGCACTCGCAATCCATGCGCTGCCCTCTGAGCCACTCGTCATCGTTGCCGGGCGTCGGCAGGGGCGGCTTGACGAGCTATTGAAGGAAGGCGACAGGATTCGTGCGGTCAGGTTCGACGTCAATAGAGAGCGTAACGAGCTCAAGAATGCCGTTCAAGACATCGTAGCGGAGTACCGAGATGTGAGTGCACAGAGACATTCATCGCGATGCACTGGTTTATTTCGGTGGAAGCTCGATGCAGTTATCTTTTCGTCTGGTATCCAAGAGTTGTATAACTTCACCAATCCAGAGCAAGTTGACCTTGATGGTCAGTTTACTTTCTACGGCTTAGATTCCGCGCTGTGGAACGCTGATATTCTGTGCACGGTCAGAGCTGGAACGAGAATGGAGTACCAACTATACGGCAATCGTCATAATGATAACATTCTTCCTTCCTCACTTCCTGAAGCTCAGTGTACGTAAGGGGTCAATTTGGTTTATCCAGCAGTTCTGACCTTTACTCGACAGCAAGAAGGGCGCCCATCGTTCATCATCCCCATAACGTCTGGGCTGGCAATGACACCAGCAGCGTGGGTGCCCAACTATTGCGCTACAAAGGCTGCACTGCACAGCTTCTCGCTGTCGCTTAACGCCCAGTTGAAGAACACGAAAGTGAACATCATGGAGATCATGCCTCCGTAAGCCTCCCCACATGTACCGCCGAAAGATATGTTGACTAAGGTCATTTGGATACTCAGGTTAGTCGAGTCGGAGCTCCACGATCGTAAGTAGCAGATGGGGCTAGCATGTTGAAGTACTGATGTGGTCACTTCAGATCAAGGCACTGCGCCGATGATGTCCAAGTTCTGGATGCCACTCGTAGATTTCACCAAGGAGGCCATGGAAGGTTTGAAACGCGGAGATTTACAGATTCCTGTTGGAACCAATGCTGAGCAGTGGAACGAGTTTGAGAAAGGAAAGATTGAGAGAGTTGCGAGGCTACTGGAGCATTTTGAAAGATACGGTGCTTAGAAGCTGGCGTACGGACGATGTAAGAGACTGTACAACTACTAACGGCAGAGCAGCAATTAAACTACGGTGTTCCATTCGGTCATCGACGTGTTCGCGGCCGTCGGCTCGTAGACGATGCCACGGTTGGGTTGATTCACGCAATCTTCCCGGAGAATCCACACGCGACGCCTTGGATACGCTAAACAATGTGCGGAATTCGCAGTGGGTGGCTGCGAAAACGATCGAGCGTCTTCTTTCACGTGTGTCACTCAGATCTTCACCCCAGGTTAACTTGCGTCATGTCTAACAATATACGCAGCCATATATATAAAATGCTGAACGGACGATCAGCATACCTCCCACACTTGACCTGCAACCAGATACCCACAGTTCGCTATGCCTAGCATCACCGACTGCAAATGCGTCCTCGTCATCGGTGCCACCGCCGGCATTGGTCGCGCCCTCGCGCTCGTTATACATGAGCTGCCGTCCAAGCCAACCGTGATCGTGGCGGGGCGTCGCCAGGAGAGGCTAGATGAACTTACGGAGGAGGGGGACAGGATCAAGGCTGTGAATTTTGACGTGAACAGCGGTCGTGATGCCCTGAAGAGTTCTGTCCAGGACATCGTCACCAATTATCCTGATGTGAGTGGAATTGAATTGCTGGAAAGTCGTACGTTGACATTTGAAATGTCTCAAGCTCGATGCAGTGATGTTTTCATCCGGCATTCAGCATATCTTTGATTTCAAGAAACCCGAGTCAGTCGATCTTGACAGTGCGTCAAATTCTCTCACCGTTTGGCATAGACAGTTCTAACGTTTTGTATCATGCAGAGCTCGAAACGGAGCTGAACACGAATTATACGTCCATAATCAGAATGACAACGTTCTTCTTACCTCACTTTCTGAAGCTGAGCGTTCGTCATCTCTCACGTTGCACGCAGTCGGTTCCATCCTCATCTATTTCCTCCAGGAAAGAGGACGCCCGTCGTTCATCATCACGGTAACCTCCGGTTTGGCGATTGTCCCTGGCCCCTGGGTGCCGAACTACTGCGCCACGAAGGCCGCTCTCCACAGCTTTTCTTTGTCTTTGGACCAGCAGCTGAAGGACACGAACGTGACTGTGATGGAGATCATCCCTCCGTACGTCTCTCTACCTCTGTGGAGGACTGTCATACTAATCTTCCGACCCGATCTCTAGGCTGGTCGAGTCCGAACTGCACGACCGTAAGCAACAGCCCACAGCTCAATTCGTGCTTCATCTAATTTACGAACCACCCTATAGATCAAGGCACCACTCCGAAGTATTCCAAATTCTGGATGCCGTTGGACGAGTTCACGAAGGGCGCCATGGAAGGCCTCAAGCGCGGCGACCTGCAGATCCCCGTCGGAACAGCTGCGCAGCAGTGGGAGGTGTTCGAGAAAGGGAAGGCGGAGAAAGCTGCAAAGACCCAGGAGATTTTTCAGAAGAATGCCTGAACTTCTATTAGAAATGGTGGAGGACCTGGTGTACAATGATGATTGCAGAGAGAAATGAATACCGATATCGATCCCTTGACTAAGCCATGATACATGAATGCTTGGTGGGATGTTGCGATTCCATGATGCATTGCGAAGCTGTGTCTTATTCGTATACAGTTGACTGACTTGAAACACCCAACACACTATTCGTACACATCCTAAGGGGAAGAAATGAAGCACTTGCGAAACCTCGATACCTGTTATGCATTCAGCTCAACGCAAAAAGGCCAGTGAATATGCATGCATGCTCACATTTATTGGTCGTCGATATCCGTGAGGTCACTCTGCTCCTCATGCTTCGGTTCCACATCCCGAGCAGCCAAACGATCCGACTTCCTGTTCGAAGCACTGGCAGAGGGAGTCGGCGGCGCTGCCCGTGCCTTCTTGGCACTGCCATGCTCCCCGTCTCCCGCAGACCGCTTTTGCGGTGTGGACGGCACTGTCGCAAGACCGCTGCGCGCTGCGACAAGGCTCCTATAGAAGTCCATGTCGAAGCCGATGCATTGCAGGCGCACACAGGGCACGCGCTTGCGACCGTCTTCGTATGCGGCGCCGATCTCGCTGGTGGTCTTGAACTTGGAGAGCTGTTTTCTAGCCGCCTTGGCTTCCTTCGCGCTCTTTGCGTGGATTGCCCGTGCTGCGGCTTGCTCCTTGTCCAGAGTCGTCTCGCAATACTTTTGTCTCACCTATGCAAGTGCAAGCACGATGAAGGGTCAGCGATTGGGAGTGAACGACTGAAAGCTCACATTCGGCGCAACCGCTCGCCATTCCGAAGACAACAGCGGCGCGTCTCGCACCACCTCGTACAGCCCCGCATACTCATGCTCAGAGCCTTTTCCGACAAAGACGTGCAGCCTCTCCGCGTCCACGAACGTGAATTTCTCCAACCCGAGACCGACGAACATGTATCCGTGCTGGCCGGGCGCGGACGGCAGCCACGAGTTATGATCCATCTTGGGGCAGATATATTTGGTGATGTCGTGTCTCGCAGAGAGTGCCTTCTGGTGGGCTACGCTGTGGGCAATAGATATTCAGATGCGCTGGGTGTGAGATATGTAAGCGGTTAGGCCACGTACACGACAATGAGTGCTTGAGATGCACCGCCCAGAATATTTGAGAGCATTGTTCTCGTGAAGCTCGCTCTAGGAACATCAGCGGGGAAAACTACCTCAATCGGAGGGAGCCGCTGCAACACGTCCCACCGACGTTGCGGTATACCCGACTGGTGTAGGACCAGTGGCTCTTCGTCCAAAGCTGCTGTATCATCATCTTCGTCATCGTCTTCGTCACTGGAAGGAATGGAGATCGCATCGGTATTCTCGTTGGCGGCGTTCCTCCTGCGAATGTAGCGACTGACAAAGTTTCTATGGGTCTCTGTGTCGGGATTGCAGAATGCCGCAAGAACACGTACCGCTTGGGACGGCTGACGCTTTGTCCCTGAGATTCTGAGCTTTGAGCTGCATGCTGAGTGGCCTCGCGTCGTAGCTGCTCGATCTGAGAGAAGAATTGGTGACACTGATTTAGGCGTGCAAAATATCGCATACATACTTCTCGCTGCTGGCTCTCGATCGTAGCCTTCAGCGCTTGCAGTTCTTCTCTGGCCTGGAGAAGCTATGATGGAGGAAAATGGAACCATAAAGATATGAGGGTTGCTCTCGGAAGGGAGTTCAACGCACCTTGTCTGGGACCTCCGGCTCACGCTCAGTATTTACTCTAATATTCTGAAGCGCCTCCCGTGCCAGTGAGGCTCGCAACTGCCAAGGTTATTAAATCCCTTCAGTACCAATAGCACGAAGGTGCACCGCACCTCCGTCTCTGTTTCGTGCAGCCGATCCTGCAACTGCTGCACCGACTGTTGCAGCCTGTCTACCTCATCGTTACTCCCTATGATTCCTTCTTCCAGCGAAGTTATGGTCTTCTGAAGACTATCGATCTACTCAAATTGGTCATAACGTTCCCCGTGATGGAATACTCTCTTCGGTTTACTCACCTTTTCAATCCATATGATCCGATCCTTCGTGTTCTCAGTCTCAAGGAGCGCTACTACCTCTTTTAGCTTCGCGTTCTCATCGTTGAGAACCTTGCATTGAACAAGCGCTTCATTCTTCTGAGATTCGGTTGATAGCTGATAAATGCTCCATCATGTTCATCAAGTAACGATCCAAAGCTATGGCGACACGCACGCGGCTCAGAATCTGATCGACATCCACCTCCGACTGCGCTGAGGAGCGCGCAGGAGATATCTCAGCAATGAGCCGTTTTGTATCATGACATTCCTTTTGCAGTAACTGAAGACGCTCATGAACGAGATCTCGCTGTGTGTGTAGAGCTCTCAGTTACACGGATTTCCGACTGACGGCATGCGTACCTCTATCTTGATTTGATCTCTCTCCAACGTGAGAGTGTTGACTTCGCGGATCGTTGCGCCAAGAATGTTTACCAACTGGACTTTTAGATCATGCTTCCGATCCATCCTGCTGCAAGGGCGATTCGTTCAGAAAGTATGTGGGCGAGTGAGAGACAAGTTCAGGATTGGAAAGGCAACACAAACACGCGTTGAAAGAAGGCAATACCGGTTATTAAGAACCCTTCAAGGTGCGGAGCTTCTTCAGCCACAGACGCGTCCGAGCGCCAATCAGCTGGGGGACGTGCCGCGGAAGCAGAACATCAAGCTGATGAGCCGGTCATTGGTCTAAGGGGGCCTCCATTGCCGTGCGATATCATAACAACTAACATACGACTACTACGTAGAGAGTACCTCAAGCTCAACCCGAGCAACGAGCGTTTTAGCATAGATCACAGCATGAACGTCAACGGGTTCTCCAAGTACCCTTTGAACGCAAGCAGCCACTTAGCACCGACGGCGCCGTCGACAGTCCGGTGATCTGCGCTCAACGTGACCTTCATGATCTGTACGACTTTGAATCCGCGCTCCTCCTCCGGCGCGGGCACTAGCGTGGGCATCGTCGTGCCTACAGCGAGGATACATGACTGGGGAGGGTTGATGATAGCAGTGAAGTGGTTGATGCCGAACATTCCCAAGTTCGACACAGTGAATGTACCGCCCTTGAAATCGCGTTAGTCAGGAGCCGATTCGCATATTGCACAACAAAAGCTGTGATACCTGGTACTCTTGGGGTTGCAGCTTGCCATCCCGCGCCTTCTGGGCAAGCGCCTTCCCTTCAGCTGAGATGGTTGCGAGCCCCTTAGACCCGACATCTTTGATAATGGGAGTAATAAGCCCAGCAGGTGTCGCAACTGCTACCGAGAGGTCAGCCTTCTTGTACCTAACGATCAGGTTCATGACTCAGCATATCGTAGTGATGGGAGAAATGTGTGTCGTACTGTCTGATCGTCTCGCCCAACCACGCCGAATTGGCCTCCGGAACGTCCGCGAGTGCGCACGCAACCGCCTTCAGGATGAAGTCATTTAGGCTGAGTTTGGCGGGCTTGTCCTTCTCACCCAACGCCTTGTTGAACACCTCGCGAAGCTTCATGACCTTGTCCATGTTGATGTCGGACGTCAAATAGTAATGAGGGAGTTCTTGCTTGGACTGCGTCAGGCGGGCAGCAATCGTACGCCGAATGTTGGAGAGTGGGATATCGATATATTCCGGCAAGGCGGCTGCAGGTGGGAAAGATGGAATTGCGGCGGCAGCAGGGGCGGCCGGGGGCTGGTATTTCTCAACATCCGCGCGGATTATACGGCCCTCCGGACCCGAGCCCTTCACCTTCGCAAGGGGTATGCCACGCTCCAAAGCAATCTTCTTTGCAATGGGCGATGCGAATATACGCTCGCCCTTGGGTAGCTCGGGTTGTGTCTCCACCTTGGCTGCAGGCTCGGGAGGCTTGGACGGTTCGGGCGCCGGCGCAGGCTTGGGGGGCTCTGGTGCCTGCTCTTGTTTTGGAGGAGCCGGAGCCTTCTCAGCGGCAGCCTCAGCGGCCATCTTGTCCGCGCCGGAGAGGTCGTCCCCTTGCTCGCCGAGAATGGCAATGGGCGCGCCGACGGCGATGTTCTTTGCCCCATCTGGCGCCTGCGCACTGAACGTAAGATACGAATGCGCCCATGAGTAAACACACGCACGATGATTTTGGCCACGACACCGTCATCCTGAGCCTCGACATCAATGGTGGCCTTGTCCGTTTCCTGTTATGCAGGTGAACCCATTGAACACGTCGCGTCGCGCGCTTAATGACACGCACAATCTCGAGGAGGACGTCCCCTGCAGCGAACGTCTCCCCCTCCTTCTTCTTCCACGACGCGATGCCACCCTCCGTCATTGTTGGACTCATCGCAGGCATGGCGAGCTTGGAGAGGGCATATCTCCGCGCAGAGACGTGTAGACCTAAACATCACGTCGTAAATGAAAGCTGACCAGTGTGATATGAATGCCCCCGCGTACGCACGTCGGGCCAGAATACTGCGGGCAATGGCGGAGGCCATGATGGTCGATGGTCTCGGCAACGGAGAGTGGGACGAGAAGTGTCGAGTGTGAGAAGCTGAGTGAGGCGAGCAAACACGTACAAATGGGACGGCAAGTCACGGACACACGCGCGACTCTCTCTCCTCTCACTTTCTCACTGCTCGGCGCACTGATGTCGTCCGACTTTGTCTTGCCAGGGCAGCCAATCCCACTTCCCCGCGGGCCGGTCCCGCAGCTTGGCGGGGGAATCTATTCCAGAAACGGCCAAGTATGCGCAAGCCTGGTCGGGGTACCGCGACATGAAGGATCTGTTGGTCCATCTTTTCTGTGATCTGTGCAGCCGACAATGATGCATGTCTGAACTCCGTTATGGTCGCCGCACATTGTAGACGTTGGCGATATCGCGTACAAGGCCGCGCCCGCCTGCACCCAACTCAATCGTGCTAGGGTCTGTTACGCGACTGTCGCCTCAACAGGCTGTACTCTCTATAACGGTCGTGGATGGAGTGCCCCTCCCACCAGGAGAAGAGTTCACTGGTGTCATCCGCGTCCAAGATGTCAGGGCGACAGAAAAGGATAAGGTCAAGATCGCTGATTGCTTTCGCGGAGGCGACGTTGTGAAGGGACTAGTGGTGCGTCTTCCACAGGACTCCGCACAACTTCAGATTCAAACTCAACCATGCCGCTCTTGTAGATCTCGCTTGGCGATGCCCGAAGTTACTATGTCACCACTGCTCGGAACGATCTCGGGGTGATATTTGCGACAAGTGAAGCAGGTGAGTATGCCCTTCGAGGAGGCAAATATATGTTCTCTGATAGAAGACCCAGGTGCAACCATGGAGCCTGTGTCCTGGCAGGAAATGCGATGCCCAAGAACCGGCAGGATTGAGAAGAGAAAATGCGCCAAGCCAGAAAATACATAGCAATCATGGCCGTGAGGTCGCCATAGTTGTATATACATGTTATAGGTCTCAGCGATGCACTTTATCGGACTGTTGTTGATGTCGACTCCAAGCACACATTTGTTCCTGCCTAGAACCCCTCCGCACAACTCTGATTCATCCCAATCACAAACAGAAAAAGACGCCACATCTCATCCACTTTTCTCCTTCTCGACACAGCTGGCCTTTTCAGTTTCTACGAGTTCAACATCATCCTCGTCGCCTATCTGTCCCTCCCATCCGTTGTCAGCGAGATATTGGAGGAATTTCTGGTCCTCATGAGCAAGATCCACGCCCGTCATGTCGGGCACCAAGAAATAGGTGATCACGATCCCGAGGATGCCGCAGATCGCAGCAACGATGAACGTCCACCTGTACTACGATCAGCAAAATTCTTTTCGCCGCTAATGCGGTCATGCCTTTGTCCTAGATGTTCCCGTATTGGTTGGAAGACTTCAGTACCTATAGCGGCACCTGTTTTACCAATCGCGGCTGACAGACCGTAGAATGTGCCCCTGCACTTTCGTTCAGGGCCACATTGACAAGGAAAAGGAACTTTTGCCACTATACCGTATAGGAGTAGGGTACGCTCTGAGATAAGACTCATCAGGACACGGTAGAATGACATCAGAAGGGGACTTACTCCGCGCTAACGAGGCCATTCAGATTGCCTGGACCCTGGTGAAGTGTCAATAAGCAGACAAGCCGAGCAAAGCGCATGCATTACCAAGCTGCCCAACGAATGCATCAATCCGTAGCTAAAGATGGGGATCAGCGCATGTCTCAGCGCGGCACGGCGAACGTACAGTACAATGAAGAGCGGAATGATCCGCAGGAGCTTGGTGTAGCCGATGCCGATTATGAGACCTATGGACTGTTAATGCAAACTATCTGATATCGGCACGGTCTGACTCACCGAAGACAATGAACCCGCCGTACCCAAGCATTAACTGGGGATCGGTTAGTGCGGTGTAGAGAGAAAAACAATAGCGATTGCATAGTACCGTGTTACGTCTTCCCAGTGGGTTGCAAAGGAGTATGCCAATCCAAACGCCTGGTTGGTAATTAGCACAGATGAAATAAAAATGATCAGCGGTGTGAACGTGCCTGGTAAAGCTATCGTTAATAGAAGCAGTTGCCATTCAGCGGTTGCCTTGATGTTTCCGGTTTTTATGATCGTTGATATGATGGTGCCAGAAAACACCGTATTAGGGAAGAATACCTTCCGGCACGCAAAACGTTTATAAATTATGCGACAATAGCCTCTGTATATACTCACGAAATCATAGACGAACCTGGTTCAGATACGCATATACATGCATTGAGCCCCTAATCAGTGTCACGCATGAATGATGCTCACCAGGCACCGCCCGTACCAATCAGTGTCTTCCAATACCTCTTGAAGGCAAGCCAATATGGGACGCGGCCTACGTCCGACGTCAGTGTCAGTTAAATACGGGAATGTTTCAAGCCTGGAGCCGACTTACGCTTAATCGCTCCTTTGCGGTACCTATTTAGGGTGAAACACTGAAACATTTGAAATGAGGGACTCGCCTACAACTTCGGAGTCATCATACGCATCCGAAAATAGAACACGGCCATAGGTAGCACGATGCCAATGCCGAAACATACACGCCAGACGGTATTCAGATGGTTCTCGCCGGCTGCTGATAAGACGATCAGAAATACGGACACTGCCAGTGGCCCGCCGAACTAGTTGCAAAGTCAGACGTTATCGCATCTTTTGCGATAGCGACTCACGCTGAGGACACCATTTGTAACAATCAGGAACACTGCAGCACGAGGTGATCATCAGTAAGATATGCGAGGGAATGTCTGCAGACACTGACCTGGCCCTCTATTGCTGAGCATAGACTCGTTGGCTGATTCACTTGCGGCCGTGGACGAGGCAGGATATTCCCCTCCAGTGCCCTTGTAAAGTCTCATTAGCAGGCAGCATTTAGGGCACCAGCACAGACTCACGAATCCAATAATGCCTCTGGCCACCGTCAGCCACCAGAATAGGCTCCGAACGTTGCCATGCACGGCGTGTGCTGCAGTGGCCAAGGTTGCACCGAGTACTATCAGAACTGTTGTGAACACGAGACCGGCTTTCCGTCCTACTCGATCGCAAAGGACCCCGACGAAGAGCTGCCCAAGAACATCACCTAGCGAGGATGGTCAATGGGGAATTTTGTGTGCTGACTGCTGGGACTCACCCACTAGCAAAGAGTTGGACACTCGAGTGGACACCTTGGAAGTATACTGGCTAGGATACAACTTCTTGAACGCGACCTAAATGTTGCGAATGTCAGAGCGCACTGCGTCATCAGTGTGCTGTCTCATAACGAACATTGGCCATGGTCATTAGGTTATTCTGGTCTGGCGGAGGAGATTCAACATTGAGTATTTAATCCGTGGCTGTCCGTCCTACGAGAACTCACAACCATCCGAAATAAATCCACATGCGGCACCGGCTATTGACATATAAGATCCCAATAATTCCGCCTTGGATGGAGTCCATTTCAGAGGCTCCTCTTTGAGTTCAGGTATCGCATCGACATGGGGATGCGAGATGGTTACGTTCCCTGATCGTGTTGTGGACGGATCGCGAGCCGAATCGACTTCGAGCGCAAAGGACATGGCGATAGAGAAAGATGGCCATGCGAGAGGGCACTGGTTAATATACAGCTAGGATAGAGAACCCTCCCGGTACTTGTGTAGATATTCATAGCTCTTGCAGGTCCGAACTGTCAGATAAACGCGCTCTTTAAGGATTGCGGCTGCATTAAGATTGATGCTCCACTGCGATGAACTGTCAATGACTGAAATGCGATAAGATTGTGAGCCATGTATAGTACAATACAATGCGGGGATGTCGGAAATAGCTGTTTTTGCGTCGACAGCCATCGGAAGCAAAAATATGGGAGGAGCGCGCGCATCGAGATGTGGACGCCATTCAAGTCCCGCAAAGGAAAAGAGGCGCGTGGAGACGTGAACTCTTTGGCTGACTGGCTCACCCTCAACCCCTTCACCTTTCACTTACGTTCCGGCTCCCACTCTGGCTCTTCCGCTGTGTTGTTCTGCATGACTGCTGTCCTTCCAGCTCTTGATGCGCTCAAGAAGGACAGCGCCATGATCACACACACGGACAATACATCCAAGTAATGGTGTTCATGCTGCGTCTATAGCCGCGCAACTAACTAGCACCGCAGCCTCTCTTCCTCCACAATCGACTGGCATGTCGCATATCTGCAGATCAAAGAAAAGATGGATCAGCTCGAGGTTGAGCATGCTGCTTTGCGGGCGTGGAAAGATGGTACAATGGATGAAGTTGACAGGTGGGAGGAATTGGAGGCGGAGCTGGTGAGAGAGGAGGCGGAGAAGAAGAAGGCCGAGGATAAGGCAACCAAGCTCGATAAAGAGGTCACGGAGCTGAAGGTGTGCGCACATCATTGACGGTCCTCAGATGCATCGTCCGGCTCATACTGTTCTATGTCAGGCGAAGGTCCGGTCTTTGAATATCCAGTACGTCAAAGAATCGACAGCCATTCAATATGCACTCGATAAGGAGAAAGCGGAACATCAGCGGACAAAGAAGATGCTCGTGGACACGGAACTGGGCAACGATGACCTGGAGCGCAAGGAAAGGGAACTCTCAACAAGTTATGCGGATGCAGATGCCAAATATACCCGCGTGTTGGAAGAGAAAATCATTCTGGAGCAAGAGCTTATAGAGAAGGCCAGTGTCGAAGAGGAGTACCAGCGCTTGAAGGATGAACTCAGAGGTGCGGTGGCAAGGACGTCTCAAAAATGCATATTCTTATTTGCACTATCTAGATGCGAACGAGGAAGTCAATATGCTGAAGGAAAAGCTCGCCGCTGTTCAGATGCATGCATCGATATCTCCGGACAGTGCGTCGACAGCACCCTCTTCTGTGCTTTCCTCAGATCGGCCATCTGCATCCCAAGATGACCTACTCGAGGCCCACACATCTGACTTGTCTTCTGTGCCGCATACACCAGCCAAAGGAGCGATCTCACCCATCAGTACGGGAAGCAAGTTCAGAGATGCCTCGAGATCCCCGCTCTCGGGACGTCCACAACGCTCAAGCTACCCGACTCCACAACGCGTGGTGTCTCCATCATCGGGCCCTGCGACCTCGTCGCTCGCCCGTTCCAGCACCGTTCCAGCACTATCGACGCCCTCACATTTGCCGTCGAGAGCTGCTCCTGCTCGTCCCTCTGTCGGTCGTGATCGCTCGACTGCCAGCACCACTAGCACCGCCGGCGGTGTTCCGTTGACAGCGACTAGAAGCAGAGGTGTACAAATGGTTTCAGAGATGAGGCTACGCGTGAAGAATCTGGAGCAGAAGATCCAGTCGCGTGTACCACGTTTGCGTATGGGGAGCATCAGCAGCAAATCGAGCATCGGTAATGCAGGACCACCAGCGGCAGGGCCATCATCCAAGGCTGTCCCCGCATTTCCCTCAACGCCGCCGATGTCCCGACGATCAAGCAGCAAAGATGCACATGATACATCCCCCAAATCTAGGAGCCAGAATATCAGCGCGGAACGCGAGACCACTCCAGCTGGAGGAAGCTCGCCCTGGGTACAGGTCGACATCTCGGATTCACCTATGCCGTTAAGAGAAACACACAACAGGCGGATCTCTAATCCCAATGCCCCGTCATCTTTCCGGCCACCGTCGTATCAGGAATCTCCAACTGCCATCCCAAGGGCCTCAAATGGGTCGCCCAACAGCGGTGTGGCAACAAGTCGCCGCTCTCAATCTCGCTTATCGATCTCAACCGAGGGACGAAGTAGTGTCAGCACGAATGCCACAACAAGCACAGCGAGCTCTATTCCTACACCCTTCTCTCGTCCCTCGACACCAACCCTTTTACCGGTCGCAGTGCATAATGGTGCTGGGTTCGGACTGAAACGACCCACAGGGCCAGATTTCGGAGCATACAGCAAACGCTCGACTTTCGGAGGCAAGTCGCCGGGCAGTCCGCCCTCTAAATATGCAGCGCCACGCGCGAACAAGACGATGAGGCAGATATCACAGCTCACACAACCTGGCACGCCAACTCATACCCGGATAGGAAAGCCACCGGCGGCACCAGGGATTCGGAAGAACAATTCGGAGCCTTCTGCAGATCCGTTCGGATTCTTTGGTGGGAGGTCCAGAGAGCAATCGCGAGCGCGATCTGGCACTACTCCGAATGCGCGTAGCAAGGGCGCGTAGTTGCGCGAGGCATCGAAATGCCTATCTTCGCATGCAGGTTGTTGTTCAGCTTTATCCTTATCCTTTCTCGTCTGCTTTTGCGATTGTCCGGTTACCTGTGTTTCGCGTTGGTTTCCCGCTGGCGCGATCTTCCCCAGCACCTTACTGTCTGCAAGTATAATGAACTAACGAACCGTGCCCGGATGTTGGTACCGCCCCTTCGCCAACGTCTGTGGTTACATCATGCTCTCAACATTCAATGACGGTTGTATATGATCCTCCTTCCTTTACGATACAAATCCAGACCACAAACCCCCCAGAGAAATTCGTCCAGTCCTTCCTGCTCGAGACCTTGTCGGTTATCCGATTCCCCCCTTACTCCTTTGTACTCTTTCTTCGAATACTCAACTTTGGAAGTTACATGTTGGCAGGACTTATAATACCACTGTCTTTATATAGTTCAGAGCGACCCCGAGACCAAGGTCGGCGTTGAGCGAGTACTAGTGGGCGAGTGACCACGCGGCTTGTGGCCCAATTAATGATCGCGGAGGGCGCTTAGCGTCTCGACTCCAACCTCCTCCATCTCGTCGTGCTCGTCGGCTGATCATAGTCGGGCAAGACCAGTGTCACCCAACACTTTATTCTCTGTCTCGTTTTCCAGATCCATTTGTCAGATGTCAACTTCTGCACCGACGTCCAGCTCTCAACCCGCTCGCTCGCTGAATCGCCAGATTGTGCTCGAAGAAGATGAATACACCGAGGCGCTCTCCCACATCATTGCTCGCGACTTCTTCCCGTCACTCGTCCACTTGGATGCGGCGAACGATTATCTCAATGCCTTGCGTTCAAAGGATCCGGAAGTTATCCAAGCCACAGTGCGCCGCATGGAGGAGCTGGCGACGCCTATAACCGACCGCAATCGGTCATGGGAGACTCCTTCGCGGACACCTTATGCTGCTGGACCGTCAGAGACGCCTCTGCGCACGCCGCGTGCAGAACCTCCGCTGAAGAAAGCGCGATATGATACCAACATGAGCCTGGACAACTTCCAGGCGAGATATACCTCTGAAGACAATTCAAGCTTCACGCAGATCCTCGAGGACGAGAATGGGAAGCGGAAAGAGATGTGGTCGTGGGCGTGGGAAGCGCAGAAGAGGGTAGAGGAGCAGCAAGGGAAGATGCTGGAGTTAAGAGAGAGGCTGCTCATTGAGGCGCCATCCGGAGCCGGTGTGAGGGAGAAGTTCAGGATTGAGGCACCTACTCCGGCGGGATTGATCACGGACAGCTCCGCTTCGCAAGGGCAACCAGGACCTAGAGAAGAGGATACAGGTACGGAACATGGTGACAAGGGCAAGGAAGTGGCTGTCAAGAACGAGACGGCCGACGACATAATAGAAGATGTAGATGTGATGGCACCCTTGAAGGATACTCGGGCAGCAGGCGTAGATGGGTGGAAGTTCAAGGTGCGTCTCAACGCTACAGATCATAATCCGGTGTCTAACATCCCTCAGGCGCGAAATGCTTTAATGTTCCCTCCCGACGCAGATCAATCACCGTACCACCCTACCGCGGTGGAGACGAAAGGTGAACCACAGACAATCAAGCATGGCAACACACGACTGCTTGAACAAGATGAAACCACGTCTGGGTCATTGTCTGAACCGCCTAGTCCAACACGAAGTCGCATCGATGCAGCCATTGCTGGGACACCATGTATGTAACATTTGCTTATCGTCATGCCCAGGGAGCTCATCCAATCGCATCGCAGATCGTCCAAGGTCACCGACTATCAACAGTTTCTCTCTTGTCCCGTCAATACCTTCGCCTACCCCTTCCGAGCTAGGACCCGAGGCAATGAAGCAGCTCATGACGTGGGGAACAATTACCGGGACGCCTCGTATTCTCTCACAATCTGACGACCTTGCTGAGGCATCGTCTTCCGATATGCCACCCCCGAGCACACCTTTTCACATTGTACCGCCCTCCGCCCGCGAACGAATATCGCACAAGCTATCCACGAATGCCGCGAAGAGTCTGCGAGCAAAAGCGGAGCTGTTGAGAGTTCCAGGAGTCTCAAGGACACCAAGCAGTTCCAGGAAACCAAGCAGTTCCAGGAAGACTTCAATGCCTCCGCCGTCGTGGACGCCTCGGAGAGCAGAAGCAGCCGGTGGGCTGACACCTGCTGCGAAGAGGTTACTCGACAGGACTACAATGAGTACGGCCGCTGCGAGAAGAGCAGAGGCTATGGGACGGGTAGCTGGATGGGAGGGCAGCGGCTCAACCAAGTCGAGAGGACAGGACCTCAACAGAATACGATGGACTCCGACTCCTAGTCCAGTGGCAAGGAGGGGCTAGCTCGTCTTGTTGACCTTGTCATGTTTGTACTATAGTGCGGAAAAGCCTAAATTCAAATAAGAAAAGTTGCAATCCAATGGTGTCAGGCGAATTAGCCCAACACTTGATATCATGATATAATGCGACAACTAGTAATGTTAGGAATACAGGGCGACAGGCAGACTTGAAGTCAGCTAGAAGACTCAGATACTTTCTGTCGTTTTGCAGTAGGTTCCGCAGCGGCAGTAACCTCAGGTGGATCCTCTCCCTTCCGCTTTGCGTTTGCCGTACCGTTAGAGCCAGCCTTGCCTTTGCTATCTGGCCCAGCGGGTGGTGAGGTCACGGCGGCTTTGGGTTTCTTCTTGACCAAGACGCCCTTCAGAGACTTCTTAGTGTCTCTTTTCGCCTGCGAGGGAGCTGGTGCCTTGCCCTTCTTAGCCGTAGCAGTGGATGGAGAAATAATCTCGGCAGCAGAGACTATGGGAGGCTTGTTGGATTCTGTTTCCCTGGCTGCCACCGCACTTTGCAGAACAGTGAGCAAAAAACATTTGCATAATGGCCCGGACGCACGCTCTGAAGTTCTTCAGCTCCTCGCCATCCATCTCTTTTCGCAAACGTTCCTCTTCTCGTTGCTTCTCCAGGACGGAATCGAGGAACAGAACCTCGTCCTCCTCTAGTGCACGGAACTGATTGCCTGAGAAGTCGTTCAGAGATTGACGAGGCGGTTACAGTTGGGACGCCAAACCTAATTTGTTCCTCTCCTCCCATTCTTCTTGTTTGGCTGCCTAAACCGCGTGAGACTCACGCAATATTCGAAGCAGGGGCTGCTGCTTACTCTGTTGGCGGCTAATTTCTGGAAATGTTGATGTCTTCAGTAATCTTGAGGTGATACGTACGATAGGTCCATACCTCTGCCAGGCTGCGGCCATCGAAAGCATCCTCTGTCGGCGGAGGAGGGGGCTCTTGCCCGAGTCTAAGCACAGCAAGCACAGCATGAGGTAGGGGGTCAATATGGAGACAGGACTTGAAGATCCGGCGCATATACCTAGCGTATGCTGCGCGCCATTGCTCCTCGCGTCTCGCTTTAGCGGTCTCGACATCCGCCTGGGAGACGAAACGCGAGCCCACAGTGCCCGAAGAGATAGATGGAATAGCGTCGATGTCGTCCATGAAGGATGTGGCGGAATGAAGTTGCGTGCGATTCGCCGTCGCAGTGAAGGGAGGAAGGGCGCCCTTCTCGGCACATGCTCGTCCTCACATACCTTGTTCAGTGCCGGTCGTCGGCGAGCGGGGCTTTCTGGCAGATGCAAGACGCTGCGCTCTTTCATCCATACCCTTTTGTCTCCTGCCTGTCTGCTTGACCTGCGATGGCTTCCGACGGCCAGCGAGTATCTTCGTCGCCCTCGATTTCTAGCTTTGCCAAGTCGCATAGTGTCCATAGCTCCCGCCTTGCACCGTCAACAATCAAGACCGTGATTACGGCCCCTCGTTCGTATATTCTGTGCGTACTGTGAAACTCGTGCTAACGAACGGCACTTCAACAGCGTGGGCTCGAGACGAGCCACCCTCTCCTGGAGATGACGAACCTCAGCGCGGCGCAACCTCTAGTGATAGCTTCCGACGCCCAGTGGATTACCGCGTCTCGGATGTTACATCTTATGAGTCCTCAATTCCCGAGGAACCAGGTCCATCGCGTTGGTGGACGTTCGCGCGACATCGTCCTTCTCTGTCTCAAACTACGCCGCTAAATGGCACCCCATCCGAACCGCGAAGGCCGCAGCGAGATTGGGAGCGTTCTCTCTCGTTACCATGGCTAAATGTGTCCCATCATCTGCGCTCTCAGGAGAGTAGTCTCTTGACTGCTCGCCCCCACGAAACCGAGCATCGCGCGCCTGAGCATCCCCAAATCCCTGCTGATCCTCTCCACGTCGACATCCCGCCACCTCCCGCCACCCCATATACTATCGCGCAGAATGCAACACCGGGCTGGGACACGCCTTGGACTGCTCGTCCTGCGGACCTTACATCTCGAGGGCATAACTCGGGCGACGAAGTCACGCAGCTGGCACAAGCTGACGATGACTCGAACGAGAAGTTAGGTACTTGGACGAGGAGAAGGAAGAGGGTCCGGGCTTATATGATGTACAATCCTTATGTGCCGCTGGTATGTTATGTGCCCTTTTAGAAAGTCCATCATAGTTAAACCTTCTTGTTCACAGCTTTTTCGGTTCACCAACATCGTCTTCACCACGACTGCTCTGGCGATTGCAATCCGTATCCGCCTAATCGAGAAAAAGAATGGGGTGATGGGTGCTGTAGGCTGTTCACCGTACGTCCAATCCTGATGTCAGTCGACATCTAAATGCTTAGTATGCTACTTTCTCTAAGGACACTGGTCATCATCTTCGCATCTCTGACTCTCGTCCATGTAATGATCGCTATCTACGTGCGTCGCCTATTCTTTACATTTAGTCGAACACGTCTGACCCGTGTGTACAGGTGGAATACTTCGGTCGTCCCGTTGGGCTCTGGCATACATCCAGCAAGCTCGCTTACACCTTGATCGAGGTCGTCTTCATCTGCGCCTGGTCTGCAGCGCTCGCACTCTCCTTTGACAATTTCTTCACTTCCTTGATACCCTGCGCCTCAGCTTCCGATATATCCTGGTATAACCAGCTACCGCGTCCGACCGTGCCAGGGCTTACCGGTAACGAGGGCACTCCAGGTGACCAGATATGCGATGATCAGTTGGCACTCATCTGCCTTGTCGGCGTGGGCCTCATCATGTACTGCATTAACCTCGTCATCAGTCTCTTCCGGATATTCGAGAGAGTGAAATATCATCCAACATTGATACTACCATCATAGCTCAGCATCTCAGCGTATCTCATAGTGTTTCGGAACCGTATTATCCCTGCTTCTGAATAGTGTATGCTGTTCCCAGCCTAATACGCTCATATGTGCATGATGTCTTTTCGCCCGCATTCGAACTTTTTGCATCGCTCGAGTCTCCGTCGATATCAATCACTTGAACAATATCGCATTATCTTGTACCACATAGCTACCCTATACCTGCAGTTGTAGAAACAATACATCTTCGTTCCTGATTGCTACGTAGCCATTTCTGCTCCCTGGATTCCGAGACATGTCCCACCTTGGTACGCTTAGCAACCTCGAATGAGGCTTCGACTGCTGTCAGGCATCGGGCTGTCAGGCTTAGCTAAGGCTTGACAGGGAATATGTCAGATACTATTACCAGGGCCACGAAGCGAAGAGACGGCGCATTGGCTTATTTTCGCCAGTCCGAGTACACCGGAATGATACTTTTCGATCTTCGTGATGACGAAGTATCGCTTGGGCACGTACAGATGGAGCACAGCGTGAACGGAAACACATGCAGACAGCACGACAGTCCGATTCATGTCGACTAAACGAGAGCCGGGCTCAGTCAGTGCATGTGGCCTCGGATGGAGGGACATGCTGGCTTACAATGAGTCCACTAGGCGACAAAGTCAGCCGTCGTCTCGTCCATCGCCTGTCAGTGGTATGATGTGAGACCGAGCTGATAGATAGAAGATTAATGCACAAGGCTATGCGTGGCGGCCGGCCGCCGCTTTTCTTCCGCCAGTAGGTAAGAAGACCGCGCGGAAGCATTCGCTACTGTCTCAGAAGGCTGCGTGATGCGCCGACAACATTGCTTTGCGCATGCTGGCAAGTCCGATGCGGCTCGGGCGAGTACTAGTTAGCCGTTCAAGCTCAAGCCTCGCAAGCGCTACGACGCGGAAAGCGCCGACCGGACTGATTGAAGCGATGCGGGCGCGCCCCCATCATGAGTATCAGTATACCTTGGCGGCAGATCATGCACCATCAATCAAAGTTGTTGGTCTTCGACAAGTCCGCCTGGACGCGCATGCGTCCTGCATGCCTTCTGAGGCGTAACGCTGATGAGAAGATGGCTTGAGACTGTAGTTGTCGTGTCCAGCATTGACGCCGTGGCGTGCGCTTGCCACCGGAGCGGCTGCACCTGGCCGCACCCACGGCCTTCCAACGCTAGTAGGCACCAATATAATTGCTGATGAATCCGAGGACTTCGCAGTCGGGGCGGTGGCCGTGATCACCGAGCCAGCTATTCGAAAGTTGCAATCGGAGACAGCGCCACATAGAAGATGGGTCTGAGGCCTGGTGCTGTCTATTCATCCATCCGCAAACGATTTGCCAGCAGTTTTGTGATCGAGATCGTCAGCGACCCGAGCAACTTGCTGTTCCGGTGGGGTCGGATGGTACATGAGGCGGACCTTCGAGCTTCGAGGCTCGGTTGAGTAACGAGAGCAAGATGATTCTGAGACGCGCCGGGGAACTTTGACTTTCGTCTCACATGTCATTAACGCGCAAGGTTCGATAACGTACCAGACAAACCACGGTCAAGGCTCCAGACAGCGGGTTCTAAGAATGTCAACCTTTTTCGATACAGACAAGACCTGCAGCCCTTATTGGTTGAACTCACCAAGTCAGACCGAGTCGCTGAGGCATGTCAGCCTTTAGCTTGGAGGACGTTGAAGAACGTCAGACCACCGAAATGTTTCAACGCAGTAGGCACGCGGAGCTGACAGAAGCTCTGTTGATGGGTCCTTCCGTAGTCAACATTCCGGAATCGGAGGGCTAAGAACGTCCCAAACGAACGCCGATGCTGGAATTTGCGTCCAGCACTAATCAGGGAAAGACTGAGCTCGAGCCACGCTGGAAAATCAGACTCGAGTGGCGCTGAGAAATGATGCGTACATGGTGGCCGGAATCTGATGAATCACTCGAGATGAGACTATGGAACGCACGGCAAATGCACGACGGCGGACATCGGGGTAGACGGTCGTCAGCAAGCACGGACAGTACTTGATCGTGGCGCATGGCGCATGCAACAAATGACATGAACCGCCGGTGTATGTGAGGCGCTCCGCGAGGACGGAGTCGTTGCACAACATCAGAACGTTTCTCGTTCCGCCCCGGGGTCGTCGGAAGTCTGCACGCCTTCTCGATATATAGCGCGGCTCTCTGTTTGAAACGAACACCAGCACCCCGTTGTCGTATGCATCGCAGCATCCCTCATAACCCAGTTCACCAGTCACCCTCGCCACCCACTCTGACTCAACATCTACCATGGCAGCCGCACAACTATGGCTCGCTCTACCTGCGGAGATGAAGTTGTCCGTTGTCGATCTCCTTGATTTCCAAGATGTCAAGGTCCTTGCCACAGTGAACAGAGAGGCATACTCTCTATGTGTTTCAACCATGTTCAAGGTGAGCAGCGGAGTACCGGGGTGATCTCCGTTGGATGTTGATCAATTCGCACATCATAGCATGTGAAAATTCCCGACTACGAGAGCCTGCGGACGTATCTGTCCACCGTACCCATCAGCCACAACCAGTACATCCAGCATCTGTCAATCTGCACCAAGCCCAGCGCTCATCATGCGGCGGATGCTCCATCTGCCAATCGTCGCACTGTAACAGATGCGGTTCTCGAGCTGGTTTCTCACTGTCCTCAAGTAGAAGACTTGACATTGTCTCTACACGGGTCCCTGTCCAAGAGCATCATCCCCTGTTTCACCAAGCTGGGCTCTCTGACGAAGCTGTCCATAAATCACTGCGGAGATGAAAGTTTGAACCCTTTGTGAGCCAATCCTATCCTCTCTGTTCTGATCTTTGGCTTACAGCATCCTCCGACCATCTAGGAGTGAACGGTTGGTTGTCGCGATAGCAGCTTCGATTCCGAAGCTTACCCAACTATCTCTCGACCGCATTACTCGATCCGCTATCCACGCACCCGAACTCATCGGTGTGTATCCTTTCATTCCGCTTGTTGCGGGAGATGAGGATATACCCCCTCACGCGCTGCTTGACTCCGAGCTGCGTCTTCCGTCGCTGCTCCGCCTGCCCACCCTTAAGAAGCTGCGCATCCGAGATACTCATCTCGGAGACCCACAATGGACCTGCACCCCCGTAGCATGCTCCTTGGAGGTTCTTGACCTCGGGAGCTGCTATCATGAATCCATCGATTTCAATCGCATCTGCACAGAGCGCATCATGGGCAATGTCGGGCATACAGTGGACGAGTTTGCCCTCAACACTGCGCTTTCCCCGCAAACCTTCGAGTATGCGAAGCACAAGGAACCTCCTCTGAAGCGCCTCCGGAAGGTCCACCTTACCCCGCTTTTCCCAGTCGAGAACGTCGTCGATACCTTGACGACACTCTCGGGTTCGCCAATAGAGCAGCTCTCCGTGCAATGCCACGAAGACGACGTGCTGGACATGTGTTCTGCGCTGGAGGATTTTCTCAGGCTTAGAGCGGAACGTGGCGAGCAAGCGCTGTACCAACATCTCACCGAGATTACTGTGAAAACGGTCAGCGACCTCGCTGATGGCCTCTTTGGTCCATTCAGCAAGGAGCAGTCCTCGTCCACTGGGGAGCTCCTCGTGGAGCATGCCGAGGCCGTACGGCACCTGCAGGCCTTCCTTCGAGACCTTCGGCGACCGCGCGATGAAGGAGATGCATCCGAGGGCCAGTTTCCAGCTAGCAGTCAAGTATCAGGGAGCGACATCGAGAAGTCCCCGGCGATCGCTGTGGCTGGCGAGATCGATCACGACACCGGACGACTCATGGCTGAGCGGCTCATAACACCAGTGTCCAAAGCAGACTAGCAATCTTGTAGCTGAAGTTGTACGGTTTTAATTCCTCTCTTGGGTTAGTGGCGGACGTATATTGGCCTTGGGACATGATGCGCTGAATTCTCATAAATTATATCCTTTTTGACGACGACTCATGTGTTCATTGCTTTTGCACCCGTGTATACCAGTCCATCGACATGCTTTCCGATGAGTACGCATATTCTCCCCGATATCGGATATGGAGTGATCAATGTCTGCGGGTCACGGAGCATAGTTGTACGAGCACTGCGAAGTGCGTCTTCGTCTCACCTGCTCATGATCAGCGGGAGGTGCTTGCAAGCCAATCTGAAACGGACTCAGGCCACGTCTCATCTGCACGGATCCGGGATTTGTGCGTCCCAAGAATGTTACCCTCGCCGCATCGCTATGGAGATTTGTTCCTTTGAACAGGTTCATACGGTGATTGCAATGCTGGAAGCGGGTGTCTTTCCTCCGTGAATAGCTGTCACCCTCGATGATGATGGGAAAATGTGCACAGACATAGGACAGTTCGACAGTTCCTGCGTTTCGCAGCATCATTAGCTGTTAAGAGGTTGCTAGGAGGGCAGCCTGAGAGAGGCGGTGGTTACTTACATTGAGCGGATATGTGTTGCGCCAATATTGCTAGATGTTAGATTCCTGCCTTCTGCATCGCTGCCTTGTCTGACTACAGCCCAGTGCAGAGCCAAGTATCGTGTTAACTGGACTCAAAATCGACCTCCTTGTAGATCATCTTCATACTACTAGCAGTCGTCGCCTCGCAGTCCGCCCAACTTGAAGTCGCTTTGGATCCGGAGATACTACGCCCCGATACAGCATGGTACAGACCCCTTGGTCAGGTATCTGGTTCCATAAATTCTACAGCTATCCAACGGCACAGTCGACTGCGTAGGCACCTAGAGAATCGGGTACGGTTGACTTGGAGAATCTGAGACCTGCGTCGCCACAGTGAGACCGCGACACGATCACGTGACGGATGCGGACGCGTCTCTCCGGACAGGCGCCCGCAAGCCCAGCGGTGCACTTCCCGCGTTTCCTGATCTATCGCGGGTAGAGTGCGACCATTCGTGCGTTACGTTCATCAATTGTTCCATGAGACGTGAAAATTTTATGACTCCCTGTCACTGCACGCCGACCTTTGGCATTCACTTCCGTTCAGGTCACTCCGCAGGACCACTTCCTCGACACAGGTAGGCATTGAAACATGCCCGACCACTAGCATGAACGGTTCCGTAGAATCGGTGCAGCGGTAGCGGGAATCGGAACACATATGCGTCTAAGAAGCATATCATTATCGGGAACACGGGCGGAACGATGCGGCAGGGAAGAAGGTAAGGGGGGACAATCTGGTCCAGGACTCCAGGCAAAAGTTGGCAAGTGATTGACGCTCACTGTATCAACAGTGGCAGTGCTGATTCAGGTTGGGTGCCCTACTGTCGCATAAAGGCTGTGCTACAATTTTCTCGTGACGTGTCTCAGCGAGAGTTTGCGCGCATGCGCAGACCCAGAACAGAATGAATGCCAGACAGATGTCGCACTCGCAGGCGCAACAGTCAGAGCGCAGATATCGACGGATCGCTTTCCGCGTTCGCTGCGCGACATATCATGCGCACGAGCGTATTTTGGTGTTTTCACAAGTGAGTGGTTCGCTATAGAGCTTGTCCGCCACAACGGAACAGGGTAACGCCGTTCTGCTGGATAGATATCATCACGCTAGCAATGATGACAGGCGTGGGCGCACCGTCCACATCGACATGGCGTCTCTTGCGCGGCGTGTACTGTCAGTGATTGTACTGCCAGTGCTGATAGACCTGCTAAACCTCTACGCTGTATCATATGTGAGTATTGTACAGCCATAACCGGGCTTGCTCGGTGGATCAAGGCAGTTGCGCGGCCTCGGTGCTCATGAAGCTAATGCTATACATAACTGGGTTCTACGGGACCGCCCTTGCCTCAGTCATTGTGGGATTGAGTCATTGAGATCGATTTTTCGCCTCAAGTGCGACGGCACGGTGGCACCGGCAGGCAGCCTCCATCATTCGAAGTCTTCATTCTGCCAATTGGCTATTCAGATCAAAGGTGAGTCAATAGCGTCCACTTTTGCTGCACTGAGGTAACCCGCGTCAATGGTCTCTAGGTGGTGCCTTGACCTCAATCGCAGATTCTCACTGATCTTCGCGGTCCGCAAAATCGTCCATCATCTCTTTATCTGCGTCGTCGTGCGCATTGAAGCCGAAGTGTGTCGCCTTGATGATGAGGATCTTACTGGTATCATTGTATCATTGATCGAAACTCCAACTTACTGATGCATTTAGCAGTTGTTTGTCCCGCCTCCTTGATGTGACGTTGAATGACTGCCCATGAGTCACGTCGCTGCACTGGTCAATGCAGTCTGCGAGCACTTGGTCGCAATGAGCTGTGAGCCTAGGCAGTGGTTCTCTTTGCAAACACAAATGGTTAGCGGCTGAAGGCCGCCGTGCAAGGGTAGAGAGAACAGTTCTGCAAGCTGTGTAGCTCTCCCGCGCTGTTCGGTTCGCCACATCTCCCGGTTGGTGCGACCAGGGCTCGTCTGGGATTCCAGGAATAAACTTCAAAGCTTGAAAACATGGGAATAAAGCTATGGGTCGAGACGGGACTGGGACACAGGCATGACATGTCACATCGGCGGGAGCGGCTCCGTTGGCAGACATGTGCGTATTGCCGCAGCCTTTTTTGCAGCGTCAAGTATTGCAGTGAATAGCCATTGATCGCATGGCAGATACAGCGGTGCTGTGATTGCCAGGGAGACCCGTAGTCATCACTTGTTTCTGCCACTCAACTATAAAGCGACTCTGAGGGAGAGTCCGAGTCATCATTAAATTCCTCTCATCTCCCTTCAGCTTGTGGTCACACGCGATGTCATTCAGAACGCACCTCACGATTCTTCAATGGAGTGCATCGCTCTATTCAGAGGCTACGGTATTCGAGATCCCGGACTTCACCCATACAAACGGGACCGGACGGCGCTGGAACAAGATATCGTACAGACAATTCCTGACCGACGTGGAACTGAGTGCTCGCTACTGGGGGAATGTTCTGCAAAGCCGCGGCGTACACCAACGCTCTGTCGTCGGACTCTGGTGAGCATTAGAATTCTGTCAATGGAGTCCATGCAACTGAGTCCGACATTCGCGTACAGGCTAGGCGGTATGACATACATGGATGTTCTCCATATTTTCGGAGTTGCGAGGGCAAACTACATCCCGCAGCTGTTCTCGTTGCGCCTTCCCAATCCGGACGTCATTTATGAGCTCATGCAGCGAGCAGACGCGAAAGCGCTCATTTTCGACCCGTCATTTGAGTCCGTAGTGACGAGCTGCCCTACGCCATCGCAGGCCGCTATCGACCTGCACCGTCTACCGGCATTGTCTGGCCCATTGCCTGCACTTAGCAGGCCATCGAGCGGAGAGGACACCGCCATGATCTTCCATACTTCAGGATCCACGTCGGGGTCTCCCAAGCTCGTGCGGTGTTCCTATAAATGGCTTGATGCCATTATTGCGAAGGCCGGCCATATCAGCGAGCCTTGCCGTTCCGACCGCCAGGATGTGATAACGTGGATGTAAGTGATTAATGCATTCACACTCTAACAATCGAACTGAGTTATTTCAATCAACCAGGGGTAGCATGTGTCATATCGGACAGACACTCACCTTGATCGGTGGTCTTCAGCACGGCACCTGTGTCGTCCAACCTACAACAATCGCATTCTCCTCCGACGAACTCCTTGACATCATCCGACAGTGCGGCCTCAACCGCCTCACACAGTTTGCGACATTCCTCGCAACACATCTTCGTAACTCGCAGGAGGATTCGCGCCTTCTCGCATCCCTGCAGCGCCTCGACGAGGTCCTCTACGCAGGTCTTCCCCTGCCTCAGGGAGAGGAGATCTGGGCTCGCCAGAATGGGCTGCTGCTCAGAAACCTCTTCGGGAACACGGAATGTGGGGCCATGCTGCGCTCCATCGGTGGACGCGGTAGCGACTCCCATTTCCTCCGGCCCATCGAAGGGACGCAGTATCGCTTTGATCTCGTGACCCCGGCTGCTGAACGCGTAGACGACACTTATCGCAATTCCAACGCTCAGCTTCTTGAGCTTGTGATACTTTCGGATTCGGGAGACTGCCCAGATCCCTCTCTCCGCCAGGCTGATGGGCACTTCCACACGGGTGACCTATTCATAGAGGCCGCGCCTGGATGTTACCTATTCCGCGGCCGGGATGATGACTGGATCAAGAGCGAGAATTCGCTTCGATGTGATACGAAGGCGATCGAGGACAATGTACGCTCCTCATGTGGGGATCTAGTCTCCGAATGTGTCGTTGTAGGCAATGGGCGACCTTCACCTGCACTCTTCGTCGAACCCAAAGGGCTGGTCGATGGGGAGAAGCTGAAGAAAGACATCATTCGGCGCACGCGGCACTTTCACTCTAGACGATACATCCACGAACGGATCGTCTCCACGCACTTCATTGTAGTCGTCTCCAAGGGAAGTTTGCCGAGGACTGCAACCAAAGGAAACATCAGGAGACGTGCGGTCGAGGAGACCTTCAAGGTTCAATTGGATCGCATATACAAGTCCCAATAGACGCTGTCGTAGGATACGTCGCTGTTCTTGGTTACTTTTGGCTCATTAATACTCACTTGCCTCACACTAATGCGGCAAATCGCGCCATCGCATGGACCTGACATTTTCCGCGGTTAGCAGTTCTGTAACCTTACTATAGAGTAACGAGTTGTACTTGCACAATTGGGTCCTGTCACTGTCTTAAATTATTTCAATGTATAAATGCCGTGAAACACCTGGCGTACGCCACTGCAGACGTGGCGTAAAGAGCAATGAGACGAGAGCATAGGAACATAGATCATCTACGGCGCACATAGCTCACCTGCCCATACACCATCAATGTGGTTAACAAACAGTGAAATTGATTAAACTTGTCGCATCTGTCAAATTCAAAGTGAGATCAGATCGTATCATTCAGGGTACTGGCACAGCATCGCATGATCGCAACTTTGATCGATTTCAGAATATGCTGTACTGGCCCGACGAGATGTGAGAGCGCGCAAGGTACGACGCCGCTGGTTGCTTACCGTTACGAGTCTGCACCATAAACCGCTTGATTTCTGGAGTATTCAGGAAGCGTCTGGAACCTGCTTTGGGAAGACAGCTCTTTTTGAGATAAGAGGGCGCCGAACACGGCAGAAACATCTGGACAATCAAGATACATATGAAATGTATACACGTCGAGGTTGAAGCGCAGCCATGAACATAGATGCCCGGTCAGCGCGTGACCATATGACAATTCAATTCTCAATGATAGGGCGTACAAAAGGTATCATTTACGAACACATTGGCAAAAAAACAGGATAGAATAACGCACATAAATGAGCTCATACTAGCATAAGGTCGTCGCGGACATCTTGTTCAGTGATGACGAAATTGAATCTCCCTACGCTTGCATTTACTGGCGTCCTGACAATACCCTCATATTGACATTTTTGCACAGGCGAACTTCGAGAAGCGTCCCCTGCGTTAACTTTGCCTGTAGCAGACGACGGGAGGGGATCCATAGGAGCCATCCGCAACGTGATGTGGTGGGTAAGGGGTAGTGATCCAGAGGTTACATCCACCAGGTCACGCATAAGTGTATCAGGATGTCCAGGCAAGGGCGATGACGCTCTGTGGACTGAATGCGGAGACGCATTGCTTGCACCACGGAGAGGAGTGTCGGCGGGGTCACTGGAAGAGTTATGGAAGGGAGAGGGAAAGGACTGGAGGTGTTGCTTGAAGAAGGGAGACGTCTCCTCTTCCTCTCCGCTGACCACGGACTTCTTCAACGGATTGAGACCCCAATTGGTCAGTACTATCACAGGACCGCGCGAGGCGCGGAGCTCCTGTAATGCTGAAAGGACATGCCGGAGAGGGTTTACTCTCCCCGTACCACCGGAGCGCTCGCCAGCGCTACACGAATGTTCCACGGTAAAGCGGTCTGCCCAGTAGAACGCGCTTAGTGAGTCTACAGTAACCAGCCCTATTTCTAAGGCTTGGAGAGATGGGCGTGCACAATGATATCGCGGCAGATCGAGTAGAGTTGCCGCCATTTGAAAGGAAGACGCTGGTCGGAAAACATGCAACCTTTCTAGACAAAGGGACGCAAGCTCATCTATTGCGGGAAAAAGCGCCTCTAGCGTCGTCTCAGGGGGTTCCCCGCCATTTTTTATTAACCTGGATAGACGGAGCATCAGAAGGCGATGAAATCTCTCGATGTCAAATGTTCCATCTGTGTCAAAGCAGATGGCGGCCTTGTTCCAGCCTCCGATGTTGGCGGACTGGTACTCTGAGGGTAGGATACAAGTGATGAGCAGATGATAGAGTAGGCTAGTCTTGCCGGTTGCAGTAGACCCTTGAATCTCGAGCACATCACCACGTCTGACGGGCACTTCTTGAGGCTTCATGTTGGCGCCTTGGGAAGTCAGTACAGCGTCCAGGCCTGTGAGTTGAGTTTTGCACGGTGAACATGCTTCAATGTGCGTCGTGGTGAAGGATCAGTCTCTGTTGTGAGTATGAGACATGGATTTAGTTTGCTCACTCTCCGTCTGGACAGTCACGAGTAACTGAGCAGATTAAATCAATACATGGTACTTCAAAGCAGGGGGATTCTAACTTGCTGCAAGGTCTCGGCTTGGACTTCGCCGAGCATGGCTTCGGCCGTTGTGACTATAGGACACATTTTCGATACGAGTGACCCGACAACTTGGCGGTGAAAACGACACAGCTGGTGGTGGTCCGCAGCAGATTCCAGTCAACTGCTTTGAAGTTAATCTGGTCACTCCCGTGAGCTCGCTGGAGTAGATTGTCTGAGGCAATTACCAACGTTGGTGAAGCTCAGTATTCATTTCGTCCGGCGGAACGCGCTCACTTTGAGACCGGGTAAACCGTCAGGTAGTTTGCTTCTCCAAGACAGCTTGTAATGCTTTTCACAGACAGCGGACGATGCTCAAAACGTAGCCAGTGTTCGAAGGGAGACAACGTCCGGCAACTTGTGGACCGTGGCCTCAGCCACCAAAAAGCGGCCACGTGCTTGCATACCAGTTCGGGACTCTGGTCGCTTGACGGGTGATGGACTGCTAGCACTGCAAGCGGATGGCTTTCCGTAGCGACCACCTCCCCCCGCCAGTTGCCCCTCGCGTCTGCGTTCAGAAACATACCCAGCACGTCCTTGTGCACGTATACCACCCATAGACGACCACCGTTACGACTTTCACGCCATGGCTACTGCTACGTCCGTCAGAGCACCTCCCGCGACCTCGCGACGGTCCCCGCACGGGTCCAGCAAACCGTCAGCATCTCCGCCTTCTGTTGCCAGAGGTGCTACAGCTCGGTCTGCGGTGTCTCCACGCCTATCGGTGTCAATGAGTGCACCAGCAGCTCGTCGAGCATCTTTGAGGGGAGGTGCACACCCACCACCTGTGGTTACCAGTGAAACACGCGAGACACTTGCAGTCTCCCTAAAGGAAGAGACTGAGAAGAAGGAGCAGGTTTGTCTTGAACTTTGAAATACTGCTTGTTGGCTTATAGTTGCTCGTAGCTGCTCGTGCAACTGCAGGAGAAAGAACAGACCATCAGCAACCTAACCTCAGAGAATGCCAACCTGTCATCCGCCCTACACTCTGCGGAGTCTCGTCTCGCGGAGCTGTACGCAGATCAAAGTCGCATGGAAGAAGAGATGGCGGCCCGTATAGAAGTGATCGAGAAGCTCAGAACTCAAGTGCGTGACCTTGAGAAAGAGAAACGCGACGTGCAGCGGCGTTATAATGAGCAGGTATGATTTGTGATCGCATGAATGAGATTACTTACTGATCGAAGCAAAGACTGCGACCTTTGAAGCCGAACGTCAGGCCTTCTATGATAACGAGCAACATCTTAAATCTCGCATACAGTCCTTGACTCAAGCTCGCAAGCAACCGGCACTGAGCTCGCCGTCTGTGGTTTCCGTTGTTGAATCCGTTACCGAGCCTTCGCTCATGGAGTCTGAGGCGGATGTGGAGGCTGTGGTTCCAGCATCACAGGTTCAGGTGCAGACGCAGGACGTCACAGACCCCGAACAGGAACCCGCCGAGATGACTGGGCTGAAGCTCGAACTTTCTACTCTCTCGACTTCGTATTCCTCTCTTCAATCGACTCTTCAATTACTGCAGACGCAACTGGTCGATCTGAAACGCGTCAATCATGAACTCCAGGAGGAGAATGAGTCTTACAACATTCTCCTCAGGGAGAAGACATTGAATGGACAATTCGACGTTCTCCGAATGGGAGTAAGTGCCTCCGCCAGCGAGACCAGTCTCAGCGAAGGCGAAGAGGATGGTGACACGGCGGGAGAAAGCGAAAGCATGAAGAGTCGGAATACTGGCCGAAGTGTGCTCGATCCCGTGGACGAGCTAGCAGAGGAGCACGAGCTCGATCCCGCATTTGAACTTGCCCAAGATCGGGAACAGGAGTCCCGCAATGAAGATGAGCTTTACCGACATTCGCGTAGACATGGTCGCAAGCAGTCGAATCATTCTCTGACCCTTCGTGGGGAATCGCTTGCCAACCTCCCGATCACCGGCCCAGGGCTCGACCTAGCAGCGGAACTTGGACGTGCTGAGAACAAGGATATCTTAGAGGGCCATGCCACTATTGAGGATCGCCCGACGCAGGTCGTCAAGACTAAGAAGCACAGGAAGCACTCCACCTCCGATCGGAAAATGTCCTCTGCATCCGATGCTGTTCAGGATAGTGGGCCATGGACTGACCTCGATGCCCTCCGCAACGAGGTCAAGAGTCTCAAGGATGCAAACAAAGCGCTTTCTTTGTATGCATCCAAGATCATTGACCGTATCATTTCCCAGGAGGGCTTCGAGCACGTCCTTGCAGTGGACTACGAGAAGCATAGTCCCCCCTTGCCGAAGACGCCCTCCGCATTCACCACGTTCGACAACATCCCAAAATCACATAGTCCTCCTAAAGCACAACCTCAGAAGAAAGGCAGAACGCAATCCGCTATCTTCTCTTTCTCCTCGTCACCTTCGAGCTCTAACGGTTTCCTGTCACCCACGCCGAATAGCTCCTCTGCTCCCTCTCCGCCTGCTCGTTCGCGGCGGTCGTTGTCGTTTGATTGGAAGAGCTTTTCAATGTTCGGCGGCGGCGGTGACAAGAAGGTCGATCCTGCCCCTAGCCTGCGCCCGTTGACTTTGCGAGCAGGTACATCGCAATCAATCTCTAGCGCACGCAAGTTGGATACATTCGAGGACGAGGAAGACAGGAAAGAGCGCGAGCGGCTGAATGCGACGATGAAGCTCATGGGCATCGAGAAGCCTGTGATGCCGGCCATCCACAAGAGCTACTCTGCCCCCGGGAATCCGACCGATGGCAATGGCAGACGTTCACCGCTGCCCGCCAGCCCCGTGAACGGGGGAAACTCGCCGGTTGTGCCCCCGACTGCATCGTATCGTTTCTCGTTCTTCCGCCGCAATTCTTCGATGACGCCTTCGGACACATCGTCCGGGCCGTCTTCCATACGAGGAAGTCCACACGCTTCCGTTAGCGGTGCGAACACTCCGAATCTCACGCAGGAGGCACTCGCACAGGCTGAAGCCGCAAACACACTCGCTGCACTTGATGCGCATGAGCGTCAGTTGAGTGCAGAGATCGCCAAGGGCGCAGGCGGAGGCTTCACTGAGATAGTAAGGCGCACTGGGGATCGACGGAGTAGCAGGAAGAGCGGTGAGAGCGCAAGTACCGTCTGGAGTGCTGGTATGAGTCGAGGAGAAGACGGGGATGATTGAATCACGGCGATCATCTGAAAACAGCAGCCTTGAATGACTATATGCAACATATGCCATCTATATCCTTGCACTCTCCTCCACATGTTGACGCGCAATATTTTTGACGCTTCTGGGCAAATCTATAGACATTGGTCATGGATTATTATGCTGCGGTTACGCCGCTACGCTATCGTATGGTTATACCACTAATGTACATACACCTTGCATTCCAGGAACAAATATATATGACGACGCGCATGAATTGAACGGTCTCCCTCGTTTGATCCTTGCGAGACTACTCGGGAAGATGTTTACGATGCCGAGGATTCGCGGTCAATAGGGCCGCAGGCATGCTATGGTGACGCTCCTCATTCTGGAGGTTGATGCTTGACAAGCGTATTTTGCGCGTGAATGCGGATAGTCTGGAAGGGGTTGGATGCGAACTCTGGTGTCGACAGTATCAAGGGGATCCGTTGTCGCTCGAGTTGTCTGGTGAGCGATGAGTCCTACTGATAGCGTCGTACAGCTAATGTTACTTACAGCGCGCGCTTTCTTTCTGCCTTGGTGAGAGGAGCTCCTTTGCCTTCACCAATCAACCCATTTGGCGCTTTTCTCCTTTGATTAGCAGTAGACGCATCGGTTGCACATTGACGAGCGGATTCTACCACCGAGCTGGGTATGTCGTCGTCCATTTCCAATATGACAGCCTTGAGGTCATCCACGCCCTCGGCCAATTGCTCTCTCGCCTTTCGCCTGAGTCGGCGCTCACGAGATTTCGAGTAGGGAGCTCGCGACGACTCCAATCCTGGAGCAGACTCCAATCCTGGAGCAGACTCCAATCCTGGAGCAGACTCCAATCCTGGAGCAGACTCCAATCCTGGAGCAGACACCAATCCTGGAACATGTTATGTCAGTCTGCATACGACGACCCAAGGACGAACAAACGTTGCATAAATAGTTCATGCCTCAACGCCTGCTTTTCCTTTTTCTTCATTGATAGAGGGCGGGACATGGCTTCTGAGTCTACGGACTGCAGAATTTCTGTGCCCTGTGATCGCCACACAGTCATTCAATAAACTCTGCGGTCTTGCGACACAGATGGACACACAGATGCATCAGCTTGTGCACCGACGTCCACATGTTCAACAGCATCATCTTGAACTGCGAACTGGCGTTTTGAGAGACGGATGGGTTGTTCGTGCAGAGCAGTGCGTCGACGCTTGTCCTTGGGCTGTCTTGCGAGTTTCAGGACACTGATGGCACATATACCACGCTTGCCGGAGACTCACCATTGCGAGCGATGCGTCGCCCGGTGTTCTCGCTTGTCTTTAGTGTACTCTCTACGCAAAAAGAGACCGATGGCTATTGCAGTACGAAATCTGTTCAAGGAGACTTTTTGTCGATGTATGATGGCGCTAGAAGAGACGGAAATACTTTTTACACTGCTGGCTCTGTTTAACGCTCGTGCACTCGATCAAATTCGATCATACAATGCGGTTATTGGATTTAGACATACACTCCGGAAACATGCAAACGCGGGTATCGACATCTCTAACTAGGCATGAACAAACAGCATACATAAATGTTACGAAAAGCAATCAATATTGTACCAATATGAACTATGGAGCATCTAGCAGGAGACAGTGAGTGACTCACTCGTCTGGGATATGCTCCTCCTCTAGTCGAACGCCTCCCTCTTCTTGCTCCTGGTGAAGCGGCCCTCCTATGAGCAGGTCCTCTTCCTCGTTATTGTGCGAGTCTTCCCATCCTACTAGTACGAAGCTGATTAGCACCACGGCCGCGCCAACGATCACCTGCATCTTCGCAGGCTTCCCCAAGAGGAAATCTCCCAAGACAGCCAGAGGCATGGTCAAGCTCAAACCAATTGTCACTACCAGCGGCGTCGTCTTCAACATAGCGAGGACATAGATATAGTCGCTTGACAGCGTTATGCCCATCTAATAAGCAGTTAGAAAGCGGAAAATGATGCAACAAGCAGGTGCTGACATTGACGAGAAGAGCGACCACCGTCCTGCTAGTATATGGAAGCTCGAACCGCTCAACGCCGGTAAAATGCAATAGGATGCCGACGGGCCAGCACATGAGGATATTGAACAAGCCGACAAATCCAAAGAACAGTTGCATGTCGATACGCGATTCAGATTTGATCCGTACTTTGAGGAGGATCACGTAAAGTGCATAAAACAGAGCGGATAATAACGCCAGAACATCACCGAACGTCTGTGCAAGCGCAAACGTTGTGATGGGATTGCTCGGTGAAGGCGCCATCGGTGCTGAGGGAGCCGGCGGCCCAGTACTACGGCCCTCCGATGAGTCAGACCAAGATACTAAAAACACGCCCCCAAAGCTGCGGACATCATTTTCAGTTGATGCAACTATGATCCGAACTGTTAGGTTGCACCTTGTGACGACAGTACAGAACTTGAGGACAGTAAGAGATTCGACGCGGAACAGTCGACCGATTCCCAGTGTGAAGAAACCTGCCAGACTGCTGTCAGAACGTGAGTCTGAGCGATGATATTGACAATACCCACCACTCATGCTGGACAAGACAGTCGCGCTCGCGACACTGGTGTAATCAAGTGATGCGTTGACGGACCAATTCGCGATGAACCATAGTAAGCAGAAGAACACGGCCAACTCCGCTGTCTCTCGCACTGTCAGAGGAGATAGGTCCTTCGCTGCAGGAATGTCGCCGGATGCTTGATTGTTCTACAAATGAGTTGGATTCGGCAAGAAAACTATAAATGAATTGGCAATTTAACTTACCAAGGACAGCATCGTCTCTCTTGCATCCATGTTAACAACCAACGGCTCAGATTCTTCTCCCGAACTGCTCTCTAGATTGAACAACAGCTGCGGGTGTTCTTATTAAGCGCGCATACCTCCGCTCCCGCTGCAGCCTACTGCGTCTTCGTTCGAGCGATATGCGGATGGCATATGGCACAAGGTACAGTGCAAATGCACTAGTATTGAGATACGTGACACTATGCAAAACCCATCAACAGCAATCCCGGCCATAGGAAGCGGGGATCGTACAGGAACGGTTTCTCATATCCGTCTTCAAACAGACCCTATTCGTCACTGTAAGTCAGCCCAACTACCGAGCAATACATGACATACCTGAGTCACAAAGTTGCCCGATGTCCAGAGCACCACGACGATGAGAAGAAGGCAAATTCCGATGACATAGTCCTGTCTAGTAGCACTCTCCCTCATACGCGATCGTGACCTTCCTCGAGATCGTTCGCGGCCTAAGGGTGCGGGAAGTGTATCCATCTCAATGAAAGGACGAGATCTGTCGCTCTCAGACATTCAACATGGTGCCTTGATGGCAGTTGAGCCCCGCAAGACGCGACAAACCTGACGCGCATATCATACGACAGGTCACGTGTCAACTTGTGGCCAATGTCACTGGTTATGCGGCTTCCATTTTACTGGAGAGAAAGTACGAGTCTGACATGAGACGATAATATAACATGTGAACTAATGCTGCCATAAGTCATAAGTGTAGCAAGCGATCGATACAATAAGACAGTCGAAAAAGGTAGCTAATGCGCGAGAGCATTATAGAAATATTACTATCGGTACAAGAGCAATTAATGTGGCCAGAAGCGTCCCACGAGAACAAGTAAGTATGTATGCACACGAGTAATGTTTGAGCTTGGGAACGTCAGGTTACCGCGTTAGTGAGTATATGCGGTCAAGCTCAGCCTTGAAGTCTTCCTCAGCAGCCCGTCTCCGAATGTTGCCTTTAGTAGCCGTCCTCGGAAGAGTGTTCGCAGGAGCAACCAAAATCGCATCTGCGGACGCGATCCGCTCGTGGAGGTACCGCCGCGCGTGAAACGCTCGAATCCTCCTGTATATCATAGCCTTCAACTTTTGGGCATCCACATCGGCTGTCAACGACTCCACTATGAGAGCCGGAGAAGGTCGCCCAGTGCCGACGACCACACAGTTGGAAACAAGGTCACCACAGGTGGTATAAACGTTCTCCTCGATGGCTTTGGTGTTACACCGCAACGAAACTTCCGTCTTTATCCAGTCATCGTCCCGTCCATAATACACGTACTTTCCGGGAGACTGTTCGAAAAAGAGATCTCCGGTGTGGTAGTTTCCGTCGATGTCGCGCAGTGAAGGATGTGGGCAGTCGGGAGAGTGCGCCAAGACGACCAGCTCCAGCAGCCGTGCGTGGAGATTGTAATATCCGCTATCAGACTGCGGCGGCTGAGGCGCTGTCGCAACCATAGCGTATGAAGCACCTTCAATCGGTTGAAGGGGCGGAAGACGGCCATTAATGGCCTGTCCAGTCGACAGCATCATGACGGCAACCTCTGTGCTCGCGTAGCAGTCTAACACGTTGATGCCGTTGCTACGCACCCATTGTTGGTCCTCCGGAGACATCGGCAAGCCGGTGACTAGGATCTCGTCCAGTGCCTGCAAACCTGCAAGCAGTCTGGGATCCCGGCGCGAGTTCTTCAGATGCACACTCAGGAACGTGGGAAATATGTTCATGCGTGTGAGTCCACAGCGATGCATCATGTCGAGTAACTCGTCGGAGGAATAAGCCTGCTTTGTATATAGGACGGTGCAGGAGCCGTGTTCCAATGCCCCGGCGAGCATGAAGGATTGACCCATGTGACACAGGCTTCCCCTGCAACCACCATCAATATAATGACAGGCTCAAGATTACGCGGCTACGCACATGCACACCGCTGTGTCTTGCCGTGACGTACTCCGCGTTTTCGGTCTCATGATCTGCCCTGCCTTCATGATCGTAGTAGACCACCATGCGTAGGTACATGGCACGAGTTTCGGGCGGCCAGATGTCGAGCCGGAAGTGTGGAATAACATGATGATGTCGTCGGCGTCAGATCCCTCGACGACAGGAGGTAAGTCGATAGCGACTGGACTCGCTTCTCGCACGTCAACGGCTGCATATACAGGTAACGGGCACCGCCGAAGGGGCGACGTGAAGGAAGCATCATGAACAATCGCTTTCCCTTTCGAAAGGTTTAGCAACTCGAGAATTACTTCCGCGTTGGGTAATCGCAACGATATGAGCTGCGGGATGAAGCCAGCCCGGGCAATGCCATAGATGTGGAGGACGTCCACGTATGTCGTGCCTCCAAGCCTATATAGCACTTCTCAATACAACTTCATGCATACGTTCATGCAACTTACCACAAGCCAATTACTGATCCAGCGCTGATATCGTCGGCAGTTAACTTCCACAACCAATACCTTGCAGATCGTTCGACATCTTGAAGGAACTGCTTGTATGTTATAGATTGCCAGTGACGGATGTCGCTGCTGCTCTCGTCGACTTCTGGTACACGAAAGGCGACGTTGTCGGGGCACCGTCTCGCGGTCCGCTCGAGGATAGTGAGATGCGTTTGGTAGGAGAGCATAACAGGAGAGTGTGCCTATGCAACTGGACAGCTAGACCGTTTTTATGAGATGCAGATATGATGTGATGCCGATATGATGAGTAAGAGTCATCTTGTCCCAGCTCCTTGTTGTGTGTTCGCCGGTGGGCGGCGTGGCTGTTACCACAAAAGACTTCGGGCGAATGATTCTGCGGAGCCGCTGTCGGGTCGGGACAGTTGATGCAGAGCATACTGTGTCCTCGGGCATTCCCATAGTGTCGGGTCGCATCCACACACAGCTTGACACCTGTGCAGGCAGGTAGAATGAAGCATAGATATTCATCCGCCCAAACATAGTGACCATGACTCACTTCTGGTAGACGTTTCGAAATTGTGGTTGGCTCGGCACATCCTGCTGGTGTTGGAAGGCTGACCCAAACACCAGGTTTGGCTTACTTATGACAGGCTGTGAACGAGCTAAGCGAATCAGTGAGAGCGCCAAGGCACATACGCATCGGTGTCAGAAACACGGTATGATTTGAATAGGCCACGGAAACAACTTACACTGCATTGTTTTACGCATCAATTGATCAAACCTCGCGGTGATCTAACGGCGTCGGCAGTGACCCGTTTGAGAGACGTCATCAGCTATTGGCGAATCTCCCTGCATATTATCCTTTGGGACGTCGAAGAATGCTGGCAGGATGTCCCTCGGCCGACGAACTGCGAGTTTTCGAAAGCGATTTCCTCAAGCTGACCAAATGATCAGCTAACGTAGCTGCCGAGTACCCGCCTCCCAAGTTTCGATTGAGTCAAAGTTGCTGATTGGCAGAGGCAGTGCACATCGTTTTTTGATGGGAGTTGCTACTGTCAGCGAGGTCCCATACGCTGACCTTCGCTGCGGACGGGACTTTGCTAGCTTGATTTGGTAACTATCATAACCAGAGGCGCCGGCTCGCAACCTAGCAGAAACAAGTCTCAGTCACAGTCACATTTAGAGCCTCCATAGCTGTCGCCATACCTTCGTAGGCTCACGCGGGGAGGCCAGTCTAAGTATAACATTGAGGTGCCTGAGACTCGGCCACCCGGTGGACATACAAGAATTTTTGCGTTTGCGTTGCGGTGGCGGACATGCGTACCCTTGTGGCAGAGCCGAGAATATGTGCCTGTCAATCCCGCTGTTGTGTAGTACTTGCAACCGGGTGCTGTGAAATCTGGCACTTAGCCGCACCACTCATATTGGAGACTGACCCAGGTACTGAGATTAATGATGCCCGCCCTCGCTCATTCCGACCTTACTCAGCATGCCGCGTTATCGGGTCGGAACCGCACTGCATCATGTTACAGATGGTGCACATATGCTACCATTGATTGTTTGACCGGACCTGCGGCTTGGAGAGTTCATGTAGCATTGTAATTGTAATACCTTCGTGCACCATGCGCTCGCCTTGGTCATCTGGAATGGACCGAAAGGCGAGGCCACATCGCACACCTGTGCTATTCTCACAGACAGAGGCAGGTATGATTAGGACTTTCTTCTCACCACCTGAGTCGTCCGGATGGTAACTGGAAGGTGGGAGGTTGTTCATTTTAGAGCGGTCGTCGCGCGTTGAGCCATAGTCCAGCACTTCAATCGAGACAGTCAAGTGCCGGAGGTGCCAGAGACACGGCTATCTTCGTTTCGATGCTGGTGAACAATTTGTTGAGACACTGGGATGTCGTGCAACGAGCGTAGCTCGCTGCGAGCTGCAAGGCGTTTCACAGGCATCGAGATCGCACGATCGGGCTTCGCCGGTGAAGTGACCAGACTTGCAACCCAGAGCGAAAACCACGAGTCGAGATCATCGCCACCTCCTCGCCAGCACCGTTCGTCCCTCGACGGTATTTGCTGCATTTTCATGCTCAGACGGACTGGAAAAGCAGGCTCATAGCGCCATTCACCGTGCATAGGTGAGCAAAACGGACTTATGAGACTTTACTACGCGTTGATTCCGCCATTCCAACGCATTCCTCAAGGCGAGTTGGCACATCATCAGCCTTCACGTCAGGCCGGCTGTCGATGCTCTTGAGAGTTGTTCAGCTATCAAGGCAAGCCGCAACATGTCATCTCTCGGTGCCCTGCATCGCACGGTTTTCACCGCTGCAAATTGTCCATCTTCTCCATCATTCAGCAGTTCCACAATGGCAACCAGCATTGACTCATCGAGATGGGACACCACCCTCGCATGGTCCTCCAAAAGACCCGGGAGGAGATGGAAAGCCCTTGGAAAAAGTCGAACGTCGGCGGCAGCTGGATCTGAAGGGTCTACAAGGACATCATCCGAGGAAGAGATCGAGGCATGCCGAGGAAGGCATCTCGCCATTCACATTAATCATAGACGACCTCTTTCGCCGCCTTCGGTCAGACCCACGCGTGTTGGACAATGTTCGCGAAGAGGGTGCGAAGAAGGAACTGCTGGAACATCTCACCGACCGTGTCAAAGCTGCCGCACTGGCGCAGCTTATGGTGCATACGCGCAACCCGCGCCGGGCCATTGGCGTCCTCTTATTGGCCTACCGGTTAGGATGCAAATTCAAACAGAACGCGTACGAAGGCGTCGCCCATCAGCTGGCAAGTTCGAAACACTGGCGTCTAGTTTCGTCGGTCTTTGCGATGGGCAAACGGCAGACAGGTCGAACTACGGTCCGCATGCTCAATTGGCACGCTCGGGCGTTGATGGAAACAAAAGAATACGTATCTCTCGACAAGATCATAGAGATATTCGAACGGGAGGGACTGCTACCGAATCGACGAACATACCATATCCTCATATCTGCTCACCTGCGGAATCGAGATATGTTTCGTGCAAAGCAGTACTTGGCAGACATGGAAAAGGCTGGTTTCCCTGTAGACACGTCCACGCATGCGATCATCGTCTCATCGTATCGCCCACTGGGACCGGATCCTGCTGTGCAAGCAAAGGCCCTAGATGTGTTGCGCGAGGCTGCGGCTCCATCGTCCACCGTCATTCTAAACAGCTTAATTCAACTGTCGTTAGACGCAGGCGACCTGCCCGCCGCTTATCGTTACCTAAACATGTGCAATCAGCGTGCTCAACACGTGAAACTACGTCCTGTCGATGGGGACGATACCACCCAGGCAGGCGGAGAGACGCCTCGGTTAGGGTCAGATCGTACTGGGAGACCTGAAGCGACGAGTCCTACATCGGAGCCTATGTACGATGTCGTCACCTTGACGATGATGATCAACCACTTGGCGAAGGAAGGTGACCTTTCTGGCATCGCTCATGTCCTCCAGCTTATGGATGTGACGAATATACGGCCGGATAGCAGCATGATTGCTGCCTTGGTCCGGGCATACGTCAAAGCAGAACGGCTGGACCTTGCTATGCAGACCATTGCTGAAATGTGTCGGAATCATCCCGAACATGAACGGCTGCGCGAACTGCTTCGTCTTGTCGGCCTGGCCAACCCAGAGCAAAAATCGGCCTACGCTGCTGAGAAGATAAACCCATCGACAGAAGTATTCAACGCTATCCTTCCTGGCGTTCTCAAGGCTCGTGGGCTGCAAGGGATGCGTATCATTCAGAGGATCATGCGAATCGTTGGGGTGCAGTATGACGAGTATACCCTTCAGCTTCTCCTGTCATATTTGGACAAGGTAGAGCATGCACGGCCACGCGAACTGATTAGGTGGCTCAGACGACTAGAGTCTCGGGAACGGCCTGTGTCTCTGCGACATCTTCATACCATCATGCGCATTCTGCTCCGCTGGGAGAAGAAGCAGTCTCGGTTGGGAGCCCGTGGCAAAAACAGTCCCCTGCCCATGGAGGACCGCGAGGCACCGGATAATACCATCTCGGATGCCGTTCAATCGTACGATCCTGTGGCTGGGTTTGTATTCCCCCGTAAATTGTCATATAGGGCGCTGGTACGACCGCTCCTCGAATCATTGCAATCCCGTGGCGTCAAGGGTGACAGGGCGGCCTTCGCGCTGAGGATCAGGCAAGATGCGTTGATCAGGGCAGATATGGAGATGGCGAAGCAATCATTTAATGCAATGGTTAGCCGTGGTCTCCATCCCAACGAATATCACTTTTCCGCATTAATGGAGGGCTATGCGGCCGCTGGCGATATGGATCGTGCGTCGGATGTCATGCAGTCTGCAATCGAATCGGGGACCCGGAGAAGCGTCCTCATGTACACTATCCTTGTCTGGGGCTATGCTCGCCTGCGCAAACTGGCGCCGGCTCTGCGCATGTTCCGCAGGATCGTGGCTGCCGGCCTCCAGCCTGATGTAGTTGCGCTGCACGTGCTGGCGCAAGCATTCATCGCTGCCAAAGCTCGTGGGCACGCGCGTCGTTTACTCCTGCAATTGTGGCCAACCGTCGCCACGTTCTCAGATGAGTTGCAGAACGCGTCGCTTGAAGAGCTCATGTCGAAACTGGCCTCTCTCAGCGAGAGCGGTGTTCGCACCCGGGAACGGTATTCCAAGCAACGACAACGGATGCTTCGTTGGAAGGTACTGAGGATTATACAACGTTGGCAGTGGTCTCTGCCAAGGGGCAGGAGACGGCGCGAGAAAACCAGGCCGACACATGATGTAGCGATACAAACGAAGGACGTTGTCCAGCAATGAGAGATTCACTCAGAACCATGGGGGGAACAGTAAGAGTACAGGCAGTAGATCCGCTTTCAGTTCATGAGACGTAATAGCTTACTCGGAACGTCGTTACATACGGAAGTTACTCATTCGACCCGGAACAGGGAACTTTGCATCCAGTATCCGTAGTGCATCACGGACCCCATCTGCCATCACCTCCCGTACCCGCTGACGTCCGCAACTAATGAGTACCTCCTGGGGTACTAGCTGAGGTGGTGGTGAGCGAGGGGCTCCTCCCATTCCTCTACTTTCGTCGTAAGTTGCTCGAGGGTCCGAGAACGAATGCTGCGAGTGCTGGTTCGTATTTGCATGCGAAACAGTGCCTGCGGGCGGTGAGAGCGCGCGTTCAGGTGTCACAGATCCTGGCGCTGGGAGAATCTCGACACGAGGACCGGTGCACTTCGACCTGCGAGCGACGACCTCAGCGAGGAGACTGAGATCCGCGAACGCGACGTTGGGATGGGACTTCAACTGGCGCCAAGCATTGTCGCACGAGATCGTTTCAGATGTCGACGGTTCATCAGTCATCATCATTGAACCATCGTTGCCTCCCAAGGACGCTGGTGCTGACATGTCCGCAGTCGCCGGGCTACAATCCATGCCTCCGCATGCGATGGGGTTTCCGCAGCAGCCATTGACAGCAGCGCCGTCGTTCGAAGCTTGCGACGGGTCAGGGCAATACCCGCACGATGACGATGTCGAGGCGACAGTCTTGCTGATGGCGTCGCAGAAAGCCTTGCCGAACGCATCGTCGGCACAAGCCAGACAATTTGACGGATCACCAGAACAAGTAACGGCAGCGTTATTCGAAGCGATCGGAGCTGGGGAGATCGGGAAGATAGGGCGAGCCGCCTGTGCGGGAGCTCGCCTGCGCAAGGGCACCGGGGCTTGATACTCCGGGAGATTTTCAAGGATAGAGGGCGGAGCATCGTTAGGCAGAGCATTGCTCTGTTGCATGTCAGAGTGATCAACAGCTGCTGCTGATATATTAGACAAGGATAATTGCTCCGAAACCTGCTGCATCGTGATGTCCTTGCAGACGCAGGTGGAGGTTGCATTGCAGAACCCGCATGACAGAGGCCCGCCGTCGAACAGCGCGCTTTTGGCGTCCGCAGAGAAGTCGAACATGTTAGATAGGGGGTTGTTCATCGATGTTTCCTGAGGTGAGGGGATGCTTGGAAGGGGAGAGAAGCTGGTGTGCGATGAAGTATTGGACCGTGGGGACGATCCAGACGACGACGGGGACGATGCGTCGTACAGCCCATTCATGCCTTGTGAGAAAGTGCCGCTCTGACGTTCGGGGGAGATTTTGCTCTTCTTCCTAGACAACTGGGCCGGGGGGAGGCTTGGGGAACGAGGAGCAGAGTCCACTCGCGTCCTCTTCTTCGGAGCCTCCTGCGATGCCAAGCACTCCTCGAGCTGAGCAACCTTCTCCTTCAGCCGAGCGTTCTCTGCTCGCAGCCTCTCATTCTCCTCCTTGAGCCGCTTCGCAATGTTCTGCAGGGCGACATTGCGCTCGACCTCCCCTTGCTCGTACTGTTGCACGCGAGCCTGGAGCTCCGCAAGCTGGGACTGCTTGCGCTCACGAAATGCGCGCTGCGCGGCTCTACATACGAACTGAGTACGAGATGGCTCAAAGGCAGTGATGCTGCTCACCTATTCTGCACGCGCCGGCCCTTGTTGTCCGTCTACGCCACCTAATATCGATGAACGGTTCTTGACTCGCAACGGCAATGCAAGACTGACCTCAGACAGCTCCTGCGTCGCTAGAGCGGAATCTTTCTTCGGCTTCCTCCCAGGCTTGGGTTTAGCCGGGATAACCCACTCCTTGGATGCTGATTTGCATTCAGCTGCTGGGACAGAAGTCATGGCCTAAATATAGTTTACCTGTGGCCCATAGGGTCGTCGAAGACGAGACGGTGGTTGCGCTCATGTTGCATACACACGATCCAAGCCGAGAAACACGTCGCGGTGTGAAGAGCAGTGGAAGGACGCGACCGAGGCTGGGACTGGAATGTACAGGTGGGAGAGCTGAGGAGGGCCCCGAAACGACGAAGGCTCGTCTGATAAGATAACAGGATCTCGTTTTTATCTACTCAGGCTCGGAAGTCACCGGGTTGCCGATCTTGGCACAGCGCCCGTCGCGTGACTTGCTCCGTCGAGGAGGTCGTGCCAATCCCATCCTCCTCGATTCACCGAGGAGTGCTTGCTATGCCATATACTTCAGAAATCCACAACCGGGCGGCGCAGTTAGAGACCCCACTTTTTGCCTTGGAACTTCTGCGCTATCAGCTGGGGCCTTTTGGGGTGCAATACAAACATAGCGGATGTGCATCCCGACGCGCTGTTCTACTTCCACCTCTGGCATCAATTCAGCATCCGGATCCGGCTCGGGCACGCCTTCCCCCTTGACTTGCGTTTCGTGGACTTTGCAAGCAACTACGTCTCGAGTATCTGGGCCGATCCTCCAGCTTCCAGGCAGAGAAGCCCGAAGACGCCCCGGTAGTCCGGTACCCCATTCAATTCCACGACTTGCCATTCCAATTCAAAACTCGAGCTCTAGAGGCGCTGTACAAATATCTCACAGGCGTCGTGCCGTGGAGGTTGCCAGCCACCATCATCCCGCCCTTGGTGTGCCTTACCATCGGATAACCAGCTTTGTGCTACATTGAGCTGTCAACAGTGGGATCAACTTGAGTTGCAACCTTGACATGTCTCATCGCGCTCGAGCTAAGACGTCACTGCATGATTTTGTATGGGCGCGCTATTATCAAGACCTAGGCTCATGCCTTGCCGAACTTCGGCTGGCGTAGCTGTATTGTAGCGTCCACCGTAACACACGCTAGCGGGGCTTAAGGGTGGTGGCCACTTCCTCTTGATGGATAGAAGCCGCCGTTAATTGGTCACGTTGGTGGAAGGGTGCCATGTGTCTTGATCGTGCCTATCCTGGTTCTGTTACTGCAGCCGGTATCTATTCAGTTGGTGCGCCGTTGAAGCGAAAAGTTATCGCATGGTAATCGGTTGAATTAATATCGTGTGCCGCTTTCACCTTGTTATTTCTTAGTGTATTGCATCTGCCAGCAATAGATTTGCCGCCGGTAGCCATCTATGACAGACAGTCAGCAGGGAGACACAGGCCATGTGGTGCGGACATCCATTCTGCTCTTGGGTCAATCCGTTCCCCTTCAAGTGAACACTCGAATAAGCTTGTTCCTGACACGTTGTTCGTGATATACATCCGTTCAATGTCCGATGAACTCAGCATCGATATCTCTGCCTTCAAGGCCGCGCCGAATAGACTCTGGTGCGGGGCAGCCTGCATGCAACATCACGAGTTTCATATTTGCTCGCGCCAGCGTACAAGCAGCGCCCGTAGAGAAGCGATGTATGGTCGCCGATGTTCATACGTGAAGTTACTCGATGTCTACCTAACCAGAAAGTGCAATCTCTGCTTGGTCTATTTCGGCGCGTTTTAGAGCGTGCAAAGCATATGGGCCATCGCAGAAATACATAGTCCGTTTCCCATGTGAGAGTCGTGGGCCCAGCGACTAGCCCTCCGATGGCAGCGGCACCGACTAATTCTTCCGCGACGCTAGTAGACCTCGCAACATTGCCGGAGGATCACAGGTCTTGACCGCTGTTATCAAATGCACGCTCTCTTAGAGGATCGTCTAGGCTGAGCGTTCGGGCAAGTTGCCGGACGGGATCTTGGCATGGTGTGGATGATAGCCTATAAAGGATGACGCAGTGATGCAACGCAAGAACGCATGGGCTCAGCGGCGATTGCACCCAGCGCAGCTTCAGAAGAGCTTGTGGCTCGACCGGATCTGCTTTTAGCGCTCTTGCTCCTGTCCGCCACACACGCGTCCGTCACGTGCACCGTCATGGAGACAGTGTTGGTGAACGCCGAAGACGATGCAGCCACTACGCACTGCGCTCTGGTAAGCTTCGATGTGTCCTCCGTGCTCTGCAACATATGTCGAGAAGCCAAGATCACATGTGAATGCATAAGGCCTGTCTCCGATTTCTGTCGCGAGCCATATCCTACTCGCGCTCAATTTGTGGTAGCACAAGGTATCGTGCATGCTGATGCAACCAACTCAAACCGAAGGTGAGCTTCATATCGGCCATCATACATGCATTGGCTGATGAATGCAGAGACGGCCGTCTCTGCCGCTACTATGTTGGTATGAATTCCAGATGTAAGTCCCAATCACAGCACATACTTCAACCTGAAGCAAACGAGCCCTCGAGACTGCCAATAGCGGTGTTACGAGCATGCCGCGTGTGATCTCGTTGCGATCCATGATCCTTGCTCTACGATCATCCGCCGCTAGGAGAGAATGCATGAGCTACATCGAACTGTAGAAGACTCAGTCGTCTGCCTTCTCCTTCTACACGCATATGCTTTGCACCAGACCGTGAGCCTATTATTTTGTTCCGATCTCGAGGTCTAATTATCATCAGACCTTGAGTTTGTGTCACCAACATTAGTTGGATTAGCACGTAGACCTCTTCGCCATTTATTTGTGATGCACAGGCCGGACAAGGGATCGGGTATCCTTGACAAGCACATGCGGCTGCCTGGCTAGTATTTGTGCATACCACTACCCTGGTAACCTCTTGCTGCTATTGGCTAACAGGCTCCTGTGTGCTTGTGTATGCAGTATCTTCTATTGATCAGGACAACATCTATTCAATGATTGAACAGCTTTCCTTCTAGATCTTCTACGGGACGATCATCGCAATCATCACCGAGATCATGGCAATGGGATCGTGAAATGGCGCTCGCCGCCACCTTTTATCGAGGTCCCTACCTGGTGGTTCGATCTTCTTGATGCCCGAGTGCATCCAGGCACCTTTACTGAGCCTTCTTGATTTGCCAGTGAGGATACGGCGTTCTGTTAGTGTAATAACTCCGGTTCTGCCATGTGCACGACAGCATCTTGCTTTCATAAAAATGCAGACAATGCTGGAAATGGGGCCGTAATCTGTGGTACGGTACCTCCTTCGTGAGCGAACTGTCGGACGCGCTCGATTGATATCATCATCTTAACGCCGAATGTATGGAATGAGACTACTGCGGCCTTCTTCAAACCGTATGTGACTGTATCGATGGCACATTGCGAAATCTGCTGATTACACGCTCATGGACTCCCCAGAAATGCGGTAAACTGTATTACTTTGTCATACTGCAGGTCTAAGGATAGGAACCGGGCAACATGGACAGATTGGTCAGCGTCGGGTAAGCTTCCACTGTTCATCGGCTTGAATATCATATGTTCACACTTCCGTACATATCCTACGCTACATCCTTCTGGGTAAGAAGCAGTTCCGAACCATGATCTTCAGATGCCAACTTGACACATGTAAGCTGGCGCTGACACACAAATTTCTGTGCCGATTGAGAGCATTTCTGCAGAAGAAAAACCTTGCTTTCTGATGACGGTTTCCGATAAACTTTGAAGTATGTGTAGTCAATGAATGTCCCCATGCTGCGGTCTGTGGGACAGTGGGTTCGCTTGTCAACCCCCCTCTCGTGCTCGTTTTGACAGGATGTGTCTTTGTTTATGGGGTGTGGTTGACCCTGCTTTGTGCCGGCGACTATCAACCGATGTGGTGAGATTTGCGGGCGAGGGGAACTTCGATGAAGTTCATGGCTGATCTGCGACAGCAAGTGTCACGTAGTGAATTTGTTGGAACATTGAGGGGTCTTCATCTCAGAATTCGGAGATGCATCGCATGAAGTGGTTCGAGAAATTAATATATGCATGATAAGAGGTCAGCTATGACTGCTCGAATGTGCAGTTTCGACCCTAACCCACAGAAAGGGCGTGTAAGTAGTACAGTCACGTGCCAGACCTTCCGGTTTTTCTCTCGAAGTGCTTGTGGCTGCTGGTGGAGTTTCTCTGTGTCGATGTCGGGACGAATTCTGCAACAAGTCCGACTTACTCACTCAGTCCGTTTTGCAGCATTTGCTGTTCCTCGTCGAAGATGCTACTCGTCTCTTGCTCTCAAGACACACACCCCCGATGTCGAGCAAAACGTATCGGAACCGGTCGCTGGCTCAAGCTATGAATCGCTGACGGAAGCACGTCGTTATCCCAACAATCTCGATACACGCTTGGGTGCAGATGCGGCAGAAAGCTCTGAACGGTTAGACGGGGGCTCTAAAAAGTCGCGTCAGAAAGGCGGAAAAAACTCCGAGGAGACCTCAGAGGCATCATGGCCCAATCGCCTCGGTCCGAAGCCAAGCAAAGTAGAAGAGCATCTTGCTTCGCTGAGCATGGCCGGCATGGAACCCACTCTCTGTGATTTGGAGAATTGTCGCCCGGAAACGACCCCAACTCCTGACTCTCCGGAATACGCGACGCGATATAATGCCCTAGTCGATTTGTTGTGCCGTTCCTTTAGCAGGAAACAGCTACGCGGTTTCCTAGAAGAAAGGGATCCGACAAATTCGTTTTGCTCCTCGAAACGGAGGAAAGTTCAATACGCAGAAAGCATTATTGAATTTATGTGGGACTGGCCGAGTCTGAAGGATATCGAGAGGGAAAAACGCGATCGTACAGAGGTGTCTGTTCAATGTGAGGATGCACTTTTCAAAAAAGATGGATTTGCTTAATTCTTCTCAGCATTTCCTGTCACCGCGAGCGAACTTTTTTTGCTGCTCGGCAAAGGTATGCTTCACATCTGATTCTCATACAACTACTTTAGACTGGAGGATGGACCCGTGCAGATGGTGCCGATCTATTGGACATGTCATTCAAATACAATGTGCACATAGCACTTGCACCTGGCCCTCTTTCCCTCAGAGTCGAAGGTCTACGGGACTCGCTGAAAACGCTCGCAGAAGAGATCCATCACATCAAGCAGGTAAGCCTTTTGTACCGCAGGCGCATCGCGAATCTTGAGCTTTCTCCTGCAGACCATCGTGCAAGACACCTTCCAACTACCTACTCGGCAACCTGTACGCTCGGACATGATACAGCGAATATCGCGGCTAGCAGGGGCCTACCTGGAGAACATAAGCTCCGAAGGGACCGTGAGCAGAGGAAATGACCTATATACACGCAGTACACTCATTATGCTCGTCAGATTAGAATGTATTCTCGAAATGCTCGAAACCTTGAGATTGCGAAGTGGCTGGCAAGTCGTGCAGGCTACGAGGTAGGCTTCCCGTGGATATTCAGATTTCGGAGACTTAAGGATGACCCAGTTCAATCAAGACATGCCATATTCCCGATTGGCGTATATTCCTACTTCTAAAGTGGAATCTGAGCCACCTGTGATGTTGTTCCCATCCACCTATTCTCTATATCCTTTCCTGTCCCCCCGGCCACTACCGTGGACAATGAACACCAGCGGCGCCTTCCGTGTGAGGCGAGTTTCTGAACGGCTCGGGGGTGGGTACGGTGAAGATATACAGGCTACGGGAGGCTTAGCCGGGGAGAAAGGCCGTATCTTCACAATGGCGCAGTAAGTATTAAGCGACTAAATGTTCCTCCGTTCCTGATTTATCAATATGTAGGGATGCCGTGGGTCTGCGGGACATGTTATTCAGTAATCTGCCAGGAGGGCCCTTGTCCCTAGGCCCATCGAGCCGAGTCGTGAAGGCATCGTTAGTGCACCATCGGACTTGAAACTTAATTCGCACTAATGTCTGGATCGCAGCATGGGTCATGTCCTTATCACGACGACCTCTCCGGGCCAGCATGCTAGTTTAGTACCTCCACTTCAAGGCAACCGTGCTTTCAGCGACATCCTTAAATGGATGGCTGACGATGATATTCGATCTTCTTTCGTGCCAAGGTATGGATCGCTTGTTTTACTGCAAGCAGACCCTCACCGAGGAAAATGATCAGTTTACCGACTGTCATCGTCGACACCATACCTTCGCACCAGCAGACTATACACCGGCTGCTATACCATGCCATCTCATCCCCGGACAGCAATCATTCGACATGCCGGACGCGCGACCAGGCTGCCTCCCGCGTGGACAGAATTCTGTGTTACGAGATCACTCTTGCCTCGCCTCGTCTGGCTGCTTCAGAGCCCGCGCCGGATAGCGCAGCTTCCGAGACCCCGTCAAGCTCGCTGGACGGAACAACAACGAGCGAAGCACTGTCAGAAACGCAGGAAGCAGTGGCAAGAGAAACTCCGACAGGTCCAGCTGAAGAGACGGCGAGCGAAGCGCCATCAGAATCTACTGAGACGGCTGCACACGAGTTGTCATTAATTACCCGTCTTCGATGCTGGGCAGGTGTCCAGACCGAGGTGGATCTCATGATGCCGGATCGGTAAGCTACTTGCTCCCGCCGTTCAGTCGTTACTGAGAATATGTAATTACTCAGTCCGATGGACATGAAGCTTACGGCACTGGAATCTACCACCATTGAGTCTGGTCAGGAGCCCTTGGAGCTGCGTGACTACGTTAAAAGTTTCCGAGCTTTGTGAGCCCCCTTTAGTAACATGTTGGAATCTGAAAAGCACTGACTTGTGCAACAGCCTCGAGGAGGACGCAGCACAGCCTGACCCGCCATTGAGGTTGGATCACGGCGGTCAGACATTCATCCTGCACACTAGTGCCAGCGTCCGGCGGAGTGTGGAGGACGTGAGGATGCCGGACAAGAGATTACAGCCTGGGAACGCGGCCGAGCCTCTCACGATACGAATAGTCAGCGAGAGCATCTCAGACCTGGAAAGTAACCAAAAGTCGACACAATGCGAGGTGAGCTGGTGCGCTAAGCCACTTACGATGCGCCTAACTTTAGCGGTAACAGATAACTTGCGATAATCACACGTCCGAGGAGGGCTGGAAACGCTTCTTGGGCGACTGCGATATGCTCACTTCTTCCACTTATCGACCTATAGGCGTTGTTGTATTAGAGCAGGATCAAGATGTAGCGCTTTGAGGGGTATTGGATTATACATGCGTGGGACAAGGTGCAGATCTATCACCTAGATATTGGGGAGTAAGACGAGAGGTAAAAGAAGTCGATCAGGTCCGTTTGCGCTTTTTGTTCGCGCGCTCTTGCCGTTTGCGGGCTCGGACCTCCTTCTTCATCCTCGCATCCACCATCACATAACGACCCTTTACGCCCTTCGGTCTGCCCTTAATACCTCTGTGCGAGCCCTTAGCTACGACCAACTTGACCTCCTTTTTATTTTTCTTGGCCATTCCCTTGAGCATAACTTTTTCGATCTGTTTCGCTTTTTCCTTTTCTGTCATGTCAGCTGTCTCGTTCACGCCCTCTGCCTTCTTCATTGCCTTCGCGAGCCTCTGAGCTGCCTTGAACTTCTTCCGGGCCTTCGCCTCCGCTATTTTCTTAATAGGCCGAGCGTCGAGAGCACGCATCTTGGCCCGAAGAACAGCGATAGCTTCTTTAGTCACAGGAATGTTCGGCTTGTAGTGCTTCTCTTCATCGTCCAGGAACCAAGAGGGAAGGCCGTCCTTTGCGTTCAATGAGTAACGATTGAAACCTTCATTGATTAATTGTGTCCGCGTCTTCTCCCTATTCACCAGCTGCTGCGCGATAGTCACAGCTTCGGGAGTGATGAGGCCGTGATCTGTCAGGGAACGAGCATTCATGAGCGAAATGAATGCACGAGGTATTTCATGGAGCTAACTTCGGATCCTAGCGTGCTTCACCTCCTCCTCATTTTCGCGATCCACGTCCCACATATCGGCGTCGTCGTCGGTCTCCCGCGGTACGATTTCGAAGTCGTCTTCCTCGTCGCCCAAATGAACCTGAAGATTATGTCAAATTCGGAGTACTCGTTCCGGAGAACACAGCATCGCTTACCTCGGTCTCAGGAGCATCACTCTCGGACAGCTTCATGCCCTCCTCTGCCTCCTTTTCACTTTCCTCCTCATCCTCATCGACATCGATGTCCTCACCTGCGAAACAATCTTGGCTGAACCAGACTTGTGCTGAGCGGCTGAGCTGTGTATTCTTCGAGGGCGGATTGAGGGTGGCTAGAGTACGCGCCCGTTTGCTGCTTGGCGCAACGTCTGCGTCCGCTCGCCTTTTCCTCCCAGAAGGTAGCGGGTCCTCGTCTTCTTCGTCGCTAACATCCGAGCTTGAGTCCTCTCCCACTCGTTCTTTAAATTTCTCCATGTTGTCCCAGCCGCCTTCTTCCTGGCTCTCATCCTCATCCTCCTCATCGCTATCCTCGGCCTTGATGCCGCCCCATTCCTCTCTGCTCTTGTCGTTCTTCCTCGCCTCCTTCACCTTGTACTTCGTATCTCGTTCGCGTAATCGTGCCCTGTATGCGTCATATAACCCATCTAGCTCTGCTTCAAGACCCTTGACTTTCTTCTCTCGCTCTTCTTCAGAATCCAGCTCTTCCTCTTCGACCTCGTCCGCCTGCGAGGCATCGTCCTCGCTATCCGCGTTATCTTCACCTGCGAGCCTTGCTGCACCATTCCTACTCTTCAGAGTCTGTGTCGCCTCTTCCAATGCGAATACATCTTCCTGACCAAATGCTAGTGCGGCATCGCTTTGTTCCATACCGATGTCGAGAGGCACGGTCATCTGAAGCTGCATGCGCTGAATCGTCCGCGTCTTGATCTCGTTGGCACGGCGACGTTCTCGCTTCACTCGAGCTGCTGCCTCAGCGTTTAGCCTCTCAAGCTGATGTTCCCTGTGAGTGAGGCACACTATGAGGAACTGTAAGATCGCTCCCCACCTCATTTTGGATTTGCGTCTCCTCGTCGACATCGTCGGTGATCTCCACCGTTTCAGTCAACTCCTCCGCAAGTTTAGTCTTTATATCCAGGCCCAGCTACAAGTCAAGCATTAAAGCAGAGAAGCGAAGCAGATACGACACAACATACCTCTTGACGCAGCGCGATGCGCCATTTGATGAGCGTCTTGAAATCACCCTTGCCGAGAACCTTGAGATCCTCGCAGTTTGCAGTGACATCGGGCGACGTGACATCCAGCTTGAGCCACCTAGAACCAACCAACATCAAACATTGTTTGAGAATCCTGGAATAGACTCCATACTCTTTCTCCTCCTCCGTTTCAAATGTAATCTTGTTGAAACTGCCAAGGAAAGTGACCGGATCCTGGCACCTAATGAACTCCGCAGCACCGGTCTTCTTGAACAGAATGTAGTCGCCATCGTCGTAGCCGTCACGATGCCGACGCTTCTTGTCGGGCTGGAATACATTCGCCTGGTGCTTTGCGGAGGATGTTCCAGCTCCGCCAGTAGCGGAAAGAGATGCCGATAGATCTTTGAAAACATCTTTGGGGTCGAAGAACTTGGGGTCGATGTGTTTTGGCGCGAGAAAATCTCTGCACACGACGAAGATCTCTGCAGATACGTTTCTGAACGGTAATCAGAGCAAGAACCCGTACGTATACAACAGACAGATACCTAGAGGATGGGGGCTTCGTGGCTTCGACCTTGCCAAATAGTTGGTTGAAAACCCAGATGAGGTTATTGTAGTCTGCGCTCCGAAAAACCTTTGTTACGAAAGTGCCGCCCTTGATGAGGAACTCCGCGGCAAGTTTCACACTCCTGAGCACCAGCTCAGATTGGCTGTACGCATCCTGCACCCATGCTGTACCGACATTGGGGGCACCATCGTGAAGAACGACGTCGGCCTTCCAGTCCTTGAGCTCGTTACGAATAAGATTTCGGCATTGCGTGGTAGTAATGTCCGAGGCGAAGGTGACGACTCTGGGGATTGGCTTGATTGAAACCAAATCCACGCCTAGCAAGTTGCCGATTTAGTCTGAGAGGAAAAAATACGTATGTAAAGGAGCACCAACCGACTATCACACTGTTCACCGGCATGTACTTGCTCGCCACCTGCAGCCAACCGCCAGGAGCAGCACACAAATCGATACAGCATCGTGCGGACTCCAGGAACGAGTACTTTTTGTTCAATTGAATGAGCTTGAAGGCAGATCGAGCGCGGTAACCCTGCTCTCTGGAACGCAAATCGGTCGATGACCCAGTGACATCTTTATGTTAATTCACTCACTTTGCAAGCTTGTAGTACTTGTCAAGACGACCCTTCCCGGTCTTTTTTTGCGCCTTACCCATGGCGAACAGAAGGCGAAGTTTTAGATCAAAGGGCCGACGGCAACTTGACGCTCCCGCTGCAATTGCCTGTTAGTGCTTATTTATTCCTGCCTAATTTGGCACTCAACGCCTCCGTCAATATAAGAGCTAGCCCTGGACCATTGCAAATACGTACGTTTCCAACATGCCGACAGCTTCAACGCCCCTCCTCCCTTCTCTTCCCTCATCTTTCCCTAATTCCAGACTTCTATGGAAGACTGGCGCTATACTAGGTAACAGTCGACGTGCTCACTTGGTTTCAGTGGAGTACTGATGAGAACTTGCGCGCGTCTCCTGCACTATGTGACGCCTAGCTGGCGTGGGCATGCTATTTGGAGCATTCGGGGCTCACGGTCTCAAGAAGAGACAGGGTATCACTCCTGAGAACATCAACGCATGGGCCACCGCTTCCCACTACGCGGTACGTTTTTTCTTTTGGTATCACGCACAGTTCGCGAGTCGCGCCATTCCTCGGGGGTCGTATGGTGGACACAACTGTTGTGTCGGGGCGTTACCGCACTCTCTTAACTTATCCACACGCACTGTTAACACACTGTCTCAATAACAACCTCAGATATTCAACGGGCTGGGGCTGCTGTTGGTATCGTTACATCCTCGTTTTGCAACGCACAAGTTTGCGGGCCCTGCTATCGCTGCCGGAGGCGTTGTGTTTTCAGGGAGCATCATAGCCCTGGTCCTGGCTGGTGACAAGTATGTGACATCATGGCTACTATTGATAAGGATGCAAATGGACATAATACTTCCATTCTCGCAGACTCAGATGGATGGGTCCAATCACGCCGCTGGGCGGGTCGCTGATGATCGCTGGGTGAGTGAACCGGCAACCTTGTTGGTAATAGTGCAATACCGAACGAATGATCGTGCAGATATATTGCTCTCGCCCTCTGATCCCGACTGTAGTATTGAGCATTGGATATCTTGTACACTATTGTAACATGCTATGTTCTACGAGGAATTTCACCGCCGCTCTCATTGCTTTATCTTCGTCGTCATTTCACGGGGCAGACAGCTGTGTAGAGAATCTACTACTAGAGATAATATCAGGCTGTGCGCGGGAGGATACGGACGCACACGCGCTGGCCTCATTTACGGTCACGTGCACGACGCGTCGAGCGCGTCATCTCCGCTTGAAATTTCTGAGAGTGTGTTGAAGCGGCCGCTTGCTTCCATCCTCCCGGCCACATCCCCGCTCTCCACCCTCGTGTTCCCCCCTCTCCTCTCCTCCTCGTTGCGTCCCTTTTTGTCCGCATTGCCGGAAACAATCTTGTGCTGCAAACGTTGGTGACATCTTTCGACACCGACACCAGCTGTTGAAAGTACTCGATTAGTGCATCATCGCTCTTCACAATGTCCGACAGACAGCGTATCCCCTTCCAATACTCCTCTTCCTTCAGCGGTATGCCTAACAGCGGCTTCAGTCGCTCACTCAAGCGACACCTCACCGCTCCGTCTACCGATTCTGCATACTTCACGCCGTCAACAAGCATGCTCCCCTCGCGTTACTCTCAATCACAACAGCTAGACCTTCAGAACATGCCCAAGGAGCCTACGCCACCGTCGTCAAGCGCACCCCCCTCTTCCCGCTCTCACGTCATAACGCGTCACAATTCTATCGGCGTGAACGGCGTTCAGGTTCTGGACCCTTCCCCTTCCGACCCCGGCGCACTCTTCATTCACCCGCCTTTCACCGTGTTTCCCGACGCTGATAAGCACAAAGATGGCCTAACCTACAATCTCATGGCCACAAACCCAGAGTGGTTCCTCGATCCAGCCGATTTCATATCTGCAATCAACGACAACCCGAACGCGATCCGCTACCCTCCTCAGCTGGAGCCCCCTCGAGGCTGGTGTCCTGCCAAGAAGAAAGAGCTCAAAGATAGCTGGCCTGAGGGCGAGGAGCCTCGTCTGCGGTGCACTTTCTGTAGGCGGACATATGCAGGCGTGAATGCCAAGAGCATGTGGAGACGACACGTCTACGAAAAGCACAAGATTGCTATGGCCAATCGCCGTGATACTTCAGACCGTAAGGGTGCCCGCTGTGCCAACAGTGAGTGCGTTGAAAACGGCGTCCGTGTATACATCGATGATATTTTTCTTGTAGAGGAGAATAAGGATGATGGTCGCATGGTCGGTCGCCGAGGCTCCAGTGATGGTGATGACGACGTGTCCCAATCTCGACTACCTCGTTCCAGCACATTGGGGGGTGACGGCCCGTCTGGCTCGTCTAACGGGCATGACTACTTCAATTTGAGTCAATCTTCTTCCACTCCTCCTCTTACCCCGGGTCATTCCCCCTCAAAGTCCGGGAGTGTAGGGGACACGAGCATCGAGTCACCTTACAATCCTCTTTCGACCCCGTCGTTCCGTCATTCGCCGGCACGGCTTCCATCCGCTCAACCGTGGCGATTCCCGAGCCCCAGTCATCCCCTACATTCTAAAGTGAGAGAGATCTCCTTGGCCATGCTCGTCCGAGACGGGAGTAGTCCTCTTGTCAGTGAACTTGACGTGAGCTCCTCTGTACTCGCCCCTACCAGCGAACGGGCGAAGCGAAGCCTTTTCAGCAGCCCCCTCGTCGCACCAGGGAACAAGGACGAGGATGTTCACGTCCTGTCTGTTCCCTCACCCGCTCCGTTCTTTGACACCCCATTTCCGCTTCCTCTTGCCGGTAGCACTCCTCTAAAGGATTTCAAGCTGCCTTCATCTCCAGCTGGTTTCCCAACGCATAGCTCGCCCAAGCAGAAATTGGCATCTCTGACTGATGTGATCCGTAACTGGCATTCGAACACGCCCAGCTCGCCTATGAGGCCCACACTTGATAATGCCGGATTGTTGGACCCCATTGAATTGACAGGTGACGAGTCCTTCACCGCCAGCCTCTACGAATCCTGGATTGATCTCAGCGCGACGACCGATGAGAGTTCAGAGCAGCAGAATGCCCCCTCCCGTGTTGTCGATGAAAGCCCAGTCGTTCGTTCGAATCCCCGGGGCACGCCTGCCAGCGCAGCTAAGACAATGCTTTCCGGTCTGGGTACCGGCTTGATGGATGCCTTCTTGTCGGGGAGAAAGAAAGCCAAAGCGAGGACCCGCAGTCGCACAGCGTCTGCCGGCGACGATGACGGTCTATTCCAGAGAAACGGCATCGGCAAGAGGAACAGACATGAATCGTGGTACAGGGATGACGAAATCGACGGTGAACTTGATCCCTCCCAACACAGGAAACGCAGGAAGACTGTCAACGGTCGCAACTGAGTCGACTGTCGCATCAAACCTGCCATCGGACACCGTCCTCGCGTTGGTTGCATCAGAAATACTATCCATCTCTCCTTTCTCTCATACAACTTGTCATAGCTTTGTCTCGATCTGCTCTATTGTTGTGTTCTTGCCTCGCTCTCCACTCAGCGGTTGCATATAGCCCCAGCCTCATTTTGATTCTGGCTTGGACTGCACACCGCCCCTATGCATTCCGTTCTATCTCTGTGTACAACAATCGTATCCTAGATGTCGGATCTTCTGCTCCTATTCTCTACTCTTGCCTTCGTCTCGTACTGTTGTTATCTCGTCACGATCTTCTCCACCGTTGACTGCTGCCTTGAGTAGGTCTCCGTTCGTCTCGCGATTATTGTGTATCTCTTGAACAGCGTCGCTTCCTGCCTTTTTGGATGACCTGCAGGCTACGTCACCACTAGTGTAGTATACTTGCAGTAGTCAGTCCTGTCTCACTGAAGTCTCTCGAACTCTTGTACATGTACAACATTGTGATGTATCGAGATACAATTTGCCGGTGTAAAGCTTCCCCTTGCATGATGAGGAGCAAGAGAAATCAGCGGTGGCCAACACTATCTCTGCAGCGGACATATATTCGGTACTCTTGTGGGGTCATACACATCGAGAACTGCCAGGAACGAGAGACATAGATAGACCAGCCAAGAGGACAAGGCAAAGACGCAGAGCAAATGAAAAGATGAGGAAGACCAAACCGAGACATCACATGCTGGGGAACTTACGCGAGAGATATGGATCCGGAAAGGGAACAGACACATATACAGGCAAGCTAGACGGACGTAAGTGAGTCGTTAGAGTCGTAAGCAGGATGCTTGGGTTCGTGACAGGGAACTAAGAGGGCCCTAGTGTTGACGAGTAGCCAGGGCACGAATTTCATATAGATATGACCGATCGAATTCCGGACGCGACGACGACAACCAGCTCTTCATCTCAGTGCGATGACGTTCCTCTGCACGACGGCAGCTCTCGATGAAAGCCTCGTCCACATCGCACACCATCGACGCCCGGGAACACCGATCGCTCTCACTCCCAGATAGCGAGAACCTGCGCGACGGGCTCGGAGGGTCGGTATTCGGCGAGCTAAACAGAGCACCGCCGGACACGCCTTGGCTCGGACGGATTGTCGCGCACTTCGCGTCCCAGTCGTCGTCCTCGTCGTCCGCGAGATCCGCGAAGACGTCGGGCTCGTCCTCATCTGCCGGGAGAGTGGATATCCAGCACATGCGTGCAGGGTCAAATACCATGTTACCGACTACTCGCGCGCCCGCGGCGGATGGTCTATTTGGGGAACCTCTGGATGAGCCAGTGAGATGAGTGATGAGCGCAGGGCGGATTGAAGACGCGTTGTCAAAGTCGCGTAATGCTTGATCGTTGCCCTCCCAGCGCATTGTACTGGGATTCCATTTCATGTCTCCGATGACTACAGCGAGTTAAGCATAGTAGCAGCAGCAGCATAAAGCGTCCCAGGCTGACCTTTTGGTAGACCAACACCGCCCAGGTTCCTAATGAGTGTTGGCTTTTTGCGCGTCTGTGAAGGCGGAGTCATGACCCTCCTCTTCCTGACACCAGACGGGGAATCTGTTTGCTTGGAATGGATTGCTGGTTGCTCCGACTCAAGTTTCCGCGGAATCTCTAGACGTCCAGTACGTTTCAATGTCTTCGTAGTTGAGGTAGAGCATTTGGGTCCCTCTGCCGACCACACGGTATGAGCGATCGTGAGATTACAATAACATAACTAACGCACCAGCAGTGCTCTCCAACTGCCGCTTCACTACCCTACGCGTCGGACCATTGTCAGAGCCGCCGGAGGAGACCACCTTCGCGTAGCTTATGCCAGGCACGCAATTGCCGTACCTCTTTGGCTGCACACTATAGTGGCCCTCCCTCTCTCTGTCGAGAGGGAGGTCTTCAAATGCATCCAACTCCGTCCCATCGCCAAATGTTTGCGCGCGCTTCGGACGCTTCAGCATCTTGGGCGCGCTCAGCGATGGGCCCTGGACTTGTGCAGGTGCCTGATGCGACCTCGTGGAGCTCCCCAAAGGTGGCCGCGACGATGGCCGAGACGTCGCAGATGGCAGAACAGCACTTGTCGGCGTGTTCAAGACCGATGACACGGACGAGCGTGACTTAAGCCGTGAAGAAGCTGTAGGCATAATTAAACGCAGAGCAGAGGGCGCCGATGAGAGAGTTGTCAACTTCACGGGCTGCGGCGCAAGGAATTCCGAGGACCGTGTCCGACCGGCCGAGCTAGACGGTTGCATCTTCGCGCGCGAGGACGCAGTAGGTGCATTATAACCAGTCTGGCTCGCCACAGTGGAACTAAACCCGGACCCTGACGGCTGGGCATGGTTGCTCGCCTCTGACAGCGAAGGCAGCGAGGCCTTGCGCCCAAGCTGTCGTGAAGACGTCGGGGAAGACGCCTTTAGATTAGTATGTGATATCTGCGACCGTAAGATAAGCGGCCTTGGCGGAGCGAATGGACCTCCTGACATCAGGGGAGTGGAAGGAACCGAAGTCTGTGAGCGGATGAATGGCGATGGGCGGGAGAAAGCGGGAGAGTCTGTCAGTTTGCGCAATTGTTGGACTGAGGCTACAGGAGGTGTCCTCGCGAACCTTGAACGGTCGTCTCTTACCCGGGAGAATGCATGGAAGGAGGGGGGAGGTACAGGCGGTGCACTCTTACAGCGCGTATTTGCTTGACCGAGACGCTTCACGTTTTCCGTAGTCAACAAAAGGCGACTAGAGCTGAGCTCGACATCGTGGTCAATAATGAGGCCAGCCTCAAAGTCGTCTTCGGGATCAAGGCTAGCGATCTTGATGTCTTCGTCGCTGAACGTTATTCGCTTCTTCGACTCGAGCAGTTTGGCTAGCTCCTTCCCCCCTGATTCGGACTCAAACAGACCGGTAGGAACCACCAGACCATCGAGCTCGTCCTCAGCCACCTTTTCGTCTTCATCTGTATCTGTGTCTGGTGCGGAGGTGCAGTTGGATGACCCATTTTCTGCAAAACCTAGAGAAGAGAACGTGTCCGAGGATTGAGATGATACCGTCTGATCCTTGTCTCCCCACTCTATGGACGCCTTGGAAGAGCGGTGAGAAATCGGACGTAGAGATAGCTGTACAAGATCCGATGGTAAAGAGAATGCATCCTCAAAGTCCTCGTCAACAGGAGGAGAATGTTTGGAGAAGACTTTGGGCAAGGCTGCCGCCTTGATAGTGGACACGCCCTCGTCCTCCTCTTCATCGTCATCGCCAGGCGTAGCAATCGGAGGACGGATAGTGAACACGCATGGTGGCTCGCTTGCAGGCTGCGCCTCGGGCGCTGTGTCTCCCTGCGTGGTGAAGCATGCTTTTGCTCCTCCAGTCTTTCCCAGGTCCATCTCAACGTCCCAGTCCTCGTCTTCAGTACCGTCCTCGGCATCGGAGGCCCGGATCGCCTCATCATCGGGAAAGTCGAAATCATCGTCGAGCCATTCGTCCTTCGGGGGTTCGACTGTACCTGATGGAATGGTCATTATGGCGGCGTCGCTCGTCAAGAGGAATCGTGCGGTAAGGGTAACGAATTAGGGGATTGTAGAATGCAAGGTCTAGCGAGCGAGGGCTCCGTGTGCAGCTGAGAGCATCTGCAGGGTAGAAGTAGAATGAAGAAAGCAAGCCTAGCTTGCGCGAGACCAAGGAGAGGTCGAAGGGGGAAGAGATACAGATGAAATCAATTGTCGAGCAATGCAGCCTCGTGCAGTCCAGAGTTTAAATGGTGGGCGAGTTGCTCCAAATACACCATGACCGTGGGAACTCTGATGCATGCTCTGCTCCTCGCCGCCGCTTTGTGGCCACCGACCTTGTCTCCCTAGGCAGACTACAAAATATTTGCTTCTCTGACAGAGGGCCACCGACCCGACCAGCTCGGTGGCGAAGCGCAGCCAGTTCGCTATTCGCAACGTCCGAATTCTGTTTTATTAACTTATATATATAGCCATCCCGTTCCATCGCCACCTCTAATAGACCAGTGGAAAAAGCAAACCTGCTGATCAAACCTTCTTGGTGTCCCTTCTAATTAGACGCGCCGATGTTCCTCCGTGAAAGGAATGTGCGCTAATACACGAAACGGAAGTTCAACATCTCGTTTCCCTGTATAACACGGTTAGAATTGTGCTCCGCATATATCCAGAGATGCGTGCCTTATCCGTGGTAGTCTCGAGGTATTTTTCTTGTTCCTAGGGTCGTTTATGAACGTAAAAATACTGTGCGCCTGTGAATTATACGGCAAGACCGACCTCTGCGGTCATCGAGTTCCATTTCTTCTCTCGACGATGGTTGATTGTGCGATAGAAGTAGTGAGTCAATACGTATAGCACGATGTTCATGACCGCGATTGCTATCAAGTCCTTATTTCCTCGTCTATCTAAATTAACCGCGCTCAGCGGTACGTTGATATCAGCGCTCAATGAATACTCACATAGAGGCTGATTGTCCACGTCAGTCGGTCAATTACTGATCTTCTAGGTAACCAGCGTGAGAGACGTACCGAATCGCTCGACCTATAGATGTATGCCTATCGAACGTTTCTCAGTGAGACACCGCAACGCACTGGCATTTTTTGCTCACAGAAACTATTCCATCCGCCTGAACGAACATGTTGTACAGCGAGGCAGATACCGTACGCGTGCCTACGCTGTATGAGTTGGCCGATGCCCAAGCCACTTGAACGGGGTGAATGTCCGGATAGCCGGTGACCAGCGTGACGACAGTAAACCAGACCCATGGTGAAGTCCGTGCTGTGAACGTCTCGAGAGCGATTAACAGGGGAAGTGCCCATATCTGCATAACCAGACACGCTAGTGCACGACTGTCTACCATCTCACTGAAGTAGCAAGACAGACACATCATGATGATGCCCAATACGGTAGACGGTATGCTGAGGAGATTCGATTGAGTGGTGTCGAAGCCGATATCCCGCAGCACCAACGTCAGGTAGGTTTGCGGAGGAGTCACAGGAACTGCCAAAACTAAGTGAGAATACGCTAAGTCCAACAAAATAACAGACGCACTGAGACAGACAAGACCGAGAATGTAGATCGGCCACATCCTCCAGTCCTTCAAGACCCCGTAGATCTTCTTCGGGGTCAATCCCTCCCGATTGTGCATTTCAGATTTTGAGGGGTCATCACGGAGAACACGATTGACCATGATGACTTCTTCCCTGACCGGGAGTAAGTGATGAAGCAAGATACACAGGCGAATGGACGTACCGTTCAGTGAACCAACCATTGGGTCGATGCCAAGCTTTTGTCTGCGTGGGACTGGGTGGCATCATGAAGAACGCGATGATCCCGACAAGGCACGTGAAGCCTCCTTCAATCAGGAAAAGGTAACGCCACCCGGCTCTACCGTTCGTCCCATCTAGACGAAGAATCCCAACAGCAAGGAACGCGCACACGATCTGTGCGACGCTATTCGACACCCAGAACCATGCCAGGCGGATGGTCACTTTAAATGCATGAGTTTGCAGTCAACGGTTCGTACCGATGCAACACATACATTCAGATCTTGTGTAAAAGTATGACAGATACAGAATCATGTCGGGAATGAAACCACCTTGCATAAGGCCCAAAAGGCACCTGCGAACTTTGAACGTCGATCTCTGCATGAGAAAATGAATCTGAAGTACCGAGTTGCTAAGAAGGACCCTCGTCCACTCAGCCAGAATTGAGACAACGAGACAATGCTCCACAGCACTAACTAGTATTGATCCTCAGCGAGGTGAGTTCACTGAATGCAGATCGACTTACTTGGCTTGGGATCCAGACATCAGGGCCAACTCTCTTAGAGACAAGCTGCGACGGAAGTTCTGCGGACAAAAAGCACAGCTGCGTCACATCGAACGCATTAGCATATTCATCTCGAAGATATTGTGAGGATTTACCAGATTCAACGTATTTCCCAAGTCAAAATCGTCAGTCGTCATGTTCAAGTCTTCTAGGAAGTTATCTGTATTTGCCTGCGAGATATTCCCGCGGTCAATCTGCAAGCCGAAGAACATGATGAATGCCCACGACATGATAAGCAGGTCTATCTTGCGAACGAGTCGCTGCGTTGAATGCGTGTGAGCCAACAATGCAATAAGCAATCGGCGATTCTAACATATTCCTCGCGCCATGTCCAACGCGCCAATGGGTCGAAGCGATGTGCATTCTCGTAGGCAGCCGGTGGACGATACAGTTCCAAAGTAGCAGGGTCGTCAAAGACAGAGGGCTGTGTGGCGGTGCTGTCCAAGTCACGTTTAGATCGTCGCCAGAAATAGTTACGAGGACGTTGCTCTGCGGGTGCGCCGAGTGGTAGTCCTTGCACTGTGCTAACCACCGCGCTGAGCTTTTCCTTGTCATCGGATGACACAGAATTCGCTCTATGGATAGCCCTAAGCCCTATGTTGCGCAAGGCCGTGGACATATCTGCGCTTGGACAGAGGGGACTAGGATGCACTGAACTCGAAGCGTTCAGAAAAGTGCATGACATCGCATGAGTTGCGCCTTCTATAGCTGTGATGGTGCCATGCCATCAGCCGGTTCAAGCACCAAAATACTCCCATCGTCCCTGGCTATCCGATGAATTAGTGCCGTTGACGCGCAGAGAACTTCTGAAGCAAGCACGTGCACACCGGTTACGCCAGAAAACGCTATCGCAAGGCGTATCCAATATTGTTAATCACGTATACATTGCCGTGGAGGCGTAACCGAGAACACAGCCGGATTGGACATCGTACAGGACCTACCGATCACGATCAGTATGGCATCAATCGCCTCAACTCACGAGCGTTGTGCTCAATCTCATCCTCCATGATAATCTCATCGACACCTTCCTTGTTAATATCCTTGTCCTCCACCCAACCCTCGAGCATTTCATCCAAGCCCTTTCGCATCCTGATCCCACGCTCGACCATCGTCTCTGCCCAGTCATTCAATTCGCCGCTCTTGAATACAGACCTCAGGGAACCAAACGCGAGAAGGTAGAGCTCTGTTCATGCATATGACGTGCTCAGCCAGGACATCGGAAGCGTTGCGCATATCACATACCCTTGTTCAGTGGGCATTCTCCGACTGCTCGAAAGAGAAGCTTCTTTGCTCGTTGCAATTGGCCTGCCTTTATCTCGAACTCCACATAGAGGCGCCACAAGATAGCACTACCGCGTGTCCTGCAGCATGAGGTTAACCATGAGGTTAGGTCCAGCAGGAATGGCGAGACAGCATACCGTTCACTCTGGACCGCAGCAGAAAGCCCATTCCTGGTCCGCTCCTGCTCGGCTTCCCATCGGTTCTTGTCCCATCCTGCAACCCAGACTTCCGCGATCCTCCGCGCGAGACTTTTCTCTTTCTCGCCATCCAGCGGGCTCTCTCCCAACATGGCTCTGACCCGTCCCCAGACGCCTTGGCCCTTCTCTGCTTCTAAGAACATCCCCAATATTATCATGTTGCTAGGATACTGTTCCATCGCCGTTTCTGCTCTTTCCCGGAGCAACGCCGGAGGAAGTGGATTGCGTAGAATGCTGCCATGATTATAGAGCAGCATCAGAGAGGCCACAGTCAAGCTCTCGTGTGAAGCCTCTCCCAGCTGGAGCCCGCCGAGGTGCATATCAAGCACCGATAGCGCAGCGTGTGCAGAAGTTGTCAAAAGCTCGAGTAATGCTAACGTCTTGATCCACATTTCGCGCTCTTTCCAGTAGGCCGCAGGAACCTGTGTCGCCGCCTCTTGCAAATATCGCTTTGCGCGCAGGAGGGAGATACCACCAATTCCCTGGTTCCCTGTAGATTGTACGATCACTTCCACTGCTGCGTTCGAACGGTCTGTGAGCCACTCCATTTCCGCCCAGTCCCACCATAGCTGGCGCTCTCCTGTAGCACTCGATCGGGATGCTGACAGAACCGTCTGGTATACTTTGCGGGCGTCATCAACGCGACCGCGGAGTCGCTGCAAACGTGCGTGCGCAGCCCAGAGTGGCAGAGAGCCTTGCGCAGAAGCGAGCAGCTTCTTGGACGTTGAGATGGCACTGCACTCGTATGTCAGCTATAGCATAGCATAAGGGAGGAGATGAACGACGTACTCTTTCAGTGCACAGGCCGCTTCGAAGGCAAGGGATAGAATGTCCCATTCGGCATCATCTGTCAAGCGACATTGGGCAAAGATCTCGCGCACAAGCTCCTTGTCTACGTCTTCCACGTCCTCGGGACCCCACATTCTCCAATTTCTGCTTCCCAGACTCTCTAACGGTCCGAGTACCTCATATCCCCATTCCTTAATGGGACCGAAGGCGCTCGCATATTCGCGTTCGCGGCCGATTAGCACACCGGCTTGAGCATCTGCTGTAATCCTCCCAGCAGTGCTGATACGGTCCGTTGGTAATATGCCTGCGAGACAGATTGGCGATGCAAAGTGTGAACATGCCCAACGGTCATCTGCGTTCTCGCCCGAGGCTGAGAGCGTCGGTAGAAACCCAGGGGTGTGGAGGCCGGCAAAGGCTAACCACATCATTCGGAAAGCGTGCCTCGCGTTCGAAGTACGGATGGATACAAGAAGTGGGCGTATATCGGAGAACAATATTGTAGCATATGGGTCCTCGTTGGCGTATTCTTCATGTGAGCGTGTTGGTAGTTGATGGCTCCGGTCTGACACAATCTCAGATGTCGCCCACCGCCTGTAGGGGTCGACATCGTCAATGGAATGAACAACCTGTTTTCGTGCAGTGGGAGTAACTGATGAGCGTTGGGACCAATTCGCACTTCCTTTAGCGTCTGTTTCACCGATTCGTGGCGCTTCAGACTCCCAAAAGTCCTCCAGGGCATCAAGCTGATTGTCAAAACGCTGATCGACGAGATGTGGTGGCAGCTGATATAGTCTATGAGGGAGATTAGACCATGAACTTTGCAATCAAACAAAATCACGTACAGCTCTGCTTGAGCCTGTATTATTGCATTCGCGCGTTCCGCGAAGCCTATGAAAATAACATCAAAACAGCAGACATTCGCAAAGAACGTGAGCAGACAGACCTGCATCGCGGAAGCCTACAGCTGCTCGCCATAAAATTCTCAACTTGCCGATCTCATCCTCTCCAATGGAGTGAAGAGCTCGACGAGCATCATTCACGATTTGGTCCGTGCCTTTTGTACACCTTCTGATTTTCCAGTTGAGCCACTCCATCCAGATCTCCGTCCCGCCAATCTTGAGTGCTTCTTCCCATTCTGATCGCAGCTTGCTCTCGTGCCATATCTCCTCTCCTGCTTTCAGGTACCTCAGGCGAAGTGTCTTAAACGAGGCGTTGCTAGGGTGGGCCGATAAGGCACGAGAGAGCACTGAAACAGCGATTTCCGACCGAGCTTTCGACGCGTTCTTGGATGTCATCGAGGTCGTTGAAAGGGTATGCGAGAGAAGTGAAAGCCAGGCAGATATAGATGATGGATCCGCTGCGATCTTCTCCTCCAACGACTTGAGTGTGGCTTGAAGGGAAGTCATCGGTATTGTGTCAGAATTATCTTCTGGAGTCTCCGAGTCTTCCGCCTCCGAAGACGCGGATGCGTCGGAGTCGACATCGTGCTTGGATGCAGTAATTTTCCGGTATGATTGATCATTTTCATGGCGATGAAGAGAGCGAAGACGGAGGAACCCTTCCACCTCGTCATACTTGTACTTGTCTTCTGCCGAAGGGAGAAGTCTACGCGTAGGCACTGCATTCAACATGTGGCGAGTGCTGGCATCCGTCAGAGAAGACATCTGTTCCAAGAAACTCTGTGAGTCTCTCGATTGAGTACCGGTAGAATTGTAGACATACCTTGCGCCTTCCACCTAGGGCGATCTCCACGCCTTTGTGACCCCGACGCACGACCCGCCATGCCGGATCCAAACCCAGAATAACCTTTCCTCCTTACATTTCGTTAGATGTTACCTGACCAATTGGAAGAGCACTCACGATCGGTTAGGTGATACTTTGGGATGCTATAGGCGTGCAAACCACCGTACTGGATATTGAGAGGATCGCCTTTACGATCCGTGTAGTACACCAAACGGGGAGATACAGGCCTTGTGGTTTCGAATGTGGTCTCTCTTCTCATAGAAATGTCTTCTTCTGCCTTCGTACGTTCATCGTCTCGCTCACGATAACCTCGCTCGTCAGCGAGTATCTTGGAACGACTCGCACCATCCTTCTCCTCGTCTGACTCTTCCCTGTCATATCTATGCCTATGCTCTTTACCCTCTTTGTCTCCTTTTTCTTTCCTCTTGCTTCGCTTCTTGGAGCCACGCCTGTCCTCTGTTGGGGTCGATGCACGCTTGCTGGGCCCCGGTTCAAGCTCTGGAAAGGAGCTGAAGGAAGGCGGGAACGAAGAGAAGAATGACGTAGGCATATGAAGATCGTATTCACGCGCCAGAGACACGTCGAAGCTGGAAGTGCACAGTAGTCGCGAAACGAAGAGACGAAAGCAATCAGCGGCCGTCCAGTGGCCACATACAGTCAAGCAGCATAGCGCGCAGGCGCCCGGTAAACATGACTTCTAAGAATGGTAACTCCTAGCGATCTTGCATTTCTCTTCTCCGCCTTCGATTTCTGGGACTTTTGCTCCATCGAACGCCTCCAGCTACAATGCGGCCTCTGACAGAAGAAGAGAGCAAAGCTCTTTTTACGAAACTAGCAAACTACATCGTAAGTGACAGTCTCTTTGGATACAGTGGTTGTACTCACGTTAGCACAGGGCAAGAATCTGGTCCATTTAATCGACAGACAAGACGAGCCATATTGCTTCCGCCTACAGAAGGACAGAGTGTTTTATGTCTCGGAGTCGTCTATGCGTCTAGGCATCTCCGTTGCACGCCCAAGTCTGATCAGTCTCGGAACGTGTTTCGGCAAGTTCTCAAAGAGTGGAAAGTTTAAGCTGCACATCACAGCACTCGACTACTTGGCGCAATATGCAAAATACAAAGTTGGCCTCCTGCATAACAGTTGCATCTTTCGTCGCTGAATTTAGCCCTGCAGGTTTGGATCAAACCAAACGGCGAGATGCCGTTTCTATACGGAAACCATGTTCTCAAAGCACATCTTGGTCGTATCACGGAGGATACGCCGGAGCACCAGGGAGTTGTTGTGTTCAGCATGAATGATATACCATTAGTGAGTTTGCGTGATGCGGATATTGGTGGCATCTATTGACGGGGTGATAGGGCTTTGGTGTGACCGCCCGTTCCACTGTGGACACGAGAAAGCTTGATCCCACCGCCATCATCGTATTCCACCAAGCGTGCGTGGGGCCTCATGTACCTTGAAAAATTGTGGCAGTCAGCTGATTTTCCCATAACGATGTAGGGATGTCGGAGAGTATCTGCGTGATGAGGTGCGTGAATTGTCTCGTCTTTCCGTACGGCTATTGATCCTTTCATCAGGACACGCTATTCTGAATCCGCTTCATCTACTCTTCCGCTTCTCCTCCTTGAAATAATGCATGGGCGTCCAACCAAATGCTCGGCGTTATCGGAAGTTCCTCAAAAGTACAAATTACAGAGAATCCTTTCAATCGCTGGTTGTGTGCAGTGATAGCCTTGTATAAAGACCGTACATTACTCGGATTTATGATGGTACTAATGTAGCACTTTACCCAAACAGGGACGAACTGCGGATAGAAGGTCATATAGCAAAATACCAACACATCGCAACCATAGAGGTACATGATGGGATGTAGCTTAAATAGATATAAGTCACGGACTGTCACTAAACTTCACAGTTCTTCCTGAGAAAGACAGTGGCTGGTCATTGTATGACTCGTCGTGGTACATCACCATCACAGCCTACCACTCTGCCCTGCTAGCGCAATTTGAGTTGAGTCTCTGACGATATGCTCGAAATAGCACCAACGCCCAGTACACGCTTTGAACACCATTGACATTGGCAGCCGTGGGCACGTTGAAGCACTGAATGGTCACCCGATTTCAACGCGCCTGGCAATTGATGATAGCTAAGGAAGACGTACGTTGTGACTCGGCTGTTCAACGTTCAACGTCAACGTTCAAATATTAGTCGATCATGATGTCCGCGCTTTATAACGCGTGTCTAACCCGCGCGTATGCACGTGTCCGCGCACGAAATGGCATCGAACTCGACCAGCATGACTTCGAGCGATCCGTACTCCCAATGGGCGGCCTTGCCGGACAACGAATTAACTGTGCAGAAGGTAGAAGAGCTGTTGAAGCCTGTGCAGGATGATCTATGGGTTGCAGCTGCTTGTACTGACCGCATAGTCGACGATGCAACCGTGCAGCGTTCCTTCACTGACCTCGGGATTGAGAGGACGCAAGCCGCAATACTCCGTTGCGAGGACGCATATGCGGACACAAGCCATGGTACCTCGGACGAGCATGCCGACGAAAATGGCTCGGAAGGCAAGACAGAGGACAGACGGCAAGAGTCACTTGTCTCTCACTTCAAAGCTGAGCCCATAGATGCACAGCTGTGCCGCATACGGGCAGTTTTACTGGATCGTCTTGACAGGCTCAACACTTTCGTGGAGATCTGCAAACAAATTCCGGCGACGAAGGAGAGTTCCGAGGACGTCGTGGAAGATGATTGGAAGGATGACCCATGGGCAGAAGAAACGAACGAACCCTCCCCCGAAACTGCACCCTCATCTCCTAACGAACCACCTATATCACTCTCTACCTTCCTCACCGCGGATTTACTTGACGTGGCATGTCTGCTCGCCTCATCGGGACAATCAGCTGCATTGCGCATCTTGATGGAACGGCATGGGTTATCCCTATGGCCCAATCGCTTCTCCATTCTAGATTGTGTCCCAGAGCACACTCTCTTCACTCAATTTCGGGAGCTGCTGCCTGTGTATGATCCGTTTACGGACAGGGAGCAAAGAATGGAACATCATCCGTGGAGGACAGAGTCAGACTTTGCTGAGACCGCCGCACTCAGCACAGCCCTCACTGACTGTGGCATATCCCTCAACGTGGAGGCCGTCCATCAGCGTTCGAGTGATTGCACTTCTCAAGGCGAGCCGTTATCCGCCACGGAACTCACGAAGTGGTACCAGGGGAAGATAGATTCTATCATTTCGTCGACAGGCATGATTGATGCTGCATTGTCCTTGGTACAACATGCTGCATCGCAAGGTCTGCCTGGCCTGGACGGGGTCGGAGAGGAGCTCAGTCTTCTGTCCAGACTTGCGTACGACGCACCCGGTGCGTCAAATAACACGGAGGACGAATGGACACTGGCTCGTTGGAAGTCTTTGGAACCATCTGCAGCCATTCATGCATACCTTGCGCGATCTACTCCACGCACTGTGGCAAAGGACATCAGAAAACTTGTCATGCCATATCTATTCGTCCTCGAGTCTCGCGCAGAACGTGCAGGCGAACCAGATCCCTCTCTTTCAACTCGTCTCCTCTATGAGTATATCTTAGAAGCACCGTTGGACATTGTAGCAGCCGTCTTCGAGGCTTCGAAACCGACTTTGGCCCCAGCACAGAGATTGATACGGAATGACGAAGACATGGCGCGTTTAGCACTTGCATGCCTGTACGGCAGCGATAGTCTAAACGAGTGGCCAACTATGAGCCGTATCTTCGAGTGCTTGCCTGCGTGGGATACTGCACAGGACGAGGACGAAGCAGACGAAGCGGATACGACCATTGCGTCTCTCGGGACCTACGTTACACCGTCCACCAGACATCCTCGATGCACGCCAGCGGATCTCATGGTTTTCTTCAAGCCTCTTCCTCTCTCATCACTGTCTCGTGCTCTCGATGTGCTAGATGTCCACCTAGAATCAGGAGAGATTCTAGAGAGGTGGAATGTTCCGGCACCGTTACGGTGGTTCTTGCAGAGCAACGGTAGCATCACAGAGCAGCGTTCTTGGGCAAACAGGATGGCACGTCAGACTGGAGCTCATAATGACAAGCTTGAGTCACAGGGGGATTGGGAATGGCTCCTCGAAGATATGCTCAAGCTCTCCGAGTCTGGGGACAGCGGTGCTTGGAGTGCATTCTGCCTACTCTCTGGAGACGACGTTACTCGTATCTTCTTCAGCGGCCTCTTGAGCACGGGCAGTAAGTGATACACTCAGATGGCACGGCATTTTGCTGAACTCACGACCCGCAGGGTTTGACATTGCGAAGAGCATGCTGCGTTCGAGGCATGCTCGGTTTTCCATGGAACCGCGTGTGATTGAAGATATCTGTTTGACATGCTCCCGTGAGTTCTACGAAAATGCGAGTTCCGGCAACTACCATTTCGGTGAGATGAAACTCGCCTACGACTGGCAAGTCGCTCATCGCTTCTCACATCACATCCGAACGCTTGCTGATATCGTCGGATAGTTTGGACATCCCCACGCCGTCTGAAGCCACAATTAAAGAGAAAGAGTTCATCGAAGCAACTTCGCGTCTGTGTTCGTTCAACGTCATGTCCCGTCCCGGCACTCCAATCACCCCGCTTGAAATTCGCCTAACGAAGGATCGTCTCTCTTTGATTTCTCGGGTGCTTTCCAGTAACAACGATGCATATAAGCACACCCAAGTCATATTGGGGCTCGTGCACAAGCTGGGCTTCCGCGGAGACCTCGCGGCAGAGATAAAGACTCTTGCTATGCTAGTCGAAACAGCGTTGCAAGCGGAAGACTTCAGCCGGGCATATGAAACAGCGGAGAGAATGGTTGACACTACTTTGAAGCTAAGATCGTCTGTTCCTGCAGACCTTGAGAACTCGCATGTGCAAGAAGCAAGCGAGGTCTGCTGGATGGCCTGCTTCTCCTTAGGGCGACATCCAGAATTCATGGATGTGCAGAAGAAGATGATACTGCTAGGTCGCGCCCTCGAGCTGTGCCCTGCTGACAGACTCGCCGACATTCTCAATGTATGGTACCGGGCAGAGGAAGACGACCTCAAGGCTCGGCGAGAGCGGCTACAGTCATCTATGAATGGTGCTCGCAAAGCAAAAACACGCAAACGTGCTGTCGCAAGCGACCGCGACACCGTCTCTTCGCTCACAACTCGCTTACAGCAGCTCCGTATGCCAGACTTGCATATGCCACATTCACCGCTCGTCAATGCTCCTGATGCAGCAGCATTTGCGAAAAAGGCATTCAGTGGCGTTGCCGCCAATTTTCCCTTCTCAGTTGGCGGCCGAGGTCGAACCCACGTTTCAGAGGAGGACAGTTGGTCGAATGGGAGCAGAGAAGGGAGCAGGTCAAGACCTGACCATACTGATGTATCCGCCCAAGCAACTCGTGTGCTGCAGGCGGGCATCGGCTGGCTACTGGGTGCTGACGAGGAGGAGTAACATGTCTCCTGTACATATCTCTGCTTACACCGATGTTGCTTCGCCTTGCTGTTTATCGTTCACTCTCGAATTGTAATTTGCATGTGCGGGCACCGCATGCATGTTATCCAAACAGTGCTGAACCACCACGAAAAAGGTGCAGAGATTGTAGATTGCTAGGACCGGCATGTTCACAGACGAGGGAGGGGCAGATGACAATATTGGTGCGGGAGTTACAGTGTGTATGGATAGACGTCATAAGGTTAGACACATTACTACAGGTGCTCGCATATGGTAAGAGAAGTATACGAACGGTAACAACACGATGCGACAGAGTCGCGAGAATAATATCAATAAAAAATACGGAAGGCAAGATTCCAGCTCGAACGACAGATAGCTGTGTGAGATCTACAATGACGAATACGAATTATACAACAAGGACTGACTGCATGTCGATAGATAGTTGAGCTCGGAACATCGATGACACGGAGAGCTATACAAGAGGCGGCGGCGACGCGATGGGACATACATGACTTGGGTTCAAGTACCGCTTGCGAAGCGGGAGCTTATGCCAGTGCGCGCTCTTGGCCTGTTGACCACTCCAACCTTGACACCAGCCTTCTTCAAGTCTTCGATACAATCGTTGCTATCGCCCCCAGGGCGACCGATATTCCCGCGCCCACACGTCGAGCAATACGGCGAGGCACTCTCCGCTGCGCGAAGCTCGTCTACCTCCGCCTTGAGATCACGCACCTGCCCCTCGAGCTCCCAGATCTGCCGTTGCCACGCTCTGCGCGCAACCAAGATCTGCTCCTCGAGTGCCTGGATCACAGCCGGTTGGTCTTCCTGTGTGATAGCAGAAGCAATCTTGTCGTCGCTCTCGCCAGGGCACGACTTCAGCGGGAAGTCCGAGCTGAGAGGCGAGACGGATGTGGTGGCGGTGGTAGGTGTGCCATGATCCGTATCCAGAGAAGGTCGGGATATTCCTCCAGGACTGACGAGCCGATCTGCGAAAGTGTTACTGAACAAAGTTGATACAGGTCGCAAGCTGAGAGCCACAAAGTCTGTTGAGCCGGGAGGAGCACTGTTAGGTGAAGACATGCTCAATGCCATGCTCGGAAACGAGTCGCATGCAGTCGGTGTATCCAACACCGTATGCCCATGGGAGCCCTGCGACAAGGTGCTCTCGCTCGCAGCGGAGAATGGCGGGGCAGTATGTGCCTTGAAAGAATGAACCATCGACGGCGACGTGACGATCGACAAGCCCGGCGCGTTTCTTCGCGCGCTCAACTGGCGCTCTCTGTCTGGTACCTCACCATTGCTACCAGATTCTTTCGATCCAGACTGTGAGCAGTCCGAGCGCGAGTCAGACGAACTTCCAGATTCCGTACTGGGCGTGCCGAGGTCCACCCCCAGCAGAGAGGGCGACAACGAGGGGACCGGAACACGATGAGCCGAACCCTTCCGCATTCTAGGCGCCTGCGACGAGGGATACGAGGGTGCACTTGCGGAGTCGGACGACAACGATGGCACCGGAGGGGGCGGTGAATATAATGTTTTATCGCGCTCTTTCCCATTAAACAATCTCATGAACCCACTCTTCTTGCGAGTCACCAACCTCGGCGGCACATTCGTCGGATGCGATGAATCACCTGGGATTGGAGGTCGTTGGTTCGGGTCTGCCTTCGACTTAGTTGCGCCTGCGCTAGTCGACCTCACTCGCGAATTCGCACCCTGGCCTTGAGGCTCAGATTCGGCACTTCCTGTCTGTGATCGCGACGACCCCGAAGTGTAAATACTTGAGATAGCTGGGTTGACGGTAGCACTCCTCGACCGCTCTCGTGCTTGAGCCTGTGCTTCCTCCAGAGAGATCAACTTGATGGAAGGCCCTGCATGAGCATCATTCCACCCTGGGAACGCACTGGCCGGAGCACTTGGCATCATCTTCATGTCTCTGCTTCTCATCTTCGGGCTTGCCTTCTCGTGATTTGCTGGGGCAGCGATGACAGCGCCACCGAAGGCGTTCATCGGCACCGTTGACGCGGATCCCTTCCTCACTGGAAATGGCGTAGAGACACCCTTGCTGTGCACGCGTGTCGGAGGGGAAGATTCGCCGAGGCTTGGATTCACGGAAGAAAGTGAAGTGACAGGAGTCATGGACGACACAGTTGTGTTGGAGCGAGACTGAAATATGCTACTTGTCGTAGTTGTATCAGTGAGCGTTGCATTCGAATCACTGTTGTTCACCGCATTTGACGTGGTAGACGACGCAGCTGATGATGCCTGCCTCGGCGACAGCGGCGGCGGGTGATCGTACACACGGCGAACAAGATCAGGGTTGGCGTACGGATGCATGTACTCGTGGTGCGGTGTACTGGGAGTAACAGAACGAGAGCTGTCGGAAAAGGTAGGCTCCAATGGTGATAAGGGCGTTGGAGAAGCGGTGCGCATAAGGCGCGACATAGGCGATGTATTCGACATTTGCGATGGAAAAGGAGGCACTCGAGTATCAATAGGCTCCAAGTTGGATGAGCCGATGGGATTTGGGTTGGAAGGTGTGCGCGAGCGAAGACGAGAGATCGACAGCTTGTCTCGAAGGGTGGGCTGTGGCGACGACGTCATTGCAAGGGAAGTGGACGACATGGATGCTTGAGCGAGGGCACTAGGGATATGAGATAAGAAATTTGGGAGTGGAAAGTCAAGAGAGCACGCACAGCAGTGCACCACCGTTCGAGGTGAATGATTCGATAGACTGCTTGGCCTTGCTTTGGGAGCGATTGGAGTCCACGCTGGGCCTCCTCTCATTACTGCCCTTTCCAAGGCCCCACACCCTGCGACCGCCTTCCTGTTTCTTCTTGGTTGTACGCTTGGAGCTAGATGTCTCCTGCTCTTCTGCTTCTCGCTCCTCATCCTCGCCCAGTTCCCAGGGAGCACGAGAATGAACCGTCATTTTGGGGCCGTACTGGCCAACACTGGGCAGTTCCTCCTCCTCCTCGGGAAGCGAGAGGTCGTCGTCTTCATGAGAATTACTGAAAGAAAGGGAAGAACGAGGGTCTTCGTCAAGGTCTAAGCTGCTGGCGTTGGGAAAATTGAGCCGTTCCCGGTCGGATAGCGGCGAGCGAGGCTCGGACGCAGGTGGTCTGACTTGAGCAGGGATCACAAACTCGAAGGTGGGTGTGTTTGGACCAAACTGTGCTCTGTCATGAGGGTGAGGAGAGAAATGCGCACGACTGTACACGGAAGGTGAGTCCGAGAACTCGGATAGGGAGGGGAAGCGGCCGTGCAGATCAGCACGGGCGGCGCGCTGGTCAAGGAGGTGACGGAGATGATCCTCCCTTGCGTGCATGTCGGGAGGGGAGTTGATGACACTCATTGCGCCGACAGTCCTGATGAGCTGGACGTCGGGAGCAGCGACTGCGACGAGGCGTCGCGATGAGAGTCGAGAGGAGAGCGCGATCTGCACTAGCACTCGAAGCCAACTCTTTCCAGTTTAGCGTCACGATTTGCCAAACATAGGTCAACAAGCGCTCTGATCCGCTCTTTGCCTTGCACTTGCTCTGCAAACTCCTGGAAACAAGACGAGCAGTCACTAGCACTATCCAGCGCGTCAGCGGGAGAAAGCAGTCAAAATGAGCGTGGGTAGCGCGGCAGCGTAGCAAGAGACACAGCACTAAGCGATGCATAGCCCCGCTATTTATCCCCCACCCCCCATCACGACCGCCAGAACTCCGGCCTCGCAGCTGTTCCCACCGCATCCAAGTCAAATCGACGTCTGAGCGGGAATTTGGATGGGAATTGAGGCGTGTCTGCGTCGAGTGGCTGCTCGCTGAGGTGACCCGATGGGATCTGATGTCCCCAGCCGACGGCGCACCTCGTGGCAACCATGCGTATGCCTTAAATTGGCCGTAGACGCCTGCACGTGTGAGAGCGAATTGCAATCTCCGCTTCCTCGGTTACCGCTCGTTTGTTTTTCACCATGTCCTCGCCACAGACCAAGCCCGCATATGGCATCCACCTCGAGCACATGGACGAAGCTCAGCAACGCCCAGACCTCCCTGCGACTTCACTCGCGTCCTCTTCTGCCGGCCGGGTATCGGGCAAGGCATGGAAGCATCGCAAGTCTGCAACCGTGTACGTGCACTTGATACACCCTCCCGCTTGTCCGATCTTGACCCCGTTTCCAGGCGGTCTCATATTCCTGACGGCGTAAAGACGAAGAGCTGGGAAGACCGCATGCAAAAGACCCAAAAGGAGAAGGCCGTTAAGCAACTTCAGGCAGAGCTCAGCGAGGAGAAAAGGGCTGAGAAGGCGCGGTGCGTCTGTTTCCTCAGTGCTTCAGTATGGATGCGAGGCTGACTTTGTTTTGTGCTTGGCCAGACGGCGCGAGATCACGCTCGAACGCAAGAAAGCTGCGGAGGAGCGCCGCAGGCTCGAGGAAGAGAAGGCCAAGGTCAGTCATTGATTGGTTACCATGTTCCTTCTCTGACAGGGTTCGCTGTTAAAGATGGGCGCTCGGAAAGCCGCCCGACTGCGTCGTAAGGCGGGCCGGACCAAGAAGATCAGTCATTGACGATGACTTCGCCCGACTGTCGAATAAACCGGGTGTCTCGTGCTATATTCCCGGCTTGCAGAAGGGATGCTTGTCCGCATTGTTGTGGGATGCCAGTACCTTTGCAGCTGTTGCACCATCGAGTGCTCTAGACCATCAGCAATGGAACCTTAGGACTCTCAAGGGTGACACAGAAGCGAGGCACAGGAGGAGGCAATTGATATCTATTTGATGACTGCTAGGCGCGGGTCAGATTCTGCGAGGAGTGCTTCATGGACGGAAGGCTCTGCCAAGGATGCCATTATGACAATAACGAGGCTATACGATAGCGACAGATCTGACGGCCACACGGTTCTGTCCGATTCACGTGGTCTGGGAAATTCTTATTTATGTATCGGGCAGGGTCGTGCCATCCACCGAGGCTTAATTAGCTAAGATAGACTCCGTTGATCAAGTACATGGATCTCTTGATGGTGGCCCCAGTGGTGGTGACCGGGGAAACTGGCACTGGGAAATGATCTACGTTGGTACGAGTCCAGACTGCATTGAATCGCCTGGTCTAAGATCGCACATCCTCACTTGTTGCGCGTTGATGTGATTGAGGTATATAGCAATGAGCAAGTGTGCATGGGCACAAGCGAATTTCAATCGAGCAACTCCGAAATGATCCAGCCACCGGACACATCCACAATCCCATCATTCCTCCACAAGTCGCCACCATCACGCTCCGGCAGATCACAATGCCCAACTCGCATCCACCTCTCCACCCTGTTCGAACGGCTTGTCTAGCCCAGCCACCACGCTCTCACATAATGGACAGCTCGCCGCAAGCACGTCCTCCAGCTCCCTCCGCATCCGCTCCACCTTCTCCGCGTCTTTCTCACCCGTGCTCCGCTTTGCGCCCGTTCCAAGCCCGATGCCAGGGATCCACCCTGCGGGTGCGGTCACGACGCTTGCGAGCGCGTCTGGGATGATCAAGTCGCGCAGGCGGTCGCCGGCGGAGAGGAGGTTCCGCCCGAGCGCGGTCGCCGTGCGCGCGGGGTTCTGACCGATGCCAAAGTTGGCGGAGAGCAGCGTGCGCTGGGCCGTCGAGTGCCGCGCAGGCGCCGATCCTGGTAGCAAAGAGGGATTGGCGATGCTGTTGCGATCCAGACCGCCCTTCTGTGAGGCTTTGACGAGCTCGTTCTGAAGGGTCAGGATTCGCCTGAGCGCATGTGCAGGGAGATATTCCTTGGTCTAGCCCGGTCGATTTCAGCCGATTTCCAATAATGACACCGTAAAAGGGACGCACCAATCCGATCAGACAGTCAGCGTGGAACGTGTGTTGACAAGGGAAAACGTAAAACTGCCTGGTGAAGAGGGCATGATGGCACAAGGAGCACTTCTCCGTCGAGTCAATGGTCACGAAGCGCTTCTGCAGTGCGGCGATATCCTGTTTAATTGCTTCGGCGTTCCGCGTCGCCTCGTCCATCTCCGCCTTGAGAGCGTCGATGTGCGCGGAGTAACCCTCCAGTGCCGTACAGATCTCGTCCTTGAAGTCATCGATCACGACAAAATCCGGGAAGAAGGGCAAGATGTCCTCGATCTTGAGCAGCTCGGTGTTCTCCAGGAAGCGCATCGCCCTGAAAGGGGAAATCTCAGGGGGTTAATAAGGGTCAGAAAACAAGGAACCGGCACGCACATTTTGATATCCTGCTTGTCCTGCACGACGTACTTTGCAATTTTCAGCCAAAGCTTCTTGCGCAGTTGATCATCATCTTCCGGCATGTCAGCATTAATTTTCGCAAGCTCCAGGTCGCCCTTCTCGAGGGCAAGCTCCACGCTGCTCTCGTAAAGCCCCATTTTCGAATAGATGTGTACACAGGGCTGCGTCCGACCGGTCTGCTTGCATAGCCGAAGAGCATAATCGAGGTCATAGTACGGCTTTCCAGTCAGAGGATCAGACGGTGCCGAGGAGAGGAACCGTAGCAGCGGTCCATCATCTTCCGGCTGAGTATTGGATGACGACGAGCCGGTCGTATCCACAGGAACAGAGGCATAGAAGGTGATCATGAGGTTGTGTACGGTAGGCGAGGTGCTTCCTTGCTCGAAGATAACATGGTTAAGGTATCGGACCGCTTGATTGGGGGAAACCGGGTCCCGTGGTATGTGTTGTAAACGGAGAAGGGCAGGAATGAGGTGCAAAGGATCCAGCAACGGCTGCCGGAGCCAAGAATCTACGGTCTCCTTTGGAGCTTGGCGGCTAAGCACAGGACCGAAGCGATAGTAAAGTTCCAAGTTCGACTGCGATGCTACATGAGCATGCAAGTAATAGACCAAACCGCACACCAACCTGACGGCTGATGGCCTCAATGGCCTTTGTCCATTCCTCCTCCAAAACATAGTGCTCGACGACACGCTCATGATCTCCGACCACAGTTGCATAGTGTAGATACATGTCCGTACGACCATGCCCTTGGATGAGCTCGTATACGGTGCTTGGATCAAGGCTGGCCTTCATTAATCCCGTTAGAGTGTGACTACATGATATGAAGCGCTTCAAACCTTGTAAGCTTGGAAGAAATGCCGCAGATCCTCCTCTAGAATCGTCCGTTCGGTACGCAAGTTCTCGACATCGTGCGACACAGATTCCGAAGCTATGAGATCGTCCAGTTCATTGCACTTGCTCAGATAGAACTCGACGAGCCATGTGGCAAGCATCATGCGCTGGGAGAAGTCCTATGCAGATGAGGGATTAGTGTGGAGCTCGTTTCATACGGTAGTCCAAGCCAACCGTCTTCCTTGTCCGCTCAAGGCGCGAAACGATGTAGGATCTTAGCGCGTCCCGTTCACCGACATCCAAGAACTTCAACGCAACCTCCTCAAAGCTAACGGAGCATTGCGCATAACATTGCGCTGCCTGAAAGTATCTCCCTTCATTGAAGTATGCCTGGGCTTGTGCGGAAAGCACGAGGTCTTTCTGATACGCTGTCTGGTTGTGCATTAGCGTCATTGCATTCATCGCGGACTAATGCAATACCTTGGCATAGAGGAGAGCGGTATCGTATTTGCCCTTCTCAAGGTAGATCTTCCACACATCACGATGTTCGTTCGCCACGACGAGTTCGAATAATGACTGATCGGTGTATACCCAGTACGTCTTCCGCACTGGATCTGCTGTCATTCCTCGCACGGATTCGTTTGGCTTCTATTATGAAAAATCCGACGTATATTAGTGGACGGAAAGATAGAGAGAAAGCCACAGGCTATACCAGAGGCAGCAGCTCTTCGTACGTTTGCTGTTCGTTCAGGTTCGACAAGCCTACCACACGTTCCTGATATAGCAGAACAAAATGGAACTCAGTCAGTGCCATTGAATAAGGAAGCCCGACAGTGCTAGGCGGTGCTCTGGACGGCGAAGCAGACGGGGAGAGTAGCAGACTGGGATATGGGAGAAGTTGCGCTCCGTCGATCAGATCGTCCGAAGTGGACTCGAAATTGAGAGCTCCATGGTAGATACCTGGGCCTGTTCGACATATGAGAATGGGCGAATTGCCAAAGGAATGATATACAGACCCGTCATCCACGCCAAGTACTTGGGGAGGGATTGTGCTTGGTCAGCATTTGGGGTGTAAGTATGAAGCTCAGAGTAGTCAGTGTTGCCAGGTAGCTCCGAGATCTCTTCGAGCTATTAGTGACGAGCCATTCAAGGATGTATCGCTACTGACTTGGCGTTGAGTCTCGGTAACTCGCGAAGAGCCCGGCGAACACGCGAACATGTTCATCAGGGCGACGTTCAGGAGAACCGATGAATTGGTATATCCGGGAGGGAGTCGTTACAAGGACTAGGGTCCTCCGCGGGTCTGACGGAGGGAAAAATTCGAATTGCAACCCAGTGACAGGCTGTCGCTCCGGAAGAGTGTACACAGGCTGGAGGTACCTGTCTGCGGATCTGAATAGCTCCTCCTCCCCGTCGAGCGCTGTCTCATAAATGACCCCGTTCTTGGCGCCTATCAACATCTCCCGCGTAGAAGTGGATCGAGTGGATAGGAGCAGTGCAGGCTTGTTCCAAGCTACGCTCTCGATCACCATCTTGAAGTTTTTCAGTTGACGAGGTTTCTTCGAGCCCCTGAAGAGATACCAGTTCTCGCCTTGGGTGGAGGAGATGATGAGATGTCTTCCTGAGGGATCTTGAAATAGCTTGTAGATGGTGAATTCGGTGGGCTTGCGTGGAATAGTTACCTTGACGACTTGCTCTGCATGCGAGAGTTCAATCTGCACGATGACGTTGTTTTCTAGTCCCATAGAGAGCACATCGGACGATACTGCGAGTGATATTAGAGGCGCCGGGAGGGTGTATTGAACGCGGCCGAGCTCAAAGAGCGGAGTAGCAGGAGCAGCAGTTTCGGCTTGCTCCTGCATGTCACATTAGCGGGAGTGACATGGTTTGACCATGATCACTTACAGCGCTGCTCAATGCATCCGTTTGATCTTCCTGTGCGTAAGGTGAAGGCTCAAATCCCTCATACTGTACTTGCGGTAGTGCCAAGGCTCCTCCTTGCGAGAGACCAGGCGCGGAAGCGTGCTCGACATCTGCGAAGGAGTGAAGAAGATGAGCTCTTCAGGTTAGCAGGAAGGAAAATCACGAACACTCATCGAACATCGTGACAAACGATGACCAAAGAGAGCCGTTCGCAAGGCAGGGTGCTATGCGCGTCGAGCACGTGCTGCAACCGTCGCGACGGTGGCGTTTGCCATCCGGGCAGCTTGAGTCTCTGCGCAATCCTACACTCTTCAAGTACCTTGCGCCTTATTGGGCGATCTCGTAATTGCATTCTGGCACCACAATGAACGCAGGCATTGGCCGCATCGTTCTGCAAATGCATGGATCTGAAGCTAGCTTCTCCGAGCTGTCATCCACGTACCCTCTGAAGTTGCTATCTCCCCGAATTGAGCAACGGAACGTTTCTGTAGTATATGTCATGACATATGGAGGCGGGCTTGTTGGAGGAGATCGCATCGACCTCTCGGTAGACGTAAAGGCTGGTGCAACTCTTGTCATGCTATCTCAGGTGCGATCGCTTACGCCAAATCACGCTGGGTTGTATGAAACAGCCTTTGTCTAGGGCTCTACCAAGGTATTCAAGACTCGACCGGGACAGCGGCCCTCAGCGCGTTCACAAGGGACGCCCTCCGACGCGATCACGACGCAAGTCATGAATGTCACGATCGAGGACGGAGGCGCACTCTTTCAACTTCCCGATCCAGTGACCTGCTTCCGTTCAGCCAAATATAATCAACTCCAGATATTTCGTATCAAGGGCAACGCTTCAGCAGTCATTCTGGATTCTGTGACGTCTGGTCGGCGAGCACTAGGGGAGGAATGGGTCTTCGCCAGGTATCACAGCATGAACGAAATCTGGGTCGACGAGGAGCGGATCGCAAAAGACGTCATGCTGTTGGAGGAACAGGATTCTGCCAGCTCTATGTTGGCGCCTCGAACGCTTGCGGACACCCTCCGCCCCTATTCATGCTACGCCACCGTTATCATGTACGGACCACTGGTACAGGATACCATCCAACGTCTGTCTGCGGAATACGCAAAAATCATTGTTTTCAGGCACGCCTTGCCTCCAGATCTGTTGTGGTCCTTCAGCCCGCTCAAAAACGGCCGGGGTTGCATATTACGGCTAGCAGCAAAGGAGACCGAGGATATCAGGACCTGGCTTGGCGAGCAACTCACAGCGTTCCAGGGCATAGTGGGCTGCGATGTTTATCGCAAGGCCGTTGGCTAATTGAATAGCATCAGCCTTGGATACCGATCACTAACTACTCTACACGATAAAGCCAATGACCTATTTATATATAATATTAGGTGCGTCTCAAAAACACCCTCTATGCGCCTGTAATCCTTTAAACGCAGATTCACAGGGCGCGGTTGTTATTGAACGTTCCATAGGGGACACTGATGCCATCACGAGGACAATCTGCTATCACTTACAGCCACCGAATGTTATATCGAATGCCCGCTGCAAGCTGGCAGACATTCGCTATCTTCGCGTTCCTGGAGTTTTGCGCGCGCCAAGCCAGATCAATTTGCCCAACCTTCGATCTCATGATTCGTGCCTATCGCACCGACCTCGCCTCAGTTACTACTCCGTTATCAAAACGCCACTGTATAAGATGTCGTCGAGGCTTCTGATCTCTGCACGGTTCCACAGCCAACTCGACACCGGTCACAGTCATGTCTGCGAAAATCGTTCCAGCAGAGAAGGGACCTGCGGATCCCGAGATTCTCCCCGTGCTGCCGGACAGTGTCTACAGGCCGGAAGTCGACACATCGGCCGTCAATGAACGCAAGCTCCTACGCCGGATAGATTTGCACGCTGTGCCGTGGCTGGCGATGCTGTATTTCCTCAATTCCCTCGACAGAGGAAATATCGGCAATGCGAAGGTATTGGCGCTTGTACTATACGAGTCGTACAATGGCTAAGTCGATCAAACTACTGGTAGCTATACGGGATGACGACCGACATCCACCTTACTGACAAGCAGTATCTGATTGCGTTGACGGTGCGATACAATAGAATCTCGCAGATGCACTGCTAACGTGATTAATAGGTCTTCTTCTTCCCATATGCATTATTCGAAGTTGGTCGAAATAACAGTCCTCAACACGTTCATAAACTCACTCCACCCTGCTATTCGTAGCTACCCAGCAACATGGTCCTAAAGCGGCTACGGCCGTCGAGATGGCTCGCGTTCATCATGTTCGTGTGGGGAATTGCTATGGTACGATTCACCGTTCCGGTCATCTCCGTCCGACACCCACTCATGGTCCATGTCTTCAGACTATGCATGGCGTCATCACCAACTATGGCGGACTTGTCGGTATGCTCACGAAATGACTGTATCGGCTCAGCCCAACTCATCGGCACTTCCAGGTTTGCGTGTGCTGCTGGGGCTTGCGGAAGCTGGTTTGTACCCCGGGATTGTCTACTATCTGTCATGGTATGTGTGGGCATATACCAGCTTGCATCCTCAACAGCTGACGATCTCCTGCGGTCGCTAGCTGGTACAAGCGGTCGGAACTAGGAACCAGAGTTGCTCTATTCTTTACCTCTGCCACAGTTGCTGGTGCTTTCAGTACGTGGACCAAGCATGCGTGCTTTGAATACCAATCTGATATTGTAACGTATCGCAGGTGGTCTACTGGCCGTGGCCATCAACAAGATGGACGGCGTCGGCGGGAAGCGCGGGTGGCAATGGATTTTCATATTGGAAGGTCTGTTCACCGTAGTCTGTGCAGTTGCATCCCTCTGGATCCTTCAGGACTTCCCGGACACCGCGAGATTCCTCAAAGAAGAGGAGCGCGTATGGATGATCAGACGCTTGCAGGCAGATATGCAGTTCAGCGCCGCGGGAGAGAATTTCAATATGAAATATGTCAAGCAGAGTTTGACGGATTGGAAGACGTGGCTCGCCAGTACGTGAAGAGTCTATGCTTTCATGGTCTATGGATCGGCTAATACAAATGTCTTGACGATATTAGTGGGTATTTACATGGGCTTGTAAGTGATGGTATTGCAAAGCAACGTCTTCAAGAGTTGATTGTGGACTCAGTGACGGTCCCCTCTTCGCCTTCTCCCTTTTCACTCCTACAATTATCAACCAGGTATAACCTTCTTGTCACAATCTGATACTCTTTCAATGATAACCATTTTCTTTTTCACAGCTAGGTAACTATTTGCACAGCTGCTCGCTATCCCGTTATTGATCAGGAAAATGTATTGTGACAATTTGACAATTCAGGTTACCAGGCTACCGCTGCCAACTTGTTGTCTGTTCCTGTTTACGTGTGGGCGTGCATCGTCACCGTAGTCGTCGGATTTGTTGGGGATAGATTGGGAAAGAGAGGCATGATCAACCTGTGCGTCGTTCTCGAGGCCATATGGATCTCGATTGCTCATCTTGTTACAGCATTTTATTCGGCACAGGCAAGCCCGTACCCACAAGCTCCTTGTCATGCATCAGCTGACGGAGTACCCGCAGGATTGGTTGGATACATCATACTGATTTGCTCGAGGAGCGCTCCGTTATCGTACTTCGCCGTGTATCTGGCTGCCTCGTGAGTCGTTAGTTCACATGCTTTCTGAACGGTCTTGGCTGAAGAATGGTCTCCAGCGCGATTTATCCTACAGTTCGTAAGTGCCACCTCCCCTTTCACGCTAGGAACTGTAGCTAAGCGATCTTTGCCATCCACAGCAAACTCCGTGTAAGCAGCCTTCTTCCGAGCTCCAGCACGTCTACTAACGATCATTACAGAGCATGGGTCTCCGGTAACGTGGAGGGATCCTACAAGCGCGGTGCGACACTAGCCATGGCTATAGGGTGGGGCAACCTGAATGGCGCAGTCAGTGCAAATATAGTAAGTTCTCGCTGAATACAGATGACTGCCAGCATATTCACGAGTCCGCGCAGTACCGTGCCGTTGACAAGCCATGGTATCGTATGGGCCACGGCATTGTATTCACCTACATCGCCATTGGATGGCTCTGCTCGCTCACGTTCCACATCCTTCTCAGACGGGAGAACGCAAAGCGAGAGGCAGGCGAGCGCGACGAAGTCGTTGAGGGTGTGGACAACAAGCTCGCCGACGAACGGAACGGGCATTTCGAGAGTGTTGAGGCCGCAAAGAGAGAAAAAGGAGACCAGTGGAGTGGCTTCCGGTACACCCTATGATAGTGGACCACGTTCGTGTAATGGAAAGGAGCAGAAATGCTGCAGAGACGTACCACTGTCGATGAAAACATTGGAACACAATATTCGTCACACAAATGCTCCCGATATAGCCCGAAATCCAAATACGATGATTCCGTTCATGAGTAGGGCTTTCAAGCATTACGATAGATACAGATGTCTTTGATACAATCGATGTCCGCCGAGTCCGACGTGAACAAACATTTCCCAACTTTAACCATTTACTAGACTATGGAAAACGAAAGAAGAATCGTACAGCTAGCATGATAACAGATCACAGTCTGGGCTCGTCCACTCGTGTCGCAGCCGGCGCAGTTGTGCCTTCAGATGGCGTCTCGAGGGGCGGTGGTGCACTGCGCTCTTGGTTCCTGTTCTCGTCCAACCACTTGTCCATTGCATCCTTGCGGTTTGCGAATGGTCGGGGACCAAGAATATTGATCATATCTTCACTGTATGAGACGTGAGTTATTGAAAGTGAGGAATTCTGATAGAATGGGCTCATACCGAGTGATCACCTCCCTCTCAAGGAGCAACTTGGCAATCTTCTCAACGTCTTCCTTATGTTTGGTAAGGAGGTCCGTGGTTCGTTGATGTGCATTGCTGCAAACAGCGACATGAGCTAGAACACTTGACTTAAGACAGAACGGGACACATACACAATCATCTTCCGCACTTCCCCATCAAGCATCTCGCCCGTCTTCTCACTGAATGGCTTCTGCAAGCTCTCATCGGCTGCTTTCGCACCGCCATAACTGACGGGCCCGACGACCTCGTTCATGCCGTAGTTTGCAACAGCTTCGAATGCCATGCGAGTGATCTTCTGCAGATCATCCTGCGCACCCGTCGTGATGTTCTCAGCGCCGAAGAATATTTCTTCAGAAACACGGCCACCGAGCGTCATGCATATCCGGTCCAGCATTTGCGGCGTTGACAAGAGATAACGGTCAGGCGGCAGGTACTAAAAGGGCAATCCCAAGTCAACAGGTTTTCAAGCAATAGATGATTAAAAATATCTCACCTGCGCATATCCCAACGCGCCAACTCCTCGAGGAATGATACTGACCTTGAGCAGAGGGTCTGCGTGTTCCAAAAACCAGCCGCAGATAGCATGACCAGCCTCGTGGTATGCGACCGTCTTCTTCTCCTCTGGACTGAGAATTCTGCTCTTTCTTTCCAGTCCAACGATCACGCGTTCGATTGCGCTCTCGAAATCGGACTCTTGGATCGATTCGTGACCATTCCGAGCAGCGTGCAGTGCAGCCTCATTGCAGACGTTTGCTATGTCTGCGCCCGAAAAGCCTGGTGTAAGCACGGCAAGTTTGTGTGCAAATGACTCCGTCTCAGGGAGGCTGGGGGAGAGCTTGAGAGGCTTCAAGTGCACCAGGAAGATGCCCTTGCGACCTCCGACGTCAGGACGATCAATGGTGATGTGCCGGTCGAAACGACCGGGACGCATCAACGCAGGGTCAAGAACATCAGGTCTGTTCGTACCAGCGAGTACGACGACATGCTCCTGTGTACCGAACCCATCCATCTCGACCAAAAGTTGATTGAGCGTGTTCTCCCGCTCATCGTTCCCGCCGAAGCCACCGCGCTTGCCTCGAGCTTTGCCGATCGCGTCGATTTCGTCAATGAAGATGATCGACGGCGCGTTCTTCTTTGCTGACGCGAAGAGATCGCGGACTCGAGAAGATCCAACCCCGACGAACATCTCGACGAATTCAGAGCCGGAGACGGAAAAGAAAGGCACATTGGCCTCTCCAGCGGTGGCCTTGGCTAGCAAGGTCTTACCAGTACCTGGAGGGCCTGACAAGATCGCACCGCGCGGGATCTTAGCTCCAAGTTTCTCGTACCGCTGAGGCTCCTTAAGGAAGGAGACAAACTCCATGATCTCCTGTTTGGCCTCATCCATGCCTGCCACGTCCTTGAACTTGACCTTGACGTCCGTGTCCTTATTGAACAGCTTGGCGCGACTCTTCCCAATGCTGAAGATGCCTCCTGACGAGCTGGCGGATCCCCCTGCTCTCCGTGATAGATAGAAGAGCAGACCTGCAAACAGTAGTGTAGGTCCAAAGTTCAGCAAATAACTGAAGGCGGAGACTTCATCGTGGTAGGCAACGGGTATACGCTCGATTGAAGGGATTCCGAGCTCCTTCTGTGCCTCATCGAGCTTGCGCTCGAAAGCCTCAACGGAGCCGATCGAGAAGTAGTAATCTCCGCCGCCGAGAGGTGTGTTCGGGTACATTGTACCCGTAGCATTCGAATGCAGCTTGACCTTCACTTTGCTTCTATTAACGACAATGAGCTTGTCCACGAGACCTTTGTCGAGGAATGCGGTGCGGAATTCCTGCCAGGTGATCTCGCGAGAACCGGACGTGGAAGAACTCGAGAGGGCCCATAATATTGCAGCAGTGGTAGCAAGTAGGGCAAGCTGGTTGGCATTAAAGCCATTATTCTCGGATGGTGGAGGGGGAAGCTTCTGCCGTTGAGACTCCTTCTCATCGCGATGAGGCTCCTCATCCTCCTGGCCTTCCTGATGCTTCTTCTGCTGGTGATACCGTTGGAAAAAGCCCTCGAGGCCCTTCAACGACTCCTGCTTCTTCTCGGAGCCCTTCAGACCATCATTCGATGACTTCTCCTTATCCTCCACTTCTCCCTTCTCTCTAGGCTTGTTCGCGTCATTTGGCTTGTTCTCTGGCGTCGGATTGTTGTCGGAAGGAGTAGCGAAAGTTCGAGCGAAATGTACGCGCACGATGGGAGCTAAGATGCGCCGTCTTCCCAAGGCCACTGAACGTAGAGAACGGCCGAGCATCGAAGAGAGATGGGAAAGGGAGAGAGCTGTGGAGAACGCGCTCGCCGTCGCAACACGCAATGACCCCGTTCATTCCGAAATCTGCAAAGCCGAATGACTAACTCCCAGCATGGGGTTTATACGTCACGTGGTAGGCTGCCTTTCCCATTGGTCAGACGATATGACCCTGAAATGGGTATGGTTTATTTGATTAATTTCATTATCAATTTCTGCTGCACTTTTCGCTAGCGTGGAACGCGAGACATGTACTACAACCCAATGCCTCCGGTCTTACTGAATCATCCTTCCATCTACTATCGGGTCGGGGTTAGGCACCGTGTAATTTCCAAAGCAGTCGTACGCAAAATCCACTTGCGCGATGCGTTCTTGCATGCCCTGCACGAAGTCCGAGAGAAGGCATAACCCGTCCTTGTTCGGTGTCTCGCAGTGCGCGATACCTGTGAGTGGGACAGCGCCATCGTTCAGCAGGAAGCGGATGTAGATCTCGGCCGTCGAGTTCGAGGCAGATGCGGGGCAAGACATGACCTGGGTTACGAGGTTGGATGAGAAGGGTGCGATATGTCGCACATGGTATGTCTAAGTAGTAACAGTTATCATGAGCAAAATATTTTTTCGACATTATACACGGAGCGTACCTGGTCTGCTGGGATGTGATCGATCGGCAGCGGTCCGTTGGCAGCGAGGGAGGTGAAGTTCAATGCTGTGATGACTAGAAAAAAAACCATTTTAAACGACAATTCAGCATGAGTCAAAATGGACTCACTGTTAGCAATCACAGTGTCGTGTGTAGCGTCAGCGTAAATAGGCTGGTTCAACGGGAACGTGATATTGCTGCCGTCGAGGGTTGCATTGAGACTCGTATCAAATGTTGTGATCGGCGTTTTCGTCAGACGTGCGAGGAGCTCTTGAACGTATCCAATCCCTTGTGCAGCTGCGGCAGGGAAGCCAGGACCATCGCCATACCAGAAGCTCAAGTCTTTGGAAGGCAATCGTCATCGTCAGACCAAGCCAGGAACGTAGTTAGGTCTCAGATAACACATACCAATTGCATACTCGAATCCCTCCCATTCCTCCGGCGTGAAAAGACCACAGAATTCTGAATAACCAAGCGCGACAGTTTCATACGCACACAGCTGTTGCATCGCATACACATCGCTCGCAGTGAGGTTAAATCCGGAGAGATATGGCTGCAATCTGGATACTGCATCGCGCAGGTAAATTTGCGTCCAATTTCCTGACGCCCAGCCACTGAGATCGGTGTCGGCATTGTTCGCGTTTTCGCAGGCGTTCCACGGTGCAAGCGTATTGTTATATCCAGAGTTCTCGATTATTATGAGTTGATTATAGGACGTCAAATAATCTGGGACGCCGAAGAAGCCAGCTGCAAAGTTCAGGCTAGATCAAGGCACATCATGAGTCATGCAGATTACCGGAGTTCAAGAAGGTACGAACGCAGATTTAAGCATCCTGTCTGCCAGACTATTGTCATAATCGGCTTCTCGCTCAGAATCAGCTAAACTCACCTTCCGAGGTCGTGCGAAATACTGGAAGGTCAGTAAACTCGTTCAAGAGTTCACCGTATTTGGTCCGGAAACCTATACCAAGGTTGAAGCTGTGATATACCCCATCAGTACTGGAACATCATCAATAGTAATTACCACAGACGGCTGCCCGCGACCGAACGGTGTCAAGACCTCCGCGCCTAGTTTGTAGGTCCAAGTGTTCAGGAATGCCAAGGGGCCATTGGCGTTGAATCCTTCGCTCGTCGCAGCAGAATGCAGAGTCGCAGCAAGCTCGCTCGGGGCAGAGCCTGACGTCGGATAGCGAGCCCCATGGCGGTACAGCAAATGGACCTGTTCGAGCTCACATCCCGCTGGGACCTGTGGCGATGTCTCTGTCAAACCGAATGCTGCCTTGTCCGAGAACCAAGGACTGAGGTTGCCCCAGTATCGCATGGGGTTGAAAGCCGCCTCCGCCGAGGCGAACGACTGCAAGAGCGGTGCTACAAGCGGGTATGTGTCATAATTCAGAGCAGCCGCAGGTGCAGTGGCGATTGCTTCCGGCTCTGCGCCAGCTGGTGAAGTGCATGAACGGTAAGACATAAGACATGATGGAGGATAAGGTCGCACGTACTTGGCGTTGGACCGGGGAAGCCGACCTGCTCTGCGTCGGGGAAATACTCTGCGTCCGCTGTGACGGTGGCACCCACTGGTGGAAAGATATCAGAGGTCGTCGAGCCAACGTAAGATGAGGCTGCCGGATCGACGGGGGGTGCCGCTAGCGCATGCGGCAGACTATTCAGGACTACCAGCAGGACGATTGGGAAAATCATGTCGGTAGGACACGGAGGGCGGCGCAAGACCCGTAGTGCAGGTTCATCCTGGAGAGATTTATATTGCAGAGCTAAGCTGATGGTGAGAATGCTCGGCAAATTGTTGGATCAGACCTCCTGCGCACATGCCGTATCGGCCGTGTTCCTGGAAACCTTCAGTGACATGCACGTTGATGAAGGGTGCCTCGTACATGTTCAATGCGAACACGCACCGCGACGCACGAGGTCAACATGGCCAATCAGGTAGTGACTCAACATCAAACTGATAGCCTCAGTCACGATCGTGTCGGGTTTCAGCGGAGAAGGGCTACGAAATAAAGGTACCCGGATCAAATCCTGATCAAGACCTTGATATTGACTGCAGCATCCGCTAATACATGACGTAGAGACAAAGGTGCGCTGCGATTGTGCATCCTCCATCTCACCGCCATTCAGCGCGGCATCCTCCCGTCGATTATGTCGTCCGGCACCGGGATGGAGTAGTCCCCGAAGCAGTCGTACGCGTAGTCAATCTCCGCGATACGCTCCTTCATCCCCTCCACAAAGTTGTCAAACAAGCAAAGCCCATCCTTGTTAGGCGTCTCGCAATGCGAGATGCCTGTCAATGGCACTGCACCGTCGTTCAGAAGGAATCTGATGAATTTTTCCTTTGTGGAGTTGGCAGAAGAGACAGGACACGATAGCACCTGGCCAACAAGGTTTGAGGTGTAAGCCGCAATGTGCTGCACATGGTAAGTCTGGGGAGTGTCAATGCGTCATTAGGATAACCGGACATTTGGTGTAGATTGGAGCGTACCTGTCCAACAGGGGTACGGTCCCAAGGCAGAGGCCCATTCGCAGCCATGGTTGTAAAATTCAATGCAGTTATAACTGACGATGGTTAGCTGTACACCTTAACGAAACGCGATGCAGCTGCTCACTATTCGCAATCACAACATCGTGAGTAGCATCGATGTAGATCGGTTGATTGAGCGGGAACGTGATGTTGTTGTCGTCCAGAGTCTTGTTCACGTTCGTATCGAATGTCGTGATCGGAGTTTTTGTGAGTCGCGCGACCAGCTCTTGAACCCACCCAACCCCTCGCGCAGCCGAGTTTGGGCTTCCAGGTCCTTGTCCATACCAGAAATCAAGATCTGGCAAAGCTTTCAGCATTGAAACCAACGGTCCCCGGCAGATTGTAATCTGAGTGCGTACCAATTGAATATTCGAACCCACGCCATTCTTCTTCAGTGAATAGCTCGCAGAATTTGGAGTATCCTAGCGACACAGTCTCATAGGCGCACAAGCCTTGCATCGCATAGACATAATCGGCCGTCAGGTTGAAACCGACCAGATACTGCTGAAGCCTCGTGACAGTGTCTTTCAGGTAGACCTCAGACCAGTTGCCGGCCGCATATGAGCCTATGGTGCCGCCGACATCGTTATTGGCGTTCGTGCAGGTCTCGTACGGGGCAAGTGTATTGTTGAAGCCCGACGATTCGATGATGATCTCCTCATGGTACGAGGTCAAATACTCGGGCACCCCGAAGAAACCAACAGCGAAGTTCTCACTAGCGATAATGTCTAGTCACGCTCAATCAGCTGAACGATCGACTCACAGTGATGCCACCATACGGTCTACGGTCCACGCGACGTCAGCAGTCGTGCAATGTTATGAAGCTATTAAGCAAACCTTCAGAAGTCGTGCGGAATACCGGGATATCCGTGAATCCGTTCAACAAACTTCCATACTTGACTCTGAAGCCTACACCAAGATTGAACCTATGAACTCTCAGCCGTGTGCACCTTCAAACGCTTGAGGGAATACTTACGGCTCTGAGCGACCGAAGGGCGTTAGGATCTCCTCGCCAAGTGTATATTCCCATGTGCTCAAGAATTCCAGAGGCCCAGACGCGGTGAAGCCTGTGCTGTCAGCTACCTTGTGCAATGCAGCTGCAAATACGCTCGGAAGCTCTCCACTGGTAGGATAACGTGCCCCATGACGAAGTAAGAGATGGACCTGCTCGAGGTCGCAATCCTCTGGAACCTGCGGCGACGTATCTGGAAGACCGAAGACGCCTCCAACCGAGTACCAAGGGCCAAGGTTGCCCCAGTGATACATGGGGTTGAACGGAGGACCAGATCCGGCATACATCCCGGAGGAAACGACCATGGGATAGGTCTGGAAATTGAGGGCCGCGACAGGTGCAGTTGCGATCGCCTCTGGCTCAGAACCCGCTGAGACGGAGATGATGTAGTAAGCGACCGGTAATTCTAACTCTTGGTCATACGACTCACTCGGTGTTGGTCCAGCGAAGCCCACTTCCTCAGGGCCAGGGAAATATTTCTCGTTAGCCTCAACCGTAGCGCCCGGAGGCGGGAACGTATTGGTGGAAGTTGCTCCGGCATATGAGGAAGCAAATTCCGCAGGAAGCGCCAGTCCTACTGGGAGGATACCGAGCAGCAAGAGGATGGGTAGCATGACGGAGACTTGGATGCTGGGACAGCAAACCCCGCCGAGGATGCAGCATTGAAAGAAAGGCTATTTATGTGGTAGGCATCTGGCGCTTGCCTGGCAATGGCATCGCGTCCCTGCACATCACGAGAACGAGCGCACATCGCAAGAAGCGATTAAAGAAATATGCCATGACGTAAAGAGAATGCGCACGGGCGTGATAGGACCAATCATTGCGCTGAAGCAAGCGTCCAACAACGGAGAGTACTTCTGTCGCCTGAACAAGCGTGGATGTGACAGCGAAGATAGATGCGAACGGCAAGAAGTGGTCAGTGGGCCCGCTCATCATGCATATCCACCTTCTATTTAGGCGAGCAAATTCCGAACGCATGGTGAGATTGGAGGCCGTGAGGTACCGTACTAAGCGGTGCTGGACTCGTGCTCGACGCCGCATGAGAGTAGTGGCAAACATCGTCCAGTCGATCGCGAGCGACGCGTCCCCGTCGCGCGACACGTGTGGCGCGACGCTGACTGTCCCCGAATCCGTTGGGCATGTGCGGTGTGCGGCTGATCGCTTTCGCACATTCCAACTCGGGTGCCGTCCAGTTCACAGTTCACGGACTGCTATCTCGTCGCAGTTGTCGCGGCCGGCGCGTTTTCATGACCTAGTCAGTGGCCATATCCGCATCGCATGGCTCTTCGGCTTCTCTCATCATTCCGCCCTTCGTCTCTGAGAAGGATTCGCACTCCCTTTCCCGTGGACCGTCATGCTGAATATCATGACTACATACGCTTTTCTACGCCGAATGATCGTGAGTGCCGTGCTATGTGGTCGCAACATCGCTCATCTAATCTCATATCCGCTCGGCAGGTATTGGACGGATACCCCTTCGAAGCCCGAAAGTCATAGGCGTCGCGTCGTCTCGTGGAGAGAGAATGTACGTCGCGTGTCCTGCAACACCGCATCTCTACATGATCTCTTCGTCCGCAGTCAGCAGGAAGACTTCTATGCCTATGTTGCTGTCTCTCTCGATCCCGATGAGCTGCGTCTCAGCCTGAAAAAGGCACATCGCATAGATTGGGACACCTCATCTATACCAGACGCTTTGGCCCGTCAGGTCCTTTTTGTTGGCATATATGATGGCCATGGTGGATCCACTGTTTCTCAGTTTCTACGCCAAGAATTGCACGGTCTGCTTGAGAACGTGGACAAGTCGCAAATACCAGACATGTACGATTGGATACACGAACTTGGCGGCTACTTCAAGCGATTCACGGGCGGTGCGCTCGCACCATGGATTCACGCGGATCAGCCTCAATTTGCGGCCAAGATGGATCTGGAGGCTCGGGCGACGCTTGCATTCTTTGAGGTCTGTGCCGTAGTCCAGTCCTCATCTTTGTTGCTACCCTTTCACGGTTCCGCTTACCGTTCATCCGCTGCATCGGATGTCATTGCGTTAGGTGGACAAAACCTTGTCTATAGAGGAGGCGGCTCAAGACTGCGGCGCGACCGCATCCGTTGTGCTCCTGCAATCACTCGACAACCCTGTCAATCCGTTTTTCTCATCAGAACGGCTCGCTTTGACAGTAGCGCATGTTGGGTGAGTACGGGATGATATAGCCGACGAACGTTTGCGACTAAATTTAACCTTGGCGGGCAGTGACACCAGGGTGCTTTTGAGCAAGACCGACAACGGGGAAGTGGTACCGATGACTGAGAATCATCACGTCGACGCACGTGTTGAAGCCATCCGGCTCCGCAGGGGGATGGGCAGCGGACGGTCCATGGATTCATTCGGCGAAACAAGGTATAGCCGTGCCCCTTAATTGCATGCGATGACTAGTAATGATTGATCGCCCTGGTTCCTGTCGAAGGTGGATGGGCGCATTGCAAAACACGCGAAGGTCCGTGTTCGCTCGTACGGCATGCGTCAGTTCCATCTGAACGTTCTTCCTGCAGTCTCGGTGACCTGAAGTACAAGCGTTTCGGTGTCACCCCCGAACCGCAGATGCGATACATGCTTCTACATGGTCGGTATTCATAGGTCTCCGACGTGCCTGTGTCTCCTCAATATCTTGCCTTAACAGGACCTGAATACTCGCATATCACACTCGTCTCGGACGGTATATCGTCCGTCGTCTCCGACGATGAAATATCCGATCTCGCACGTGGAGCGGCTACGCCACAGTCGGCTGCTCAGCGTATACTCAAGTTCGCAGACGAGATGGGCAGCGATGACAATTTGACCGCTCTTGTAGTCCCGCTAGCAGGGTGGGGAAGGATGACCGGGGAAGACCGCACGCGGGACTTGCGATACTATAGGAAGGTCCAGATGTCAGGCTCCGAACGGCACAGACCGAGGTGGATGTAGACATTCCTTGAAACTTCACCTTCAGGCGATTCACGCTGTTGCGTCATGCTAGTTTTATAGTGAACAGTTAAGGTCTTAGGTACATCCTTGCATACACTGTGTAAAACATCATGCGGAAATATGTTATCATGTTATTCCAGCTTGCTCGATCATATCGGAGCTGGCATCGTGGAGTCACTAGATTTGAGGTGAAGCGTGCCCATCAGCTCTCATATCTGAACCAGCTGCCCAGACGGTCACGCCCGACTGGTCAACAATCTTCTGGATAACCTGCCCACGACCGAACATGCCCCTTGCCAAACCGGTGACGTGCCGCGCATCGTGGCCCATGTCTGTAACGCGAACTCTTGTTCCAAATTCTTCGCATGAATTACAGAATAACATACCTCGAAGTTTCTGCACTGTCTCGAGTGTGATTCCTTCCTCGAAATATACCTCGCTGTTGACATCGCCTGCCTCACCCGACGTCAGCGAGTCCGGGCTCCCAGCGGATATGCAGAGTCGGGGCGCGTCCAACGCAGCTTGGGCGGTGAAACCGCGGAGAATATTGAGCAGTACCTGAACGTGGCCTTGCGGCTGGGGATGGAGACGTCGGACAGTAGATCAGGAAGCTTTGACGGCTGAATTTTACCTGCATGAACCCGCCCATCACGCCGTAGCAAAGGAACAAATCTTTGCCTCTGAGCGCCATCGCAGGGATGATGGTATGATACGGTCGTTTACCACCCTAGAAACCACGATCACTGTTGAGATACGCTATTAGAATCCTAGCCTTTAGTAAGCTTGCCTCCAATGCATTTGGATGACCGGGTGTGAGGTTGAAATTGCTGCCACGGTTTTGCAACGTGAAGCCACAGCCCTTTGGTACAGCTTTCGTCCAGCTGTAAGTGTGCCAACCAATACTATGGAATAGCGCAACGAACCTCCCGTTCCGAAGCCTGAAAGGAAAGCCTCATTAATTGACTCGCTCGACCCTTCTTCAGTGTACTGACCAGCATAGTTGCTCTGAATGTAACTGCAGGCATTACCCCACTGATCCGTTACTACAGGAGCTGATGAGCAATATCATGCATGAGCTAGGGACATTGAGCCTACCCGAGAAGTAGACCGTGTCTGACGAGAAAACTGGGTTGCCCTGGCGAGAAATCAGAACGGCCAAATAATGACATGCCCCTGACTTACATGGATGACCTTGGCATTCGTCTTCTTGGGATCGAATAGACTCGCTCTGGAAGCCAAATATTCCTACCAGGAGCTAATAATCAACCAGCACACCTTCGCAGGAATCCTTGATTCCTAACCTTGCTCAAGAGCTCAGCAACAGGGATGTTTGTTGTGTCGGGGTCCGTGACGTAGTATTGGGTGTCTGTAAAGAGCAGCATTTATGGGGACAGATGGTGGTAAATGCCAGATTACTTCTGCGTACCAGCAAATGCGAGCCTGATGAAATGATCTCTCAATAAATGATAGCAAAGACAGAGGGCCAACATACCGGAGAGCCTCAACAAGGGCGTGAAGGTACTCTGCAGAATTATGCTCCATCTCCAGCAGGGACCGGATTTTACCCTGTTTCTCCATGTTTTCCAAAATACCTAGCGCAAGCAAGGCGGTGATACCTTGCCCATTCGGAGGACACTAATTGATCTCAGCACACCGTTACTGCCGTGAGAATTGGGCCATACCTCATACAGAGTGACTTCATCTTGAAATGTGTAGCTGATAGGATCTACGAAGGAGGTCTCGTGCTCAGCAAGGTCCTCGAGCTCCATCACGCCTCCTTTGCTCTGTATAAGCTCAACGATCGCTTCGGCAACCCAACCCTTGTAGAAGCCGTCTTTGCCGTATTCGGCCACGGAGCGGAAGGTTTTCGCAAGGTTGGGCAGCTTCACGACTTGCCCGAGGAGTGGAGCCTTGCCATTCAGGAGCATCTCATCTCCATTCGGTGAAGCATCCTTGATAAGCTCCTCGGATCTTTGCCACTGCAGTGAGTGTTACCGTAAGCTTAGTACAGAACCAATCTCACGGAGACGCACGCACAGAGAATGCATGGATCTCCGATACCGGTACGCTAAGATCCCATCAGCCACATTGGGACAGAAACAGGCTTCGTTTAGCTTACCCTTCTTCTGCAAGCTTGATAGCAGGCTCCAGTACATCAGCGAGGCAGAGTTTCCCATTTCCGAATTGTGAGACTGTGTCGACCCATGCCGCGGCAGCACCTGAGATGACAGGAAGATGGGCCATTGTCTGACAAGACTTGCAAGAACGCGTACCAGGTACTGTTACACTATTGAGGTTAGCAGCTGGAATCTTATTGCCTGTAACGCCCTGCTGGCGAACATAGTCAATGGTCAGTTTCGCCGGAGATCGTCCGGAGCCATTTAGGGCCTTGACAACTTTGCTCTTCGCATCATAAAAGAGACAGAATGCATCTCTATTGACATGCTTGAATGGGTCATGGGTGGTATTATACGGGAGTGCTCACCCACCGATCCCACAACAGCTAGGTTCCGTCACGTTCAATGCGGCAGAAACGGCGACGGCGGCATCGGCTAGTCGAGGTCAAAGCCGGATGTCTACGACAACGCACAGAGCCTCTTACCCGCGTTCCCGCCTTTTCTCAAAACCTCCAGCCCTGCTTCAACAGCCAAAGGCTGCGATGCAGCCACCATGCCCTTGGTGCTGTATACTTGGGATCGCCGGCTTGGAAACCGCTGGAATACGATCTCGGGCTGATACACCTTGCTCCAGTCAATCTTCATCGTGGCTGGTCTCGAGAGGCGGAGTCACCGAGAACGCTCAAAATCGGTGTATGCTGTTAAATGTGAACGCAATGAATTACTTATCGATATCTCCACTGACTCAATGCACAAGACTATCGTGCGCGGGAACGGCCTTCCGTCGCCCATCAGCGCACAAAAACAATGGCCCAGCTTCTCCTTACATATGCTATGATACACTGAATTATACCGGTAACTTGGCAGAAAGGTTCTTCTCCTGCCGTTGGCGCTACGCATTTCCGTGAGCGGTGCGTAAAAGCCTTAGGAAGAATTCTCCGCTTACCGGAGCCCGAGGCTCCTGTGATATGCTTGGCTACCCTGCACCGCCACCTAACCTGCTCGGGAGTCCCTCCAACAAACACGGAGGCATCATCGAACGCCTCTCGCGAAACTGGAGGCGGCGGTGTGTAGTACGGCGGGCGGAACAAGACAATTACATAAGCAGCCTAGGATGGCAAATCCCGCGTCGTGCTAAGCTGCTTATGGCAGAGCTGATTTCACTCGACAATCGCAGCAACGTCGGGTCATTTGCATCGCTCACCACGTCGTTCGGGGTGCAGTAGTCACTGTCCAGCAATGCCAAAGGCCTCAGCGTCAACCTCGCGTGCATCTGGCGACCAGCCATTCCAGAGCGCACATGTACTACGAAGAAACCAGGTTTGTTCCCGGTGCATCCTATCTATGGCGCACGTACTCACCCCTAATTACTCGCAGGCATGCCATCAGTGTCGGAAACGCAAGCTGGTAAGTGACCGATGCATCTCATTCGGATGGGCATACATATTGATTGAGTTCCAAGAAATGGTTCGTTCCCTCGGTTGGTAGACCGATGGCCGAGGCGTACTGAGTACACCGACAGCGATGCGAAGCGACCATGCTCGACATGCGTGCGCTCACACTCTTACGCGGTAGCACACGCTCCAGCGGGTGCTGAATTGCCACCCCATCCTCATTGCACATTTGATGAAGGTGCGCTAGCCGATCTTCTGTCGCCTGCACCGGATGACGCGGAACATGGACTATCAGTCTCTGAAGCGGACACCAACGACCTGTTTGAACATCCTAAGACCCGCTTTGAGAGATTGGAGAACAGAATCAGTGTGTCACCTTTCCTTCACCGATGATGTCCACTTTGATGTTGAAAGCGCCATAGATGAACTCGAGACATTGCTGCGGGAAAAGGACAAGACTTCAAGCTCACAGCAGTCTGGCTTTGTCCGCCCGCCGATTGAAGTGTCCTTGAGCAGCCGCCCCAATGAAAATTTTATCGCGAATATCAGCGACGTCTCTCCTGCCAGCCATATTGTCTCCATCGATGTCGACCCCTTTCAGGTCGAACAATTGGTTGGTGTGGATAATGCTTTTGCTCTACCGCAATTCCAATCAGGGTCAGCTTTGGACAACCTGGCGGGTGTGGCTAGTCTTATTGGTACGCCTTCTGCGCCATCTCCGGCCTCACGCATCAACACCGCGTCAGCTTCGCCAACGATTGATGCTAGCACAAATCCGACGACCCCAAGCTCCGATCAGGGACAAGACCTCTTTCACAGCGCATGGCCGCGAAATTTGCCGACGCCTACATTCCTTCGACATCTGTGAGTCTTTGTTGCCTTTCCCAACATGATGCCGAATTTACCATGACCTCCAGCGTGGATGCATTCTTCTCTTACCATCCGGACGCCACCCGTCTGTTCCATCAGTCGACATTCCTGGCGTCGTTGACTTTACCTCCAACTCATCCGAGGTTTCCGGCGGCTTCAGTGCTACACGCAATTTGTGCTGTCGGAAGCATGTATACGGCTGCCTTGCCGCGTCCACACATCCCAACTTCTCCTGATTTCTCTCCATGTTAGTCGCTGATCATCCGTTCTATGCGAAACTGTGCTGACTTCTGCGTAGATGATATCTTTCCTGACAAGTACAAGCTTAGCGAAGGCGTCCCCGATACCTTCTCAGAAATGCAAGCCAAATATGCAAAAGAAGCGCTTGAAGCTGCGATGGACGTCGGCAAGGAGTTGTTCCAGAACGTGCAAGGTAACTTTTTGGTTGGCATGTCGTACTGCTGCAGAACTAAATGTCCTGCGACAAGCTCTGATTCTGCTATCGTGGTGGTACTGGTGCAATGCTAAGTACGTGGTTTCGATAGGACCTTCGTTTGAGTACAACTGACAAACACCGCCTGTGTAATCTAGATGGGCAGAGGTTGGAGTCGACTATCCGCTCGCGTCATTGTTACTTACATGTCTTCAGGCATTCCTGAATACCTCTCATGCCCTTCGGTATTCTCTGCCATGCGGATTGAATGTTTGCCCTCCCTTTCATGCGATTGCGGAAACCTTGAGGCCACCGTCTCTCTTGGGCCCGGCGAAAACCGTGATTGAAGACGAGATGAGACGCAACACTTTCTGGATTGGTAATTCTCGTTTCTGTCAGAGCTAGCGTCACGTAGCCAATTTTCTTACAGGATACGCAATTGAGCGCACGCATGGAACAGGGAACGGCTGGGCAATGACTCTTGATGATCAAGATGTGTCGCAGCTCCTACCTGTCCGCCGGGATCAGTTCGAACAGGGGGTTCGTACAATTTTCCTCGACGATTATGGTGCTATGTTAATATCAGACAGATTCTCGTTCTTCCGGCTGAGCGGCAATGGTCTCATGAGAACGATATGCTGTTGACACACCCAGAAGACCAGATCGATCCGTTTATCTTGTATATCAAGTCCACGATACTTCTGTCGAAGGTCAAGAACTTCAACTTACGATTCCGCCAGAGGTATCATACGCACGATCCTTCGGCCATGCCTACAAAGTCTGCGAAGGCCTCCCTCACTGGAGAGTCTGTAGACCCCAGGGAGACAGAAGCATTTGTTCAGTTAGACCGACTGATCACGTTGTTCAAGGCATCTTTTCCTGCGCACTTGAGGAATCCGATAAAGGACACAGTCGATCCTCATCTGTTTGCGGCTTGCACTGCGGCACAATAGTGCGCAATCAGCTTTCTTTCGCATGTGCCAGCCCTTTGACGTATTTTCACAAACCAGTGCCGAGATACTCCTGCACGAGCCCCATGCTGTCGTGGGACGATCAACCTGTACCTCTTCTTGCAAGATCTTGCATGCGTCTCGTGCGATACTGGATTTGTTGTACAATGTGTACTCGACCAGCTATGACGTTTCTCTGTTGGGTCTTTTCCCTATGGTACGTCACTCATGTTTTACTCATCGTCTGCGTTAACATTTTCATTCGTAGATGTGTTGGTTTATGGCAGGGAGAGTGCTTGTGCGATTCCTGCGCGTTGCCATCGATTGCGGCAGCGAGGAAACATGTGCTACCCTTCGCGCTGAGGTAGATTTCATCAGGTGAGCTACGGTGACAATCGCGAGCTTCCGGCTTTGAAAGATGCTTATCAATGTTTGCAGCATGATTATCTTCAGGGTGGGCGCCCATGTCCCACTTGCTCGTAAGTTCAACTGCACCGGAATATAACTTGCTTCTTAGCTGACTGCTATGTCAGATCGCTACGGCAAAATGCTGCATGATTTCATTGTTCAGCTCTGTGGCGAGCAATATGTAGAGTCACAGCCCCTGGTTATGCCTCAACGGGAGTACGTTGAGAACATTCCGGCGTACAGTGCGCAACCTGCGATGGCAGTACCTGCTTGACGTTGTGAGCAGGATGGCGCCTCACAACAGTTCTTGTATATGGCATCGGATACCATCTTTGCTGTATCCATAGTGTATTATAATGCGCTTGCAGCTATATTATTACTTCTATATTTATGTTCCGATTTACTTCTGTCTCAACATCTACAATTGATGGACATTCTGTTTGGCCACTTTACGTGAACGAGCGGCTGTCGCTGAGTCCTTGACAGCCACACCTGGATTCTGGTCGGTGCACCTCCCTCGACATACGAGCTGTCTCTTCAAGCATTATATTGTTTTTGTGAGGCTCATGGGCGGGAACCAGTCGGTACCGAAGATCACTGCCCAGGACCGTGCAATACTAGAGTCAGTCAGTCACTTCTATCACGTCTGTGGTCCTACGAGAGACACAATCTTCCACTGCAGTCTCAAGTTACAGAGAGATAAAATCAAGCAGTATCAGAAGAAGGTTACGATCCGCTTCTGGTTCTGTTGGGTCAGGCATGCTGAAGCTTCGTAATAGATACAAGGAATTCTCGAGCGCGAACATGAGATAGCGAAACAGCATCTAGCTGCAGGACACAAGGATCGCGCTCTCTTCGCGCTGCGCAAGCGGAAATATCAAGAGAGTCTGCTGGTCAAGACGGATGGGCAATTAGAGAACCTGGAGAAGCTAGTGCGTTTTCTGCATGGCTTCCTTCATGCTGCAGACCTGACGGTCTGTATTGCTGTCGTAGGTCTCGACAATCGAGTTCTCTTTGATCGAAGTGTCCGTGTTGCATGGATTGCAACAAGGTAACGAGGTGCTCAAGGAGATACACAAGGAGATGAATCTAGAGAGCGTGGAGAAACTGCTGGAGGAGACGCAGGAGGCGCGAGAGTATCAACGGGTGCGTGGTGAGGCTGGTGACCATTCCCTATGCTGACATTCTCTACCTGCAGGAAATTGATGAGACGCTCACTAATTCCTTGACCGTTGAAGAGGAAGAGGCCGTACAGGTTGAGCTGCAGGTTCTCCAGCGAGAGGCGGTAAGTTTCAGTAGTCCACAGATACCTCTCGGTGTTTTCCTTACAGTGAATTCTGTACAGACGGGCGAACAGACGCAGCCTCCTATCGAACTGCCGTCTGTTCCATCACGGGAACCGGTGGCTGCGGTGCCGGAAGGAGCGGGTACGCATTTCGTTGTTCTCCCCATCAACTTCGCTGATGCAACTGATACCCAAAAGCTGAGGCAGGACCGCGAGAACGTGAGCCTGTCGCGGCGTAACGCAGGGTTGAGAATATATATGACACCTTGACTATCTTACATCGTACATACTGTAGCAGCATACCATATATCTTACTTGTGGATCACCAATTATCGAAGTTCCCGAACCCTAGTTTGCGTTTCTTCGTAGATTCAACCGGAACACCAACGACATCCGGCAGAACGGATGGTTGCTCCGTGGCCGTCCTCTTCAAGCTCGCGGTGGTCTTGCCTGTCAGATATTTACCCACTTCGCCGCCTCCTAACTCGCCAGAGCTCTTTGTTTCTGACCCAACCTTTGTTCCGAACCAATTGATATCGTCTCCTTCCTTCTTCTCATCCTTGCTGCCGATTCGCGCGCTTTGCTCTGCCTCTGCCCTTCGCTCGAGTTTCTTCTGACGACGGGCTTTGTATTCTTCAAAAGGGTCCTGGTATCTTCGAGAAAGGATCAATTCATGTAAGCGAAGTCACAAACAAGCAACCAAGAACGCAAAGTACGAACATGATGACCTCCGCGATCCGCACCGGCTTCGCTGGTCGTTCAGTGCCAGGCTTGACAGGCAATGCTTCTAGCGCATCGAGGATGTCCTCACCACCTACAAGCTTACCGAATACGGTATGCTTCTTGTCAAGATGCGGTGTCGCTTTGAATGTGATGTAGAATTGCGACCTGGCGAGAGGTCAATGAAGCATGGTCACAAGGTTTTCGTTACCCAAGACGTACCCATTGGTTCCGGGACCCTTATTCGCCATAGCTACGATGCCTCGAGAGTCATGTTTTGCGACATTCCGCATGTCAAATTCATCTCGGAAAGGAGTACCCCAACATGACTCTCCGCCCGCCCCTGTGCCGGTTGGATCACCAGTTTGAATCTTAAAACATGCATCACAGACTGTCAGTATCTCTACCTCAGCAGAACGGTAGGCAGCCTACCATGAATCCAGGCACAAGCCTGTGGAACAGACAATTGTTGTATTTGCCTGCCTTCGCTAGTTGCAGGAAGTTGTAGCACGTTTTGGGTGCCTGCCAGAAACAGAGAATTGGATCACGTCGGTCGCACATCTATATGTGTACGACGAGTAGACTTTACCTTTTCGCAAAAGAGCTCAAGGTTGAGACTGCCACCTCCTAGGGTTGTGACGACGCGCACGTATGCACGACGCTTACCAATGTCCTTTTCTTTCCCTTTTCCCTTCGGCGGATTCGCGAAGTCGTCAAACATCAACTCCTCCTGGGGGGTTGTTAGTTTCCTTATAATCACGTGCTGCACTCGATGGCTCACCTCATCCCACAGGAGCTGCGCCGATTTTGTCTGGGGGTCAATGGACGTTGAGGTCAGTGACGCGCCGGGCAGACCACTGGAGTAGGGAGAAATATTCCCTATTAACATTCAGCATTGTCAATACGACCTTCAAGAAGGTGCGACTCACATGGTACAGATGGTTTGGCGGATGTTGCAGCTGCTCTTGTTGCGATGGTCTTTGTTTTGTTCTGCTGCGTCTCCTGAGTTGTGATGGAGGACTTGGAGACGGAGGCAGGAGGGAAACCATGTGGGTTCTGTAATGTTATTACATCCTCCCTGTGACGCCGTCATAAGCTCAACGTTTATGATGACGTCGGGATGAAGCGGCCTACTTCTTGAACTTCACATCAGCAACCAAGTCCCGCCCGCCTTTAATGCTCTCGGCAAGAAACACATTGCCTGTAGTAGCAATCGCGACAATGTGAGAGTGCTCGGTGAACGGCTTGAAGGATATTGGGTCATGAATCTCTCCATTCGGCTTGCGAGAGTAGTGGAGGGTTATGAGGTCGGCGGGCGTAAGAGGCTCCTTCGTAAATGGATTGGTATTATGGTGCTGCCTGGCAATTCCTGCATCAGGATGAACGCAAACAGGATTCTGACGGTATACTTACTTCAGCCATGGTATGATGTTCACGACATCGAACACACTTCCAGTGCCGTCCGAATTCCGAGCGCATACGGGATGTGTAAACGGTTGAAAGGATAGCGCACAGCAGTCAAACGGTGTGACTGCAGCAGGGTGAGTACCTTGGCTCTTTCTGTGTACACGATAACGAAGATTCCTTTAGCGTGCTTCATGCATAAGAATGGCGCTTACGTTTTGTAACCCGCGGATGACGCAGTATGCTGACCGAACAGGCCAGAATGCTCTGCATGAGTGACGTAAAGCTTGTCCGAGTTTCCGTGTCCCATGTTGTGGACGAGTTGGCGAGGTGGAGGTGAGAAGACAATGCGAGTTGGTCGGTAGCCACTGGGCCACGCGTGATCTGGAATTATATACGCGCCCGTGATCGAAGCAGGACTGAGTCCTCCACGAACATCTGCAAAGCGGCTCTAATCCCTTCGCTGCTGCACTCCGTCGTACGTAACCGCGTCCTGCGCACTGCAATGGAGACCTCACCCGCATGATTTTCAGAAGTCGGACCAAGAACGCCTACGCATGCTTGCTCGCAATGCTTCCCAGAGAACCACTGTGTCCTTCATCGCGCTCGATTTTCTCGCACCTCGGATTTTCTGCAGAGGCAATGCGACGACCCGCCGGACGCTGAAGGCGGAACCAGTCAGGCCCGAGCTCAACAGCAGCTCCTTCTTCGACCGCTCGGTCGTAGCACCCCTCGCGTCGTCCTCCCGATCCACTCTTTCCCCAGGAGACGTACTCGATCAGTTGAACAAACACATCGATCTACTCCACGGAACACAATGCCAGGGTCTGTCCAACGGGGAAGCGGAGATCTTCAACCAGGCTGTCCTTCAACTACGAGCCATGGCCAAACCGCTTCTGGCTCCTGATCTGCACGACACATGGCGGATTTTGAATGAGCTCGATAAACGTCATCTATTGCGTTTTTTTGGTCCACCCCACTATGAAATGTGCTCCAGAATCGTCGCATCGTATTGTAAACACAAACTTGAAGACGCTCTGTTCGATGTGACGGAGATGGAAGCCCTGCGAGAGATCTCTGTAGCCGCGGCAGCCGAGGGCCAGTCGGAAGGGTTGAAACAGTACATGCTATCGTTGATCAAGCTCAAAAACCCAGATGCTGTTCTCCTTTTGTACGAACGCTATGAGGCCTTACTCGGAGAGAAGGTGATACGGCTGGAACCCGAGGAACCAGTAGACGGGGACAAAGGCGAATCTGCTAACAGCTCCAGCGATCATGCGCAGGATACGACCATTCACGGCCTTCAATCTGACATACTCCTCGCTGCAGTGACTGCGCATGCGTTGCGCGACTCCAAGGAATCCTTCCTGAACGCATTTTCTATGTCATTTCGAACCTCAGCGCGCTTCATTCCCAGCGTTATCGATCATTTCACGCGACTTCTGGATCACGACGAGGCATTGGCCAAGCGGGTAAAGGATTACGGTCGTCGCATTAAGGTCGCACGGCTCGTTGCACGTCCGGCTGCGCTCGCAAAGCATATTGACCAGTTGGCGCACAGTTGGGCTTTAAAACCGCTGGAGGAACTCTATCAAGACATATCCAAAGGCCTTTCAACTCCCGACCCATGGCTTTCGGTCAAGTCATCAGACAAGGACGCGAACGGGTCCATATATGTGTCAGAGTCAGCGTGGCCCGCTTTCATTACTGGCTTCATGTTTTGTCGGAGGACCGACCTAGCATCGAATGTATGGAATGACGTGCTGAAGTGGGGAATCCGCCCATCGGCTGCTATGTTCACAGCATGCATCAAGGGGTATGGTGAGCTTAATGCGCCCGTCGAGGCGATCAACACCTGGAACGCTATGCTCGAGCAGGGCTTAAAGCCTGATATTGCGGCATATCAGGCCCTTGTCGGCGCCTTATACCATTCGAATTTGCCTGAAGAGGCTTCAAAGAGGTTCCAATTAGCTAAGTCTGTGGTCCGCAACCTTTCTCCTACTCCTGCGGATTCGGATGTGCTAGTCTTATACAACACAACCCTCCATGGGATGCTCTTCCATCACGAGGAAACCGAAGCGCGCGCGATTCTGGACGAGATGCAAGCTGAAGGGCCAAAACCCGATATCGTCACGTTCAACACATTCCTCAGGTATTACGCGCGGAAAGGGCAACTCAAGACATTGTCAGAGATTTTACAAATGATCGAGCCTACCGGTCTTGTAGGAGACGTTTACACCTTCTCCATCGTCCTATCTGCGTTATTCAAGGTCCGAGACGATGCACCGGAGATCGTGCTTAATCTCATGCGCAAGCAGGGCGTCGAGCCGAACGCAGCCACCTTGACGACAATCATCGACTACCAGATGCGATTGCAGACAGAGAAAGGTCTCCATGCCGCGCTCAGTTTGCTGGGGCGCATGGAGCGGGACGAGATTCCGGGTGCACGGCCAAACGATGTCACTTACACCAGCATTCTGACCGGTATCCATCGCAGCAATTGGCTTCCACCCAAGCTCGTCGCGGAATATAGGAAGATAATATGGGATAAAATGAAGGCTCGCAAGATCAAGCCGAAGAGGACAACGTTCAACATCCTTCTCCAAGCATGCTTCCAGAACCCTGAGCCACAGGGCACACAGGATGCTCTCAGCTATTACAAGATCATGCAGAAGGAGCGGATTGCCCTCGCAAACGACTCATGGTACATTCTGCTGCATAACCTGGTGAAGAGGGAAGAGTGGGTGCTGGCGAACGAGGTGAGACTCGATCTGCTCAGTCGCAATTTCACACCGGCAGGCGCGCTGTCGGATTTGGTTGAGAGAGTGCGTAAAAGGGCTACTGAAAAGTTGAAGGCTGGACCTGCTGCCTACATCTAAACTTATGTTGCGGTGTATTGTGGACCTTTCTACCGCTTGGTTCATGCCCATCCCTAGCACTTCATATAACGCAATAAGACACCTTGTAGGATCGATAGCACCCCGACCGTGCTAAGCCTCGTCGGTATTGAGCGATTGCCATTGTGAATCATCCATGACAACCTGATCCTGCCTCCTCCAGCTTCGTCCATGGGGACGACGAGAGCAAACTGTGCTGAAACGAACCTACGGTGTCCAGCGTTACCCGCATTTCCTCGGCAGCTTAGCTGCCCGCCAATATTCGCCATGTCATGCTATCAGTCTATTCCGATCGACCTGTGTTCACTTGACAGGAGATTCAACGCCTGTGGCATCCATGGCTGGCGCGCGAGCAATCCATAAAATGTCTCGCTTCCATAGGATGTTGCTTATCAACGCACACGAACATATGTAGATTCAACGGATGGCATGGCTAAGGCCCAGCTGCTTTAAATTGCAGTTCGTAAAGCGGGGGGGGGGAATTCTTCGTTTCGGGAAGTCCAGCATGAATATCGATACAAAGGTATCCCATCCCTGTCGGACAGTCGAAATCTTTGAGAAGAGCAGAGGTACTTGTGACACTTACAGTTGATGGATATCTACATGACAAGATGCTCTACAGCCGGCAAAGTGAACGGAATGGTGGTATCAACGCCACTCGCCCAAGAAGAAAGACTTTCCTAGCCCGAGTCTCAGGTAGCGAGCATAGGCTAGAATCGATCTGACCGTCAGCGATTCTGGATGGACAGATTCTACCTGCGTACCCCAATAGCTCCATTTTCTGCCCAACCATCGTCCAATGATAGGCAGCAGCACAATGGATAACAATTGCTGCAGTTGCCCCAAGCTTTCCCTCCACTCCTCCTCGGCAAGGCGCTCCTCCTCGTCCGAGTCGTAGCGGCTATCTGATAGGACTGATTCACTGTCGAGAGAGGCGACTGACGCTGGCATCGTTTGAGCGCGAAAGCCAGGAAATGCACTGAGAATAGTTCCCTGAGGTGAAGTGTGGCGGAAGGTCCGAGTAGGGAGAGATGTCATAAGACCTGTGGCAGGTGGCCACGCGGGCGGCCATCATCTTCAATACACGCGGGGGTCGTCAGTAAATACTCTTCCTCAGCGTTCGCCTCAATACCCCGTCCCTAGCCATCTTCCAGTCATTCGCTTCCGCGCAATAGATGCATCATGGAGGCAGCTGTTCCCCGCTCGCGACGGAGACTAGTGGGCCAGCCCTTACTCTACGCCATCTCCGTCTTTGCTAGTCTCGGAGTCTTCTTGGTGAGCGGCTGTGCGCGATTTCTGCCTTTCAATCGTATGCTTACGTTCTGGTAGTTCGGATATGACCAAGGGTAAGCTCATGCCATAGTGGTGCGAAGTCTTCTCCTTAGGATTGTTCAGTGTCATGTCTGGAATAATCACCGGGCCTCACTTCCGGAAATTCTTCAACAATCCTGGATCGATTGAAGTTGGCACCATGGTAGCAGTGCTTGAAATTGGGGCATTCAGTGAGTATCGTGAATATACCGCTTGTCGACAGTGAAACATATTTCACAGTGACCTCCGTGGCGGCCGGCCGTGTGGGTGACCTGCTTGGCCGACGGGGAACCCTTTTCATCGGTGCGATTGTCTTTGCTATTGGAGGCGGTATCCAGACCTTCACGCCTGGCTTTTGGGTCATGGTTGTGGGCCGGATCGTTGCTGGTTTCGGGGTTGGTCTGCTGTCGTACGTTCTGACTTTCATTCAATGTGAATGGCATATAATAGAGCCGTCGAAACTTTAGGACAATTGTGCCGATCTACCAGAGTGAAATTTCCCCTCCCAATCACGTATGTTTGGCGCTTGACAATTTGTTGTGCCTATCACTGACAGCTACGTTCAAACTCAGAGAGGTGCCCTCGCATGCATGGAGTTCACCGGAAACATCTTCGGTTACGCATCATCCGTGGTAAGTAGACGTCTCAGTTGTGTCTTGCGATAGTCGTTGATGATACATGATGCAGTGGATAGACTACTTTTGCTCTTTCCTCGACTCTGATCATGCATGGAGAATACCATTGTTCATACAGTGTGTCATCGGAGCTATCCTAGCTGTCGGGTCGATTTTAATGCCAGAGAGTCCGCGGTAAGTCTTTAGGAATCGCCGTGAGAACGGTTCTGTATCTAACCTTCATGCCGACGGGTTAGATGGCTCATTGATACGGACAAAGATGACGAAGGGTTGCAAGTTTTGGTGGATTTGCACGGCGGCGATCCAAATGATTCGGTTGCCAATGCTGAATTCCAAGAAATCAAAGAGAGAGTCATGTTCGAGGTGTGTTCGCGTGCGGATAGTGGTGAAAGACTTAGCAGCCCTGACGCACATGTAGCGAGAAAGCGGAGAGGCTCGTTCTTACGCTGTAATGTGGAAGAGGTATAAGCGGCGGGTTCTTCTTGCCATGTCTTCTCAAGCATTCGCACAACTTGTGAGCACGTCGTCATTTGTTTGAACGTCTAACGCGGGGAGCTCACGCATGTCATGCCTCCTCACCTAGAATGGAATCAATGGTGAATGGTTTCTCGTTGCCACAGCTTTTTTAATAGCTGACAAACTGGGAATGACAGTGATCTCGTACTATGCTCGTAAGATATCAATGGTCTGGCTGCATGCTACGCACTGACATGTGGTTCCGTCCAAAGCACGAGTCTTCGAAGGTGGGATTGTCCTGCGTACGCATTCATAGCGGCTTATTCGGCACAGAGGCTGGATGGATTGGCCGTGACGCCATTTTGATGACTGGCATCAATGCAATCATATACCTCCTTAGTACACTACCAACGTACGTGTATATTGCGTCCAACGTTTGACTGCTGACATTGGATTTTGCAATAGATGGTACTTAGTTGACCGCTTGGGGCGGCGACCAATCTTGCTGTCAGGTGCTGTGGTGGTATGTATCTTTCCAGTTTATCTTAAAGTTGACAGCTAAACGAGAACATAGATGGCGCTCGCACTGGGTCTCACGGGCTGGTGGCTATATATCGACGTCCCAGAGACACCTCGTGCTGTGGTAGCCTGCGTGATCGTATTCAATGCCGCATTCGGCTATAGGTCTGCTTCTTGTGTTCTTCCGTTCTTTCTTTGACGCTAATATGCCAATAGCTGGGGACCTATTCCATGGCTTTTGTGCGTCCTTTGTTTCGACTGGTCAGTCTCACGCTGAGACATATCTTCGTCCTTTTTTAGCCCTCCAGAAATAATGCCGCTCATGATACGTGCCAAAGGTGTCTCCCTGTCTACAGCAACGAATTGGGCGTTCAATTTCCTGGTGGGAGAGATTACACCATTTTTACAGGAACATATCAAATGGCGTCTGTATCCTATGCACGGCTTCTTCTGTGTTTGCAGTTTCGTCCTTGGTAAGTCATCAGGTGACAAGTTGAGACGCTACGCTCATGTAACTCTTCGCTCAGTGTATTTCCGTGAGTGTTTTCGTGCTGTCACGGTACGGTCTTCTCTTCTGATGCCTGGTTAGTATATCCCGAGACGAGAGGAGTTCCTTTGGAGGAGATGGATGCTGTATTTGGAGAAGGTGAGACAATCGCGAACAGATATAAGGCAACGTTGACGCCTTCCTTGCAGAGGAACTCGAGGAGCGACTGGAAGACGAAGAGTCGGAAAGAGCATCGCTCGTATCACGACGTTCCTCTCGCAGCAGACGTTCCGCCATTGTGAGAGGGAAGGATACCTCGCAAGGACCAGGTATCCTGAGCCGCATTTTTGGCCGGTCCGAACGGGCGCATTACCAACCCATACACGATGGTGACGAATAGGAATTGCCGAGGATGGACACCCGAACATCTGAGGGACACCATGAAGACCATCCTGACGCGGTTGATTCTGCCAGTACGGAGAGCAGGCCATCTTCATGACGCTTGCGGCCGCGATGTCGGAATAGTAGTGGCTTGTTCCTAGGGTCTTCTTGTTCCATCCTCACCCCAGTCTACGCTATCGTGACATCTAACCGCATTCTGAGTCGCTTTTCTTACGCTGGCATCCTTTCACGCTATTAGTACTAGTAGTACTGCAGTATAACAGAATTGAAGTGATATATCGCACGCGGTTTGGTGTGGCGGACATTCCTGAAAAGGGAAGCACGGTAGCCCGTGAGAATAGTCCGACGGAACGCTCCTTGTATCAAGCCTGGCAGCATTTTCGATCGTGCTCTCTTTCAGTTTCATGCGAAGTCTCAAGTGCTCATCCTTCCTCTGGCCCCGACGTGCATTGTTCCTTGATCCTTTTTCACACCGTTCAACATGGCTTCGGTATCATTCTACCGCACCTCAGCTGGACTCTAAAGGACGAGTGGTCTACTATGAGGCTCCAGAGTCATTCCGCGGGACAGACCTGCGCATTCCATTCTCATATCTCTTGCCGGACAAGCGCATCGTAACCGGGCTGCAAGCGGCCTTCCCGTCGGTTGAGTTTGCTACATATGTGCAGGAACAGATCATTATGGCAATTAATCGCGATTGGAACGCATTTGTGAAAGACCACACGGGTACCGGCAAGTGTGTTATTATTGCAACCTGATGTCCGTTCGCCAACGTACTTAATCATAATATAGGTCTTTCGGCCTCCTGCTTGCACTTCTCTCCAAAGAACGCAAGCACCCTGAAAAACCTGCTATAACGTCGCTTATGATCGTTCCTCATCGAGACCTGGCCTACCAACTTCTCAACTGGGCAGAAAGGATACATTCTCATGCCCCGAAAATGGGGACATTCGATTCATGTGCGCAGGTCGTCGTACGAGATGCAGATATCCCGCCGGAGGAGCAAATTTCACGCCTCAAGAATAACCCTCCCCACGTCCTTTTTGGAACTCCAAAAGGCCTCCTGGAGATTGTCACGAAGGACCCCACAGCAATCAAGTTAAACCAGCTATCCACCATTGTGGTGGATGAGGTTGACTCTCTCATAGAAACCCCTCCTCGCCATGCGGATAAGTATCTACTCCTTAAACTTGAGCGGAAGATGAAGAGTCATCCTACTGCGACGTCCCAAATACTCGACCAGATCTACGAACCAAAACGACGACCATTGAACGCAAAGAAATCCAAAGCCTTTGGGAAGGAGAAACAATCACACGAGGGCGAGTCCGATTTTACCGCGCGCCCACAGTTGATAATGTCGAGCGCGACGTTCCATCTCAACGACATGTTTTGGGCTCGCGTTCAAAGCGGGTGGTTCCCGCGGAAAAATGACAGAAGGCTGATTAAGATTTCGGGTGACAAGTTGCAAGAATTGGCACTGGCCATCAAACCCTCTCTCAAGACGTCCGCTAGCGACACCAGTGGCCCAAGGATTGAGCATCACGCCTTGGTCGTTTCTCCACATGGAACAATAACCAACCATCCAGCCGCCCGAGAATCTCAAAAGGCAGATCTTGCGGTGTCTGATGCTGAGGCCGGCCTGGATCTTAAGCGTGGTGGGAAACCACCCAGACGCGAAACAAACGATACTTTAGATCTCGAAGTCTTCGAAAGTACGCTCTACCTTGTTTATCCAAAGTATTGCAATCATTTATAGACATTCATAGGGCTGCAAAATGAACCACTTGCGCTCCAGCCCCATGTTCTCGAGGCCGTCAGCGAAGTTTTCGCTTTGGAAGTACCTCGTCTGGCTCTTTTGGTCTTGCAGAGTCAAGCCCCAGTGCAAAGAGTGGTGCATGAGTTGCGCGGGCTCGGAGTGGATGCCCACAGCCTGGACATTCATGCAAGGGGGATAGGAGCAGCGTTTGTGTCAGAATCTGCTCCTGATTCAAATGAGACTCTGGATTCGCCAACTCTACTCGTTGCCACTCACGAGACCATTCGAGGAGTGGACTTTCCAGGGCTTACGCATGTCTTCATCGTCGACTTGCCAGAAGACGATCCCTTGGATATGTTTATGCACGCAGCTGGTCGAGTCGGACGATTCGGACGCAGGGGCAAAGTCGTCACATTCGTGCACGAACGGTACCAAGTCAGGAAGCCAAAGAAGGCGATCTCGTGGAAGGACCAGCCGCTTAAATTGAAGTCTCTCTTCGGACGGGTGGGCATTAGACCGATCAAGCTCGAGCACTTCCCGTGAACGCCGCGGCGGATCTGTTATTATAGCATGCCGAACGGCTGTCGCAGGATGGTCGTGGGAGGTTAAACATTGCTCGCGACATTCTCCGATAGAAACTCGGGGCGTGTGCGCCGTGCGGGAAGTTAGGGTGAGAGTGGTGCGCTCGTGACGCGCGACTGGGAGCAGGCGGGCATCGTGGGGTGTACCTAGACATGCTGTTTAGGGAATGTTTCAGTCGGCTGTATTGTCGGTAGCATACGTTGGCAGCCTTCTGAGCCTCGTACGAGTGGTCGATAAGAGCAGAAGCGTAAAGGAAAGTGACACCGGCTGTAGCGCTGCTGATGAACGAGAGGCTGCAATCGGAGGCTCCAGGTGGCAGCCGCCCTCGGAAGCCTGGGGCTAGCTTCATCATGTATCTTCTGTACGCCCATTAAGGTCTATATTCTCTCACTCTTCCTTCTCTCCTTTCCTCCACCCTCCGCCTCCCGCCATGGTGGCCATCGCCCGTGCTCTCTGGCCGTGGATTCTGGTAGCCGGGTCCTTGGTCGGCGCGGTTTCCGCTCAGTCGTCGGGAACCTCGTCCAGCTCGGCAGCGTCCTCATCTTCGCGCACTTCCTCTCAATCCGGCTCCTCCACGGCGAGCGCGACTCGAACGTCACTTTCCCTGACCACGAGCTATGTCACCACTTCAACCATCATTCAGTCAGGCGGCGAGAACATCACAACTGTGCCTACGGTCATCCCTGTGTCGACATACAATGTCACGATTACCTCCAACGCGACCTCCTCTGCGACCTCCTCTGCAACCTCCTCTACGACCACTTTGAACAGCACGGCCTCGGCTTCTGCTTCTGCTTCTGCCGACTCTGCATACACTCTAGACACAAGAATTGACCCCGCGTTCGGCGTCCTGGGTGCCTTGCTGATCCTCACCGGTTTGCCCAGCGTATTCTGGGGACACAAGAATCGCTGGTCATCGCTGTTCCTTATCGGTGTATACACCTTCGCGCTCGTTTGTTTCGTGCTCATCGTAAGGTTTGGTGTTCTGCAAGCGCTTAACCCGCCTAGTACCGCTGTCCGCGGCCTTTTCATGTTGGCTTGCGGGATCGCGGGGATAGCAGGAGGAGGGATCGCCATATTCTTCTGGCAGGCTACGAGGTACTTTGTCGGTGCTTGGGGTGGATTCGTCGTCGCCATGTGGGTACAGTGCTTCAAGGCGGGTGGCTTGATATCACCCATTGGCTTCCGATGGATCCTCTACATCTGTACGTGTGGTTCTTGAAGCGATCTGCAGTCTGTTTAATCCATTATGGCCATGTCCATCCAGGCTCTGGTGCAGTGGGTTTCGTCCTTTGCACCATCCCAAAGCTTCACTACCATATTCTTCTGCTCTCTACTGCATTCGTCGGTGCAACCGCTGTCATTCTGGGGATCGATTGTTTCACCACCGGTGATCTCAAGGAGGTACATGTTTGGATCTTTAAGATTATGTGACCAGTAACTCATGGTCATTGACAGTTCTACGTGTGGAATCTCGGCTTCACTGCCCTTTTCCCCAAATTCACGGACAACGGCATCGCATTCCCCATAAACCAAACGATGGAGATCGAGCTTGGTCTCATGGGTGCGGTCGCACTCATGGGTATCGCTGTGCAGTTCCAGGTGCTCAAGGTACTTCAGGTTAAGCTAAAGGAGATCCAGAGCGAGGCCAAGCGTCGCAACGAAGAAGCCGAGGCTCGGGCTGCTTTAGCATTCGTTGACATCGATCAAGAGAAAGCGGAATGGGAGCGTGATCATTCTATGCTGTACAAGCATGGCCGAAAGGAGAGCGATTTCTCCTCATTGTTGAAAGATGGTTGCGATAGAGGCACACCGACTCCTGATGACAACAATACGTCCGGGTCCACTGTCGTACAGCACCCCCGTCAGCGTTATCAATCCGGAGTGTCCGACTTCGTTGCTGCTACTGCCCCTAGTGAGGAGTTCAACCGTTCGGCTAGCAAGTTGCTGCAAACCCCTGGGGCGCTACCCGTGCTCGATCTAGGGACCGACATCGAGAATGACGTCCCTCAAGGCTACATCGCTGGTTCGGATCATCCGAAGACGTCTAAGGAGAAGGAGAAGGAAAAGGGTCTTTTGAACTCTAGCGAATTGGAGGATCTGCGGCGGAAAGAGGAGCTCCTGGCGGAGATCCAGACAATCAGGAAATCCATCGAGATCTTGAAAACGGAAACTCCAGATCCCTCATCATCTTCCAGTTCACGTCACCCGTCGTTTACTTCTCGGGACTTCGGTAATCTCAGTGCTCCTTCGCACCTGCGGCCTCCGCGACAAGCTGACCCTCGCGGTCGCGTGCAGTCTTTGATGCTGTCAAACATGTCGACGGCATCCAACTTGGGACAGTCGATTGGCAGACCCTCCAGTGCGCCGCTACGGGACGACGATTGGGATACGTACGTGCGGGACCGTAAGCTGCTGCAGCCGCCGTCTGGGGTAACCGCCCCGATTCCAACCACCCCCATAAGCGTGCCCATCTCACCAGCGGTGGAGGAGGCACTTATGCACCGGAAGCGGCTCGAGAGTGCCTTGACGTCGACTCAAGTAGAAAAGCCTGTGGAAACCGAGAATATGCGTCATTCCCGGAACCCCTTCTTGACCTCCCCTAGCAGTGAGATTCCCATCGTTCTGCGGACAGATCATGCTCCGATCGACCAGAGCAAGTCACGCCCTCCACCTACTGGAGGCGCACCCGTTGTGATTCTTCCTCCTCGAAGACAGACGGTATCTCCTACTCCGCAGCCAGCGGAGGAGCGTGTACCCTGGACAACGCATACGTACGAGGAGCTCGCGGAACGGCACCGCCAGAAAATGAAGCAGATGCAGGAGCCGATAACTCGTCATGAGCAGGAGCAGATCGAAATCCAGGAGGCGAAGCGTCGATGGGAAAAAGCGAAGGCTGCTGAGAAGCAAGCCACGGCGAAGCGACAGGCCCAGCGTGCTGCTATCGTGGGCAAAGGCGAGGGCAAGCATGACAAGCCGGGCGAGCATCCGGATTCTTCGAAGCGGAAGTCGAAGGCGCTTCACGACTCTGAAGGGAACGATGGGGAGTCACGGCCGCTGAGCACGGACGTGCTGACGGCAGTGCAGGGAGGGGGCACGTCGTCGAGGCGGATGTCGATGCTCAAGGTCAAGGACTGGCAGAGGTACCAGGAAGACGTCGAGCGGAGCACGCGGCCCGAGGAGCACACGACGCAGTCGCGCCGCCCACCTGCAGTGCCCTTCCCTGACGCGCAGGATGGCCGACCTGCGGATGGACGACGCATGTCGAATATGCCGCGATGACCTACCGCGATGTTGCATGTCGCACCGTATGACATGATCGGCTCTTGTTGACGCACTGGACCCCCGACCACGATCTTGCCGTACCATGTACGAGTGGGCCTTCATGACAGTTGCTACCTACCGACCGAACTTTGTTTCATTCTCTTGCATGGATCATTGGATCATGGACTAATGTCTAGCATTTGGACTTGCACTCAATCATATCATACATGTTCGTCTTTCGTGTCGTGTTCATGTACCATGTCCCTCTCATGTTACTTATTGCACTCATCGTTGTACACGAGTAATCTATCCACACGATTCGTTCGTTACACTACAGGCGTCCGTGGCAGCGATCGCACGGTGGCAGCGACACTCCCCATGTAAGGCTAGACGGCAAGTCTTAATGTTCCCAAGACCCTTACGGTTCTGCAATCTTCTTTTATTTGAATTTTGAATGATTGTGGCGGCCAAGTTCTCCGGCACAACTCGGTAGGTGGCGTGACCCCACGGGGGGAGGCGGAGTCTCGATCATGAACATTGCAGGAAGGCCGCACCGTCACGACCGCCTCGTTGGGAATGGACTGGCCACGCCCAGCTGCTAGCCAGCTTTCGCTTCCTCCAACCTCCGCCTGCTCCAGTGCGCGGATCCTCGACACTCCTTTGTACATATACCCCACCTTCCTGCAGGAAGAGCCAGCACAACATCATGTCTATTTCACGCTCAAAGTCTGCTCTACTAGTCTCTTCATCTGCCGCCTTGCCCGGCAGCTCTCACATATACCCCGCTCGCCCCCTTCCCTTGCGTCGCACTCGTAGCGCGGGTGCTCACCATACACCCTTGCATGTGACATCTCCTTATTCGCCCCGAACAGAGCGGGAGGACCCATTCAACCTGACCAGCTTCTTTCCCTCACAACTGTGCTTCGCTGAAGGTTCTCAAGAGCAACAGTGGAAGTGGCTGCAGGACTGCGACGGCGACAGCGACTCAGAATGTGCGGAGCATTCTCGAGTTTCCTCTCCGATCGCGGAAGAATTCCTGCCTCCGACACCACCAGATACCAGTCTGATCGGCGCTGCAGACGAAGCAACTGCAGATATCATCAAACACGAGGACAAACTAGGCATCCTGGCGCTCGGTAAGGAGTACACTCAATTTCCAAGGTGTTGATGCAGGGTTGATTAATGCGATTCGCTTAGGAGAATTCATGCCATCTGGGGCCGCGAACGATCCATCTCTTGGAGAACAGCTGCTGTCCCCATACGCCGAAGATGGGCCCACGGACGACGATGGCCTGTACTACGTGTTATGTGGACTACGCAAGAGACAGGCTTCTTTGCTGCACAAACGCGAGAAGCCGCTGGTCACCTTCGACCAGCTATTCGCGCCTCGGACCGACGGAGACGTCGAGCTTCTGGACGGAGACCGCGGGTCGCTAGTATATCGCGGCATGTGGAGGGCACTCGAGTTCTTCGACGGGCAGCTTTAGTGATGCTCACGGTGCCTGTACATATTCTGTTTCATGCGGGATGGGCATGTGCTTGGGCCGAGCAGTGGTCGAGGTCGCCAGGCAGATGAAAGCGAGCGTTGTCCATTCATCAGGATGGACAGGGAAGAGAAGGTGGCGGCCGAGGAGCCGAGGGACCCCGTGACCTTAGTCCACGGGGTCATTGCGGTTGCTATAAGAGTGACGCGCGTGGGTAAAAAGCCGGTTTCTTCCCACTCCCACAGTCGACATTTCCCACAGCTTCACTGCTAGAGCTCTAGCCAGTATGCGCACTATAATCCCCTTCGACTCGTCCCCTCTCCTCCAGATGGCCTCTACCGCCGCAACCTCTACCCACGACCATCTACCGCCTCCCGTCCACGCTCAGATGTCTCGCCCAGCCTCACCGCACCAGCCCGATCTCAACTCGCTCGTAAAGTCCACACTTGTCTGGCCTTCTGGTTGCATTCCTGATCCGCCGTAGGTCGCGAACCACCACATCCCCGCCCACCCACCCCACCCCTCACATCCATCTCTGTCGCAAGGTCGCTCGATCGACATGTCCAGCGCCGATCAATTGCAGTCTATTTTTGAAGCAGCCAAACAAGTTCCTGTACCTACGAGCGGGCAGATCCCGCTGTACTCTTTGCCGCCACCTCCGCCTCCACCATCACATCAGCAGCAGCAGCAGCACGATGGATCTAATTCCCTCCCTCAGGTAAGCGTCAACGCGTCTATTGCGACCGCGATTCACTAACGCGCACCTTCAGCGGGCGGGCCAGAAACGTAGATTGGAGGACACAGATACGGAGGATCCTCATAACAAGATACGCCGCGTCGTCAGGGAACATATTACCGCCGACCAGGGGCGCGTCATGAACATGACGACTGTCATCTGCCTGCATGCAGCCGTCGCGCAAAAGTCATATGGAAGCGAGAAGCGCTTCCTATGTCCACCGCCTGTAGTCCACATTGAAGGGCCTGTATGGAATATGAAGACGCAGCAAATGGCTATGGCTGTGGTCACCGAGACGGGGGAACGTTCGTTCGAGCAGAAGGCGCCATTAGATCACAACCTAAATGCTAGCTTCAAGTTCTTGCATGTATCTGGGACGGCAAAGACAAAGAGTTTCCAGCTGTCGCTAGATATCGCGGAACCACCGCCATCCGCTCCTGACGGTGGCGACGCGGGCTCAGGACGAGTCTGGGCATCGTTCGACTCTGCTCCAGTGACAATCATCTCCAAACCTTCGAAGAAGACGGCCAAGACGCGTAGCATCTCGTCCTGCATTCTGGCTGGAGGTCCTGTGTCGTTATTTAATCGCATCAACTCCCAGACTGTACGCACGAAATACATGACCGTTGACCATGGACAGCTTTCCGCGAGCAATATATCGTGGTCCGCCTTCAATGTGAATGTTATAACGCGCCCACCTCCTACGGACAGCGATCCTGGTCCGCTCGGTGCGTCCCCACGTGACCCTGGAATCCTGGCAGTGCCAATACTCACGACCTACGCTTTTGCGCAGCTGGTCCTGGTCCACAAACCGTCGTCTATGGCAGCAAGATCGTCTTGACAGAGACAGTCACCGGAACATCCACCCCTCCTTTAGTTATTCGTAAGGTCGACAAAGGGAGGATCGCCCCTGATGACGGAGGTCCCGTCAGTCAGATGCAGAAGATCGCTCTGCAGAGGATCAACCCTGACGGCAGCAGGCATTACTTGTCTGCGGCGGGCCCAGTTCCCGGCACTCCCGGTGTAGTCGTCCCCCCTTCCGCGGGGATGTCCAATCAAGCTGGATCGCACCCGCTTGGTTTCCAGGCGCCTCGTGTGCGGGAAGAAGTGAAGGATGGCCAGACGATCATGATTGACGAAGTCGACGACTACCTCTGTTGGACAATTGTCGGAATCTGTATGTTTTCAAAGCTATATCTATGAAATTCACAACGCTGATAGGAATGGACAGCAAAGTTCCAATACACGTTCTTCGATGCATTTGGCCAGAATTCAAGGATACCCGATCTGCCTATTACACCCTTCCCCACGTTGTTCACAGCACCGTTGTATCGTTCTCAGCAGAATATGCCACAGCAACAGGTCGATGTGCTTGAGCTGACGGCGGCGAACTTTTTCTATCACAATCCGGCAACTAACACGGTTGATCCTCTTGATGTTTACCTTGGTCCCCTTGGTCCACTACGACTGCGTGTGTACCAGGCCGCTGCAGTGGGTATAACCTCAGCCGCTGGGCCGTCCTTCATTTCACCCTCCGCAGGCGAAGGTCCGATCAGATTTGTCCCCACTGCGGGCACTTATGGTCCCCAATCCACCCCTAGCAACCCTACCGCTGGGCCACTCCATGCGATCGTCGTTGTCGAGATGCCGTCCAAGGGAGAAATGCTAAAGGCTTTGGAGGAAGACGCGTTGCCTACGAACGAGGAAGCTGCAGACGCAGCTGCCGGCAAGCAGCGGTCCAAGCCGGAAAGGATTTCAGGCAGGAGCCTTCCCTTGCTATTCATCCGCGCGTATGATGGTGTTGGATACCATTCTGGCAGGGCGATCGCGTGTGAATATCTGTTCAAGGACATGGACATCGGTGTCAGCAGCACCACCAACGGGGAGAAGAGAGACTGGGCGGCAGAGACGGCGCAACATCTCTCGGAAAACAGCCTGCACAATTGGATCTTCCGAGTGATGTAACTGTCGGTGAGGATGCGGACATGCTTTGGATGGTTGGCTTGTTGGACATCTAGTTGTGGTTGTGTGTATTTGTGTAGTGTATCTGGAATGCGGAGTGTCGGCAATTGTTATGAACCTGGATGTCTCCAGACTCGATGATGGCTGCCTCGAAGGATGACGCAGATGACGGAAATAGATTTTAAATGAAGGATCGATGCGGCCTGCGCGTGCGTGCGCCGACATGCACGCCGCTAATCAGCGCCATCGACGCGCATAAATACGTCCAAAGGGCCTTATTTGTCTACCATCCTTCCTGTATTCGCCCATAACCTCCTCGTACCCAATATCACAGGACGCGCAGTGCACGTTCTTAACTGTCCAGTTGGTCCGTATCAGATCTTCCAATCCTCGCGCGCACGCGTCTATCCAAGTTCGTTTACTTAAAAGGCTGTCGTCCATCGTACCACCGCTCCCCTCTAGCTCCGCTTTCTCTTCTCTCCTCGTCTTATAAAAGAGGAACCAGCTGCTTACGTCTTCGTGCACCTCTTGTTAACCTTTAGCTAGCAGCCATGTCCGGCCCTCCGACTTCGCGCCTCGAATGGTTCGCCAGTTTGAAGATCGACCAGGCTCCGCTCCCCACTGAGGAGACTAAGCACCTCCGCAAGGTGCGTCCCAACACGTCCTGCCATTGATTGCTCTGCTTAATGCTCGTGCAGACCGCCATCATCGCGACAATAGGTTCGTCTGCGAGGCCCTTATCGCGCAGCTGGTCGAGATGCTCACCCCGACGCAGGTCCGAAGGTGAACAGCGTCGAGATGCTCGGCAAGCTCGTCCGTGCGGGTGTCAGCATTGGTGTGTAGTCATCCTCATCATAGCCCGAGAGTGGTCAGTTGAGCAGAGATCTAGTCCGCATGAATTTCTCCCACGGCACGTATGAGTACCACCAGAGCGTCATCGACAACACCAGGAAGATGGTGGCACGTAAGAACACGTTCCCGGATCGGAAAACCCATTTTTAACAAACACTTTGCAGAGACGCCGGACTGTCGCCCGATTGCAATTGCTTTGGACACGGTGAGTAATTGACCGGATTACCGAGGGTGCTCTGGCTCACTGTCGATCGTGATCAGAAAGGACCTGAGATTCGTACGGGCAACATGAGGAATGACACTGATGTGAATATATGATCCTTCTTGCTATTGCGAGTGCTTACAGCGTCTTGATGCTCTGAATTCTCGTGTAGATCAAAATCCCTGCCGGCCACGAGTTTATCATCTCTGCTGACAGCAAGTACCGCAACATCTGCGATGACAAGGTTATGTATGTAGATTATGTACGTGTTGGCGCGTACGTACGGTCTTCCGGCTGCTGAACAACCTATGTGCCAGGTAAACCTTTCTAAGGTCACCGCCCCGGGCAAGCTGATCTATGTCGATGATGGTCAGTGACCGCCGTTCTGTTGACGCCGAGGAATCCAACATATATGCGTTCTTTCTCCCAGGTATCCTGTCGCTCTTGGTCATCTCCATTGACGGCATCAATGTTCGTGTTCGCTCCCTCAACAACGGTACCTTATCATCGCACAAGGGTGTCAACCTTCCCAACACAGAGGTCGATCTCCCTGCGCTCTCCGAGAAGGACCAGGCGGACCTGCGCTTCGGTGTCAAGAACGGGGTGGACATGATCTTCGCTTCCTTCATCCGACGTGCGCAGGATGTACGCCACATCCGTGAAGTTCTCGGCCCCGATGGCGCAAACATCAAGATCATCGTCAAAATTGAGAACTTGCAGGGCGTCGAGAACTTTGACGAGATCTTGCGGGAGACTGACGGTGTCATGGTCGCGCGTGGTGATCTTGGTATCGAGATCCCGCCGAGCCAGGTCTTCCTTGCGCAGAAGATGATGATCGCGAAATGCAACGTAGCCGGAAAGCCTGTCATTGTTGCTACTCAGATGTTGGATGTGAGCGATCTTTTTTTTGTTCCGCAATACTAAACGATCATCTAACGAGCGGATTGTCAGTCCATGATGGTAAGTCGTCCAGCTGGGTGTCACTCATCTGAATCGATCTCATCACTTTCAGAACAATCCCAGGCCAACTCGTGCTGAAGTCAGCGACGTGGCGAATGCTGTCCTTGACGGCGCAGACTGTGTCATGCTATCCGGTGAGAGCGCGAAGGGTGCTTACCCCATCGAGTCTGGTACGTTCGTTTCATGCTATATGCACGCTATCTTTGCTAACTTTTTGTTGAGTGTTGATGATGGCTGAGTGCTGTCTCCTCGCGGAGGCCATGATTTGCTACCCTCCCTTGTACGACGAGATCAGGTTGGCCACTCCTCGTCCGACAGACACTGTGGAGACTGTCGCTGTCGCCGCTGTTGGTGCTGCGCTTGAGCAAAATGCAAGCGCCATCATTGTGCTATCGACCAGCGGTAACACAGCGCGCCTCGTGTCGAAGTACCGTCCCAGTGCGCCTATCATTACTGGTGAGTGCTCTAGTGGCAAGCTGCCTAGGGTGACCCGCTAAGGTCTTCCCCGCAGTGACCCGGGACCAGCAGACCGCTCGCCAGATCCACCTGAGCCGCGGCTGCTACTCGTTCTGGTATTCTGAGCCCCGCGGGATCGAGCCCCACCAATGGCAGACAGACGTGAGCACATTATTTGCCGTGGCTGCGTGGAAGGACCGATCACATCCGTTATATCTAGGTTGACAACCGCATCCGCTTCGGGCTGCGCAACGCGCTGAAGATGGGTCTCATCAAGACCGGCACGACCATTGTTGCTGTGCAGGGGTGGAGAGGCGGTCTGGGTCACACGAACACGGTTCGCATCCTGTCCGTGCCCACCGACTCTGCCGACCTGGAGATGCAGCCGCTCGGATTGTGAGAAGTAATGCAGTCGAAATGTTGTCTTGTACCGATGTAACAATTAGCCGATAAAATGTATTCATTGTACCTCCATGGGTGTGCAGCTAGCGGACCGGGGAGTTGATGATGAGGCATGGAAGCGACGCTAGTCCGGGTTGGCAACTTTACACGTAGCGATCGTCTGGGCATGCACGTGGCATGCATCTTGGGATTTACGCCCGGACACTTTGCAGCAGCTCTCCCTCCTACCATTACTTTACTCTTCTGTGTCGCTGAGCGGTCCCTCTTCGCCTCGAGCCGGCCGCCTGCTTATCCAGGGCTCACATCCATTCATGGCCTCGTCGGTCTACTTCCAGCAAAACGGAAATGGCTACGCGGAACGCACACGTTTCAACGGTCTTCCCACTCACTCGACCGCTGTCCGAGAAAAATGGCATCGACATCATCCCACCTCGTCCTGGTTCATACCTCTATCACTGCCTATACCGGGCGTGCGCACGCGTCGCCTGCGACTAATGGCTCCCAATCCAGCGCGCCTGCATCAGTTTAGCGTCACTCGGTTTGGGCGGAGGAGAGGGCCGCTCATACTGTGCATGGGTCTCTTCATCATGGTGTTCACCGTATTCGCGTTCCACAAACGCTTTGCGACAGAAGAGAAAAAGTGGCCGCTCTCGTCCGGAGAGTCGGGTACCCTCGTCTACAGACCGGAGGACTTGCAGCGAATATGGGAATGGGAGATCGCAGCGGGGCACTATCCAAGCAGCAGGAAGCGTGCGTATGCGGTCTGCACTGATGGTTGCTTTGTCTCGCTGATAGATATTGCTTAGTTCCAAAACAGATTGGAATGACCACACCACCGCTGAATCCCGCGCTGCCAGCACGCAAGTCGGCAAATATTCCATCACGGTATAGGTCGCCCATTATAACGAACACTATTGGCAATGGTGCCAAACGCGTCTATCTGGACATACAGGCAAGCCCTCCTAATGTTGCTTATCCTCCGAGGCCGGTCCCGGGGAGTGTCGCGGATATGGACGTCATTATGGAGCACTGTGACTTCTCGGCCAACAAGGTCAGCTTTATTCTTCCCGAGACAGCACTCGTATTTATCGCGAATACGTTAGTATGTGCGAGACTGTCTGGAGGTCCTTCGGATAGGTGCTGGACTGGACAACCAGGCCAGACTGCGGAGAGGGAAGATGGATGACTGGAAATACATATATATTGAGGACGGAGAGTCCGAAAACATCACAGAGCCTGATGCCATGCTCAAGCCCAATTATGCATCATTGAAGACTCAAGGTGAATCCGAGCTCAACAATGACTTCAGCAAGAAGCGTGGCGTCGATTGGGAACCCCATCTGAACTTGTCCCCGCCGCCGAAGTACAGACCGTACAAGGATCAGCCTATGCCGTGCGACAATGAGAACCCCCGGATATTCCATCTGTTCTGGGCAGGAGACTTTACGGACAAGCCGTATCTCGCGCTCCTGTCGTTCCTATTCACTCAGAACCTAGGCCTCCACCTTGATGATGACCACCAAGATCCATATGTGTGCCGTCCCAAGTTCTGGGTGTGGATCAATCCCGGGCCTGCAGCTGCCATTCCCAACCCCAGTGCTATGCGGGAGATGTTCGACAAGCTGAAATCCAACCCGTGGGCATCGCCCTTCCTGCACCCGCGATTCAAGGACGTCATTCAGTTCAAGCTGTGGAACACTACCGAACAGCTGGATGGCATTCCGGAGCTCAAAGACGAGTGGAGGTCGTTGCGGGACACTCTGTTCAATTCGGGAGGGTTTGTTGAGAAGGTGCAGATTCAAGAGCAGGATGATACCGTTGATGAGGTGGCCGGGGAAAATGGGGAGGACGGCGAGGGTGCAACGGTCGCGGCGGCGCCAGCTCCTACGAAGGGCAAAGACGACAAGTTCAACCGCGTTGGTTCCACGTCGGCTGCTGCGTATGACAGACTGTCGGTCATTCTTTCGGACATGGCGCGGTTCGTCCTATGCCATAGGTTCGGTGGGATCTACCTCGATGCAGACACGATTTTCCTACGTGACTGGGAGGAGCTCTGGGGTTGGAGGGGCGCATTTGCATACCGATGGTCTCGTCTGGAGACGTACAATACGGCCGTGCTGCACATGAACAAGGGTTCGGCCTTGGGAACGTTCCTCTTCCGTACTGCCCTCAAGAACCGTTTGGACTTCCACCCCATGACAATTGCAAAGTACACGAAAGACGCCTACACGGAGGGCCTGCTTTTGCGTCTTCCGGATGCGCTATTCGATTCTGCATGGTTAAACACGGAGTATTGGCAAAGAGATCGTCCACCTCAGCCGTATCTCACGGAGTACGCATCCTTCGCCGTTTTGTAGGCATTGCTGACGATTTGCTCCAGGTTCCGCCATTTTTTCGAGGCTCCAAGGGATCAGAGCGCGGCTCCCGCTGCTCTGGGCTTTGACGGCTTCTTCAAGGGTGCCTACTCGTACCATTTCCACAACTTCTGGTATGTCTTCGCTCTTCTTGTACTGTTCAAATTAACCTATGTGCTCTGTCTGCAGGTGGCTCCCGTTTGACCCTTTACGGAACTGGCCTGACCTGGGTGAGCGGTTCATCAGTGGCGAGCGGATTGCTCGAGCTGCTGCAGCTGCCGAGTCTGGCACAGTCATTCCCGATCAAGAGGACGACGTTGTAGCGAACGACAAGCGCGACCTCGACTGGGCAACGGTGCTCAAGCGGACATTCGAAGCATACATCCGCGGGGAGCGGCCCAACATGTATGGGGAATGGCTAAAGTGGTAATGTCCTGACGACAGGCGCGTGTCTGTCGCTTCGCGGCGGCCTCATTCATTATGCTCTTTGATGAGCCACCTATTGGACGTAATCTGTGTCAAGGCGAAATTTGCGCTGTGCGAGCGAGCCGCTGCAGTGTCCGTGGACATCACTGCCTGCTGGGCCATATAGACGCTACTACCTTCCGAGGAATTTTTTATAATGCCTCGCCACATCACACTCTGCACTGTCACACTATGCATATGGCCACGTACGCCTCTGTAATGTAATGAATGGAATGGAGTCATGCCGCCCGGTGGGTTCTTATCGTGCGGGTAGGAATTGGTGAATTTATGGACGGGCGTGCATGATTCTGTAGTACACCGGATACGATCATACCTTAATGAATACTTAACGATGTCTGTTGTCTGTCCGTCAGTGACTCTTGTCTCATTCTACATACATCTAGTATTGGTATGCAACAATCGCGACTCCGTAAAGTGTACGGATATTGACCATGTCTATGGCAATGTGCTCATTTCGCTGCTGCCTTAGCTTGTGCCGTTTCGACTATGCGTCTAAGGAGCGAGATGACTTCTTCAGGGTTTGACGCGTTGAAAATCGCTGTCCCGGCAACGATGACGTTACTCCCTGACGATGAAACACGAATGAGCAAAAACCGCCGAGAACCACGAACGCGATCGGGAGACGCACCAGCGTCAGCGCATACACCGATGGTCTTGGGGCCGACGCCGCCATCGACCTCGATGTCCTTATCGGGGAATCGTGCGCGGAGCTCCGCGACCTTCGGCACGCAGCGCTCGAGGAATTTCTGGCCACCGCGTCCTGGGAATGTGCCCCACAGTCAGTACTGCGATCGGACGTGCGCTGCGGAGGGCGGTAACGCACCGGGGTAAACGGTCATGACAAGAAGCATGTCGGCTGCCGCGCCGACTTCGTCCGTGATCGCAGTCGAGGGTGTATCCGGGGATACCGCGACGCCTGCCTTCATCTTGCGCTCATGGATGGCGTTGATTAGTGACGTTGGGTCCGCTGTTTGATGACCTTGATGAAAGACTGCGGGTGGATCCAGGCAAAATACGTACATGTGGCTTCAATATGGAAGCAGTATAAAGCGCCACCCGCATCTGCGATGTCATTCACCCACTATATGCGCTTAGACAGAACGCTTTGGCTGCGATCACGACGAGATCGCACCTTTTCAGGCTGGGCGACCATCATGTGGCAGTCCATAAAGATATCTGGCACGTCCTTCTTCACGCAGGATAGGATAGGTGCGCCTATGCCGCTGTGAGAATCTCGCGTCGCGCAGCATCAGATGAAGACTCAGACGCACCCATGGTGATGTTGGGCACGAAATGGCTGCCATTGCACGTTCATCAGCATAGAGGACTCGCGCCTTCTCATGGAATTCACCCGTCCATGACATCTGCCCCGCACGAGTTCATAGTCGATGAGATCTAGATCGGAAACTGGGCGCACCCATATGCAACCACTCTGCGCCGCCCCTGATCATCCGCTTGCACTCTGCAGTGAGCTGCCCAAAGTCGGAGGCGAGCACGGAAGGAGAGATGATGGCGCGAGGCATGATGTTTTCAATATAGCGCTTGCGACGAGGAGTTTGAGGTCAAGGCCAAGCACTGCGCATGCGCGAAGAACGTTATCCGCGGATTCGCATCACGTGCGCAGCGGAAGAGAAGGAGGCGCCCAAACTCCGATGAAGCCGCGCCATGCAGTGCAAATGACGATGCTCCCCGCTAACGGCGCATCGCACAGCCGAGACTGTGTTTCCGGCAAACCATGTTTTTCGCGGCCCCACATATATACTCCCATCGCTCCAGAGCTCTCGACGCTTGCTTTACAGTTCGCCAAGTATCCATCCACCATGTTCCCCAAGAGCGTTGCTTTCCTCTGCGGCCTGCTGTTTGCGATCTCCGCTGTCCAGGCCAATCCTGCAGAGGAGAAGCGTCAGAGTGAGTTCGGTCATATACATTTCTTTTCAATCACCGCTGATGCGTATTCCTGTCGCCAGTCGATAGTGTGGTTGATACCATTACTTCCGATGCTGGCTCCGTTTTCTCAATTGCGACCTCTGGAGGTATGTGCATTACAAATGATTGCAGAATCATGGGTTAACACGTTTTCAGCCGCCTCTGTCTTGACGGACGTAACATCTTTTGGCGGTAGTGTCGTCACGATT